GTCCGTTCGAGCTGCTGCAAGCATCACATGACAGAGCTTTCCCACCCTTTTGGCAGATGGGAAACTTCATCAAAGCTGTTGTGGCACATGAGGGTGAGTTTTCTCAGTAAAACTGATGATGGATTTGCACTCAGGAAGGCCAAATATGTCCAAAAACACATCTCCGAAGTTTTTCCCACGAGGTTTTAGGGTACGGCCAATTTTTCAAGGTCTGCAACCCAAACTTGCCTTTTTCGGAGATCGGCTCGTTGAAATCTCTTCCTTTTTGTGCCAGAATACTCAAAAAGTAGAATAGAATGATTTCTACTATAATCTGAGCCTGGGAAAACTTGCTCATTTTTTTTGTCGACTTTGATTGTCCCCGACTGTAGGCCAGACTGCATTATGGTGGGCTTGGGAGTTAGTCGGCCTTGCCGCCTCACTGTACGTTCGCTGTTCTTCAATTTCCACTTTAAAATCAATAACTGTCCCGTAGGTTGGGACCTACTGCCCTTGCTGCCCAATCTGTCTTACTCGTATCATGCTCAACAACGTATCAAGTCCCATTCTCGTTAGGCCAGCGTTAGGCGTAGCCACGAGTGTCCGGATCGGTCAACTCCTCGGACTTGCACGACCACGACTCGCAAAACTCGCTGCCATTCTCCTAGGGTTTGCACTTTCTCTAATATTCAGCGTCGCTTTCTGGATCTGGCGTAAAGAATGGTCGTATCTATTCAACGATGATGAAGGTGAATATTCGTTGACCGCTAGTGAAATCGTTTATATTGAACTAACTCCGAATATAGATGTCGCTGAAATGGTGGCGATTGTTCCAAGTGTTCGATGGAAATGCAGGAATCACTGGTGGAGTTTTGAGGGCCAGGGGCAAACAAGGTACTGGGGCTCTACATACTCAATTTGAGGTAAGATTCCCTTTAGGAGTTTTGCAATCGTCACTGATGGACCCACAGTGTCTACTATGTGCTCCCTCAGTGTTTATCGGGCATTTAAAGATATCGGTCTGCCCGAATCCCTCCCTGACCACTCAGTTGTCACTCAGCATAGCACCCCAGTCGGCATACCCTCCCACACCCTTACCATCACTTCATTTCCAAATCCTTGTTAGGGGATCGAACGCTGTTTCGCCACTTCAAAATTTGAGCCTCGGATGATCCAGTGTACCCGTCATTACCAGAAGCTACTGCCGGTTTGCGAGGGCTCTGGATTGGTTTGATCGTGTCGCTTGTGTACTGCGCAGTCCTCGGGACGATATTATGCTTGATGACTGATTGGGAACTTACATTTTACATAGGGCCGAGGGAGGTTGGGCCCGAGTGTTCCCTTGTGGGACCCCGCCTTAGGCGGAGCCGCGTATATATCTATCTATCTATCTATCTGTATTATTTTTTCACTGTCTCGAAGCATTGTGTAAGCTTAATTTCGATCATCAGCTTCTGAGTTCACGAAATGGAAGATCTTGGCCGCAACTCCGCCAATATATCGTCTCGTTTTCAGATTTGTCACAAGCACGCACACATGAAGACCCGCTTTCTTCGTGCCTACACGCCAACGACCACAACCACAACCAGCAGTATTCAGCAATATGCAACAACATCCAGACTTTGATTGTCGCAGAGGAAAGCAGTCATCGCGAGCAGCTCCCTATGGCACTAGGCGTACTAGTTCTCAGCTTGATATGGCCTCGTCTCAATCGTCTCACTCTCATTCCCTACATGAAAAAAATAGAGGACACGGCAGCGCTAAAGTACCTGCTACTGACAACGGCTTGGCATCGTGGGTTACCGATGACACGAAAAAGACATTCAACACCATATTTAGGAAACATGGCTCGCTGAAGGAGAGACGAGATCTCAATATTAAGTACCACCACGTCGTTCGTGTCGTTCTCTGACATGACAACTACTATGACACTGAAGTCGGATTAATAGGTATGTCAACAGTGTATAACCAAAAACCAGCCATGCAAAATTCGACCTACCGCCCTCCAATGCGGAAATTGCCCGCCGTACATCAAATGTACCCGCGTACCAACTCTCAAGAAACTTCGTGTTCTGGATATGATGGACATCTCCGAAGAGCAATATGATTGGCTACTTACTTGGTACAAAAAGACTGCAGAGGAAGAACTTCTCGAGCCTTTAAAGGAATCTCTCAAACTTACTTCTGTGAGAGATCGTGCCTTATTCCTCCGACCTATTTCTTTGGCTGACCTTTGTTTCAGGCAAGTGTAACGAGCTCGGCGAGGAATTCCATGATCTCTCCCAAAAGTCGTTCGCCCCATGCAAGTTTCTGTTTTCCTTCCTCTAGAGTCGTACTTACGATGATCCAATAAAAGACCTCCCTTGTTCCGTTAAACGAGTCTCATTCTCACGAAACCGAAAACTCGACTGACACGCAATTCCATAAAATCGGCGACTGTACCGATTATAGAACAGTGAATGTCCTTGCCACAAACGATGTAACCTATGGATATTCTTTTCCTCGTGAATACTCTTTGGCTTCAATTACTCCCATTTCTACCCAGCCCTCCCCTGCGTCTTGCTCTCAGAATCAACAGTTACCCCAGGACAGATTTTTCACTCCGGCCGTTCCTTATTATACACCATCGTTGTTGTATCCTCCTCCGTCCCCTCGCCAACTCGCTCCGACCGCTCTGTACAGAACCCCTGATTCCTTTCATCAAGGGTCCAACGAAGACTCCTGCTCCACAAGTGCTCAGTCGTCCGGTGAGTTTCTGAAGCCGTCGCTTCATTCGTCTCATCTTTTCTTTGTGCTGAACTATGTAATCGCACTTGCAGTAAATCCCATTCAGTACACTACAGTCACTTGGAGTTGCCATGATCCACGTGCTTACCCAACAATGAGTGAACCAACTCAATCGTCGATAAGTTATGATGAAAGGGCACCTTACATGACAAATCGCCAGACTTGCGTGGACGCCGAATTTGAATTTGGTGGATGCGACCGTGTTTCGAAGAGCGCCCCAGAATCTTTGCACTACCCTACTTACCCTGCGCATGGAGCTGGGTGTATTCGTTATTCCTCTTCTGGTGATATGCTCCCTGGCTCGGACAAAGGACTCCTCGAGGGTTCAACGCCTTCTCCCCAATTTCGGAGTTGAAATGAGAATCCAGCTTGGATCGGTGGCCAAATTTGTTTACTTCATGGTCGTCAGGTGCAGGGAGGCCCGGGCATCCCTTACCAGATCCACTCATATTGCTCATTGTTGACGGGGGTGCATTACTGCTGGAAGTGGGTGGACAATGGTCTTCATTGGGAGATACAAAGTCCTTCAAAGAATATCAAGGATAAACAAGATTCTTTCCCGCATATACTTAGCGCTAAGTCAACTTTGGGCACTCTGACTTTGACTTTGAGTGCTAAATCAAGGTTAAATTAACATCCTACTGTAGCTCAATGATTGAATCAGCTGAATAGATACAGGAAGACTGTGACAAGGTCCCATGGATGGTAAAAAAAAAAAAAATTCATGAGAAAACCAGAAAGCCTCAACAGGGATTCGAACCCTGGCCTGTTGATAATATTCGAGGTCCGGCAAGAGGCATTTGTATCAAGTGCTCTACCACTAAGCTATTGAGGCATAGTGTACTTGACTACATTGAGCGCCAGAGTACAAAAATATTTCGCCAACAACAGGTTGATTCCTCAACAGGGATTCGAACCCTGGCATTTTGATGATATATATCACTCACGACGAGAACATATTCATCAAGCACTCTACCACTGAGCTATTGAGGTGTACTTACCACTGAGCTATGAGGTGTACTTGACTACCTTGAGTGTCAGAATCACTAGCTGTTACTGAAAAAGGTAAAAGTCGAAGTCTTCGACTTCGACTTTGCCTTTGACTTTAAAGTCGAGCTCGACTTTGACTTTGACTTTGACTTTGACTTCGACTTCGACTTTAAAGTCGAGCTCGACTTCGACTTCGACTTCGACTTTAAAGTCGAGCTCGACTTCGACTTCGACTTCGACTTTGACTTCAAAGTCAAGTGTGGGAAATGATTAGACGCCCACTCCTGCTCGTACCAATTTGCCTCTAGAGGGTGCAAATTATAATTATATTGGCTAGAAATAGTGTAGGATTACTGCTATGAGATAGCTCTACCTGTGTATATAACTTTTATAGCAACTAATTTTCACCAAATTAGTGTCAACGCTGCTCAGAAGAGAGTAATGTATACTCCCCTAAGGCAAATGCACCCCCTTCTGGTGAGGAGCGAGGAATCCAAAGCAAAGCAAAATTCTGAAAAAACCCAGCACTGGACCTTGCTAGTAGAATGAGACACTCTAACACTGTTAGAGGAACTTTCCAGATCCAATCTGGAAAGAACTATTAATTTTATTGCAGACTGGTTTTGGATAACCAAGGAACCCCCCTAACCAAGGAACCTTGTACTTAGTTCACTGTGAACCAGAAGGGGCAGCCAAGAGTGTTGTCTGGGAAACTAGACCTGAATAGGAAGCTCCTCAATTCCAAGAGACATTTCCTTGTGCAGGAACATTCATTGCCCAAAAATAATGAGCATCCTGGAATCAGCAATTCAGGTAACTTTTGGGGACCACCCTAACTATACATGTCCTTTTGCATAACCCAATGCCTTCCCAGAGTCAACTCACAGACACAGCCAGTAACACCAGTCTTGTCCCAGCAATACCAGATTGATGAAGCAGAAATGGAGAATGCACAACAATCATCACCAATCTCTTGACACAATCTGACAGCTCACTTGATCCCCAATCCTAACCCCCTTACAGATTGAGCAATCTATCAAGTAATGTCTGTTAATTGGGCGCCCAATTAAGAGGATTGCCTGTTAATTGAGGCACTCAATTAAGAGGATTGCCTGTTAATTGAGGCACTCAATTAAGAGGATTGCCTGTTAATTGAGGCACTCAATTAAGAGGGATGTCTGCTAATTGGACAGATTCAGGGCAAAATTCCTGAATCCAGGGATTTTTGAAATTATATCCAATCCAGGGAATTTTGGGGGCAGATTTGTTGCTTCTGGTGCTCATTGGATGGTTTTTTGGCAGGGACTCAGGCCTGGATCTGGGAAATAGATAGTTAGTAGACTTACACAAAAACAAGGTTGGTTCATATATGCTACACATAAAAGGAACATTATGGCCTATCCAGCTAAGCTCTATAATGTATGGAACCCATTATGCTGAGCTGTTTAAATATCTCACACTAAAAATGAGCGCTCTGACCTTGAAACAGGCTACACTCTCAGCATAGCTAGTATATCCCTTAACAGAGGTTGGTTGCAAGGCTACTACCTATATATCTATGTACTGAATCAAGCACAATGACTGTATCTGAGCTGGATCTCATTATGTTTGTGTAAGAAGAATCGCCTGAGTGAGACTCGAAACAAATAACTTGATTGGCCCGTCAAGGGGTGGGAAAGGAATATGACTATAAATGGTGTCAGGTGGGTGTAGAAGGACTATTTACGAGTATTTTGGCTTACTCAGAATAGTCATATCATATCTTGATCCTGTTATGTTGATTGATTTGTGCTGAACTGACCCCTAGAAAACGGGCGATTTCGAACAAACTTTCCCACATGAGTTTGGATGACTAATGGCTGATCAGAGGTTGGTTATGGTATGTTTGGAAGTATATCTAGATGGTCCAACAAAAATTACAGGAATCGGACCAGTGGTTCCTACTATGTTTGACAAACAAAAATAATTTGGCGGATGCCCCATATGCCCGGCCCTATTCTATAAGAACGATAAAGAATAGCCGTATGGTGAAGGGAATGGCGGAACCTGGCGAATTTAGGTCATTGAAGTCATGTGACCTTCATTATAATGAAGATCACATGACCTACACTCCAACGTTGATTAATAATTTTACCATTTCTTCACGTTGGACCTGTTCTTCGAAAGAACAATCTTCCCGTCAAGCCCCTCCACAGGTCAGACGCGAGCACAGAATTTTTTTTTGACTTGTTCAACAGATTCGCTCTTCTACCAATTGAATCCGGAATACACTTATTTTATTTACTTAACTTATTCTTATCTTCGACGACGCAGTACCTCAAGCTCAACCATCTCAATCGCGGACTCACACGAGAGGAGGACAACAACCATCAAATCAAGGCTAGGGAGTATTATGAGGAGGTTAGTAGGAGTATTCCTCAGGTTCCAGTACTCATTCGAAGGTACATTCCGTCAAGTAATCCAAAGTGCGTCGTGAATATTTTCTTCTTCCAGCTCGTTCCTTACGGGTTCTTAGTCACTTCAAACACAAACCTTTCCGACGACGTATTGATGTACTGTGAAGGGTGCCATTGGTTCTAAGGTTTCAATGTGATTTCAACGCGATGTCACTTCTTGATACGGCGTCTCAGCAGGAAGCGGGCGGTAGCTTTACGCAATGCGCCCGTGTTGTACCACACTCTACATATTCCTCTCAGAGCGATGGTGAAAAGGTTCGTTATTTAAATCCGATTCTGTTGTATTTGCGCTTACTTGCACGTTCTATGCCTTCCAAGAAAGACTAGTCAGCATCGGTCTTCGCAATACGACACGCTCCTCCAGGACAAATCTGTATCGTTCACTTGGCACAAAGTAATGGCCCAGAGGGCTATGATTGGAACAAAGTATGTGCATTTGTTGCTTGCGATAACCATGACATTGACTGCGAAAGGGCAAATAGTATAGTCGCCAGATTGCGCGCCCTAGGAGCACCCTAGGTACTCAGATACATACATGGATATGGACCGGATCGGCAATGTATGGGATAAGTTAAACCATGGAACATTGAAGAACGGAAGGTAGAGCACATTGACTTGGAAACGTTGATGTAACGATGAAAATTTGACTTTAGTGAGCTCAGCTGTGACTGTACGTATGCAATGGGACATATGAGTGCAAGGATTTGAAAAAAGTTGAAGCAAATGTGGGAGGCAGAACGCGGAGACGTGTGCAAGCGATGTGTACCGGTGACCTTTCGATGCGGCTGGGATCTACGAAGAGTTCGGAAGAGGTAGGGATGTAACGCGGCAAGATATTCTGTTTTAGCAATGAACTGTGAACAAGGAAAGAGCCAAACGAAACAAAGACCAACAACCAATGTCCAGATTCCAGATGAGGTGGGGGTCCGTAGACCGGACATGTGCGGGAGAATGCTGAACTTGGTAAAACCGAGACCTGTTTGTATGTTCGGGTAATCCAAGCAGTGTAGAATGAAGTTCAAGCGTAAACTCGAGCGCTTTGTCCGAGGTTGTCTCTCCTGCTAAACGACTTGTTGTATCCGGAGTGGTGGATGGACAAGATAAACAGCAGACGACGAAGACCGCCTACATAATTAAAATCAAAATGACACTCACGCTTCTCTCGTGTCTCTTCAAATGTTCTCCCTGTGTCTCCTCTAGCAAAACGCTTTTCACACTCCGGAGCAGTGCATACATATCGCCGATGCTCGGTTGCTTTTTGGATCCTTCCACTGCGCCTCATATCTTATTGTTGCAGTAAGAGAAATACAGAACTCGCACAAAAAGTACACGCCCTCCAGCTCAAGTAAAAAGTCGAGTGCAGAGAATCGTTTGGAAGTAGTTTGTCAGAGTTTGCCACGTTACCGAGAAAGTTACCGAGAATTGTTAACGATCGCTTCGTCATTTATACAATTGAATTCGATGGTTCCTGACCGCCCTGGAACTTGAACACCCCGGAGTACCTCAACCTTCTCACCTGCTCTCTCACTCAGCCTACTCTCTCTCTTTCGTCCACAAGACAGATTTTATTCTTTCACTAACAAGGCTTCTTCTTTCTTCCCTGGAGATGATATCAGAGTGCCGAGTATAGAAGCAGAAATAAGATCACCACGAAACGTCTATCAGTCGGAATTTTGGCACCGACGAGTTCAGCGGAAGGATGGATATTCTCGCTTCCAGCTCTACCGAAAAAACGCCAACGACGATGAAGGATGCAGCGTTGCCTTTGCCAGCCACGGAGCCATCTCCAAGAAACTTGAAACATCGACTTCGCATAATCCCTTTCCTTTCTAGCCTCCTCACCACTATCCGAACCAACCTCTCAGCAGGTACACCACCATCCAGCTCAACATCTTACGACGACCACGAAGATCTTAACCCTCAGCTCAATCTGGATTTACAAGACCCCGACACAGTCGTCACTTCGGAAGAAGAAGACGGATTTATCTCCAAGGTCGTCGTGGAGCAAAGCTGGGGCAGTGGAACTCGCAGCAAACCGACCAGTGATAGCTCTGACCCGGCTTCACACGACCACAAAGACTCCAAGTCCGGCGAAACTCAGCCAGTCCACTTAATGAAGACAGCGGACGAACGAGAAGTCGATGTCGATGGTAAACTCAACCTCTACTTGGTTTGCTTGCTGCGATTCTGGTTGAAAATCAAACATTTTTTCTATCCTCGGCCCTTCGACGTCGGGAGCGAGAAGCGATACGATGAAGATGATTGGTATTCGAAGAAGACCATGGCGCAGCTAGCGTCGATCTGGCTCATTCTTAATCTTGCTCTGGGATGTGTTTCTGTGCCGAGGCCCTGGACAATCATAGATTTTATATTCAATGCTGGAGTGCGTGTCGCTTTGTACTTTGCAGTCTGGCATCGACATAGCTAACTTTAGTTTGCAGATCGCACCTGCGTTCACACTTCCTATCTTCGTTATGATCATGTACAACTGGCCGCGCGACCATCGAGTTCTCTATCAATTTTTTGTTGTCTTTTCCCTATGGATGTGGTACGTCTATGATTGATCCATTCGTCTATTCCTCGCTGTCTCACCACTCATCTGGATCATAGGCCTTTCGACCTCATCATTACTATGCGCCTCTGTGGCTTCTACGACTCAAGTATTTCAATCATATCCTGCAATGGAAAAGATTTCATCAATATCCTTTTCTATGCCACTGCTATGCAAGCAATAGGCTTGTTCGGACTACGGTTGGACAGGTTGCCTGCAGCTATTGCGGCGGCAGCGTGGTTTGTCCTGTACGTGTCATGTCTCTAACTTCTATAATTCTATTCAATACCCGTGGACCTATTTGTATTCATTTCCATGTCTGACTTCCCTCTTCTCTTTGCTTCGTAGTTCCTGCACTCTCATAATACCTGACCACACTGTATGGTGGCGATGTATGTCGTACCTGTCTCATTCTTTCTCGTATGCGGACCTCACCCTGTATCTGAACTGCAGCCGTAACAAACTTTGCTATCTTTCATGTCTGTGAGTAACTTGCTGCTTCCTATATTGCAATGTGTTTCTCATGCTAACTATCGTTCTTTGACCAACACAGTTCTGATATGGGTCCACGAACGCCGGGAAAGTGTACGTCCTGTGGTTTTTCTCGTTCTTCAATCTTGTTTCACGTCGATTGATTGACGTGGAACAGTCCGAGCGGCGGCTATACGCTATGAAAGTTCAAGTCAAGATTCAGTACAAGGCCTTACAACGTGCACAGGAAGCTGAACGGAGGACGTCAGAGTCCAAGCATAGGCTGACTTCGTGAGTACATCATTCATATCGTTATTTCTTGGCTTCCCTTCTTCTTGTCAAAGCAAATGGATAGACGACCGAACGTAGTGGTTGATAATTTCCTTTCAGATACGTATTCCATGAAGTAAGGGTTCCACTCAACTCTGCCCTTCTGGCTGCTCAGAGCATGGAGGCTTCCGGGACGATCTCCAAGGCTCTCGAAGTAGAGTTTGACGCGTTGATGGGTAGCTTGACCATGATGTCTCAAGGTGAGTAATCGTCTCCTTTCGGGTTGCGTTTACCATGCACTCGTATCATAAGCCACCCGTGCCCAATACTTTGGATAGGAGCTCTCTCGGAGTATTGGTGTTATCCATTTCCGGATTGATCGCCTGACTGACTGTTTTGACTTCGTACATCCAGTGTTAAACGATGTTTTGGACTTCAATCGTTTGGATAGCGGTCAATTCGAGCTAGTTTCAAAGGTGATTATTCTGCTCAGACTGTCTATAATCAAATCGGCTTACCCGTTCACGATGACAGCCTTATGCCTTTCATCAAAGTAAGCCTCCATCTCCCTCTATCCATCTCCCTCTCAATCTAGTATTCGCTTATCTCACTACCACTACAACCAAGTCTGACGATAACCATTCCTCACAGCGATCCGGGCGCTTTTTATTCCTCTGCAGATGGCAACTGCACAAAAAGGTTTAACGTTACATACGGAACTGGATCCTAATATTGACAAAGTACTTCAGCGAGCTTCAGTCTATATGTATAGTTTCTCCTCACTCAACTCAAGTTTTCAGGTTGCCCGCAGAACAGCCTATCGTGCCATGGGCGAGCGTGAAGACATCATTGAGCGACACCTCAACGAACATCCCGACGTAGATGGCGTTGTCATCGGCGACGAAGCACGGTTTCGGCAAATCATCACAAATTTTGCTAGGTACCTTGTTCACTTCATTCCACCTCTAATCTTTCTAAATATTCACAGTAATGCATGCAAGTTTACACCAGAAGGCGGATCAGTTACCGTAAAGACCAAATTACTCTCCCCATCCATCGATGATACCTTAGGACAACCACGATCTGACGCCGAAACTCATGACAAATTATCAGCCTCAAGATTAGCGCAACACGATTATCATCATGCGACTGGTGATAACGAGACTATCGTCGTGAGGGTTGAAGTGACAGATACTGGGTGTGGGATTGAGGAATCCGAGTTGGCTGGATCAAAACTTTTCTGTGAGTCATCTTTTCTTTACTCTGCCTATTGTTCTCATCTGTTGTTTAGCTGCGTTCAATCAAACAGAACGTGGAAAACAACAAGGTGGTAAAGGGACCGGTCTTGGTCTTGCCCTCGTTCGTAACATCGTCAAACTCAGCGGAGGTCGTCTTGGTGTGAAGTCTCAATCCAACAAGGGCTCAACATTCTGGGTCGAACTTCCTCTTGGTGTTGGTCGGAAGGCGCTGATTCCTTCACCTGGGATCAATATCGTTTCCAGAGTGGACTCACAAGGTTCAGGATCAGACGGCTCGATGGGCTCGGACGTTGCCAAGGTTCGGGCAGCTGCAGCACTTAGAGAATCTCAAATCATTGGAAATGGCATAGTCGGAAACAAGGAATGCCATTCTGGAGATTCATGCCCGGTTCAGCTTCATTTAAGAACGAACAACTCATTAGCGAAAGTGGTCGATGCTGCGGCTTTGAAAGCATCAGATATGTCTTCAGTGATGAGGAGCTCAGACTTGATGCATAGCACGATCATGGAGCAAAGTACGTTCTCGCGAGGTTCATGCGTTTCCATTCCATTCACGCCGTTATTTCAAAGATGGCCGAGTTGATTTAGTCGTTGACTCTCAGACACCTAGTTTTCCATTAGCTTCTATCCGTGCCTCACCGTCAATCATGAACGGAACACCGACACCTAACACTACAGACCTCTCTTTCTCGTTCCATTCTCTCCACTCCAAGGGAACACCTCAAAGCGAGATATCTCAGAATTTGTCAATAGGCAGCGGCTCTGGTGTTAAAACTGGGATCGGATCTTCCTCAGTCGAGGGCGGGGCCGCGGTTGACACTGGGAAGAAACAGGACGACGTGAAGTTGCCAACATCCTCATTGGACTCGGGGACGATGAAAGTGTCGTCTCCTGCTTCACTGGCTTCACTGAGCTCTGGAAAAACCACATGTCGTCCCGCACCGGACAAGGACTCTACAATAAACGGCGCTAATAAATCTCAGCTGCCCAGTGCGGCATCACCTCCAGTTCAACGCCCAACACACATATCTATACCGGCTACACCTCACTTTGACCTCGCTCAGTCTGAAACATTACAAACATTACAATCCACTTCTACAACCTCTCCAAGAACGAATGATACTGGCCCCATAGCATCTCCATTGACTCTCTTCGACAATTCCTTCTCTCGTTCAAACGGCTATAATGCCAATATCTATGATTTTGTTCCCGGCATCTCCTCCACCAAAAGTTCTCACCCTCATCATACCAAGAACAATTCTGTACCAGATTTCAGCTCCAATTTATCGATACTCGTTGTTGATGACGACGGTGTCACTCGGATGATGATGGAGCGGCTGTTAAGAAGACAGGGATGCGAGGTGACGACGGCGGAGAACGGAAGAGTAGCGTTGGAGTTGATATTGGGGGATGTGTGGGATCCGGATATGCTGGAACTGGAGGACACTGTTGGTTCGGTACCAGAGTCTGGAGTTGGAGAAAGGCAGTCAAGAGATCACTCGCGAGCCGGGTCAAGGTCGCATTCGCGGACCATAAGCCTTTCTGAAAGTGTACCACCCGACCTCGCTACAAGTGGACTACCTTCGTCGAAATCCGGAACGTTGACATCAGACCAGGGTCCTGACATCATTTCTCGTGCCATATCTCAAGGGTCTGATCAATCCCAGTCGACAGTGCCAGATATCCCGAGGTTTGCTGTCGTTTTTCTAGATAATTCAATGCCGATATTGAGTGGACAAAGGACGGTGGAAATTCTGAGGCGGTTAAGGAGGCGGGATTTCGTTGTTGGGTTAACTGGTAAGTCATCTCCGTAGTTCAAAACTCTGTTTTGAATATCATTCACGCAGGCAACGCGCTCCTAACGGACCAAGACGAGTACCTACGAGCAGGCGTTGACATGTAAGTGTTTTCCCCCATTTTTTTTGAGAGAATTTAGATCTGATGATCCTTCCTGCTCAGTGTTCTAACAAAACCCGTTATGCAAAACAAATTACTGTATGTCCTGAAAGAAGCAGATGCTCGACGTCAACATCATCTATCTTTACTTTCAAAAGTATCGTAACGCACCTATGGCGCGTTACCGTCCGCATTTTTACCCTCACTTTTCATTGTCATTGTCTATGGGGGCCTCGTGGCTTTGTATGGGCTTTCTTGTGTACATGAGATCAATCATGAAATTTGGAACTACTTACACTTTAATCTCTGCTTTTTCGCTTGGCATATGTTCTACTTCTTTGCCCTCCGTATCCCATCATCAATGCTCCTCTCATCGCATCTATGTCATGTTCTTAATTTTCACTTTGGTATAACTTTGGCCGTAGTCTATTTGTCGCATTTGTATCGCCTAGCAGTATATGTGGTAGGGCTCACCACCCTGAGATTCGCTTTGTTAAAAACAGTCCTCCATTACGATCCTGCTTCAGAAATCGAAAATAGTTGAACAAGAACAATGCCCGTTGATAGAATTTGGATGTATCGGAAGTTAAAACATTCTGAACAGCGGACCAGGAACGGACCGAACCCTTTCTTTGGACTATCACCGTGACCTATGAATATTTGAATGTTCGTCAACCTCTGGCACTCTGCTTCTTTCTCTACTACATATACCGATTATGCTTTATCGCTGCTCGGGTCGGATAGCTCAGGCCGCTTACTAGGTGGAGTTCGTGCAAACAGTAATCGTTGTATTGGAATGTGCGACTGCAGTATCTATCGGTACATATCCATCAGAACCTTCCTCAAAAAAATTTACATAACGACAATAAACCGGAGTACGGAAAGAAGGAAGGAAGTGGGTTCGGGCCCGTTGACAAAACATATCTGACCTCTGCTGTTGGGGTTTCGACATTGGATTTTCAATATTGCCCAAATACGCTATCTGACCTTTCAATATATTCGCGTCCGTTTCTCAAGCTTGTAATTCTCCGGCGCTCATCTCTGGGACCGCACCGCATAATATATTTTATTTTCCTTTCCCCATGTGATGATGGATTCCTCGAATCTCTGGTACTCATTTAAAAAGCGAGAGAATCCGCAGCAATAAACAACTCCAATATTCTCCACTTTTCTTCCTTCTTATTCTCGATCCTTATGGATTCCCTCAACTTTCAGCTCACAATCACTGCTCTTGTCTTGATCGCATTCTGGCATTTCCTACGCAAGAAATCTAGGGTATTGGATAACATCTCTGGCCCACCCTCCCCGTCATGGTTCAAAGGTATGGTTACAATAGCACCCGGTTCATTCTTCGCTCGACTTCCTTTTTCGTAGGCAACTATGAGCAAGTGTTCAATCCTGATGCCTGGGGGTTCCACGAGTTCCTTGCCAAGGAATGTAAGTTGGAATAGTTGTACATGATTGTGAACACGATCTAAAAATTTTCTCAGATGGTAGCATGACGCGCCTTCATGGTCCTTATGGGGTAAGGAATCATTTGCAACTTGAGGTTAGGCCGAACTGAGGGATTCTCAGACAAATACGCTCTACACTTTTGATCCCAAAGCGATGCAAACTGTGTTGGTCAAAGTACGAAGATTCTTAACTCCATACTCGGCTTTGATTTTGATACATGTAACTTTTGTCTTTTCATCTAAAGGACCAGGACGTATTTGAGGAGGACGACGGATTCATCAAGTCTGTTCTCAGAATCACTGAAATTCTTGAACTAATCATTTCAACACATGCAGAGGGAATCTTCTGATCTTCGGAGAAGGGCTGCTTGGTACATTGGGTATGTCGTTGCCATTGATTGTTCAGTAGTCTCACTGAATATGATGAAACTAAGGGCACCGACATCGCAAACAGAGGAAAATGCTGAATCCTGTCTTCTCCGCCGCTCACATGCGAGAAATGAGTACAGTTGATTATTTCTCCGTTTGAAGTAAAAATGACATGCTTCTCAAATAGTCCCGGTGTTTTTTGAGGTCACCCACAAGGTAGTCATTCATTACCGTACAGTATATAGCTAATGTCTTGCTCATCGCCGCATTGTATACCTAGCTGGAAGCCGCGCTCGAGAATCAACTACAAGCTGGATCTTCTACACAAGAGGTATGTTAACAATTTACGTTCAAGAGATCATAGCTTTTGATCTATTGTATGTTTGTAGGTTGAAATCCTTTCCTGGATGGGTCGTACGGCCTTGGAGTTGATGGGACAAGCAGGCTTAGGTTATTCATTTGATCCCTTGACCGATGAAGAATCCGCGCATCCATACAGTCAAGTTATAAAGGAACTACTGTACGTCAAATACTGGAATATTCCTGCCATTTTTTTCATATATTCGGGGGGTCTAGTCCTACCTTGATTCGTCTGCAGTTCTGGCAATTTAACGTCCTCCCCTATGTATCCTGGATCGGCACTGCAGGTTTTCGTCGCCGCATAGTCAATATGTTGCCTTGGAAGGATCTACATCACATGCGAGACATGGTTGATTACATGCACAGTGTTGCAGAACAGATATACAAGATTAAGCTACGTGCATTCGAAGCTGGTGATGAGGCGGTAGCCTCGCAGATTGGAAGAGGGAATGATCTTATCAGCATCCTCAGTGAGATCGCCTTCATTTTTGCTGATAGCTGATAGCGTGTCTCATTTTGTTTACCAGTGAGGGAAAACATGGATGCTTCCGAGGACGATCGTTTGGGGGACACTGAAGTTATAGCTCAGGTTAGTATCAGCTCGTACGATTACTATATGAATTCTGACTGTGGCTCCACCTCGTCAGATGAAGTGAGAAGAACAGTACTTGCTACTTACGAACGTCTGAATAAATATTTATAGTACCCTTATTTTTGCCGCCATGGACACAACCTCAGTAAGTCTCATTAGGAGCTTACTTCTCCCAGCGTGTTGAACGTTCCCTTTCCTCCAGAGCGCTATGGCCCGGCTGCTTCATCTTCTTTCACGACACCCCGAGGCGCAAAAAAAACTCCGTCAAGAGCTGATTGAGGCAAAGCGCGTGAAAGACGGACAAGACTTCTCCTACGAGGAGTTGACCGCTTTGCCATACCTTGACGCTGTCTGTCGAGAAACCCTTCGTTTGTGAGTCTTTACTTTGAGAATTGTTCGATTCTTCTCTTTCTTATCGCGACAATTTCCGACAAGGTACACCCCGGCCTCAGCTGTCACTCGGAGGTGAGAGCGCTTCATCTAGGTGATCTCAAGAATATTTCAATCTCAGCCTCAATAGGGCCCGCCAAGACGCAATCATACCTCTGCTCAAACCCATCATTGGATTAGATGGTACTGAAATACATGAAGTAGCCGTTCCGAACGACACCGCAGTCATCGTGTCTCTTTCCAACTCGAACAGGAATTCAGATTTGTGGGGTGAAGGTAAAAAGGTGTTTCATAAATGTAGTATGGATGAAAATTAATGCACGCTAGATGCCGACGAGTGGAAGCCAGAGAGATGGCTTTCTCCGCTGCCAAAAGCCCTGGTTGAGGCACGCATCCCAGGGGTATATTCCCATTTGTAAGTTGGAACTTGTAGAAACGCGGGATCGCCTTGGTTGATTTCCGGTGTTCCCAATTTCTAGGATGACTTTCCTTGGTGGTGGACGCTCCTGCATGTACGTAATTCAACCTGGACTCGTTGAACTGAAAAAATCTAACACCATTATCACTGACAGCGGCTTTAAGTTTTCGCAGTTAGAGATGAGTAAGTCCCCCCATCAATCAAAGAATAGTTGCTAGAGTTGCTTACATCGTACAGAAGTTGTCATATCCACCTTGGTGGAAAAATTCCAGTTCTCTCCTTCGTCTAAAGATTCCGAAATCTTTTGGCAAATGAATGGCGTGACAGCGCCCGTTATTGGAAAAGACAATCATCCACAACTGCCCATGAACATCAGCTTGGTAAATTGATGTAGAAAATGGTATAATATGATTATTGGGTTTGATTGTTCGCCATTACAGTGTATAGACAGCCTGGTACTTTCCTTAAATCGTCTGTATCTTGACAAGCTCTTGTATTTTCACAATTTCCAGTTTCTTCTTCGAACCTTCTGAACCAAATAGATATCTGACTGCTCAATGAGATAAAGGAAATGGAGTGACCGTCCCGTGCTCTCACCTCTGTCAGAAATGCAAGTGTCCATAAATGTCACAGCAATATTATAGTCGACAAAGACTAGATATGCACAGGATGGTGCTGCCGGTCTTATCCGATGCTTCAAAGTCGTCCCATGTGTCAGAATCGAATGCGTCTTGCGTTCATTGTCCTTAGTTGAATCGTGAGATACTTTTCCAAGTCGATCTACCCTCAGTAGAGAGGGAGGACAAGGACCTCCAGGGGATCATAAATGTTTGACATTTGTTCGGACCTGGAAGCCGATAGCGAACGATGATAGTTTCTTCATTTAATGTGCTGCTCCAATGGAAAGCGAGCGCGCGCACATGCAATAATAAAGCACCACGACTCTGAAAGATAACAGTTAAATCACCATGAGGAGAAGCACTAAGCACACGATTGTCAGCTTTCATGAGAAAATACGACTCACTTTTATTATGAGGGTGCCTGTCAACAATCACTTGCTTTCCTCTCCGCCAGTTCAAGGTTCAAGAAACGAACCCCTGCGACACCCTAAAAAGTCCCTTAGTTTACTCCCACGAATCAGTGCCAAAACTGCGGAATTTGATGTACATCAGCTTCAGTAGGCATGATGTTTAGTCCGTTGAGAAGTTTGAAGAAGACTGTAGTAGTCCTCATTCAAGGGAATAGATGAGCTGAGGCAGGCAAGTAGAAATTGTTCCGGGGGGAGGAAACGGGTTTTTGTCGAGAGACAAGTAGGAATGACTGGACAGCATATTGCTCAGGTCCTTTGTATCGTCGCCTGAATCTTCTTTCGTTTCCACCTTCCCACTCGGCCATCTAGCCATTATTCAGATTGAACTAAGTCACCGCATGCTGCCCAGCGTGCCCCAACGGTCTGGGGAAGTAGTTCGCAAGCATAGGTGCAATAATCGGCGTGAGTGACGTTGTATTAGAAGGACCAGTACACCGTAACGAACGTGGCTTGCACATACGGTCTTTGAAGGACGGAAGATACGGAGGAAACGTGCAGGGTGATCACAGTTGGCATTGATGGAGCTTTTGTGTGCATCTGTGAAACAATTTGGAAGGGGAACAAGTTTTCGGCTATGAGTTTGAGGCGGAGCGGGGTTGGAGAGGAATCAAAGGCAGTAAACATCTCTTGCTGAGCATCACTAGCCGCTCATAAGGGAGGTCCAACGAGAAATCTGACTCGGAGATCCGTGTAGAACGCTGATGCCCCTCCGGGTATAACATGAAGTAGCTTGAACTTCGAGGAGTGTCACTATCATTCGCCAAAAGCGAAAGCTTCAGTATCGTTTGTGAAATTTCAAATGTATCAATTCGCATGTACGAGCGGCCTAAATAGTCGAAATTCTATGATCACCCAGGGAAGGAATGTGATGTTAACTGAGTAGGATCCTCGGCGGTCACGGTTCGTCAGGGAATATTGTCTTTCCGCCTATTCAATCCCTGCCTTTGCCGTCTGCTCTCAAAGAATCGTACAAGATGAAGAAAGTAAAATTCCCTTGTTCGCGACAACTGCAAAGTCACCGAATGCTCTCGCTGCAGTAGAGGTGGTTGGGCCCGGCTGTTCCCTCGTGGGACCCCGCCTCAGGCGGAGCCGCGTATCTATCTATCTCTCAGGAATCCTGTTTCAATAAACCTCACCATCGCAATTCATGGCCAATTTCCTGAGACTCCCGACGGATAGAGGATTTGGGATACCATGATCATACGAGTTGATCAAAGGTGTTGATGCTGGCTTTGGCGCAGATGCTCGTCAAGTATGCGATGAGCTACATAAGTGGCATCCGACAATAAAGCAAAGGCATTTGTCCTTGAAGAATGGAACAACGTTTCCACGGAAAGATTCAAAAGCAGACTATAGTTCAGCATTAAATGTCGATGTCACTGATGCACGTAGACAGTACAAGTCCTGTTTCGCGAAGAGGAGCGAACCAGTTCAAACATGATTGCGATTTCGCACGCTTGGACCACTCCGTAAGCTCCACGTCCCTTCATGGCCTTCATACTCCTCTAATTATTTATTTTACATACTGCCTTCAAAATCAAGACCACCATCTCCATGCTACCTTCAATGCAAAGTTGAGAAATTTCTTTATGATTGCTCGTGACGTTCACAAAAGATTCTTGCACACTGCAACATTACCTGAACAATTTCTTGAAATTTGGCCATCACTGTCGAAGTCGCTCGAGAACCAGGTCAACGATGTCTCGGACGGAGTATTGGGATTCTTAATCCCTCACTACTATTTTCGACGCTGCGATAGTCGCTGCTCAAGTAAACACCTCCCTTGAACTCTGCTTCGTCAATGGTGCTGTTATGTACTCAAACTGCGGCCTCAATTCGCAATCTAATCGTTCGACAAATTATTCACAAGCATCCGGAAGGATCAAGAAGGAGGTGGAGAAATACTTGCCAAGCGGAACGCTGGACCCAAATCGATATCAGAAGCTGAAGAATCCACGACCCTTCCTTTACTATCTTCCGGATCCCCAGTAGCCTAAGCTACACAATAAATGATGTACGCGGCATGCCAATCTCGTATCTTCCTTTAGCTAACATTGAGACCACCGTTGCAGGACCTCGTCGGCCTCGTCTATGATATGAAGCAGATCCTCGCCCTATATCCTTTCAGGCGCCTCCGCTTTGGGATTATTCAAAATTGTGCCGTTTGACTCTGGTTTTTTAGTCACGCAACTTTATTGAGAACAAAGCTATTCCATTTCATGACTGTACGTACTCAACGTTTGATAATGTAAACCAATCTCTCACTACTGGTCTGCGTAAAGGATCGCCCGACTGTCGCTTTCTTGCATGTAGACCAATCTGATCGAAGACGACGATATCGATACACACTCCTACCCTAATCGACGTCCTTTCTGATTCTGCAGCTCATTGTCCTCTCGGTCTCGCAACTAGAGTATGGAAGGTGGTCCACTGGTGGAATAATACGCGTTCCCCAAAATATCTGGCTGGAGTTGGATTGCCTAGAGCACAAGGTTCGGGAGGCGATTTTGGCTAAAGAGGATCATTTCGGTGGACCACTCAAAAAATGGGCATATCAGAGAATCTATGACACAGTTGCATATTTCAGGGTTTGCGTTGACAAATGATGTTTTTCGGTCAACTTCCCACCCTCAAAAGTGCCGTCTGCTGTTAAGAGACAAAGCGTACCGACGAGCATGCTTTTCTATTTTGCCCTCCGAGTCTATATGCCCTCATGCAGTCAAGGTCATTCAGCCCTGGATCCAGCATAGGAAGACGCTAACCAGAATACAACTATTATCATTATCGATACAGATATGAACAATGTATTACATTTATCCACGACGAGCGAAGTCCAATCAACGTTTTCGAAGTGGTTGAAGCGGCGAACGGTTTGTCATGTCTACTGCAACTTATTCCAACTGAAGAGCTCATTTTTAGTTTTTTACATGCTTCGTAAAGCTGTATGGGTTTGCACGGCGACATAAGTGGAGATAATGTCCATTGGTATCAGGCCGGGTGTGTGAGACTACTTGGAGACTTCGAATATGCCGCTTGCTTCACTAATTTTTGACGTCAACACGACGGACATGCGGACGGTTTTTATGTATATAATTCTTCACTACAGGGCTTGAGCATGACATGAGGCTGTTCATTGAGCGAACGTCTCTCATCAAAAACCATCTTCAACAGATATCTGTTCACCCCACTAAACGCAACTAACGACCAGAGTCTGTCATCGACGCATCGACTTCGACCAACGTCGGTGAAGATTTGCATACCCACAACAGTTCATTCCGCCTGAAATCTCCTGCATGCCCTGGAATCACTTATAGATCTTTGATTCACACAGATTGGAAAATCGGAAGCAAAGGCATGCGCAACTGAAGACTGTTACTGTAACTAGTATGTTGCTCATTTTCAATTTCTCTCTGTCAGCTGCACCATGAGACCTCAAGAACAATAGCTGTAATCTGTCAGTGCTAAGCGTTTCATTCTGTGAATATCTTTGCCTTTTAAAGGAAATCTGAAGGTCTATATGAAAATACAGTGTATTTGTGTATATACGAAGGATTAGACTGAACCTGAACTGAACATCTTCAAAGATCTGGGCCTCTGGAATCCACTCTTCAATAAATAATTTCTTCTATTTCTATCCCTATTGGAAGATGCTTGATTCCTCCTCCATTACCAATATACTTCTGGAGCACTTTAGCCATAGTTTGTGGTATGGTGGTACCATCCGGAGCATGAGTACAGCACACTCAAGTCTAGTTTAGGAAATTTAACCTGCCCTAAAGTAGCAATCTTCATATTTAGGTAATCAGACATGATTTTCCTATAAACTTTGATTTCTTTTCCCCATTACTTCACTCAATTATCAGATCTCTCATGTCCTCCTCCGGATCCGATCTTAGTGACTTCTATGATGAACCTCATAATGAGATCAGGTCTACTCAAAAACAGAATGGGGAGTATCAGCTGAGCCAGCAACTCAAGTATCCCCGGGCAACAATATTTACTGTCCAAGATTTGTATGGTGAGTTTTTGTTAAGCTCCTGCCCCTTTCATCTATGGAAATCTAGTACTTTGCAGAGAAAATACATAATAATGACATTGATCTATCACCTAAATACCAGAGAAGTAGTATCTTTTTCTAAGGTTCTGCTTTCCTGGTTACTGATCACGGAACTTTGTAGATGTTGTTTGGAACAAACAAAAACAGATCAATATGATTGATTCAATCTTGTCCAACTATTACATGCCACCAATTCTTTTTTGTAAATATCTATGATCTCTGTCAAACTTTGTTGCTAACTGTTTTCTCCCAGCGGCATCCATTGACGACAGGGATGGCGCAGAGCACCGTACCTGCATAGATGGGAAGCAACGGCTTACCAGTATTCACTTGTGAGTCTAGTCCCTACATTTTGACCAAACTGACATGAACATGTTTGAATTTGTTCCTGTGAATCATCTTCTACCTTCTACCCTCCATGACTGTCAAATTTGTTTTGGGCGAACCCATCCTTCAGGTTCATGGATGGCTTGGTGAGTCTCGATCTACTATCATGTATATTCTGCTCTCACCATGGATGATGGATCCCCAGATACCACGTCAGTCCTTCAACTTTGTGGAAATAACAATAGTACTCATGCTATGTGTTACATTCAATATCATTTCCAGATAAGGATTCGTGAGTTGTTTGGTCTCTATGAAAAAGTCAGACATAACCTTATTTCCACCAGTGTGACAGGTCAAAAATACTGGTACAAGGAGATCGAACCTACCAACGACGAACCGACAAAGACCAAGAAGCAATTACTTCCAGAAACATTACGCAAGATGTTTGCTAATAAGCACGTTGTCTGCACTGAATATATAGGATTGACTTCTTTAGAGGAGAGGGATATTTTCAGCGTCTGTTTTATCGAACCGTTCCTGATATACAGTGTATTGATGCGCACTTATCTACTTAGCGGGTACAGCAAGGCAAGCCTTTGAAGAATTCCGAAAAGTTGGGTGCCACCAGTACGAATCGCACCATATTCATTCGTAGTCTGCTTGAACGCTACGTTACCGCCGAGACGCTTTGCGCGATTCCTTGGAAAACGTCGCGCGGTGTGGACAACTTATGCTTCTCACATGCTGTGTACTGCATGGCGAAGTGGTCAATTGATCCAGAGGAAGTCAAGGATCATCGCTCACTAAAAGTTTTGGGAGAGTGGTTAGCAGGTGAGAATGTGATTCATTGTGTACTCATGGTTTCTTGTTGGCTGAATCGGAAGCTACATAGGCTCTCAGGAAATCGCTGATGATGTGAAATCTCAAGTTCACGAAGCTTATGATATATTCGTCAGATTGGCTACCTCACCAAAGTATTCTGCGCCATTTCACAAGCAAAAGAAGGTCGACTCGTTGTTTTAAGTGACGAGAAAACGGATTAACCAATTCACAGGTCTCTCCGGTGGAAATGATATTCATTCCACTCCTCATCTTTGTACATGGTGTCTTGCCGTCCAAGGAGCTGCGGTATAATCTACGCGAGCTCTGTGCGCACATCGCTAGCATGCGTCGTTCGGTCCGTGAGCACTTCCGCGATGTTTGTTCTAATCTTCGCGTCGGAAAGTTCCTCACCAACTTCATCAAAAACATAGAGAAGAAGAAGGCGACAAACAATCGAAAACGGAACTTCGAAAAGGAGGAGGCTGAGGACGATCAAGTAATAGTGGCCACCACCTCCGCTCATTGGAACTTGTCCATTCCGGAGACACCAACAATGTCGTCTTCGAATTCTAACACGGCAGCACCTTCGACGGAGTCTTTGAGCACTAGACCCGCGCTGAAGAAGAGGAAGTCCACCCTAGATTCCGCAACTTTTGGTCTAAATTGTACTTCTCCACGCCAGGCGTTGAACCCTTCCATGCGGATGACCAGCTCCCTCAAATCCCGCAATCCCCTCTCGTTGCCGCCTTCTGGCTCTCGCTCCACAGGAGTGCTTCAGGAAGCCGTATCGCTTAAAGTGCTTTGAAGACGAGTAACTCTTGGCTCTGACGTTCGCATGGGCTGAATAATCCGAAGTCATTGCAAATGACCCTCCTATTGACGATACTACAGGTCATTGTCGTCTATGATTTCATTTCCTTCCGCTTGTTAGATTGCAGAAACTTTGTACCAAATTTCCAAACTTACTTTCCAATTTCCTTGTTGATACCGGTCTAGCTTTACGATATATTCTACTACTAGTAGTCACAGAGAGTTCTTACATTCGCTAAACAAATATTGCTACTAGTTGCTAACTCCTGTACCTTCACCGTTATCCAGGTTGACTTTTCAACCCGGTGCTCCCTTTGTCATTTGAAGTTCTCTCATGCGCTTCCGGCTGTTCTAATACGACTTTGATTTTACCTGACGCGAACTTCATCCCCTGTCACCTCCTCCGCGAACTCTCTTCTACTGCTCAAAGTCTCCAATCATTCTGTGGATTCAAACTCTCTATTGATAGGACACCCACGCAAATAGTCGCGCCATCGAACTTATCGCATTAGTAACACATCAAGACACTGGAAAACCGGGGTTATAAGTACTTACTGAGTTACTCATTCTAAAGCAAGGAGAGAGCCCGGAGAAATCCGATCTCCGAGGAACATGCCACGTGAAGAATTGCCGGATATTCAATTGACCGGTGTCGAATACAGTTCGCAATCTGCCACTACCATGTACCCTTTTGGTTTATCGTCTCTTGTCACTGTACTTTCATCATGTCTGCTCCAGGTAATGCTTTTATGCACCCTTCATTCCTCTGCTAAGCTTCGTAAATCTCTGCTAGATCTCAAAGTTGCAGTGTTATTCGATGTGAAAGACAAAATAGGTTCGACTCAATTGAAACTTTCGACCGTTTTTTTTGACGAAGATCTTCGACAGTTTTGGTTACAGGAGGGAGCGCAGGTATTGGAAAAATGATAGCACTGGGTGAGCATATGTGTCTTTCTTTGTCGAAATCGACTGCTTGATAGTTGTTCTTTCAAGGCTTCGCTCAGAATGGCGCGAAGGTCTACATCGCTTCCCGGAAGGAACCTCAACTGAAAGAGGTATGGTACAGTCGCTGTTTTTGTGGACGTCTCCTGGTAGCAGACACTGACATTCTTTCTTGATACTCTAGGCTGTCGCAGAGATCAGCGCTGGGTTGAAGAACGCGACAACTCCGGGATCAGTATCCTACATAGTCGCTAACATTGGTGTGAGTACGTTACATATTTTGTCTCTTTCAAAAATCCTAATACGTCCCTCCTACACTTAGTCCAAAGCTGGTTGTAATGCTCTCATCGATGAATTCAAGAAGCGTGAATCAAAGCTTCACGTCCTGGTCAACAACTCCGGTATAACCTGGGGCGGGCCTTACGAGGACTTTCCAGAAGAAAAGGGCTGGGATAACGTGTTCAATGTGAACGTCAAGAGTATATTTTACAGTGCGTTCTCCTTTTGTGCTTACTATTCTACCTTGACTAACTCGTTCTATCTTAGTGACAGCAGGGTATGTCCTCGGAATTCCTCAAGCGGGTACAGGAATCTCACGTCGTTCGCTTCCAGACTCACAGAATTGTTATGCAAGAACTCGCATAACCGAGACCCGGCGCGAGTTATCAACATATCTTCAACTGCCTCGGTAGATCCCAGAACTGAAGGAGCCTTGAGTAGACCTGGAAACGGGACCTGGAGTTGTAAGTCCAAATGGAACTCTTCTTGCTATCTTCCCCACCTACCGCGGACTTCCAAGATCAACCAAGTAAAGCCGCAGGTAAGTCTCATGGGCTGTATCCGCCAGGTTTGTCGCTAAACCCAGATATTAACACAGTGAACCACCTTACCTCCCAGCTAGCACTCAAACTAGCACCTCGACATGTCACGTCAGTTTCGTTCCTATCGTGCCTTGCGATATACTAACATCCTTTTGCCCTAGTGTGAACGCTATATTACCTGGGTACGCTGCACTCACTAATATCATCTCAAGATGTATTCGCTCATCTGACACGCTCAATCAACAGAGTCTTCCCTAGCAAGATGACCGCGTTCGGTCTTCAAACCTCTGGCGCTGCAGCATTTATAGCGAATCAGCCCACAGGTAAGGAATTTACTGTATCATGTTCAACGTGTTAACATGTGGGTCATCGAATTTCAGGACGATACGGAGCGACGGAGGATATGGCTGGCATGGCGTTGTTCTTAGCGTCTCCAGCATCTGCCCATGTCACGGGTGCTCATATCATTCTCGATGGTGGAGCGAGGTACACGAAGCTGTGATTCTCTAGAGTATCGACTGTACGAGTATGTCAGGTAGCTTAAAAATCAGTTCAGCATAATAGGTCTCATAATTCAAAACATTGTTCTGTTCGTAATCCTCACCACACTCACCTTCCGCGTAAGCATGCACTGGAAGCTATCGACGACATCCTCCTCAGTAAGGTTCGCAGTAAATAAAACAAATACATTCAAATATGTAGTCCAACATGATATAGCATCTGAATAGTGGGCTGGTTGTGTAGGTGAAGTCGCTCAAAAGTAAGGAAGGTAGTTCATGAGTGCATAGTTCGAACAGTAAGGGAGGGAAAGGGTATATCAAGGAAGACGAAAGGATTTATGATATACTTAATATTATGACAACCGAACTCCCAACCTTTCCCCTGTATTTGAAGCACGAAACCCGAGGGACCACGGAGTCTACTTTTCTGGAAGGTTTTCGTGTATGGCTTCCATCAGCTCTGAGGCTATTTTCGCATTCGCCAGCTAGAGATGAGGGATGGAGTTAGTTTGTTGAATCCAACATGCAAGCAAAGAACGGCTCGCCCTTAAATTGTAATGCGTCGTCTGCTGCCCATTCTCGATAACACTGAACCTCACATATCTCGGGTCCTGCGCCAAAGTGCACTTCATACCGGCGAATAGCGTCACATTGAGGAGGAGGGTGTACACAGCTTCTTTGCGCATTACTGCCGTATGGATAAAGTCAGTAAACAGGAGATGTGTAATCGGGAAATGGAAATGACAAAGACATGGAAAACTAACCCAATCGAGCTCCGCCTCCATCTTCCGCGCGAACGTTGATTTTTAATTGCCCTGTTCCACGTTCCTTCCAAGCGCCGTCAGCTAGAGCAAACAACTTTCCTCGGACTTGATGGATTGTCTCTTCGAGCTCCTCGCCAGTCGACACTGAAAGTCCGAGGTGAGAGTCAAGAAGAGGAAGCTGGGAGATAACACGAACCTTCCTGCTCACTTAGATTCACCTTCGGTCTAGCTTCATCCCATTCCTCATCCCCATTGACCTCCTCTTCATCACTGCCTTTACCAGCCGCACGAAGCTTTGCACCAAAAGAAGCTACGTCAGAAGACGAAGACGATCTACTGGAACCTTCGCCTCTGCTAGGGGAGAAGACATCGTGTCCGTCTAAGGCAGACTCACTCAACGTCGAATTGTCCCCAGAATTACCAGCTCCTCGGGCCCTCTTTGTCAAAGGCAGGGCAAAACTTTGAACGCCACCGCTGGCATATACTGTGAATGCACTACTGCCTCCTTTACTGTTAGATCCTACCGAGGATCCAAAAACGCTTGTGGTAGTAGTAGACGAGTGACTGGAGCGTGAAGGGGATCCTGCTGCACGTCGGGACTGGCTTTTCGCGCGTGCACCGCCTCCGAGGATGTTTGTCGAACCGAATGTTCCACTACCACCGAGAACAGAAGACTTGGATTTTGCGACTGAAGCGAAAGGGGATGAGGATGAAGCGAAGGCTTCGAATCCTGTACGTTTGGTACCCGCGGATGGTAGAACATCTGCTCTTCCGAGAACAGGGGAGGATGGTAAAGGTGTCTTGATCGCTGAAGAGGAGACGGAGTTTGCAGATGATGAAAAGATGTTTTGACCTTTGATGGATGCGAATGGGGAACTTGTGGATGCATACGCCATAAAACCACTAGACGATGCCTATATAACAGTAAGAATCGTGTGTCAAGGGCTGCAGAGAGATTAGTTGTACAACGCGAATCTTACCTGCTTTATTGAGGAATGCTTCTCTTTTTCTTCGGGTGGTGGCGTTGGCCGCTTGGGAACTCTCGGATTATCATCCTTGTCGGAATCGTCCCGGGGGCGTTTAGATGATGCTTCCGCACCCGTCCCGAGCATATTTGGAGTCGATGAAAGAGTATTTGATTCCAGTCCAATGGGAGGTCCAGCACTTGGACCTCGCTCAGGGTACTTTCTTTTCAAGTGAAGCGCTGCCTCTACCGTAGGATTTGCATCTGAGTCCCTTCGAGACGCCGAAGCGGATGAAGATGTAGACGGGAGTGCCTCTTCTTCCATGTTTTTGTCCTCTTCAACACTAGTCATAGGGAGTTTTGGAATCTTCTGACTTTGCGCGTCGCTTTCGTCTGCATCCGACCCTTTCTGCTGCTTCTTCATATTCCTCCAGGTAAGATCCTCCACGCCCTGGCTGATCTGCCGAACTTTAATCTTCATTTCTTGAGGAGGGGACGCAGCAATTCCGAGATCTGCTTGGGTCAACGGTGGCGAATTAGTGTTGGAGTCGTCCGAACTATTGGACCGGGATCGATGATGGCCGGAAGCCTGACTGTCTTCTTCTTCGGCGGTTGCATCCAGTTCAACAGAGCGATGAATGCGGTTCTTTTTCGCTGGAGTGCGAGTGTAGTCTTTTTCCTCCTTGGAATTATGCAGCATGGAGTCCTATGGCGCAAATAAAGGTTAGTTGGTGCGGAAGAGATCAATTGGATCATGGACGCACCGAGACTGTATTTGACTTCGCACTAGAACCAGTTACAGGTTCTAAGGAGACCTCACGTTCTCTCTTTCTAGATAGTTTAGTTTCTAAGGCGATTGAAAGCCAGGACATTCAGCCTGTCGAACATGGACAAGAACAATACAAAACTGACCAGAATCATCGAAGTTGGGCGACGGAGGAGTTACCGGAGAGCCTCTTCCAGCATTGTCGCGTAGATTACTCTCAGTTTTTGCACCAGCATGATTGGTACCGTTACTATCCGCTTTATCTATGGGCATAATCGTTGTCGATGCCTCGAGCTGACGCTGTGCTTCGTCTTCAAACATCAAGATAGAAGAGAAGAAGCGCTGTAAACAGAGACGACGTTGAGTAAAAGAAAGAAGAGTCGTCAAACGCTGATAATAGTGGTGGTGGTAGTTGAGAAAGCGTTCGGAACAGTGTATAGGAACGCGGCCATTCAACGTAACAGGTGGATTCGGGCAAATCCGATAGACTCGTTTTTAGGCAGGCGCTTGTGAGCCGACAATCCTCTCTGCCTGGCTCATGCAATCAGATTTTCTTGGAATCATTAATCATTATACTCGCTGGTATTGTTCTCGTCCGCACTCAAGATCAATCTCAGGTTTCTCAGATATCAAAACTCACTAGTTTGCGATCCATAAGTCGTCTGGGGGCCCGAGTAGGTTTTACCTATTTATGGTGCTCCGCATTGACTGTTCCTCATCATAGTGTACACGTCTTGATCCAAATGGAACAATTTATAGGACAAATTGTGTGCTACAATGGATCGTGGTACTCATAAACTCTATCTTTGCCTCCATTCTTCCCAGGTATAATATACGTCGACAGTCCAATCGAGCGATCATAAGTATCGTAACTTGCCGCTAAACGTTTACCGCCACCTCCAGGAAGATCGACGACGAAGTTGGGTGTGGCAAAACCAGCGATTGATCCACGGATATGTCGTTCAATCTCAAGTATTGTAGACAGCGGTGTCCTCAAGTCCTCAACCCCGGAGACCATATCACCCTGGTAGACATAGTACTAAGCCACACAAAGGTAAGCAATGAGAATTCAAATGAAAAGCGACATGGGCACTCACTGGCATGATGTTATTGTCAGCTAACATCCTTACCAACGTCTTCATTGTCTCCACATTGTCGTTAACGCCGCGAAGTAAGACGGTCTGATTCCGTACCACCACTCCCTCCTCGTACAGTTTCTGTGCCGCCAGTCGAGTGATCCACGTCACCTCTGCTGGATGATTGAAATGAGTATGCAATGCCACCGACTTACCTAACCGTCGTGCAGTGGCTGAAACATCGATGATTGCCTGCGTCCATGCGTCTTCTGGAGTGAGTATGCGGGAAGGACACACTGCCAGGCCTTTACTGGCAATGCGAATGCGGCGGATATGTGGGATGGAGAGCAGCCGCTCTGTGATGCTGCTGAGATGTTCTGGAGGAACATAATAGCTATCTCCTCCAGAAACGACAATGTCGGACAGTTGTGGTGTGCGCTCGATGTATTCGAACATGCGCTCCCAGCGGCGACGTGTTGGCGAGAAGGATCTCTTGCTAGACAATTCTTCAGTAGGTCCCCCCACAGAGTAAGAACGCGTACAGAATCTGCAGTAGACTGGGCAGACGGAGACGGCTGATACAGGATTTCAAATCAGATCATCGAAACATTGCTCAAGCAGGGGAAAAAATCTACCAAGGAACAGGGCTTTGTCACGGTACCGATGGACTAGTCCTGGTGTTGGAGAATCTTCAGTCTCATTTAGAGAGTCTAATTGAAGCTTCGGATGATCCTTGACGAAAGATGATTTCAAAGGGATGAATTGGCGTCGAACGGGGTCCGAGAGGGGCTTTGTCCAGTCAATAACACACATGATGTGTGGGGTAATGCGGATGGACATCGGGGCGAGTGAGATTCCGTTTAATACGTCTTGGATAAAGACATCCCGCGTTCGGATGTGGCGTAAAGGCTCAGGTGCGTCTTCATCGTAAGGAATTTCTTCTGGAAGGACTGTATGTAGGAACCTGACGAGCTTTTCTTTCCCCTGAACAGTGTTTGCAATCTAGGGATGGATGCGTTGAGCTTAAAAAGATTCTTATATCTGGTCTGGAGATTTTACCTGCCAGCTGTAATCCAAGAATTCTGTCTCTGTGACATCCTTCCAGATTGGAATCTTGTACCAGTAAGGTTCACGACGTATGACTCCGCCATGTCCACGCAGTGGAGAGGGCTCTTCGTTATTGACAGCAGTGTCCACAGTATACGAACGACCGCGATAAGGGAGCAGAGGACTTCGATAAATTGAGAGGACAGAAGGACGAGGAAATTGAAACCTTGGGAACGGCGTAAATAGACGAGGGCTAAGCATCTTCAGGCTGACTGAAATTTACAAGCTGGTACAAGCGTTTTTATGAACATTGGTCAAGTACTAGCTCGGTTCTTCGATTCACTCGGTTCTCTTCTCCCAATGTACAGCTTGACTTCGTGACTATTTCCGCAGGTAGTTATATCTACCTGTGTCTAATCTTAATTCAAAGAATGTAGTCAGTTACAAAATGGCTCCGATGTAGCAGCCTACATCACTTGCCCCAAATCATTTTCTCTGTTGAATGATTTGAGTTTCGCCCTCAGGCTTGTAGATGATGTATTGCAGCAAGATCTACATAAGTGTTGGAATAGATTGTTGAGGGAGCGGCGTTACATACAAAGTATATACTGTTCGAACCAGTCCTATGTAAGTACATGGTGCAAGTTGGCGTAATTTGCATGCAGTAGACTCGGCGTAGAATAATAGGATTTTAAATTTATTTATTTGCGCGGAGATTGTCTCTGAGACAATTCCGATGGCCTCATTTCCAGAGTTTGATTAGGATCGACCATGATCCTTCTTCTCCAAGGGGCATTCGGCGCCAGAAGCCACACTCCCAAAGTGATTGTGATAGCACCCATTGTGATACCAGGCAAATACCTCAACCCACCCGCAGAATTGACAAATCCAATACACAAAGGGCCAAGTGCAGATCCTACAAGACCAAATGCCGTCAAGACGGATATTGCTGGACCGATGAGAGAGGGAGGGACCCATTTTGAAGAGAGTGATATGATCATCGGTGTAGACGGCCTGCAGAAGCCGTGCAAATTTTTCAAAAAAAAAGATACAACTTTGCATAGGAAATATAAGACTTACGCCTGGAAAAATCCAGTCAACGATGCAGCAACGGCATTTGCGGGAACGTTGTCCACGAATTGTAGGATTGCAAGAAAACCGATAGCGAAAGTACCGTAGATGGTGAGCGAAATCCATGGACCAATGCGGGAAGTGGCATAGGCAAGTAACAGGCGTCCTAAAATCAAGCCCACCCAATATCCACTGAGAACATATCGCATTGCGGCATCATTCCCGTGTCGGATATCTGTCATGAAAGAGACAAGCCAACTCGTGAAAATTTCGCCTGACGCCATAGACTGAACAAAAATCAGTGAATAAAATATTATGAGCACTGTCTATAAATACCAGGGCAGTCAGTATTCCGCCAGCCACAACGTTGTGGTTCCGAATGACGAGGGTGAAACTTTTAAGAGCACTTGTTTGGGTGTTCTCGACCTTTGGGGAGCTGTAGCTTCCAAATATAATCCATAATAGAGGGGCGTTCAGTATCGATATACCCAAAGGTACATAGTAGTACATATTCCACGGAACGTCATTTTCAAGCATAGCAACAACGACCAATGGCGCAATCAGTGCACCAAACTGGGACCACAAACTGAGAAGGACGGGAAGAGCAAAGGAAGGAGGCATACCCCGAAAGCAGCAAAAAGCAGAGACATTGCGGGTCCTTCGTCAAAATGGGCGGTATAAGCGGCGAAACTAGCATCGTAGATACACGCTCCTATTCCGATGAAGAAAAGGGCGATCACAAAAACGGGAAACGGAGGCGCTGAGACTATAATAGCAGAACCGATAATGTTGGAGATTGACGCGAGCTGTGTATGGCAACTGAGTAAGCATTCTGAAAGCATACCGTGCCGAGGTTATGATGACTTACGATAAGCGTCCTCCAGAGATCAAGGTAGTGCAGAAGGTATATGTTCAGAAAGCTTGCGAGAAGCCAACCTGTAGGTAGAAGGGAAAAAATTTATCGCATGTGTAAACACGCAAGAGAGATTGCAATACCTGCAGCGTTAGCAAGGAATATCAATGATACCACGGAGAAGGTCAAATCATAATGAGACTGTATAGAATCCAGCTGAGCTATGAAACCAAGATTAGCGAAAACAAACGATACTGGAAATCGGACAGACCTCCCAAAGACCCATCGCTCATACCTGCTTGTGCATAGACAAAGAGTGAGAAAACAAGACGGCAAAGACGTATTCCATTGGTCTCCTGTGGTCGGTTCGCGGCCATCGTCGTGGGGTGAACAAGTGTAGACTGCGTAGTGATTTGATGGTTAGTGTTGTAGCTAACGGTAGTGGATAGTTACGACATGGAAGGAGGAAAATATAGTAAACCTGGCAGAGAAGGGCATCTTTCCGGTGATGGTATGGTAGAATTACTTTCGACGAAAGTTCGGCATCGAATGTGTCCGCGATGGTTGTCAAGTTCTCATCTAGCACAAGGTAAAAGCAGAGACGATGGGGGTATATCAGATCTGACCCACTTACTGTCCCTTCTGAGATTAATCGCATAAGATCTACACCGCGTAAGTTCAACATTGACTGTACTTGCCATTGAAAATAAAAAATCGGAAACTTTTCAAGGGCCAGGATATGACTGTAAGAACGACGGCATTCGATTTCTCAATTTCCGCAGTACCCGCAACATAGAAGAAAGGTTGAAACACATGCATACATACACAAGTTCTGAATCTTTCACGATGTTGAAACATTGTACAGCTTATTTCCGCCAGCTGCGAGCAGCTATGACGATCACTCGAAGCTTCTCCTGGTTTGCGGTTCTTGTCATCCTATGCAGCCAAACATCCTTGCAGGCGTTGGACGTTTTTGGCCCTGCCTGTTCGACTTTGATACGACAGATCTTGATGCCTGAAGCCTAGGCATAGCGGAACTCGTATCTTGTCACAAACACATTTTTGTTGCCTTATGTGGGGAGTAGCCACCTGCAATTCGGAAAGACGAAGATTATATTGATCATCAAGTTCAAGTGCCGGGCCGCTTGGAGCGCGTGGCCGAAAAGAAATTCTCCGCTTCTCAAACTCTGTACATACATAAAATATGACAAGTGTATTGCGAAGTTCGTTGAGACATGCTCAGGGCAAAAAGTTTCCCGCGAAGTCTGATCTCTTATTCCGCCCTGAAGTGTAGCTCTGTATCCTGTAAATCTCGTACTTCAAGTCGGAAAATCTTGAGAGGGGGGCTCCTGGGGGCTCTCTGTGGGTGCTACTCTGTGTGAAGTCCTTGTCCAGCTTCCCTCGACGACTTTGCAATACAGTGTCGTGGTATGCATGACTCGAAAAATAGGCATTTTGTGGGCGCGACCTTGTGTCAAGTCCTCACCCGACCTCCCGGGATGGATACTGTATGAATGACTTGATAAGTCTGTTCTTTCCCTACCATGACCACTGACCATTCGCCCATCGATGCCCCGTTCGGCTCTTGGTCAACAGACAGGATTTTGAGCGACATGCAACCGAATCGATCTGTTCACAGGGTTGGGCATGGATATGTTTCCGTTTTTGAAGAGAGATATGTGTTCAAGGTGTTCCATGACGAAGACCCATCAGAGCCTCTTTTAATCAGGCCAAAGGTTGGGCATGAGCTGCGAATGATGCTCATAGCCGGTTCGGATTCTGTTCACCTTATTGGCAGGCTATTCGACAACACAAAACAGAAATTGATTGGGTTCATTATGCCATACGAGCAGGCTCTTGCTCCAGGAGTCAATATCGGAGGCGAGCCCGGTGAGAGGGCGAAGTTTTCGAAGGAACAGAAGAGGGAGATTATAGATAAACTCTGTCGCCTTATCGAAAGGCTCCAGGCAAAACAAATTATCCACGGCGACGTCAAACCGTCTAATCTCCTTCTTTGTTCTGATGGACAAGTCCGACTTTGTGATTGGGCACTGGCATCTGTAAACGGGGATAACTTCATTGCATACGCCGTGTCCGACCATTACGCTTCTTGTCGACGATGCTGCCTTCCGCAAGAACCTCTTGCTCTGGAGGAAGATTTGTACGCCACGGGTGTCTCAATCTGGGAGATATGGATGGAGAAGGTACCGTTCGAGGACGTGGAGGAGGACATAGTGGATGAACTAGTTATGGGAGGGATCAGGCCAGATTTACAAGCAGTGGATGACCCCGAAATCGCAGCCCTCATTAAATCATATCTCGATGCAGGTCCTGCATGTCTAAACAAACCGGGTCAGACCCGCACTGTGTGCACTCAAGTTGATGTTACATTCAACAACTGCCGTGCAACCCCGACCCACGTAGAGACACGCGTTGTTAAATGTTACCATTGCCAGGACCCAGATGCTACACAGCAGTGTGCAGAACCATTTCGGCTGCCAAATGTACTGGTCGAGTCATCTAGTCCCGTTTGTCCGAAATGCAATCCGATATAGGTCGGATGGAGGAGGTGCTGAACTTCTGCGAAAGGTATATAACTTCCTTACTTGTACGTATACAGCTAGTTAGAGCTGGTTTTCCCTGTATCGCAACTAGCTTCACAATGAATTGGCCCGACACCTTGGCAGACGTTGCGTTGCATTTTCACTTCACCAGCTCTTTCCTATTCGAAGATAGACACTGGAATCAAATGTCCCTGATAGAGGGCCTTGACCAAGAGATACACTGCCTGCATTTCTACAACGTTCGTCGTGCAACTTGACCACTTTTGAAGTCATATCTGTCGCAGTCCTCTGTCTCGAATCTTGTTGCCACTCTCAAAGTCCTATGCTCGTAGACCTTGTATTTCTTCACGGGTCTCTACAGAGTGAGCTTCAAAATTCCAGCACGCCCCTTCTTCCAAATCTTCGCAATCTCAAAAAAGAGTTCAATCGTTCGACGATCAAGAATTCCTCGACATGGTTTCTTCACCATGTGCTCGGTATATAGATTGTTTATGGTCTGCATATAATACATGAATGGCTATTTTTCTTCGTGAAGCCTTTCACTTAGACATGTAAATGAAATAGCTATCCTTTACAGCATGAACACTTGCTCATTCATCCAAAGTCTTCATGAATGTTAAGATTCAAGGAAATGCATAGATCAACAGCCTGAGCACCGATCACAGTGATCCCTCGATGGCTTGATGGTCATAGCCATTAACAAGATTGAAAACGAACTGTAGAGAAATCAGCAGAGTGAAAAGATGTGAAGTAATAAGAAATATGATAAAAAAGTATTCAGACGCAGTGCAAATACCTAGTCCGAAAACTGCATTCGCAAGAAAGCAAGCCGGTCATAGATCATACAGCTTCCTAAAGCCAGATCAAACCAACGATTCGAAAATCGCCGGCGAAACCTGCTTTCGAAGAGTCATTTGGCCCCGGCAAAATATCATCACAGAAAATAGATGGGTGCAGGAAAAAGAGACAATACAGAAATGACACGGAAAAAAGAGAACGGGGAGCTCACTAAGGTGCTAGAGCTATGTCTCGGGTATGTCAACGATGGCCTCCGACAATCCAGCGTTTGTCCAAAAGACCCTGAGGTAGAATAGGAGAGGGACTGTGGCTGGGCAGCATGAATTAGCTACAAGCCTCGTTTCCCAAGCTGCAAATTACTCCTGAGGGCTTGAGAAATTTGTGGTTGCTTATGAGAAAGTTGAAAGGTGTTAGTGCTCGGTATTAGTACCGTACTCGCCTCCTCTCCTCCTCCTCAGAAGCTGCAATGCAGTTCTGGTCCTGTCCGTCAACAAAGACTTCAACGCCCGGGATTCTTTCTTGAGAAATCAGATAGATACGGGCGGGGATGAGGAGAGTTCATTCGCAGGTGCAGCGGCGCACTCGTACTTGGAATCAATGAATTCGAGGATCGTGGTATACATTACCAGTGTTATACTACACAGCACGATCTTGACGAGATTCAAGTCAGAAACCGGGGAGATGATATTCTAGGGATAAGTGTCAGCTCTAATATTATAGTCAAACTTAAATATGCGCTCACCTTGGTTTATATGCCACGCACACATTCTCCATCGCGCCGACAGTTTCCATAATCTTAGCTCGTTGAAACCTCAACCTTGTCAACAGCCCCCGGGCGCAATTTTAAGAAGCTATGTTCCTGAGTAGGACCATAAGGTCGCCACGGTGGTGACGATGCGATTACGGCTTCGTCAGCGACAGATAAACCGGCGAATGTAGAAAAGACATCTACGAGTGGACAAAAGATAACGAAACTGTTAGTATGATCCTCGGGTGATCGGCGAAGAACTTACAGGATCACTTTGTATCATTGAGCTGATATTCGGATAAAGCGACAGAGCAGCAATACCATCGATATCTGCCTCACCGAATGGTGAGAATTGAGGCTCCTTGGTCTCCTCAGGTTTCTCTTCATGGGGTGGCTGCTTCTTTGAGTGTCAAAACCTGGAGCAGAGGAAGAAATCAATAGCAGCATATGTCAAGATCAAGCAATACACACCCGTCACAAGGTCGCAGTAGAATCGTTGGCCTCAGGTCCGCCCAACTCTTCGTAGGCTCATATCCAGTGAAGCATCTGCTAGCCCTGCGATTGGAAAGCACGAGAGCATTCGTTGAGCTAAAGGTTCGAATTGATTGAGCGATATGGGCAGGAACAGCAAAGAGAACCCTGGGCCAAGCGTGACAGGGAAATTTGACCAAACTTACAGAGTTATCTTGCATGTCTCTGTATGGAGTAGGAGCAACCAGGAGATAATCGATATTCAAAAACGCGTTGATCAATTTCATGTACATTGAAGCAGGAAACGAATGTAGGAAGAAAAAAACGGCGTCGGACCTCGGCTCCCGGAGCCGAAATCGGATCCAGCTTAGGCCGCTTACTTTTGCTCATACACTCTCACACCCGGATCGCTTTGGGATCGCTCATGAATATTCCATACTTCCGACTTGTAGCAGCGCGGCGCCCATACAATTTATTTATCTATCCAGATGGTTTACACGAAGGCTTTTAAAGGATACGACCTTTCACTTTTGAATATCTAAAATCCTCACAACATAGGGTTATGTCGGAATATTCAGATGATTTCGAGTATCTGAAGGGAGTCACTCTGGTGAGCTCTCGTATCAACCAGACCCCAATTCCCACTCAATTTTCCACCTTTTAACAATACAGATTCTCGAACCTCAACTCCGCAAAGTCATAGTCCGAGGAAACCTAGATGACGATATATTCCAAGTGCCCTTACACTGGCATGAAGACCATGACGAGATCATCACAGTCCTTGAGGGAAAACTCAAGGTTACTGTCGGAAAAGAGACAAAAATATATACACCGGAAGGTGGAGACGCGTTTGTACCCAGAGGTGCACCTCATGCGTTAGAGAGCCTGAAAGGAGTTCCTTGTGTGATAACTGAGCGCACAAATCCAACAGTGCGCTACGTCCTTTGCATTTCTTATCACGGCCAATGCTGACTCGTCTTACCAGGACTTTGACACCAAGGAACTGTTTTTCCGCAACATACTAGCGATCCCAGGAGGTCTATCTTCTGGAGGCTTGGTGCCTATGATGCAGGTATTCTACCATGGAGATGGATATCCTGTATTTCCAGTCCATGTCGTTTGGTTGGAAAAAGCTGTGAGTTACCCAATATCTTCGAAACAGTAGTACTGCTAACTTCTTATCCGTTTGGTTCCTAGTTCGTGACACTTCTCGGCGGCTATATTGCTCCTTTGCTAGGACATCGATTAAAATACAAGAGCTTGAAGAGGGAATCGTGATACGAAGAAACCATCATCATCATTGTATTTGGCTAATATACTGAATGAAACAGCTAAACCATAACATAATTCAACTCGTGAACAAATTTATATTCATCTTCATGGCAAAACGGGGGAGATTGACTAAACACTACTGACATTCTCGAGAAACAGATACGTGTCCCCATAGGCCTTGAGCTTGGGAAACTCTGGGGAAACTTTGAAGTGATATTAGTATAAAGTGTGTACTGAGGGTTGATTCTCGAAATTGGTTCTCTCCCCTCTAACGCGCTCAGGCTATCCACTACACTGCTGCTGGTAATAGGATGGTGGACTATCCGGACACTGTGCGTGTTCAGAACGAGGATACGATGGTGAGCAAAGTCATTACTGTTCATTTGACGCATCGGGGAATTCTCTCAAATTACTTCGTTTTCTCACATTCCATCCCCAATTTAGACTTTCGAGCCCCAGCTCCGGATCATCAAAATCCGAGGACTCCAAGACGACAAAATACTCAAAGTACCCACACACTGGCATGAAAATCATGACGAAATAATCACCGTCCTGGAAGGAAAGCTGAAAGTTATCTTGAGTGGAGAGATAATTATCTGCACTCCCGAAAGCGGAGAAGCTCTTGTACCGCGAGGTGCTCCTCATTCTTTGGAAAGTTTCAAAGGTGTACCGTGTGTATTCACTGAACGGACGAACCCCAAAGTACGTTCAACTTTTCTCTGAGATTCGTCTGAGTTGAAGTGACAATACATTTCAGGACTTTGACACGAAAGAGTTATTCTTCCGAAACTTCTTTTCGCTACCAGGTGGTCCGGACTCAGCTGGATTATTATCAATTATGCAAGTCTTCTACCATGGAGATATGTAAACTGTCTTTCCGATTCATCTTGGGTGGCTGGAAAAAGCTGTAAGTAAACTGTGCAGTTGCATAAAACTGTAAAGCCTGACCTGGTGTTCAGTTCGTTATAATTTTTGGTGGCTATATTGCCCCTCTCGTAGGGTATCAACTCAAGTATAAAAATTTGAAAAAGGTGTCATGACGGTGTTTCATCTTGTTTCGCAGTCAAGTGTCAGTCGATGGTACTGGACCACGACAAATTGCTACTACCTAGTACTAAGTCAATATACAAGTTCTTGGTGATGTATTCAAAATATCGATATGAACTAATATGAGTTGACATCGTCATGGGAAGGTGTTCATTGTGCAGATTCATGAACTGACTACTTTCCGCCTGCCTTTGGCTGAGGTACAGGTCCATAAATAGGTCTATCCATCGAATTCTTCAACACCCAAGTGCCCGCTCCTTTGTCCAACATCCCACCATGACACCCAGAGCCACTTCTCTTGCCCATTGTACCGCTCACCGACTCTGTCAACCAATTCGACCCTTCACCCTCACTTCGCCTATTCCTCAAACTTCTCCGACCAGGAGCAGACCCCGCTGCAGGACACTCCTGTCCCCCAACCACAGAAAAGGTGATCTCTGTATTCTTCCCAATCCAATCGTTCTCGAACTCAATGTTGAACTCAACATTCTGAATTAAGCTCCCCATGGCGTCCAGGATAAACCGTTTTACGATGGTTCTTGTTGATTGCTGGGTTGGAGTAGGATGCACGGTTTTCTTACCAAAGTCGAAGGTGACTTTGAAGGTGACCTTTCCACGGGGAAATAGGACAGTCGTGGGATGGAGATCATCTGGCCAGGAAGAGGACGACGACGACGGAAGATCGTATGTAACTGGAGATTCCTGGATATGGACTTCGGCTGCTTCGGGAGTTCGAAATTGAGGGAGACTAGTATCTGCGCTATGGGACGAGGGAGCGGCACTATCTCGAGCCTTCAAATTCTCATAGATACCAGGGTTCAACATGTCAGTGTGGTCTACGAGACAATAGATGAAAACCATACTGTCAGAGGTACTGCAAGTGCAACCGGCAATGCAACGCATATGAGTCCCAGTAGAGCACAGCTCACGAGCGAGTTGAAACGCATGGCAAGTTGAAGAATCAAAACACGTGGAGCCTGCGTTCGAAGATCGAGCCACTTCGTTCTGGAGGCGGTGAAGTTTTTGAGTGGGGATGACAGGACTAAGATGCTGAACCCAAAGCAGAGAGTACAGAGTTTTCTTTGACCAGCAAAGAAGATCCAGACTTCGTCGGACTGACCAGCAGTGTTGTTTCTTGAAGCAGCTCTATTTAGACAACCCGGACTTTTATACCCCGCACAGTTGATCAACAGCAAATTGACTCGAGCCCAGAGTTGAGGAAATCAGTGAGAATGATCAGTAGACTCAGCGTCCCGCGCTGGTCCCGCGTCAGAATGAGTGATCACCAGATTGTTCCGGCCATCCATATTTTCACCTCTATGTAGTGAGGTTTCGTCTCCTAGTGGGCTTGCTCTCCAAGATAATTTTCACCAAGTACATATATTGTAACAAGTCCATCTCCTTTCTAAGAGCCGATATCCATCAGGAAAACCGTCCTCGATTAATGTAGCGAATATTATCAGAAATTTTCGCTAATATCCAATAATTGGTTGGTCCAATATTTATTAACAATTATCGAACATTTTCCGGCCTCCCTGACGCATTAACGGATAATTGCAAGAACTTAATGACAAAGTAGAACAAGTTAGTAGTAGCCTAATGATAAAATAACAATCTATTTGCAATAGGCTAATGATAATTTAACGATAGCCTAATGACAGCTTCATGATAGATTCTGATTATTAACGAGAGGTTCGAGTTGTTCCTTGTCATCCAGATTATTAACCATGGGTGTATATTATGAATTAATTACTTCGGGCATACAACGTGTAGAATGAAGAAAGCTGTGAACATCTACGATTTCCTTAGATATCGTGCACATCACTCGCAGACCCATCGCCATTGCCACCAGACCCATCACCGTTATCACCAGATCCGTCCCCGTCATTGCCAGGCCTGTCATCACTAGGCCCATCACCATTGCTTGACCCAGGACTATCAAGTGTTGCATTGCCGTCGACGCTTGAAAAAGCGGTGGTGGCTCTCTGTGCATCTTGCGAAGCTCTCTGATCCAAATCAGACTCCGATAAGCTGCTATCATCATCATTGCCATTGGCTGCAAACGCGGCAAGGTTGATACGTTGCAGAATTTGATCTTGAGAGAGACCATGCTCAGTTGGGGCAACAGAACGACTGAAATATAGTCAGATGATCGGATTGAAAGAGCATATTAGAAAACCGTACGAAGATTTCAGATATAGCTTATGCATAAGCTTATGGTAATTCACCCTGCTAGCAGTCTCTAAGTTTGTCAAGACTGCGATGAATGTCGTCCAAAGCGAGTTCAGTCCAGTTGGAGGAAAGTTTTCCTCAATAGACTTCGCATGGTCTTGTACAATGGAATGTATCTCGAGAGGAATTAGAAACTCATCATGACCATGCCTCGATCACATACCACACAAGCTGCCATGGCCACCATCGCTTTTGGTAATTCTAGCTCAAGGGGCTTCTGAGGAAGCGAGGATTTGAAAATTTTCGCCTTCTCGGACATGATCAATTTTGAGTATTTTGTCGAGCTGAAAAGCGCTGCGCTGAGATACTTGTGGATAACATCATGACTGAATGGTCGACTATAGTCATAAGTAGTACCGGACTAGCAGAAACGTCAAAAGTGACTCCCTGAGGTGCAAGACACATACTGGTGATAGTTGATAGATATAATCCGAATTCGCAACCAACTGTTTTGCCTCCTCTATACCTCCTTCAGAGTAATCAAGTCCAAATGCAGTAAGCACAACTGAGGAGAAGCCAGCCTTCAGGGTTTTTCATTCAATGATGACACGCTGCGCAACCTACATCGGAGAATTAAATAAGCAGGGAAGGGTACGGAGTACAATTTAAAATGCCAACATATTTCATGAGAGGTCAAACATATGTTGTGAGGTCTCCATCCTGGAGCCGATGCGATATATCAAGGTCTTCATCAAATCCAAGTTCATCTGCACATTTGATGAGGGCATCCAGCGTGATGACATTAAGCCCTGCAGTGTGCAAGGCACATTCGTTCCCATTGATGACAAGCTCTAGGGTAGCCTTGCGGGTAGCTGCTTTCACAACTGACCTGATCTGGGGATTTTGCGATTTCAGATCAAGTTTGTATGACCAGCTTGCATCAGAGGAAGTCTTGAGGACAAGGTTGGTATGTGGAAGCCACGCAAGTTGACCTGATTGAGAGAGAGCCAGAGCCGGAGCTGGCAATTCCATTTCTTTACCATCGGAGGAAACAACAGGAAGCTGAAAGGAATTAGAACTATCCCAAATGATAGTTAAAAAAACAGACCTCTCCTACAAGCTTAGCCGCGATTCTTTGCATCTTCTGCATGGTAGATGAGGAAAAACCAAGATTGTTTACTGATGTAACTCACCTTGGTCATAGGAGCATGAGTTGACACGACATCTTCACTTTCAAGGTTGGAAAGCAGTCCATTATCCTCGCTGCGGCACGGGGTTGAGGGAGTGCCCACGTCACCTGATGATGAATGTCAAATCATTCAATCGTTGATTATGACAGGATTAAACACCTTGTTTCTTCGTCTTCTCACTGCGGTTCTGTGTTGTGAACCGTGCTTCCTATAATTATGCAACAATCAGCAAGCAGGCATTCAAATTGACCCAGAGTGAAACCGGACCTCTTCAGCGTAATACTTGGCTGCTGAGCCGGAATCATTTTCACGTTCAAATTCTTGGTTCAACATTTTGATGTCCTCTATGTCTTCAATCATATCACTTTCACTGTCACTGTCATTCTCTTGAGCATCCTTGAATTCTTGTTGAGCTTGTAGCCGTTTGGATGAGGAATTATCTGGTCAAAATTTTGCAATATAAGAAGATAATTGTTAATAAGGTAAGTTCGACAAAAGTTTGATGCCATTTACCTTCATCCTCATCATCTGTCTGAATCAGAACAGGACCTCCCCCTATGAAACAGTCAGAATGGTTTCATGAAAGTGGCATTATATCTTACTGCGAGCGAGGCTTGGTATCTTAATTGTGGTTGTGGGTATTGCAGGTTCAAGGGTATGACTTTCCACCATTGCTACAGAAGCCTGACCAATGGCGGTAGAAGGTGTTCTTGCCATCTTGCGACGTGTAGTTGGTGCCGGTGTCGGTGTCTTTAGGACATTCTGCAATGGCTGTGGAGTAAGATCTGCCGGACCAGTCTTGTTTTTTCGCCTTCATGAAGACTGGTATGCAGGTACTGCCAGAGCACTTTTCAGTCCACTCTCCTTTGTCTGCCTGCGAGACCGTTTTGCAGGTTGCTCAGGTTGCTCAGCATTCTGCTCTCGGTTGTCTACAGAGATATAGTGTCCGTAAACCTTTTTTTATTACTCAACGGTGAATGCTTACCTGCTATTCCAGCCGACTTTCTCTTCTGAGACCTAGTTTCTCGTGAATTTACCTTGCTGGGAGCATTGAGAGCAATTGACGCAACAGGTTTGTTTGCACCTGACTGCTGAGCAGCCCGTCGCCTTGACATGGAACTGGTAAAGAATAGACACACGTCGACTTTCAGGAGTGAGTTATGGACTTGAAACATTCCATGAAATAAATTCAGAATTTTGACCCTTCATTAGTCACCATTACTTTACACTTGCATGACCCCAATTATCCTATCTGTCGAAACTCATGGCTTCTGGTTATTCTTGCAACGCTTGCAAGCATACTTGGCGACGTGACAGTGATCTCACTCAGCACTACCTGAAAACGCCAAATCCTCGCTGCCGCAAGGAAGCAGATGCTCTCATTGCCAAACTTTGCATAAACCGTTCTTCCCCACGTCGGAGTCTCCTGCGGCGCCGTCTGCCTCGACATCTATCTCCTATGCCTGCTACCGTAGATGATGATTCGGCTAGGCTCATAGAGCAACCTGTCTACAAGCCTGACCAGGTACCACCTATGCGTTTTGTCGGTGATTTTTTTGGGCAGGACTATACTACAGAAGACTTCCCAGGACTTGAGGATGTTGAGGACAACAGCGACGATGATGAAGGCAATGATGACGACGAAAGTAATGATGATGAAGGCGAAGTAGTTACTACGGAGCTGCAATGGGAGCCTGAGCGTCAGGTACAAACATGCCAGAGTCATGATGATATGGTTATTGATCCTCCTATCACCAATGCCCCTCATACTTCCAATCCTCTCCTACGCAGTCTACCCTCTCATCGGGATGGTATCCATATACAAAGATTTGGGGGCCAGGCAGGTGCTCCGTTACCTACTTCACAGCCTCATTATTTGAGTTCCCAAAAATCCGATCCTGGTTTTCAGCAATATCAGTCATCCATTGTGGACAGCGAAAGTAATATATGGGCTCCATTCACCTCAAAGTCTGATTGGGAGATGGCTTGTTGGGCTAAGATTCGTGGCTCTGGCTCTACAGCTTTTTCAGAGTTACTTTTGATTGATGGTGTACGTGCTATCACTCATATCTGGGATCTCTGACATCTAATTCACTGCCGCGTAGGTTATTGAGGCTCTGGGCTTGTCTTATCGGAATAGCGATGATTTGAATAACATCATTGACAACGAACTACCTTCGAATCGGCCATCATTCACTAGGGAGGAGGTTGTTATCGCTGGTCAAGCCTTCGACTTTTACAAGCGAGACATTCTAGAGTGTATTCGGGCTCTTTATGGCAATCCGGACCATTGTCAATACCTTTGTTTTACTCCCGAAAGGCATTATGTAGACTCCAACAACACTATGCGCCTTTATCATGATTTTAACACCGGAAAATGGTGGTGGAACACTCAGGTACGTTTGGCCTTTATCGAATTGGTATAGTGCTAATATCTTATCTTTAAGAAGGCCGTTGAAGCAGACAAACCAGATGCAACAATCTTCCCTGTGATCATCTCCAGTGACAAAACACAGATTACACTCTTCCGAAATAAGGCAGCCTACCCTGTCTACCTCACTATTGGCAATTTGCCAAAGGAAATACGATGAAAACCTTCACAGCAGGGCCAAATCCTTCTGGCATATCTACCAACTAGTTGTCTAGAACACATTCGGAACAAAGCTGCATATCGTCGGACCATTGCAAATCTTTTCCACGCTTGCCTCAAGGATCTTACAGCTCCGCTTTGCAAAGCAGGGCTTGAGGGCACCGTGATGACTAGCGGTGATGGACTACAACGCCGCTGTCATCCTATCCTTGCTGCTTTTGTCGGCGACTATCTGGAGCAAATTCTGGCCACTACAGCATACTCAGGTGATTGTGCCAGCTGCGATGCTGAGAAGAAGGACCTTGGAATATATCCTTGTATTCACCCATATAGAGATATCGAAGCTGTTTTAGAGGCTATCCATACATCAACCCCAGACCTTTGGGTTGAGAAGTGCCTCGAATGTAACGTCAAACCCATTCAGCATCCATTCTGGGAAGACCTTCCGTACACCAATATCTTCACTTCGATTACTCCGGATATTCTCCATCAGCTATACCAGGGTGTTATGAAGCATCTGATTTCATGGGTAACCGATATTTGTGGTGCAGATGAGATTGATGCCCGTGTTCGTCGACTCCCACCCAACCACACTATCCGAACATTTCACAAAGGTATCTCCACACTATCCCGTGTGAGCGGGACTGAGCATAAACAAATGTGTTCATTCATCCTTGGAGTTGTCACGGATATACCTCACTTAAGTATTCATCAATCTGGTACCTTGCTTGCTGCTACCCAGGCTCTCCTCGACTTCCTCTATCTCTCATGCTACCCCATCCATACTACTGAATCTCTATCCCAGATTGATGAAGCGCTCGCCCAATTTCATGCTCATCGTGGAGTTTTCGTCGAACTTGGGGTGCGGAAACACTTCAATATCCCAAAATTACATTTTCTTTGTCACTATTCACGCTCTATAACATATTATGAAACAACCGACAACTACAATACAGATACCACTGAACGCCTGCATATTGACTATGCAAAAGATGCCTACCGAGCATCTAATCGCAAGGACGAATACATTCAAATGACGCACTGGCTTGAACGCCGCGAAAAGATCATGCACCACACAAACTACATCTCTTGGAGGCTTTCCCAAGTCTTAAACTCCCCATCCTCAGAGCGTAGCTCCCATCCTACCCCAATTACTCTTTCCTCTGATTTCGGCAAACGGTATGACTTCCCTGGTGCACAACGGACATTACTGGACATAAAATGCATATACACTCAGAAACTCACTCGTTTCTCTTCCATGAGAAGAGTTCCGCTTTCCCGGCTTGAAGATACCTGTAGTAATGGTTACTGTGCAGTCCAATTCACGCATGTTTTGAAACGGTTCCTTGTTCAGTATCGCTATCCCAATATTCCAATCAATCAAATTGATGAGTGGGCACGATTTGTTGTTCTCCCATTTTCTTTGCTTCCAGTCTGGCACAAACTCAAATTCGTCAACACAGAACTATTTAGCAAGAAAACACTTGATTCATTCTCAGCTCATCCTTCCTCTTCCAAGCGATCCAACAAATCAATAAAACCTTCACGCTTTGATACTGTTCTTGTCAGGCTCAAGCAGGGAAATGATTGGACCAAAGGTATGTATATTTATCAAGTTCTTTGGAGTATATGGCTAATTTGAACATAGATATGAGAGTTGGCAGAGTACGCGTAATATTCTCACTTCCTTCTGACAAACTCGATACACTGGTACCTTCTGATATCCCTCCGCCGCAACATCTCGCCTACATTGAGTGGTTCACCAAGTTTGTAGCTCATCCTGAACCATATTCGGGCTTGTACCGGGTTAGGAGAGACGTTGGAGCTGATGGCTTATGTACTGCATCTATCATTGCCCTCGACAGCATTGTCTGCAGTGCACATCTATTCCCGCAGTGGGGTGGATCAGTACCCCCGGATTGGACAAGCCAGACAATATTGGACCATGCCTCTTCATTTCTACTGAATATTTTCAAGGACGAGCATGCATACTTCAACTTATCATAATAAATACTCATGTATATAGACATTCCAATATGAGTTTCCACCTTGCCAAATAGACACCTTAAGTGTAGCAACTTCGACATGAGTACATTCACCAAACGCAAGCCTGAAGGGCCTGTCAGTGCCAGCGCCGCTAAAAGGATAGCTACCGCTCATCGAAACCACTCTTTGTGTGTTCAAACCTGCAATATATCTATTTGATATTCATGTATCCACCAGGTCTAGTACATCTTCGAAAGAGAACCATACTTTACGACGCACTGGACCATGCTCAAGTGCCCTGCCTGCTTCACAAGGTCTGAAACCCTGTTCTGCTTTTGCTTCCTTACTAACATAATATTTATCACAGTTGTTAGTCGAATGGCATTAGACAATGAGGCTCTAAAAGTCATCAGACTCGAGGCACAGATGAAGAGACTTCAGGAGGATTGTGCAACAAAGGAGTTCGATCTTTGACAAACACAGAAGGCAATAGAGGATCTCAAAACGCGAATGCAGGACTGGGAGCAGCAGGATCAAGACTTAAAGGAGCGTGAAATAGCTCTTAAAGAGCGCGAGTTGTCTTTGTATCAACGTGAGGTATCGTTGTGGGAATCTGAAGCAGACCTTGCAAGGAGAGAAAGGCAGGATGCAGATGCCTTGTATGAAAGATGGAAGCGCACACGAGACTACCACATCACTGCAATTGAGAGTGAGAAGAGGATGCGGGCAGAGATAAAGGATGAGCAAAAGAGGCTGGAGGAGTATGAGAAAGAGGTGGTCAGGAGGGAGAAGAATGCAAAGAAACTGGAGGAGTTCAACGACCTTAACTCACTGGAAGCTCATCACAAACTCGCATCATTGCAGCAGCAACTGGATAAGGCAGAAAAAGCTAATGCCGACCTCTTGGCATTCTGTGAAACTGTGGGGCGCATGCTTTCAACAGTGCCTGCTCGTGAGCCCGGACAGATGCTGCGAGCTGCGGAAAAACTGGTAGAATGATATCAAGGTATAGTACATAGTAGCGCTAGTCTCTGAACATGTACTAGTAACTACTATGATCAGTTCTCTTCCTTCGCACAAATTGCTCTTTATTTTCATCGTCAGCATTAATGACCACAGATAATCAAAAATTAATGAACATTAACAAAGCTTATCAAGGTGTTGTTGGCGAAAGTGAAATTAATGAAAATTTCTAATAATATTTGAATCATTAACCGAGGATGGTTTTCCTGATGTCAATATAGCTGCTACATAGACGATAGTATTTGAACACGACAAGTGTGTTTCCCTGCGCCAAGACAAATATAGCATTGTGAGCTCCGAGCCGTGGCGATACTCTGGAATATATGGAGGGATTGAGATTTCAGCACTTGAAAAAAATCGTGATGAGAGCCCTGAATATGATAACTTCGTCGCGGTTCCTATGTCTTGTGCGTTGTGTTGGCAGATATCTGGCAAATATCAATATCCTCCCAATCATTCGATTCCTGGTTCCAAGCTCTATTCCATAACCAGTATTAGACTTGCACACGACAAAAAAAAAACACAGTGGAAGACAGGGTGGCAAATTTCACAGTGTTTATCTCCTTCCCATGTCAATCTCTCTTCAACCAGCTCGGGATTTGAAAGAAAATCTCTGAGATAGCAATAGGACAAAATGTGCCATGGTAGTCTTGTAACTGTGGCTGAGGGAAATTTGGTGGTGCATAGATGGGATAAGTAGTAGATGGTGTGCAATGGATTAAACAAGGGTGCTAGGTTTCTCGGTTCTTTCTCCTTCCCTCTAACCCATTGACCTCGTCCATCTCTGATTTGGCATCCTAGCACTGCATAACCCAAAGTGGTTTCCGACTCAGATATACCATTTGATTATTATCGGTTCGTTCCTAAGTGCTTAGTCTGTCTGTGATAAATAATAATAGGGATTTCCAATAGACAGACAGCACAAAGGGTCACTACAGTCACAAGTCCAGCACAAAACCTGAAATAACATCACATATGCATCTCTTGTTATACAAACCTCAAGCTTCCAAGCCATAAATATCCATTTATCAAATGCAATCACACAAAAGTGAAATCCTCGCCCCCAAGCCCACCTACTTGACTTTCTCCAAAGTCTACTTTGGCATTGGAACTGGATCCGTCAACATATCCACCACTGTTCTCACCATGACTCCGCTCCCTAGATCCCTCCCTCCTTGTGCAGAACCTATCTTGACCAATGCATTCTCATCATCCATTTTTGATGGAGCAGATTCTGTCTGGGCCCACTGGTTCCCCATATCAAGCTCATACACACCCGTGGTGATAATTCCTGCTTCAGGGTTTCGAGCCTGATATACAACAACCAGCAGGCAGATATCAGTGAATACTTTGCACTTGGTATATTAAAAACAGACGCACACTAGTACTGCCTCTATTGGACGGTCCAATTCGACTGTTGGATGAATTCATAATACTGGAATGAGGTTCATTGATGAAGAGAATACTGTTCCCTGGCATGGGTTGCCCATTGAGGTTATTCCATCCTGCGCGAGCATTGAGACTAATCTTTGATCAGGAAACTGTTTCTCGGATAGTACCACCAGAACAACATCCACTAACATGCTTATCAATGCATTGGTGTATAATTTTGACAATGCAAAATCCCAAACAAAGTTTCTAAAAGTGTCAGGATTCAGCATTGCAAAAAAAAATAAGAAAAATAAGCCATTTTGATTGATCATACATACACTGTAGTGTTCTAGAAATGCACATAGATCTCATCAGTGGTACGCCCTGTGGATGCATGGAAAACAATTAATTACAGGGATTGCCAAAAATAATATAACATCGAGTATTGCTGAGAAAGCAGTGATTGCTCCGGTCTGTACAGTCACTGGTCGAGAACAATGTACACATCAGGAAATGACACAAAGGAAAAGGTAAACTCACATCTAATGATCCTGGAAACAGCATCATCCGTAGCTCGTATGTTAGTGCATTTCTTCCACTGCATAATATAGAAAAAAATCAATAAATATATAAATTTGGAACACGTAACAAAAACCAGAAACTTACCAGAATCCACACCAGGGTCACTGTAATCAAGATATCTGTAACTGCAAAGGATGCTAACCAAGTGATCACTGAGCCATCAAATTGATGAAGATTTGCAAATTCATTGATGATCGTCACCGCAATCACTACGTCGGCAGTCGCTAATAACGGCTGGGATTTACAAAGGGAAATCTGAGTCAAAACTTTGATTTCCCATCTGTGCTTTTGATGTATTGATCTTCCGGCAATGACTTGATTTCTCGGCTCATCATTGATAATCTTTCCCAGCTGACCATTGATAATCTTTCCCATAGATAATTGATAATCTTTCCCATAAGTAATAGATAATCTTTTTCATCAGAACAAAATTTTATTTCCCGGTTCGCAAAAGTAAATGCCCGACTTTTGAGCCACTGTCCAGAACTATTGAGAGGCGGAATCTCCTTACAAAATGTTCATTACATTGAAGAGGAAACTGCCACAGTGCGAGAGTAGGAATTTGTCGCGTCGGTTTAGAAAATTACAAATATAGGAAATGGTGACACAGAGTATGCACGCCCGCATTCGGTGACAGCATTTGGTTGTGGTGGGTCAGCCTTCAACCACACTGGTGGGCATTGGACAGCAATGGAGTTCCTGCTGCATTCGAGGAATTTGGTGATGATTGGACTACACTCAATAAGCATGGCAGAAATGGTTGGTTGGGACTTCTTGCATGCGTCAAATGGTGGGGACAGGGTTTTGATCCAGAAGGTGACAAGAAACAATGGCATGAACTTGTTGCCGATATGGTGAAGATGTTGAATGGATTGGATAACTATATGTCGCACAACTCTGGTAACTCTCACTCTGTATCAATGCAAGACTAGTATTTGCAGTGGCTCAAAAGTCAGGCATTCACTTTCGCGAACCGGGAAATAAAATTTTGTTCAGATGTAAAAGATTGTCAATCATCAATGGGAAAGATTATCTATTACTCATGGGAAAGATTATCAATTATCTATGGGAAAGATTATCAATGATGAGCCGAGAAATCAAGTCATTGCTGGAAGATCAATACATCAAAAGCACAGATGGGAAATCAAAGTTTTGACTCAGATTTTCCTTTGTAAATCCCAGCCGTTATTAGCGACTGCCGACATAGTGAATGGTGTTCGCTAACCCGCCGACTATAACATGAGAGAAACAAAACCACAAGATTGGTAAAAAGCAATAAATATTGATAGAAGTACTCACTGAAAGAGCACACAGAAAAGAAGGTTATTCCATAAAACAACACGGTGGATTGACTGATCACTTTGATGTGCCAGGCCATGAAGATTTGCACCGGAGTAGAAATCATCACAGTCACAATAGGATCTAATCACATACGCCAGGATATAAATATCTTGTTATAACCATTTTTCAACATATTGACTTACATACCAGCCGAAAGCACTGCAGATCAAAGGACAGAATACAATGTGAACTCTCTTTAGATCAACTTTTGATGTTGGTAAAATGTGCATACTAATTGGAACCCGTGTGACTGCTTTCTCAGTTCCTAGCAAAATGAACACTCTATTAGTCAAAATCAAAGGAGCAGGAGAAGACTCAAACAAAAGACAAAGGAGTGCCAGGACATGATTTCCTGCTCAGGTTGAAAAGGAAAATATTGATCAAACTCACCATATCTAAACACCAGTGGTTCCAGCATCAAACCAATGTCAAAACCTGTTGGACAAGGGTCACTGGTCAGTGAAAAGGATACAATCACCTGAGTGTTGAGCAGGCAAGGGGTGCATAGTGGGAACACTCTCCAGCACCATACCTGGTAATAGAGCTTAGTGTCTCAGTGAGGCAATAAAAGTGAGAGAGAAGCAAGTTGGATTCCAGTACAGGACATAGCTACTTATATACATAAATGCATGACAGTATTACATAAGGAAGTACTGAGGAATCCGCACATGGTATATGATGTCAGTGTATACTAAGCATAGACTAAGGTAACACATGACCATATTAGTGACGTGTGAACAGCATAGCCGCGTTCAACACTGAGCATCATTATAAAGAACTCAGAAAGGATCAACCATTGAGCAAGTCTGGCAGATTGAATAGACTGTGCAGAAATAACACAAAAATAATGAGCTTTAGATACGCATCAGTATTCAGAGTTTCCACTATGAAGAGGTACCATACAAGTGCTCTGATACGTTGGTTGTCTCTAGAGAACATATCATTTTAAAAATGAGATACTGTACTAGCAGGTAGTGCATGGTCAAGGGAACTCACTTCTTGTATGTTTGGAAATAAATAAATATCTAGGACCAATAATCAGATCAAAGCATGCAGACGCCTTAGCACTAGGACACCCACTTGTACAGCAAGGACACCTGCACAGTAAGCAAAGCAATACATAATTGATTCTTAATCAACTGGAGGTGATATATTTACCATAAAGTATGCAATTAAGGAAGACCCCAACAAGCAATGGCCCAAAGCTGTGATTAATAAATGAGCTTGAAACTCAGAAGGAGAGAATTCTCACTCACATCATAGACAACGGCGGGGACATAGCTATAATATCAGTAGGAGTACTAGACAAAAAAATCACAAGAAAAGAAGAATGACGAAGACTCCAAGATGAGAGTCCGTTGGGTGATTGAAATAGCAAAACTCGTGGGCTTATATCTTTTCAAGGTGTCTATTTTGGAAATATGTTATGTTACCCACTACAATTCAGATGATTAACTGCAGCGACTCTGGGAATCTTGGCTGCAACATCGGCATCAAGAACAATCTGAATTCGACATAGTATGAGCAGAGTTCAGGAATTTCCAGTTATTAATAACAAAAAACAGTAAAATAATGGGTCGCCCCAAGTTTGCCTGAATGAAACTTGGAGAATGAAGCATCAATTATGAGAATCAAATTTCACTACACAAAGTATGTGCAGGTGGTAAATATACCCAATTCAAGAAAAGAAGATCTTGGCTTATTGAACATATGGTATACGGGCCAACGTGATTGCACAGCGATGAAGGAAACTGATACTCAAAGAAATTTTGCAACACAATTTCAGGTACTGTCTGATTAAGAGAACTGAAGAGCATCAACTTTTTCACTTCCAGTCCTCAACTTTCAATCATTGCCTCTCGTAATGATGAAGGAGCATTTTTTTTTGTATGTACAGTAACACAGCCTAATCAAAGATAGGATGGCTCATTCAGGAAGAAATGCTTCACGGCCATTGGTCAATGGAACTCAATACGCAAATTTCTATTCCACACCCCAAGCAACGCCAATCCTAAGCAACCTCTGATAGAGTGATGATGCTTCAATATGCAAGGTGTCGAAAGTATGCATAAATAGTATTCACAACTCCATTGATCATACTTATAACTTTGCTGTACAAAGCTTCAGTTTTTCCAGTGACAGCACTTTGAGCACTACTATCCGATCTGAGGAATCTCGAGGCAGAGTCATCATTATTTTCAGGAAGTTGATACATATTTGATAGTCGGCTGATAGTTTTGGATTTGATAGAATGGGCCGCGAACAGCTTTGCAAGCAATGTGTTTCGCAATTTGCACCCGGGCTGGCATTTGCCAAATGAAAACAATATTTTCCTTCATTTTACCATGTTATTGGTCAAGTGAGTGTTAAGTGAGTGTTGATATCAAAGAAGACAGTGCTTCCCTGTCCAGTGTCACCCCGGAAATGGTACAGAGAGCCGAATAGAGGTCTGATCATGGGAGGGAAAAAATGTATGAGGTGGAGGTGCTAGAATCAGGGAGGACTCTAGTCAGCTACTCAAGGTACCGAGATAGACCAGCAGATATACTTACGTGGCATCGAAGGCTGGGCCATGTATCAATTAGGTGTATACTCCGAATGGCCAACCAGAATCTCGTCAACGGACTTAAAATAACCAAACGCGAAATTTGTGGAATGTGTGAGGACTGCATATATGGTAAAGCGACCAAACACCCATTCGACGAGGTGTTGACGCACGAGACGGAGATACTGGAGAGAGTGCACATCGACTTATTTGGACCATTGAGGACACGAACGCGAGGAGGTGCCAGCTACCTGATGCTGTGCACTGACGGCAAATCTTCCTTCAGAGTACCACACTTCCTAGACAACGAGAGGAAGGAGACTGGGGTCAAGGCACTACATGAGTATCGAGTCATGGCGGAGACTCAAACGGGCAAGAAATTGCGGCGGATCTGGATAGACGGTGATATGCTGACTGTAGGCCAAGTGCAAAATGCAAATGCAAGAACAAATCTCACACAAACACCAACACCAACACACACAAAACTAAGTCAAACGCAAGTTCGGAGGGGTGCACAGAAAGATTTATTATATTCAATATACATTTTAAGTTGGTTATAACAATTGTAATAGATTTTCTTTCACAAGTTCTATAAAACTTGGGCTTGATATTCAAAGATAACTTTGTGACTTCTGAGCTGAATAACTTTACTTGCTTGTACTGAATAACTTTACTTTCTTTCTTTAAGTCAAATAGTACAATCTGTCTGAGTTATACAATTCTTTCTGTCTAATCAAGTGTATTCTTTCTATGCTGAAACTAAACTCCCTTCAAATTGTAGGACTAGCAATCTCTACAGAAGTGGGGGTGGAGCAAGCTTGTTTTGTTTCGAGGTTTTTACTGGTATATATGCAATTTCGGGGGCCTAGAACTAGTCCAGGGTCTATGGTTTTATTATGCTGCACATGGCTCGGAATATCTTGTTCCGAGGTAACCATATGCAACTATCATTGATCCATCTGACTTCCGGATAAACTCCGAGACTCACATGAGCATCAGATACCAATCATAATAAACATGTGGTTGAGGTTCTTTAGCTACTGTGCCACTGTGCCTGGTTGCATCAGATATCTGTCAGGCATGAGCTGCTTTAGCTATTGTTCCATTGTGCCTTGTTGCATCAGATATCTGTCATACATTCCGAGTCTATTATGCTTTTGAGCTGCTTTAGCTATTGCTCTGGAAATCCGAGCATATGCAGTATGTCAGCCCATAATTACTAGTCTCGACTTCTGTCCTACTTGCTTGGTACAATTATAGTCTTAAACATACATGTAATATGCTTTAAGCAATGTACACTCAACATAAAGAATGGGTTTTAGTGGTCTGAGTGAGTACAATTGTGTTATACTGCCGAGAATCTTATTTGAATCATCTGCAGTGAACATCTGTGCAATCGGTATCAAACCACAATGTACTGTAGACTTGTAGATATACCACTGAACCTCTGTATGAACTGCCGAAGTTTTGCTTTGGGTTGTATCAATGGCGGCGGAGAGCTCAACAACGGCCTGGTGGACCAATACTGCGCGGAGCATGGTATTATTATCGAGAAGGTGCCGCATGACTCCTCCGCAGCAAACGGAGTAGCCGAGAGAGCGTTCAGGACAGTCATGGAAGGGACCCGTACCCTGCTGGAAGACGTGGACCTCCCGTACTTGTTCTGGGGAAAGGCAGCATCCACCTTTGTCTATACGAACAACTTCGTCCCATCCCACTCGTTCACCCGACACCGTACCAATCGAAGCCTGGACTAAGCAGCAGCGAGACATCTCCCACCTGAGACCGTTTGGGTGTGATTGTTGGGTGATGCTCCCGCGAAGACGAGCAGATGGCAAGTTGGGCAGGCAAGCCATTAAAGGGAGGTTGTTGGGATACATGGGTAGACGTGGGTATCGGCTGTGGGTACCAGAGGACAAATGAATAGAGGAGTCGCATGACATGACGTTCGAAGAAGGTGAACCTCACAGGACACGAAAAAGAGAGGCAGAAGAGGATGACGCAGAAGATGTGCTACCCGATGGGAATATCGGACCTGGGAACCCGGGAATCAATAACAACGCGGGTAGCAGCCCGGAGGACCCCAAACCCAGTGGAGATGACCCAGACAATTCGGCGCCCACATCCGACATCCCAACCATACCAGCAAACCCAACTGTCCCAACACGGCGTAGTGAGCGAGGGCACGTTCCGTCACGAAGGTTCATAGAAAGTGAGGAATACGAGGGAAGAGAAGAAGCAGCCAGGAGGAACGGAGAACAGTGGTCCACAGACCAACTCGCCAACGAACCATCCCCACTAGCACTTATCAGCCAGAACCGCTACGCATTCGCAGCTACATCCGGAGAACTATGGGTACCGCAAACATACAAACAAGCAATGAGAAGACCAGACCTCTGGTTCACACCTATGGAGAGGGAGTTCAACATGTTACTGGACAAAGACTGCTGGGAGTTGGTACACAGTCAGGAAAGAAATCCATCAAAATAGCATCACTCAGATTATGATTTGTGGCTCGGACCAAACAAGGTCGTATTCTAAAAAGGTCGAGTGGTTGTACCAGACTAAATCCCAAATTATGAGCTGGAGTTCTTATGTGTTTGATATCCTTCCATCCTTACGGAGCCAGAAACTTATGATATTACTCTATACATGGCATTTCTCCTTCCATAAAATTTGCTTGTTTCCGATGGTCTCCAAAGATGTATCCGTTATACCCGCTCATCACAAATATCGACAGAAAGCATTCAAATATTGTATACGACAGATGATATCAATTGTGAGTTAAACTAGAACTGAGTATATTCATCATCATGGTTTGCCAATCCATCTTCTATGTCCCCCGGGGCTCTAGGAACGCTGTGGGCGTTATTAGGAACCTCTGCCAGAGGGGCACGTACAGTTGTTGTTCCGTTATTGCTGGCTGTGATGGGAAGAGCAGGGAGCAGCACGTTACTTGGTTTTCCGAAACGCTCCCAGTCCGCCTGCACAGTCTCACAGAAATATCTATTGATAGGGGTTCAGCGAAATTCAGAAATAACAGGACGACCAGCCTACTCCTTCCACTTGCCGACTTTCACATTCGGACCATAATCATCAATCTTCTCTTTAAGACATTTGTCAAAACGACCCCAAAAGGCCTCATCCTGCGCTTGACGTCCCCCATTATTTGTCTTCCGTCTCTTCAACACTGGTCCTTGTTCGTCGCACTCAGATTCACGCATAAAACGGCGCTATGAGAGAAATTCAATGGAGTGGAAAAGTGTGAGGAAAAGTACTCACAATCACGGCAAAGCGAAATTGGTGCAATGTTCCACCACCTCCACCTTTGACGTATTTCTTGCAGAGTGCATGTGTAGCCTTTTCCAAGTTCTGAGTTTCCTTCTTTCCACTCTCATCGATAACGATAGTCGCCATTATCTGCTCACAAGAGTGATGAAAATAAATCAGTATGGGGGATACAGCAGAAAACTACACGTACATCATCGCGAAATTGTTGCAGAATCTTGTTTCCTGCAGCTTTTGCCGCTTACTTCAGAGCAGTTTCAGACTTAGTCTTGGAGAGCATCTCAGTCAGGTCATGCATGTTGGCCTCAGCTTTACATCTTGCCTAGCATGGTATAAGTACGGCGCAGAATTGGAGTATTAGCACAGACCCAGACTGCGATTCCCACATCACCGTAGGAACTACGTGTAGGATTTGCACATTCATCACGCGCAATCATACGAAGAACGTTCTAAAAAAGATTTGTAAGGCTCGTTCAAAGTACACCAAGCATCATACCTTTGTGTCAGCCGGTATTTCCACATGCTTCGAAAGCTGATTCATGGCAACGTCAACCACTTCTTTAACAGATGAAGACTGCGAATTGTTGTAGGTGTATTTATTTTCTGAGCGACATATGGCTGCGTGTGTAAGAAGATGAAGTTTGAGTGGTTCTGTTTCCATATTACGAGCAAGCTGGGGAACGAGGTCAGCCAGATGGAAGCAGATGGTGAACTGACACACAACGACCATGCCCTTGATTTCGCGTACTTGGTTGGGCTCTAGAGCAAACTGAGCTCTAATTTCATCAACCCACGTCATTAGGACTGCCGTTTCATTGTTAGACCTTGGGGTCTTACGCATACTACTGTTGAAGATGGGAACTGTCAGCTCTTGATAGCCGTTTGCTACAGGCTGGGGCAGGTAGCTGTCGAACTCATCGAGTTCATCCATGTCCTCATTTGAGGTTGAATCTGCAACACGTAAGTGAAAAAAAAAACATGATACAGGTTCAGATATAAATTACTAGCATGTCCAGAGTCAGAAAAGTAAGATGATCTATTTATTGGACTTGGGGGACAGTCGTCATGGCCATCTGTGTTTGAGGGAGGTTTTTTGAGCAGGTCGTATAAAAAAGGGAACACACGAACCAGGCGAAACCCCGAGGTGGCGAACATCTTGCCCATTGGTAGGTACCGGAAAGCTGCTTGTACCATGAGCTGATTGCAGAGGCGGCCTTGCTGAAGGGGTGTATGGCCTGTTAGCTGCTATACGATCTCTCTGAGGCCTAGAGGTGGCTCCCATGCCCACGCCTACTGGGTTGTCAATATTCCGTAAGAAATTTGGATAAGATCCCATTCGGGGAGTAGAGATGGGTGAGGCATCTGAAGGCCGGGGCTCAAAGTCTGCAGTTGATCCAAAGTTGAAGCTCATGGCAGAAGGAGTCAAGTTCGAGTCGAAAAAAAATGGTGCCCGTTGAAACACGTGCAATATTGCCGCAAATTCGGCCAACTGATTCGATCCTCCTTTCCTTTCCAGCTCGAACCAGAAGCATTCAAACACAGCTGCTAAGGACCGAAAAGCTCCCCCAGTCTGGAGATGAACGCCCTTCCTAATGAACCATCAGATAACATGGAGGTAGACTCTAATCCAATGCCAATTGCTACTCCAGGGACCCTCGACGAGGTCCTAACTCATGCAGGCTTGTGCGATAGCCTTCACTTGGTTCGAAACAATTCGTTGACGTAACTCGGATTTTATAGCCCGTCAGGGATGGACTCGGCCCTCATTGCTTCAGAAGAATATTTAGCACCTCTTTGTGTTGCCTGCGGCGTCGACCTCACTAGTCTCAAACAGGGGAAGAAACTGGAGAGCAGTTTGGTGGAGACGTCAGGCCACTATGCCAAAAATTCCATTGGTAAGATACAATTTAATGAACAGGCGACCAGACCTTAACTTGTGTGTCTAAGGGAATGAAAAACAAGTCCTTGCACTGGACAGATTTATCTGTGCGGTCAAGTTCTCTGGAGAGCCACAGACAGTTTGGTCAAATCTTGGTTGCCTCCAAGTTACTCGGTCAGAACTGCGAAATAGTCGTGCTTACATTCTCAAAATTGAGGACGAAATTGCTGAAGGCCGGAAGTACCGCACCCAATCCCTCATCCGCAACCAGAGGCATTCGTACATGATTGATGACCTACGGCTTCAAGTCTCTGAATCGTATGCAGAGGCCGAGATACAGTGCCGGCAGGAACACTTGAGGCTATTGAAGAGGATAGAAGAGCTAGAGTTGCGACTCAGTAAAGATGAGTCAATAAAGCAAGCCAAGAGGATTGAGGAACTGGAGATTCAAGTAGCGAGGGAAAAGTTGGTTCGTGGAAAAGCGGCACATATTTTACTCAACAACCACGACCCTTGCGCTGCCAAGGACGAAGCACTCACGTTATTGAAGCCTGCTTTGGTCACAAAGTCGCCGCCTTCCTTGAAATATGACCTCAGACCCACTACGGAGAACTTTCATCAGGCTCGCGAGAGGTTATTTTGGAAGCAAATAGCACATGAATTATTATCACAGGAAGATACTTCGAAGTAGTTGATTTATAGCACAAAATACAGACTTTTCCTATTCAAAAAGTGCACGCCTTGAGTTCATCTAATGTACAAAACAAATTTAAGCCTTCCTTCCAGCCTGAACTCCGTTTAGCCCATGCCTCCATAAATTTCTGAGGGTCCTCTGAACGAAATTCCTCCTCTGTTCTGCCGCCGTACTCCAGCCATCGACGGACACCCCCTGCAGTGTATTGAGTGACTGAGATACGTGTCTCGCCAGGTGCTGTTGGGAGATTTGAGTGGCGGATTAAAGCCGAAGGTAGGAGAATCGTAGCTCCAGGGGGAAATTCTAGAATGAGCTTGAAATCCCAAAGAACAAGATGACCACTCTGCTTATAGTTGTACTTTCCCCCCGTTGTTATAGCACATGGGACACGCACGTCGTTCTTTGAATCCGTGTGTATGTGCGTCCATGTGGAAGGTCCAAAATTGACAGTCATGCAGAGATATACGCTGTTGTCGAAGTTGCGCCTCAGGTGAGGCAACTTTAGTTCAAGCTCTGAATTAAGCCGTAAGTGCTCGGCATAATTTCTTGGGAACCATGTCGCAAAAGCACCTGTTGGTTGAGAGGTCAATAACCGCGCGAAGTCAACCAGTTTCAGAGGGACTTACTGCTCTGAAAGCCCGCAACTCGACGAAAGCAGTCTTTCTTGAATAACTCATCCATCATGGGTTGGCGGTCTCCTACCAAGCGCATGGGTTGATGCTGCCCCTTCCCATATGAAATTCCTCTGGCTAAGGCAGGAAAGTTTCCGCGTTTGTGCTTCTTTTCCTTGTTCGTCCATGCCGTCTCTTGGCCAGCTTTCAAGATGCATTCAGTCATGTCCTCCACTGCTGTTTGATACGTGGGATCACTCGGCCCCTCAAGCATGCAGACCATGACTCGGTGTTCCCCATTGTCACGAAGCGGCAGAGGCGGAGTGACTAGCGGAGCAGGAAGCGGGGTGACTAAGCCAGGCAGAGAGGCGGAGCGACTAAGCAGGTGAGTGAGGCGGAGCGACTAAGCGGAGCGGAGGCGAACTGGTCCCAGATAATGACAGAGATATATTGAGTATCGTAGTCATAGGTAATAATAAGTAAGCACATACCTGGTCCCAGATAATGACAGAGAGGTCAAGATAAGGGACCAGGCTGTGGAGGGTTGGCTATATATACATAATCTAGTCTGCGAGAAACAACGATGTAATACTGTACAGTTCAGGGGCAAGGAAGGAGGCGGAAGCCGATAGAAGGAGAAGGTGGGTCAGGTGGATCAGTAATAGATAGATCAGTAATCGATGGAGATTGACAGCGATGGGATGATGTATTGTACAAGTAAAGGCGTCGAGACGGTGAGAAAGGGAAAATGATAGGGGCTGCGTAATGATAGGGGCTGCGTACTTTATGACATTACCCCCCTCCTTATGACCATTGCCCTCGATGGTCAAGGTTTTGCCGCTGTCGGATGTTTTTTGTGAAAGGCCCGAACAATTTTTGGTGCCCGGCTGAGGTTGGGTGCGGGTTCCCAAGAGTTGTGTCCTGCATCGTAACCTTTCCATTTTACTAGATATTCCAACTTCTTCCATCGTACTCGACTGTCCAAGATCTCCTCCACTTCATATTCCGGTTCATCTTCATCTTCTAAGTACACCGGCTCTGGTGGTGTTGGTATTTCGCCATTGATGGGGTTACCTTTCCATGGATATAGTTTGTCGACATGAAAGACAGGATGAAGGCGGTCTAATGACAAGGGAAGGTCAAGGCGGTAATCCAGAGGTCCGACTTTCTCCAGAATACGGTAAGGTCCTAGCTGTCGGTCTCCTAGTTTTTCACTGGATAGCTGCAGGTTAATGTCCTCCGCACTTAGCCAAACTAGGTCCCCAACTTTGAATTGATGCGCTTTTCGCTTCCCACGTTCGTATCCCTCCTTTTGTTGCTTCTTTCCTAGATGTAAGGCAGCTCCAGCATCCTGTCGCGCTTCTCGGAGAATCCGTATGCGGTCATCCACCGCTGGAATGCCGCTGCGTTGACCAACCGGGATATTGAACAGGGGAAGGTATCCGTAGGTTAACTCGAATGGGGACATGCCTAGGGCCGAGTGAGTCCGCGAGTTAATCACAAACTCCGCCATGGGGAGGTGTTCTGCCCAGTCATCTTGTCGTCGTCCCACATAGAGGCGGATGTATTTTTCCACTTCCTGATTTGCGCGTTCAGTTTGGCCATTGGACTGAGGACGATATCCGGAGGTTAGATCTGATTTAATTCCCAGTCTAGCGAGGAGGGATCGCATGAGTTTAGCTGCGAACTGAGGTCCGCGGTCGGATTTGAAGTGGAGGGGAAGACCATGGAGACGGAAGATTTCTCGGTAATAGATATCGGCGACACCTTCGGCTGTAATGGAGCTAGTGCAAGGAATAGCATGGATTTGTTTTCCATACAGGTCTGTACAGACCAAGACTGCGTCGTATCCCTGGGAGTTAGGCAATTGTGTTATCAGGTCGACCCCTACCTCTTCCCATAGGCCGGATGGTACATCCAGTGGTTGAGTCACAGCTCGTGGGTGCCGTTGGATCTTCTTGCGGGCGCAAATCTCGCATCCCTCAACGTATTTCTCCACAAAAGAACGCAGTGTCGGCCACCAGAAGTGGGTGCTGACCAGGTCAAGTGTCCCATGTAATCCGGGATGTCCAGCAGTTGGATGATCATGGCATTGACGGAGTACCTCGGTGCGTAGATTGTTGTCTGCTGGTACATATACCCGGCCCCGGTAATAGACCAGCCCGTTGTCCTCCTCCCATTCAGCTATCCCATTGGCCAAGCGTTGTAACCCGTGCTTCTTGACTGTTTCCAGACCTTCCAGTACTTGTGCTTCCCGTTCTGAGGCTTTCCGAATACGATCCTCTAGGGGGTTCCGTAGGATTGAAGCGGCGATTTTGGTGAAGTGGCCAGGTTTAAGGACGGTCTGTTGCTGATTGTCATCGCTATCTGATACATGATGTACTGCCATACGAGAAAGAGCATCAGCTTGGGTGTTTACTCGGCCTGGACGGTGGATCATATGAAAATCAAACCGTGATAGATATAGGGCCCATCGGGCTTGTCGACGGGTAAGGTCTTGTGCTGTGCGCCAGAATTCGAGGTTGGAGTGATCGGTGATAATGTCGAATGGTTGTGGAAGTCCTTCCAGGAAATTCCTCCAGTCCTTCAATGCTTCAATGATGGCAAGCATCTCCCGATCATATATTTCATAGTTCCGTTCTGCTGGCTGCATGGATGCCGATCTGAAGGCTACCGGGTGCCACTGACCATCGTCTTGCTTCTGCATGAGGGCGCCTCCCGTAGCAAAGCCTGATGCGTCTACCTCAATTCGAGTGGGCCGATCTGGCGCCCATAGAGCAAGGATTGGTGCGGAGATGAAGGCCTCTCGAAGGGTGTCAAATGCCTCCTGTTGTGTACCAGTCCAGTTAAAGCTGGTATCCTTCTTGGTTAGGTCGTTCAAAGGTCGAGCTATTCTTGCAAAATTTCGGATAAAGCGCCGGTAGAAGTTTGCAAACCCCAAAAATCCTCGCAGTTCCCGGAGGTTGGTAGGGACTGGCCAGTCATGAACAGCTGCTACTTTGACCGGATCCATTCTCACCTCCCCTTCTGAAATGATAAGTCCCAGGTATTCGATCTGTTGCTGTTCAAATTCACACTTCTCTGGGCGCAAATAGAGGTCGTGCTTTTCTAGTCGCATTAATACTTCCCGTACCACTTGTCGGTGTTCCTTGAGGTCGTTACTGAATATGAGGATGTCGTCTAGGTAGACTGCCACCTTGCCAGCTGCAATGAGATCAGCAAATATCGCATTCATAAGTGCTTGGAATGTGGCAGGGGAATTTGTGAGACCGAAGAACATAACCTTAGGCTCGAACAAGCCCCGAGTTGTTGCAAATGCGCCTTTCCATTCATGCCCCTTCTTAATCCGCACATTATTGTAGCCCCAGCGAACGTCAAACTTGGTGAAATATCGCGCTCCCTGAAGCCGGCTAATGATATCAGCAACTAATGGGAGAGGGTATCGGTTCTTCACAGTATACTCATTCAGTTTCCGGTAGTCCTGTACGAAACGGAGTTTCCCATCCTTCTTCTTCACGAAGAAGACTGGAGATGAGATGGGTGACTTTGAGGGAACGATGTAGCCTTTCCGTAGGTTTTCTTCTAGAAAGCGGTCGAGTTCCTCCTGCTCGTTCAAGGACATTGGGTAGATCTTTGTCCGCATGGTTGCTGGTGCTCCGGGTACAAGATCGATAGCGTGATCCCAGGGCTGATGGGCAGGTAATCGCTCAGAAGCAGATTCGGAGAAAACCTTCTTGAAGTCTCGGTACTGCTCAGGGACCATCTCCTCAAAGGTTTTAATGGGTTTATCGCGGTTAGCCTCCTCTGCTAGTTGTTGAGAATAAGTGAACCCTGCTGAGCACCATACTTCCTCTGTTTGTTCTTCCAATATCCCCGCTTTCACCCATGCCCGACGCGTTTTGTGATTGGCTCGTATTCGGTGTATTGGGGATTCCTCCGTTGCTGTTATGACTTCATTCTCCTCTAGGTCTGCCTCAGTGTGATTGGGTTCACGTTGGGATCCTTCGTTCAGGAGTTCCTGGATTGGACTATCGGTAGTAGACGCCACTAGGTGAGGGTGTGAAGTCTGCTCATCTTCTACTTCCTCTATATGTACCCGGGGTGGCTTTACTGAAAGTCGTCCCTTCTCCCAGTCAATCTCTGGATTTACCTTCCGTAACCAGGGGAGTCCGAGAATAATATCCTCTCCTCCTAAGTTTGTGATCAGGAAATCCATCCATCGCTCCTGGTTATCCACTGTGAGTGCTAAGCGTGCAAAGTGGGTGATTCGCCCAGCTCGGTTAGGTGTACCATCGATATTGAATACATCGATTGGTTTATGGAGGGGTGCGCAGGTTACGTGATTTCTGGTGGCAAAGTCTTGGTTTAAAAACAGGGCGGTAGCTCCACAGTCTACCATGGCTGCGGTTGTTATACTATGGTTCCTTCCTCTCAGTTTCGCATGAATTCGGAAATGTGGGGAGCTGGAATTTAATTCCCAAATAGATGATATTGTACATGATGGGAGCGAGTCATACGAAGAGGTAGCGAACATAGTAAACTGATTATGGGGTACTCTCGGTGCAGCCGGAGCGGGTACCCTCTTTAAAAACCCTGCTGAAAACCAGAGGACGGAGGAGACATGGCATTAGCACGGTCCAACAATTCCCTTATTTGTCCAATTTGGGTGGAGAAGTCCTGATTAGCGGGGCTCGGTGTAGCAGGTCCAGCGACAGGTGTTGGGATTGAGGCGGCAATCTGAACTGATTCGTTTGGGAATAAGGTAAATGGTGCCGCCGTGGCTGAGATCTGCTGACGGCGAGGCTGTTGGCGTCGGCCACGGTCGCGACTAAGTCCCATGAACTTGTCCTGACAGACGGATTCTAGGTGTCCCCGGCATCCACAGTATCGGCAGGTAGTCTCCTTGTGTGGGCAATTCTGCTTAACATGGCCTTGAGCTCCACAACCAAAACATCGTCCGCGCATACGGGCAAGGAAGGCCTCCCTGCTATTCCCAGTGCTGGTATGAGTAGCATCAATGTCCATGGCGTGAGGGTCGGCAGGGGTAATGTGAGCGGTGTGTGCGGGAGCGTGTCCGGTGTTTCGGCCGGTCATGGTGGGATCATGCAGGTAGACATCCACCGATATGGCTCGTTTGATTGCCTCTTTCAAAGTCGGAGCGATTCCTTGGGCGATGTTTACGATGATAAGGTGTTGTCGGATCTCCGGAAGTAAGGCGGTGAAGAAGCGTTCCCGTAAATCAATATCAGACATTTCAGTCCGATCTCCGATATCCTTGAACTTCTGGGCAAATTCTGCAACTGTCTGCCCTTTGCTTTGTCTGAGGTTCTTGATCTCGCTACGGGCTTCCATACCTGGGTCCATTGGTTCAAACCGCTGGCTAAATTCCTTCAAGAACGTATCCCAGTTTCCTCCGAAAGGGGGATTCTCTGCACTGAAGTGTAACAGATGGGGAGTTGCCCAATCTCCAGCACTTTCTGTGAAGAAGCCCAGGGCGGACTTGATAAGTTTAACTTGGCTCTTGGCGAGATCCGGTTGTTCTGACGCCCAATTTTGGAACTGAGCCATGAAGCGGCGAGCTTCAGCACCATCTTTACCCTTGAAGACCTCGGGTTTGTTCATGCTTGACTTGGATGATGAGCGTTCCTCCATCGCTGTAGCAAGGCTGGCTACTTGTCTGATGAGCTGAGCCATGAGATCCTCAGCAGAGGTATTTGGGGCAGGCGGGACAGGAGTCGACATGATGGGAGTAGGCAGTCGGGGTTGGGGAATTGGCAGGAAGGTTATATTGCTCACAGTGAGTGGCTCTCGGATCGAGTTCGAAAGGGCGTTGGGGCAAGGTTGAGACTGGCAATCGCGCCAAGTATCGTTGTTGTTGTGGGCGTGAGCTTGGTCTCTGGGGTCAAGTGCGTGCGGGAGTGCGGAGCAGTCTATACTGGCAGCAGGTGTTTCAGAATCGGGCGGGACTGGGGAAGACGTGGTGTCTACGGATCCTGCAAGGACAACCTTATCGGTAGGCTGTCAGTGCAGTAATGGATCTTGACCTAATGTCACGAAGCGGCAGAGGCGGAGTGACTAGCGGAGCAGGAAGCGGGGTGACTAAGCCAGGCAGAGAGGCGGAGCGACTAAGCAGGTGAGTGAGGCGGAGCGACTAAGCGGAGCGGAGGCGAACTGGTCCCAGATAATGACAGAGATATATTGAGTATCGTAGTCATAGGTAATAATAAGTAAGCACATACCTGGTCCCAGATAATGACAGAGAGGTCAAGATAAGGGACCAGGCTGTGGAGGGTTGGCTATATATACATAATCTAGTCTGCGAGAAACAACGATGTAATACTGTACAGTTCAGGGGCAAGGAAGGAGGCGGAAGCCGATAGAAGGAGAAGGTGGGTCAGGTGGATCAGTAATAGATAGATCAGTAATCGATGGAGATTGACAGCGATGGGATGATGTATTGTACAAGTAAAGGCGTCGAGACGGTGAGAAAGGGAAAATGATAGGGGCTGCGTAATGATAGGGGCTGCGTACTTTATGACACCCATCTGCAAGTGGCACGCTTTTGCTACAAAAAGGGTCATTTGTTGAGAAGAGAAAAAAAGGGGTAGTCCTCAAACACTTACCCTGTCTGCCACTCGACAACTTGGAAGCCCTGCGCCTTCATTTTCTCTAACTCTCGACGAGCTTTAGCACCATACCAATCTGCGTCAATACCAATGAAGCCCCCAGAAGCCACCGGCAACGTATCGCTCTGCAGATGGCTAGGTATCTCCCGAGCAGGTAAAACGTGCCTCTCATGAGCCAGCCGTTGGCCCGGAGGAGCTCTCGATTTCAAGCGCTCTTGTGCGCGTTTGAAAGCTCGGCGGCGATTTCGAGGATCCTGCGGCCTTGGCTTCTTCTCTGGCTGGCCGGAAACAACGTCAGATGCATGCCGCGGAGAAGCCAGCAAGCGTTTGAGGGACGCGTCTGACAACAGCGTAGCTGAAGCGGAGGAGGAGATCGCGGACGCATCCGGCGATGTCGTAGTTGGGCAGGAGAAGGGTGTGCAGGAAGGCAGGCCTGGCGGGTGTGGTTTGGAAGACTGGGAGATAGAGGGAGAGGACAGACGGGAGGGCGTCTCCGACCACGCTGGCTCTCCCAAGCCAGCTATAGGTCGCGAAAACACAGCGGAGGAGGAGAGTATGCGGTTTTTGGATGAGGACGTGCTTGGGGCATGGGGAGCAAGGGCATTTGGCCGGACTTCTTCTTTTGTGGCAGCTGGGACGATTTCCGATGGGGGCAGGCGCGCAGATAACGATGAAGCAACTGACATGGAATGGGGAGGGAAGAGCGATTCCAGACGACCTGGTACCTCTGGATCTCGCGAATGAGGCGCTGCTTTCGTTTCCACTGCATCGTCTTCCGCATCCGACAAATCGCTGTCATCTAACCCGACGACATAACTGCGATCATACGCTTTCTTCATCAGCACCGAGCCATCCACCTCGAGGACGATGTTGTCGACGTTTTGGAAGGCTGTGGGAAATCGAGGAGACATTAGGTGGTCCTGCCTAAGTATATGACAAATATCAGCAAGATATAGGAGGAAAAACAGCCGCCGACGCGTCGAAGAGAAATCCTCGCGTTCTGGAGGCATCAAGCCACGGCAAAGCGCGACCCCGACACGTCCAGGTTTGAACTTGCATGGGCGCGCTTTGCTCCGCTTTGAGCCTCTCCAGGGAACATATGGGGCAGGAAAAGAGCTTGCACCCACCTTCAGAAGAGTTGTAGTTGTGAGGAAGCGAAGGAGCACTGATGCGACTTTGTTTAAACAAAGTCGAAATGGCACAACATGTGACTAACACATGCGCCACATTGAAATAAATCCGGACCGAGTCAACCGGCATTTCACTGGCTCTTAATCGAGTTAATACAAAGATATAATATTACTCCCTGCCCGTGGTCTACCGGAATACAAATAAAGGCGGTTGTGAGCACGACTTTGCTTGGGTTGTTGTGCATAGCACTTACAGCGGCATACCTCAGCTGTTAGTTGTTCAACTTCGTCGGGAAAGAGCGGTAGCTTGTAGCAAAATCTCCTTCCATTTGCTATAGAATGCGTTGGTGACGACAATTTCACACCCATAATGTACGTGATTTTATGCAGCTCAGCGGTTCTCACCCCCCCCTTCTCCCCCTTCTGGCACAAGTCCGGCTGTTATGTCCAGGTTGTCCACAGGATGTACATGTGGGGTGTTGCCGACTCGTACCAGCAACCTGTTCATGCAGAAATCGCTGGAGAATAGGGTTTCCACGGACATGCGGAGAGTTCGACCATTGGACATCTTGAAATGGAGACATTGGTGAAAGAGTCGGGGGATACGGTGAGGGTTCTCGCGGAAGAATTGGGCTCTGAGCCCGAGCTGGCGTTCGAACGTCGTTGCGTGTAGAGCTCCGGCGAGTGGACTCCATTTGCGATTGAAGCTCTCGGGCAGCTCCATCCTGGATAGCGAGGTCTCGGTTCAGAGGAGGAAGAACAGGTCGGAAAGCTTGAACGTAGACACCGCTGCGCATTTGATTTGTGTTGAGTAAACGGTCATTGGGGTTGTAGTGGTGTGTGCGAGGCAGACGCTTCTGCGTCGTCTCACGTTCTTCACGAACAAGGCGAAACTCGGAAAGATCGCAGCCATTCGCTTGGCAGCGGTGCTGTGTATTGACTGGACATAATATGTTCTATGAATGTGTTTAGGTATTTATGAATGAATCGAGAGGAAGAGAAGCCTAACCTCAGCTTTGATCAAAGTCCAGTGCCCTGGCTGAAGGCGATGGAGCTTATAGGTGTCATCAACAGGGCCCAGCACCCATAGCTTCAAAAGAACAGCCACTTCTGTGCCAGATAACGCCTGCAGTATTTTATGCACTTCTCCAATGCAAAGGGGTTGAATCTGTTGCTGATCATGAGGTTTGACCACCACAAATTGTCCCACAGAATAGCATTCAAGTGAGAGGGATATGGCCTGTTCGTAGAGATGGAACAGTCTATTTTCGGCGCCGTGGATAGCAATCGGGACCTTTTCCATGGCTAGCACCTTCGAAGAAGGCTGATCCAATTTGGCTAATTTAGTATATACACCGCGTCCTAAGTACGTGGATATTCAGGAGGTGCTGGATCAGAAATGTTGGGGGGACATACCTGGGCGAGGTTTTTCTTCCTCCATTACATGGAGTCCGTATGCACGCGCAACAGGGCTTTGCGATTTTCCCAGACTGGTCCACGCAAGCTTGAGGGGAAGAGGACCCGCACAGACCCAATGCTTGGGGTCATCACTGCATGACAAGTAATTTGACGGGGATAAACTGCTTTTGGAGGTTTCAGAGGGGTTGAAGAAGACTCCTCCGTGGAGAAGATGTCGAATGCAACTGCATTGCGCAAAGCCCCGACCTATGTCCCGGGATGGAGCCTGGTGGTTGCTGTGAACACTGTGATCACGGATAATGGCATTAAATGACTCGAAGCCTTCTGTTGCATAGAGGATTGCAGGCCCGAAACGACGAATATGCATGGGTAAGTGTTTGATGATGTGAAATTTTGGTTTGTTGAACCATCGCGGAGTCCAATTGGCGGCGCAATCAAGGAAGCGGTCGACAGCAAGCTCAAGAGTTGCCTGCAAATCGAATTCAGACCTAGAACATCATAAGCAGTGAAGTGAAAACCAACCAGATATTCATCTAAATGATTAATTACGGGCTGCCAGACAAGTGGAATGAGTGCACTGAGCGAAAGCCAGGCTTCAAAACATTCTTTTGGAACAAGGTCGTAAAGGACAAAAGGGGCAACTTGGGCAATAGCTCGAAAGTCTCGGCCAGTGAGAGATCGCGCATACTTGACCAGCGTCTCGCCCGCCAGTGGAGCAAGACCCATTGACGAGACATCAACTGAAGCCAGTCGATTAGTCAAAATTTCTTTCTGAGGGTCACTGAGGCGAGCAATGGCATCTCGCCAATAGTATTTAACAAACCCAAGAAGAATGACATGCAGGATCTCCACTGGTGTATCTCGATGAGGGTCCAGTCCTTGAGAAGGTTTATTTGCACAAAAATTCATATCATTGAGCAAGCAACACACACCTTTGATTCTCCATACAGGGCTAAAGACATTTGGCTCAGATGGAATGTTTTCTGCCACAAAATTGTCGACAAGTCTTTGTTTCTGAGAAGCGGAGGTATTTCCAGGTATCTTTGCCACAAAAGAAACTATCTGCTGATTGAATCTCTCGAGAAATGTGTCTTTAACACCTGTCTGAGTAACGATTTTTTTGGACTGAGTCTTGCCATTATATTTCTGGGAAGCAATAAATATACTGCGGAGTGTTTGGGTTGTATTCTCCGGGGATCGTGTCTCATTCATCTGAAATGTCTTGTCAGCGAACCACAGGAAGTAAAGCTGCCATGGAAGTTTACCCCAACAAACCGCTTTGCTCTGGCAATAAGCTCTTGCATAGTTTCTTTGCGACGACCACGTTTCTTAGTACCCTCGTCACCTGTATTGGAGAGATCTGACTGAACTGAGACGTCATCGGAAACAGGCCCAGGAGCTGGAACAGCTGTCTCGTCTTCTGCATCCCGTCCCTTCACAAAGCAACAACGACAGAAGAACTTGCCGGCAAGGCCAACATGGCACGCAAACTCACTTTGCATGGGGTTGTCACCCAGCATTGCCAAAACTACCGGTATTATTAGCACCATGGCCTGACGCTGAATATCCCACACCCATATACCCTCCAGCTGACCTTGTCTATGGGGTGGTTTGGGTCAGTAAGTGGTGCAACAATTGTTGGCAGCATTTATTAGACATACTCAAGCTGTTTCGTGATCCCATCCAGCATCTCCAATGGAGGCACTAGGTTGGATGTGCAAAGAAAATGAACATTGCTTTCCTGATGAGCATATTCCCGAGGAAGACCAGCGGCGGTAAAGAGAAAGGAGTTATGTTTGTTCCATTTCTTCGAGACATTCCCAGATGTGTCATCGCAATACAGCCACATTGCGAAGTTCAAAACTTCATGGCCCTGGGCTAAGACTCTCCAGCGGTTTGCAAACCCATGCTCGGCAGAAGTAAGTGTCCAAGGCTGAATGCCTTGGTTTTCGTTCGAGTTGGTGGTATATACTCCTGTGGGTAGCCATAAGCTAATTAAAGAACAAGGTTCGAGCCAAATGTTACAGCACCTAATATGTTGCGAGGGTCAGGTATTCCATCCAAGTCATAAGATTCAACCAGATATGGGAACGAGCTGAGAAGACAAGAAACGGGAAATTGAATAGTCTGATGTTGGTGAACAACAAAGCCGCATCCACTGAACGTTGAACAAATTTCGACGCTCCAAGCTAAACCAAAAAATTGCTGCTCTGGACCTCCCGGAAGCCCTCGACTGCATGTGAGCCAACGAAATGGAATTACGTATGTACCGTTATCCAATTTTGCCAGTTCATGTATGAAAAAATCCTGTCCGCCAACACGTACCATAGGCGAGGAAAGGTCGGGATCAAGGGTTCTCCAAGCATCTGCTTGCCAGGCATGCTCTACATGCTGTCCACTGTCTTCGGGATAATGGTGGATGTGTGGGCGAATTTTGGGGTTGCCCATTTCCTATCAGCAACGATGTTTGCACAAAAGTCCTATTTGTGGTTGTACTCTCACCTGACGAATAAGTCCTGCAAGCTGATTGATATAATAAACATGCCCTAGTGGTCCTTTCTGGCGCTCTGTCTTGATCCCACAAAGAGTTTGTAGATATTCACCTACACTCTTTGCAGTGTCAGTTGAAGGTGCGTTATCCACTCCAAATGAGGCAATCCCCCAGAGAATGATGTCCATTTGTGCATCTGAAAATAAAGAACGAGGCAGATGACGAAGCACATCCAGGATACACGTCTACATTTTTGAGTCTCCTGGAACACTTAAACAAAACTGGTGTTCACTAACTTCTTTATCAGACCAGGGGAACCACGCAGGGTTATCAGTTGGCTGACGACGACGAGGTCGCGGAGCACCAAAGTTGGGTAAAATTTCGAGTTCATCAGGGACTAAGCAACAATAAATTGTGGAAGGGATGAGAAGAAATCATTGCACATACCGTCAAGATCCACTTCATCTCGCTCTTGAATCTCTGGCTCCGAATCATCTGATTCACTATCTTCCAGGAGCCAGGCATGTAATTCTTCGGCAAGACGTGCCACACCACACTGCTCATCTGAAGCTTGTAATTCGGTATCTTCACCCAGGTCGAAATGAAGTGAATAATCAGTAGATTGGCGGGAAGAATCAGGATCACAATTGTGCAGTTCAATGTTATCAAAATCGAAAAATTCCTGAGCTGGGCCCTCTTCAAAAGAGCTTCGGTATGGGGCCTCGGACAACTCTTCGAGAAGCTCTCGTAATGGAGGAGTAACTCGGCGCGAGGTTTCAGGATTGGGGCTGAATGGATTAGGAGAGGTGTAATCCGAATTCTGCTGTCGATATCTAACTGCTTGCTGGTGACTCTGACGCTCTTCATGGCGGTGTACAGCTGTGGAATCTCTCCAAAGCTGATCTTCACAGACTAAACATGTCCACTGCTTGTGGTTGATCCCGCTACCTGCTTGCCAAACTAATTCTACGTTAAGAGAGTTCACTGAAGGAGATAAGAAATACTATACGAACACTCTGGATTCTTGAACGGCTTTGGGAGAACCATTGCATATAGGGGCTTGCAGTAATTCACAGAGGGTCCACTTGAATTTTAGTGGTATAGACGGAGGAGAGTTGTGAACCAAGAGGGACAAAAGATAGATACACGTCTTGATCTAAAAGCTATCCAGCTAAAATCATGAAATCAAATTGGATGAAACTTCTAAAATAATTGGATAAGATAAGATATGCTATGTGGAAGGAAATGTTTGATCAGAGAGCAAATCCAGATATTTAGTTCGGCATGGTTAAACCGCCTTTGGAAGCAATCTATGTTTAAGCCGTTACAGTGTACTGCTGCCAGCGGATGCAAACCTAACCGGCGGCAGGTGGACGTATGCAATAAAATTCGACGCCCAAGGGAATATCCTCAAACGTAAGGCCCGATACGTCGCCCAGGGATATACTCAGATCCAGGGCCAGGATTACGATAAGACCTATGGGGGGGTCGCTAGGATGGAATCCGTTCGTCTGGTATTAGCCATCATAGCAGTCCTCCGGCTGACAATCTTCCAAGTCGACTTCACCGCAGCTTTCCTTAACAGCCCTGTCACACACGACGTCTACATGAAACAACTGGACAGATTCATCAAACCGGGTTCAGAACACTTAGTCTGCAAGCTCAAGAAATCTATTTACGGGACCAAGGCAGCCACGACTGACAGGAGATGCTCGCGACTGGATACAACGAGGATGGGTACACTACGTCTCGAGCCGACCCCTGCATCCGATACCGACGAATCGGGGGAGAGTACACTATCACCAGCACATACGGCGACGACGTGTGCGGAGGTTCAACCACAAAGGCGGGAAGAGACAATGCGGTGGCAGATTTGGGAAAACGATGGGAGGCGAACGAAGTCACTACGGAGGTCCTACTAGGTATGACTATCACTCAAGACCCACGAACAAAAGCAGTCACCATCTCGCAGCGGACATACTTCCTCCGAATGCTATCTTAACTTCGGACTACATCACGTGCGACGCAGGAACACGCCACTCCCTCCGAACGTTAAACTCTCCGAATCACCATCCCCGCTCACCAAAGACGAGGCTGAGTTTATGAAAGACAGGCCCTATCGCTCCGTCGTCGGATGTATCATGTGGGGACAGGTATGTACGCGACCGGACCTCGCGTTCACGGCAAGCCTACTAGCGAGGTACCAACTGAACCCCGGACGGCAACACTGGGAATGTATCGAGTGGGCCGCCGGTTACATCCTACAGACCCTGCATTATTCCATCACATACGGCGTGCCGACACAACCAACTCCACCACCAGGGGCGGGGCTGAAGCCTTACGCATATGTCGACTCGGACCACGCAGGATGCTGAGACATGTACAGGTCCACCTCAGGATACGTCTTCTTCATGGCAGGCACCCCGGTCTCCTGGTGTTCGAAATGACAGGCGACTGTGGCTCTCTCTACCACAGAGTCGGAGTACATTGGGCTGTCTCGGGCCACACAACAGGCGGTATGGCTCTCGTCATTCCTAGCGGAAGTTGACCTGCCGCAGGAGGGAGCTATTGACATGCTGGGAGATAACATTGGCTCCGTCTGCCTCACCGAGAATTCGAATCGACACGCGTTAGTCAAGCACATCGAGATGCGGCATCATTATATCAGGGAGAAGGTCGCCAATGGGGAGGTGCGGGTCCAGCGGATTCGGTCAGGAGAAAACGTCGCAGATTTATTCACCAAGGCGCTCAATGGTACGGTCCACTCAAAATTGGTGTCAACCCTTGGACTCGATCGTACGGAGTAGGGGGGGTGTTGGAACAACTCCGTACGTACGTACAGAACCCAACTATCCTGACTACACCAAGTACCGTACACGTATACGCCGTGCTTACAATAAACTGTACAGTACCTACTATATCACGCACCACAGAGACGGACGAGCTCCCTCAGTTGTTTCGATATCAACTGAGGTGAGCTCGCATAAGTATATTCGAACGTACCCATACTAACTATATCGTAGCTAAGCTACACGCTAACAGGTACATACACAATATCAGTTGTTTCGATATCAACTGAGCTAAGCTACACGCTAACAGATTTCGTCTTGCGGAACCAGCTGTAACAAGTTTGTCAGAAAGAGCATTCCAAACTCCAAGAATATTATGTACTTACGGAGCACCTAGTCTTCCTCATCTGGTTTCACTTCAGCACGGCTACCCTTGACTTCCTCCGGAGTGGCCGTGTAATCCACATCGCTAAGTTCATCTTCAGTTGGGTATCTACCCATTGAGTGAGGCAGCAGTTTATTATAGGCATCAGCTCGAACTCGAGACACCGCCCCACGACAAAAAGGATGACAAAATCCTCCTGCAACGGGGTTTTCGACCCTAATATAATATAGGTCTCCACCTGCTGCGTATTTATTATGAAAGAGAACTAGGCGATTTGGGCCAAAGTATTCTTGGCTTTTGAGGACGGACTTGATGGTCTCTCGCGCTTCACGGTCGAAGGCTGTGTCGGTATATATCGATTTTCGAAACGTGACGAAAACAGCAGGCGGGGGAGCAGGTCTCCGTGATGCTGATTTTCCGACCTTGCTCGAGTTCGAAGGGTTTGCGAACGATGACAATGGTCGCTTCTTTTCACTGAGGGACGGTTGACCCCGAGGGTGTTCAGAATGTGATTGTACAACATCGCTTCTTGCCTTCAGAATGGAAAGGATCAAGGAGAAAGCAGCCATCAAGCTCCAGACCTCCCATTATTGGGAGTATTCACGTACTGAAAAAGGGATCCCGCATGCAGAAGAGAATAATCCAATGATGAGAAGAATGTAGGCGGGGACGAGCAGACGCATGGTTTGATGGGTAGAAGGGAGTAAGTCACAGGCTGAAAAGAGTTTTAGAGATGTAAGTATATAGAGTGATAGAGTGCGACGAACGAGGGAAATTCTCTTTGGCCAGCAAAGAGAGGTTCAAAGGGAAAGAGGGAAAGAGGGAAGCCTGTTGGGGTCCGGCGGCTCTGGTCCCCATTAGTAGACCTCGTGCTCCGGAGCATCCGTCGGTCCATAAGTATAACTTGACTCTTGAGGTACTTTGGCTTATATGCAAGCCAAACATAAGACGATCACCTACGATCACTCAATGAGCAGGAAAGGAGGTGGAAAGATGGTCGAAACGTAAGGAAGCTCAGGGGATGCTCTAACACAGAAGAATAAGGCGCAAACAAAGGGAATTTCTCCAACTGGGCGGTTTGGGTGACAGAAAGAACAGCATCACGACAAAACTCCGCCATCCCATTGATGGTATTTCGAACGCCTATACAGTCCCGGAGATCTAGAGGCCTTTGTTGCATCCGAAGCAGGAAATAGAGTAGAGTTTCCCCACCTGGCCGCTCTTTTATTTCTCTCCAGTCTGTCTAATCGTCTTTCTCTGCTGCTCTCCACACAGCAGCCCATCCAATTATTCGCGTCGGCTTTTGGGTCTTCACGTATCGTTGTAATAAGTATAAATTGTATATTCTCAAAGCCTGCTCTGTAGAGGAACGAATCGGTGCCATGCAAAAACAGAAGTATTATGCGCTGCCTTGCCCGATGTAAATCAGAGCAGGATCCGAACTGTTGAAACAAACATGGATCCCCGAGTCTTCACAGAAACACCAGATCCTTCCAGATCCTTCCTCTGGAACACTCCTTCCGCCCGAGTATAGCCTGAACAATCTTAATATTCTTGCCGGTCCGTACATCGTCGTCCCGCAACAGCCCGCAACGCGTTGCAAATGTCGGATTTGATATCATATATATCAGGGCTACGCTTGATTAGCGGTTGGGTCAAATTGGCCGACGATTCCCTACGACCCCTCGGGATGGAATAATGAAAATCATGAAACCACAGAATCACGGAGATTCTGTCCCTTTGGGTCTTGGGGGAGACGAAACCTCGCTAAAGGGGTTTCTATCACACTCATACCGGTCGGGGTCGGTCGGAATGATCACATAGATGAACAAACGACTTTGACTGGACGTCGAGCGCACTTTGGTCCTTGATAGGAAAGGAAAATTTCATGTTATTGCTACAATATTGATACAAGCAATACTTCGTGAGTTGTTTCGTAAAGTGATGACCTACGATAAGAGTTGAATGAGACAAAAAGACCAATCGAAAGACGAAACATGTTGCAATAACCCTTCCTTTCGGTACCGTCAAGCAGTATAGGCAGAATATTGATCGTGCACCATTTTTCCCGGAGTAGAAGATTGTTATTGCTCGCATCGAAGTAGGGTCGTACGATCCCATTTTCTGTCTTCATGTTCAGTGCCGCATCGGATCTGAATTGCTAGGGGAGAACGCTCGGACGGTGATAGATAAGGAAGCGAAGCTGGAAGCAAACTGTTAGCCCGAAGATTTGTATGGTTTTTTTTTGGATCGCACCTTGCGCGGTCTCTGAACCAAAGTAGTCTGCGCTATCTTCCTCCTTTATGAATTATGGCCATGGTCCTGTCTTATATTCCACATCCATCCTCGACTTTCGCATCCCTGGACGATCCCTGCCTCGTTTCCTCACACAAAGAGATGCCGAAACGAGCTTTCGAGGATCTTGTGTACTACCACGAAGGATAAATCAGCTCGGATTCATCATAAACCGCGACGAAGCATCCAAGTGCTGAGAGTAACTTGGCGCAAGTCTAGAGAACAGACTATGGATGATGAACCAGCGATGACAGAAGAAATTGGGCCGAATGTGAAGACGCAAATATACAATGGAACCAAACCTACTGCTGGTCCGCCCACTAATCCTGACAATAAGCCTTTGAAGATGGGTCCTTGGTGTTACGAGGATTGTGATGACGCTGGAGGCTCTCGGAGCCGTATAGTGAAAGGACTAACATTACATGACAGACTAGGTAATACGGTGAAAGCACGCCAAAAGTATCCTGCTTGTTCGCGATATGTACTGCAAATGTAATCAATTGAGGCAAAACTTGGAGGGAGTTCTGTAATCACACTCACCTAGCGTTCCATCTTCCTCGTTGCTAGAGAATCTATTCTCTCTGCTTAATCCTGTGGAAAAAGAAAAATCTAGAAAAATACTTTAGCGTCGGAAACAGGAAATCATGCAAAAAAACGAGCTTACTCAGATTTCTGCGGTAGGTTACAGGCATGTAGAAGTCCGTAGAAAAGTGAGATCGGGCCACGGTTTGTCATTATAGGAAAAAGCACTCGATAATCCGTGGCTTGAAGCTGAGCCTGTGTGACGGAAGTCAAGAGTGCTTACTCATTAGTAGTAGAATGGACTGATAGATAGATAGTGATACCGCTGCCCTCTATTCTGTACCATTACTCCGATTTTGAGATTATCAAGAACTTCCGCACCGGGATCCTCCTGTTAAACTTCATAATGTCTTGCACCATCAACTTCAGCTTGTTTTCAATAACTCTCGTCTCTCAATTAGTCGAAGACATACACCCTGGACATGATATTTGTATGGAAAATAAATTAGAAACAGTCAACCTCTAACTCTTTGACCTCAATTCGTCCCTCTCCTCTTTCAATTTCTCGATCTCCTTCAGCTCAATAACCTTGAATGGCCAAGTGAACCAGCTCCCTCCACTTCGATACACCTTCAAACCCATATCACTCAGCATCTCATCAATCACTTGTGGCCACGTCCAAAACGCCAAATTACTACTGTAGCTCTCGTTCGCCCATAACAACATATCCGGGTAGCGTTTTCTCAGCCAAGCGCTGTTTCGATCAGCATGTGCGAGGGCTTCTTCGGGAGACGAAGGGAGTTTGAGGTTGGAGTCGTTGAGGAAGTAGGAAGAGATCCAATGGGCGGTTACTTCGAATGCGTATCCATTGTTTGTCGTGAACTGTGTAGGGAAATGTTCGGATAGATTTTAGGCAACCTAGGAGAATTGACATACCACGGCTCCATTGATAGCAAAATCTCTGTTGAAGAGATTCTTTGCTGGAACAATACCACGATAGATCGAGGAAACCCACTGTTCACTACTAGGATGTGCTGCAGGAGGATTGGAAAGACTGATGTAGTTATTCCATTCATCCTCGATTTTTACCAAGGTGGGATCAGGAGGATGTCGATTAATACCGAGGCCTGCCGCAGTTTGTTCTGCTTGTACGTTAGTAAAGGGCACAAATATACTAGTCACAACAATGAGGAACGTACCATCAAACAACGGATGCCACGAGGACGTATACCCCGTAGCAAGTACCACCGTATCTGCTTTCAACTTTCCGCCATTATTCAGTATCACTGATTCGCCGTCAGAGGAATACGAAGCTACACGCGCAGGAGCAACGATATTAATCTTTCCTTCCTTGACTAGCATATGGAATCCATTCGGTTTCGGAACCCCTTCGTCGTTAATGCGAACTCCCCAGAACGCATCCTGAGTGTTGCGGAGCGGAGAGTCTTTCGTAACACCAGCAGCGTTGAACTGGATTAGATATACTTTATGAGTGTGAGAAAGAAAGATAAAGGGAATATACAAATCGTACTGAGCCTGCGATGATTTTGTTCCAAATGAAATGTGTTATTGTACTGCCGAGGGATGTCGTGTGGAGGAATCGTCTGCATAGAATCAGTCGTGTTTATCAGCGGGCCTTCAAAAATAAATTGCATACTCTAGACGTGAATTGAGGGAGCTATGGGGCGAGAGAATACTCAGGAACCTTGAGGGGGGACGTCAAGAGTTTCAATAACATATCATGTACAGCCAAAGAGAATGATCTCACCGACTTCGACGTATGGCATCTGGCAATGGACTTGTGACAGCCAAGAACGCGTCCGCTTTGTCAAAAACAACCGATGACCTGACGCCCTTGTTTGCAAGATACGCTGCAACATCTTGAGCAGATTTCCCCCCACCGACAATAACGACCTCTCCAAACCCTCGCTCGTCTTTCCCTTCCGCCTGGAGCTTGTCGAGTTGAGTTCTGAACTGAGATGAATGGAAGACATGGCCTTTGAAAGACGCGTGTTTGGCTGATTTGGGGGATATTTCTTCCGGGATATACGGTTCACTGCATCCCTATACACCAAAAATTTCGTTTAGGCAGTGAGAGAACAGGATAAACGAAGTGTCCAACGTACTCCCGTACACAGGACGATTCTATCAAATGTTAAAGTTTGTTGCTGCTTAGTTCGTACATCTTCCACCCTCACATTCCATCCGGAGGAAGAATTATTGTTTGGCCGCATTACCCCAATAATATGGAAGCCATAACGAATGACACCTTCGAGATAATTGTCTGCAAATTTCTTCATATAATCACGCATTTCGAATCCCGACAACCTCTTTGAGTCGTCTTTTGCAGCCAGAGATGGCTGTGGCGAGAATCTGAATTCTCCATAAACACTGTTCAAGGAATACATCAACATAAAAAAGGTCAATATTAGATGGAAAGAAGACGCACTTGTTGATAGTTAAGCCCGGATATACGCGTTCATCTGACCAGACACCACCTGGCTTTGAGTCTCGAGAAATTATAGTTACGTTGGTGAACCCGTCCCGCAAAAGTGTATAAGCTAAAGTCAAAAGCAGAAGCAGAAAGGGGTCAAGGATGAGTAGAGAGGGGATAGAGAATGCCTCACCTGTGATGAGACCAGCAGCTCCACTGCCGAGTATACCAATGGATGAAGCCTTTGGATCTGACATTGAAGACGAGATGACGGCGGGAAGGAAAGAGAGAAGCGACGATCATACCTTCATTATTATCATTAAGTAATTATTGTAATGATGCTGTCCCGGGGGAACAAGAATGTCAAAGGGATTGTCACTGCCAGTTGTTGATGTCCTTCCATTTTTTGATATGTTTCTGATTGCTGTTCATGGTGTTACGAGCCATCCTCCCACCGTGAGAAGTGGAAGCACAGTTGGGGGAAGTTTTTGCCATTTGACATGGCGTAATTTGAATGGTCGTCTCCCACCAGTTCTTGCTGTTGACAGCCTTTGGACACACAAGAATAGCGACACAAATTGTGGAAGTTTCCGTGTTCAACCAACGGAAAACCCATGCGCTCAATCGGGGTCAATAATAACTGCTGGGCTCGAGAAAATCCTTGGTTTTTAACTTCGAAGTAAACAATCAGAAATGAGAAATGATACAGTAATATTCTTACCTATGTTTAATGTAAGTTGAGAAGAACCGAGAAGAACTACTAAGAAGCACATGATAAATTCCATCCTCGACCATATTGGGGCCCGATCGGAACGTTCACAGTCCGGATTTTATCACAAGTTCTCCTTCTCTTTTTCCCTCGAGCTCCTTCTTCCGCGGAAATTACGTGGAAAAACAAGCAAAACATGAACAAGTCTAAATCAAGATCCTTTCAAAAGTTGTGGCATATAAGCCAACGGGTGTTGTCTGGCAGCAAGCGAATAGTCGAAGCATTCCCACCTTGAGCAGACGAGGCTACTGCTGCAATTCCTCAATATAAAACAAGTTCTCGCTGCTCCCTCCTCTAGTTCTGTTCCGCTCTTTGTTCAGTGGAATCATGTCGCAATTGTCCCTCATGTACGTGCGGTATTTGTCCACCGTTCGTATTTTGGAGGCTGAGAAATAATCTCTATCTCAGTTTCGGGCCTATGCTCGTCGGTGTCTTCTTGAATTGTATTCTTTATGGTGGCTATTTCACGCAAGTACCGCCCACAAGCTAGAGCTTACTGTTTTTGCTTACTCCAGGTGTCCTCGCTGTACAGGTGGGTAGAATTCTGGCGCAGAGAGTCGGTCTATATGAATTCCGTCCCGGTGCTGTCAGACCTTTATCTATTTTCAAACATACAAGAAGTGAGCACTTTTCAATGATCTCTTCAATCTTATTCTCACAACCTGACATTGCCCAGAGACAACCCACGCATTAAAGCCTTTGTGTGGTATCTTTACATATTGGAAACTCTGAATACTGGTCAGTATTCTGGAACTCACATTTCTCTCTCCAAGTTTCGATGAGACTTGCCGCTGGTTCTCCTCTTCCTCCTCTCCAAAAAACATCCGAAACTTCCTCCAAATATTTCATCCTTCCTACATTACTAGGGACTTACAAATCTTCCTCTACAGGCTTTGACATCGGCATGATGCTGGAGCCACTGGTATTCAGATACGGTGAGTTTCCTTACATCCCTGTCAAGTATCGCAGCACTGGCTTCCTTCTATTTCACATTTCATGTACTAAGGGATATGTACTGATATTTGTTCGCTTTAGGAACTGAGAGAGCAGTCTCACGAGTTCCAATAAGTATGTACTGCTTAGGCCCAGTTAGAAAAAGGAAATATTGACCTTTTCCTCTCGCCTGCAGTGCTTTCAGCTGGTAAGTTGACATTTCTGCCCATACTGAGGTGTTCCCGACCCACGACTCGTGCACAGATCCTATTGTGACTGTATTGATCTCCACCCCGGTTCAAATTTTCATGGCTTGGCGTATCAAAGTAATCAGTGGATCCAAGTGGTTGTTTTATGCTATCACATTCTTCGCTGTGTGCTCATTCAGTTGCGTTCGCTCGCTCCCTACCATCTACTCAATGATACTGACCTAGTTCTTGTTATCTTCATCGACAGTCGGCGGGTTAGCAAACACCATCGCCGTGACAATCATCAACCAATACGCCAATCTTCACCAATTCGATGGATCGGTAATTACTTGGCTAGCATCCTCTGCGGTCACAGATATTCTGATAACGGTGTCTTTGGTCTGGAGTTTGGTAAGTTGATTAACTTAAGCCTTATTCTGAAGCAAAAATTGACTAATCCGAATAGTGGAGGAAACGAACTAATGTTCGAGCTACTGATGACGCGATATCTCGAATCATACGATGTAAGTGTCTATCACCCATAGCCTGACTATTGTGGTTTTTTTGACTGTATCCAAAGTGACAGTGCAAACGGGGGCAATAACAGCCGTGTCTGCAACGTTAGATGTGATATTGTTTCTGGCAGTCCCTGTAATTCCCTTCGAGATCAACTTCATGATGTTGTTACTAAAGAACTCCATTTCAGAATACCACAGTGTAAAGCATTTTCGATTTTCTTTCTTCCACATCCTCACCTAAGAATAAGGAACTTTGTGTGGGATTTCGCATTGTCAAAACTATACACCAACGCATTGATGAGCACGTAAGTTGGAAATCACTCCAGTCAATATTCTTCCGCTTATAATGCCCAACAGTCTCAATGCGCGAGTAGGATGGGCTAATCTCAATGGTCGATCTCTCCCTGGAAACAGTGTTCTCTTCGCCAATGAACCCAATTCTGGGATCACAGACTCCTCCAATACTCGGATTGGGCCATTCAGAGTTAGCGTGAGTCTGATCCTCCCTGCCTCAGACTAGCTGTCCGACCGTGAAAATACTTATCTAGGGGCGAAACCCTGAGGCAGGAATCATTACCACAGGGGTATATGAGCTCAACGTCAATGAACCCTGGAATCACACAGGATCTATACCCTCTAAAGCAGATGACGGGGATAGCAGAATGGCTTCCCATTCCACTAGTGATCTGGAGAGCGGAATTGTGGTGAGGACAGTAGTGAATAAATTAGCAGATCCGGTACCACGATCAAAATAGACACAACCCAGCAAACAATCACTTGATGAAGCATACCCTTGTCTATAACTGCTTGATGTTTCCACCATCAATGATTCTGTATGCCTATAATTGAGTGAGGCTGGGCTTAATCTCGGAGCTTGAAGGTAGATAAATGGATCCATACATGGCTCTGTTCAGAGATTCGGAGGGGAACAGACGAGTCCAAATGCATCCACCGCAGCGAGGGCTCGAAATATTATGTGCAACTCTGGGCCTTTTACCATTCCAAAATGATATATCAAATATACAGTATGTACATAACAGAAGCAATTGACAGACTTGGAAGGGGCAAAACACATATTCCGGGTTCCCGTTGTACACAATATTGTTTATATATGAGGAAGAAAATTTACCCACTCGACAATTGCAAATGAATTAGTAGGCAAACTCCTCAGTGCAAGGAATGCTTGAACAATTAGACCAAGTCTTGCAAGAACATAGAAAAAAACAACAAAGCACAAAATAATCGAAACAATATTTTCAATATGTCCATCCAGTTTATCTTTCCATAAATCAGTGCAGATAAGAGCCAGCGGAACAAATGTAACTATTAGTGAAAAGATTCTCCATAAAGTCTGCTCAACTTGAGTAGGAAATATGAAGGCCCAAGCAGCACAATGAATAGCACCGAAAATCATAGCAGCGCTGTAGGCTATGACTTTATCTTGATGCCATGAAGGTTCCAATTTGACCACCCGCTCAAACGACGATATTTTGTCAAGAGGATCAACTTCCGGATCCTCGTCAAAGACAACATTGATGACGATGACAAAAAACTTGATTGCTGGAAATGCCACACATAGGAATATTTTGAGAGGCATCCCTGCAGATTCAAACTTGACATTGAACCATATCAGGTCATTAGTGATGATGTTTAGCAGCCATTCTAAAGTATCTAGGGAAGGGAAGTCAATGGATTCTGCCTACCTAAAACCTCATCTGTACAACTTACCTGGCTGGGGCTCAGGGGTTGGAGAAGTTTTGACATCATCCAGATTATTGTTCCTGTTTTGATTTTGGATATGAATCGGATACCGAACACCTTGTGGTTTGTTCCACCAGAATATGTATATCATGACATTCATGGCTGCAAAAGCAACTGTCATAATCTCGAGCACTGTGATAGATAGGTTCTCGACTCGTCTTGCGACAAGTTGAACCACAAACCATCCAGTTTGACCTATAGCTAAGAATTTTGCTAGAGCGTCGCTGTGGCTGCGATCCTGAATCTCCTCCGCTTTGAACAGACTGATTAAATCAATATATGATTCTAATGAGTCGTCAGGAGGCCTTGGGTCCCCGGAACACCGCAATATACAGTTGAAATCGCTTCCGTCAAACAAAGCAAATCCTCCCATTAGGGCGAAATGTGCATGTGTCTCGGTCCACCCCTTACATCCTACGAATGAATAATTTTCAGCCTGACAAGGGGGAGATCTACAACATCGAACTCACTCCTTGTGAGCTTCCTTGCCGCATACCACTGTCGCGCTGCCCATAACACTAGCATCTCGGGCGCAATAAGCGCTACAATCATGAGGCTTATCCTTCGCCACAGTATCCTCCAGAAGCCTTCATTCGGCCCAGGAAGATTGGGATGAACTGATACCCATGTACAGGCGACAAGCACGCTGATGCAACTCCAAAAAATTTGCAAAAAAGTACGGCAATGGTGTATGTCATCGCATGAATCCCCCGTATCTGCAGAAGATCCTAGCATAGCAAATGAAGTAACATTTGCTTGAGCGATAGTAGCCTTTAGACTGGATATTCCAAAGTCAGGGATACGGGGAATAAACATGATGACGGGAGCACACCATGTACCTTAATGGAATACTTGCTATATAAGCATCTTCGTAGCTAGTGGCGCTAATCTTCAATGACACTCAAAGGAACTGCTTCTGAGAAAGACAATCGTTTCTGTGAAGAGAGAATCAGGATGTGAAAGGATATTTCGAACCCATGCCGGTGATTGAAAACACAAACGCAATGCTAAGAGCCGCCTCGAGGCTTGAAGACCTCCCATGTAACTACAGGTTGAATGATAGTTCAGCCTCGGTGCGAGTTTACCCCGAGAAACAGGTCAGAGGACCTTTGATGAAGAATTTATATACTAACAGATGAAGATAGAACACAAGAGAGACAGGAAAGATGATCCAGGAGCATATACCCAGTGGTATTCCACGAGATCCACTTCGAGGTTCTCCGGTTTGGTCATGCTCTCCGACCGATGATAATGGTAGGAATTTTCCAGGAGAAGAAAATGATTCACAGATACAGTTGATACCGCAATGGCAGAGGGACATGGCGCTATGGGGAGGTTAAAAAGACAGGAGGAACGTGATAGGTGCCTTGCACATGCAGAGAAATTTGGAATTGAGAAGGGGCAAAAGTCGCGCGTCAGATAACAGGGAGAATGAACAAGTGCTGAAATAACTTCGATAGTAGAGAACCATTTGTACATGGATTCGACTCCTACTTGACTCTGGTACTTGGACAGTCCTTGATCAACATGCTAGCTGGAGGAGTGGGATCGAGTATCCCGACGGAATGTGCCGGGTTTGCGAGAATCCAGGAGAGAATTATAGGCCCGCACTTGGGATAGATTATGCAGGGAGTACCCAGAAGCATCCATAGTCGTGGTAGGCAGACGTGCAATGCGGGCCGAGCATGTTCGGCCTTAACCTTAACCTCAACACTCGTGAAACTCTGCTTAAAACCTCACCTATGCTCTTTCGGGCTCAGCATGACGACAAGATGACTACAAAACATCCGATTTTATTGCGAGTCTTTCGGGTCTTTCAGGGTCTTTCCAATTTGATATTTTCTTTGCTCTCGACGTCCAAGCGGCTTCGGCTTCTATTGTGGGAATGGCGTACTCTCACCCAGGATGAACGTGCAGATTGGATAAGTGCCTGAGTAGGCGGTCAATGAATGATCTTTACCGATAGAACGTACTCCTCGTATCATTATTGCTGCTTACAATGTCAATGTCTCAGCGACCTTCCGCACAGACCTCCGCTTTCCCCGTCTGCTCACCCGGCTCTTGGTACGATGGTGATTTCCGTATTCATCGCCCGTCGTCCTGACTCTGAAAGACTCATGGCTCGAACAGATATGGTCTACATGCGTATGGAACTCGACCATCTTATGGATTACTCGACTTCAACGTCTTGTCTGCCTACTCAATCCGTATACAGATCCATACCACTGACCTCTTCTTTCCTTTCATCCGCTGGCACATCCAAGTACGCACTCAAGGCAAGATGCGGATTCAAAGGAGCTTCGCTGTATTAGAATTAGGCTGAAGGTGAACCGCACTGGATCTCGATAACTCAATAGAACCGTTCTGAGGAAAACCACTATGTTCCAAGACTTCAACCCCATCAGTGGATTCAGCGGTTGTAACCTTTCCAACAACGCTCAAGTCCCCAATGGAGCTTTTTCAAGTTTCCACTTCAAATTTTCTTATCCACCTTACCACTCTACCACAGGATTTCACTCTACAGCCGTACATTTGCACAAGATCCGACATTATTCACTCAACTGTATCTGTATGCAAATATGAGCTTTGCTTGGTCAGAGGTGGATAAGATGGTCAACTGGATTTCGGGGGATTAAAAAGGTTTCCAAACCTATCTTAAGGCATTTAAGGTTAACTATCCTGGTCCTGTTGAGCCTTCTTGTTGGGTTTCGGAGATCCAGGGCTTATGCAATTATGAGACTGTCTTTGCGTGCCGTTTCAACTTTCAAAGGTGCGCACAGCAATGTTTGGCATCTGACCATGAGCGGGTAAGCTATACAAAAATCCACCATGTTGAGTATCTATCTCTAATGAATGCCCCTAGTACTAACAATTTGGGTGGCACATGTCCAAGTACAATTCCCTCCAACCGTACTCCTGGGCCAACCAGGAACCTTCTCTGGAAATGGTAAGCTTTGATAGTCTATACAATTATACGGTCTGTATCTCCAATGACTGAATGATACGATACACTCAATCACTTAGCACAATCACAGCCATTATTTTAGATGCATGATGCTGTATGTTTCACTTCATGCATCCTCCCCTTTTCTTCCTCCCTCCCTTGCATACTTTAAGTCTGTTGTATGTAAAACCTACGGTTTATGCCACTCATGACTGTGCAACCAACGGATAGTTGATGAAATATGGCAGACAGCCAACCCCGCGAAGGCTGGTATCTTCCATGTAAGGTGGGTCTGTGCAGATGATTGGGAATGGCATGATTTACAATAATTACTCAAATGGTGGATTCCCGATGTGATAGTGCGTTTACTTGTATTCATCTGTCTATCTATCTATCTTGGTTGAATTTATTCTCTATGCTTGTAGTTCGCTCATTACCCCGGGATCTCACAGCTTAGTAAGTACTCTTTTTACCTTTCTTACATATGTGATATAGGAAGCTATCAATATGTTGAGCGCACATGACGGTCCCCATTGAGGCACTAGCAACTAGCGATAGGTGATCCACAATCAACAAGCCTGGTTCTAGAGTAGAAACGGAGAATGGTATGTAAATGATAAATATCTAGGGAAAGTACGCCCTAACGCGTAGGGAGGAGTGTTACAGAAAATATATCGAGGACTATGTATATGTACAAGATCGTAGGATAAGTTGTGACAAGTAAAAAATGAGTGTTATAGTTATGGAACTAAATGGGAGCAAAAAAAAAAGCCTGTAAGGGAGGAATTTCTTGGGCAAATCAAGCTTCGTTGTTCCTTTCTTGCATGACCTCTTCATGTAAATGTTGAAGAATTGTATCTGCTTCAGGGAACCGAGAGAGGAAGCGGCACTGGAAGTCCGGAATTGGGCTTTAATGTGGATTAGTAGACAACACACGGCTCATATAATGAAAATTCACTTGACAAGGTCCTTCGTTGGTCCCCGTTTCACTGGAGTCTCAGTCGGCTTCGAAGTATCAGGTTCAATGCGTAATGCCCATAGGATCGTAGCCATGTCAATGAATAGTGCGTTGTCGGCCACATATTTCCCTACGCATCCCCTTTACCCATCCCATACTCCATCAGCGAAAAAGCAAGCAAAATGAACATCTATCTTACCTCCTTCCAAAGCCATAAGAGCAATGCCCATCTTCATTCACGTATTCAGGCCGAAGTGCGTATTCGCCTTCCTTCTCAGTTTGTTGAAGGAAGCGCTCGGGACGGAATTGGTCGACGTCAGGTCCGTATACTTCACGGTCGTGGTTCATTGACCTGTGTACCAGTGTTGGCGAGGGCGCGTAGAACGATGTCTGGGGACTTACCACAAATTGAGGATCAAAGCTGTACCCTTAGGGATGAAGCGCCCTTCGTACCAGTCATCCTGAAAAGAAGAGATTGTAGATTAATTTTTCGAGTAACCAAGCGGAGAAATACCTCCATCGCCATGCGTGGAACAACTAATGGAATTGCTGGTTGCCATCTCAGAACCTGATCAGCATCAATAAGATGGACATAGAATGAAAGACAAGAAGACCATTCAAGGCTAACAAACCTCTTTTACTATGGCTCGGATGTATGGAAGATGTGCCATATCAGTAAAATTTGGACTCCGCAGTCTGCCCACAACACGGTCAAGCTCCTTTTGCGCTTGCTCCTGGGCCTTTGGGTACTGAATCATAGCATACATGAAGAATGATAAAGTGGTACTGGTCTGTACGGAAGTTGAGCTATTGAGAACTGACAGCACTAAAACTCAGGATACTCACAGTTTCTAGCGCGGCCACACTATCGAGGTACGAAACGTAAACTTAGTTGAGATTCGGTAACCCAGGATAAGGGGGATGAGCATACGATATAGAGCCCGTAACCCACGCTTTCTCCGTGTTCGTAAGTCCAGTGGCGAACTGACTATCTGCTAGATTGGCACAAAGACTCGTGCGCTGCTCATCATTCCGCACCTGTTCGACGATGTGTAAGAATTTTTGGATTATGACTGAAGTGCTGAAGTGTTCAGGCTTACCGCATCATTGTAAAACTTGTGGAATGTCCCCCCAATTCTGTCAAAATCTCTTCGAGCATTCCTCTTCCACCGTGCCATTGCGGTGGGTACATAGTCCAATATAGGAAGAACTTCCACCAAATAGGCGCCTGGATACAATGAACTTGTAAACCGATGGCCAATATTACAAAGGGATTGGAGGGGGTCGGACTCTGGAAGATGGAGGTCCTCATCTGGGTCAACCGTCGCTTGCACTTTCTTTTCGCTAGATAGAGACCGTTTGCCGTATACGACTGAAATAACCGTCGACGCTGAGCTGTACAACAAATCAGCAAGAAGTATAGTATGACCACATAATTAGGTCCTAACCCATTGATTTTCTCGAGCAATGTTGAGGACTTGTCATACAGCAAACCATTAGCCAGAATGATAGCTTCTTCGGTCTGCACAGGATGATACTGGGAGCTGACCCTTGCATTTAGGACTTCATGGGCTGCTCGACGCATATTCTGCCATCTATACAGGTCGGGTTGAGCAACCACTCGGTGATTTCACCACAGTACTACTACTTACGATTTACCATATCTTGCAAATGGTATCGCCAACTGACTTCCGATATACTCCGCCACGATACTTCTAGGTCGGTCTGAGTAAATTGCAGATCGCCTTTCCAAAAGCTCGAAAGCTGCGGCTTTAGTGTTGAGAACCATGACATCCTTTCCGACCATATTCAGATACGTGAGGGGGCCTTTGGGAAAGTAGATAAGCAATGGTCGTGGATTGGGAGAGGCAGATGCGTACCGTATTCATACCTCCACTTATCAAAAGTATGCCATAGTTGAGATACTCCAACAAGCTGGGGCAGGTTTCCGAGGATAGGCACACCTGGAGGGCCAGGCGGGAGGTGTTTCCTATCCCCTCCTCTCGAGTACAGTCGAATGAGTAGCACAAGCACAAACGCTGCGAGCCCCAGGAGTAGAGTATTCATTGTACAGAAAACGGATGAGTTACAAGGAAAAGGAAGCGCAATAGATAATTTGTTCGCCTTACTCGTTGGATTAATGCTTATAAGGAACTGTCAGCAGGAAGGAAAGCGACATTTCCATTACTAGGCAAATTTTGATTTTGAATATAAAACAATGTGAGTTGCGGTGAACCTTACCCCGAAACAGTTCTGAAAAGCTGAACTCAAGAGGCGGGAAGAGGCGGGAAGGTAGGTGTTGCCAATGGACAGCTTTGGGATCCTTAGTCCGTGGATGTAAGTATGTAGTTCATACCCGCCAGGGCGCTGTTCTATTCTCAATGGGGATCTACAAGGACCTACACAGATAATTAGGTCGGATCAAAATCCTGAAGAAATTGAGATCCATTGAGACCAGGTTGAGACTGGTACTTACTGACATAGACTGACATGAGCGCTCGCGAGCATCGTACCAATTCTTCACACCAAATATGCGGACATGTTGTGGTGGATGTGTAGATGTGTTGAAAATGATTGATTCCATGAGAATCGGTATGCTTTCACCAAGATCAATCCGAATCATAACATACATACCCGCATTTTCTGGGATTGGTTTGGACTTGTACCTTTGAAGCACCGCTCTTTAGGGCGCCGCGGGGGCGTCAGGTCCAAGGAACCTGATTTATGGTCGCTGTTCTGACCAGTCGAGCAATCAACGGAACTCAGATCCTATAGAATGGAGAACGACGACACTTGGACTCCAGTGCACCCACCCCCAACTTCAAGTCCTTAGTTATTCGTTCTGCACAATCTCCCCTCAGAAATTCCATAGCGATCTCTTGTTTGCATGATTTGAATTTTCGCCAACGTTTCATTTTCCGCAATAACTGGCAAGAAGAGAGCACAACCTCATGAATCCTAAGCTTGGTAAAAAAAGTGCCGGGAGGCGGACAGATGCAGATAGCAACAGCGAAATTCATTGGCTAGATAGGTATTCATTCAGTTTCTTATCTAGTTATGTATACTGTTCAAAGTTGTTCGAAGGTGTAGTACATACAACAACTTACTGTGCAGTTGCAGTCATACCTTATTGTCTGAGGAAATGGAATTCCGGGTAGACGGAAATTGCCTTTGTGGCTGTTTGTGTACTATAAAAGGGACATGTTAACAGTAGCACACTGATAAGCAACGACACTAACTGAGGGTTTGAGCCATGATATCCTTTTGTCTTTGTTCCACATCCACGGCACCGAATCTGAAGGTTAGAGTATCGGTATCCGGCCATACAAAGTCACCCAAGCTTTACTGACATTCTGGATAAAGAATAGTAAGTACATCTCTTCTGTCAGAAAACAAGCCTAAACGGACTCACATATCCATTTCTTCAAGAGACTTCCCTTTGGTTTCAGGAATAAGGCTATTATAAGTAGAACGATTGGCTAGACTCTATGATTTTACCCGGGTACAAGGCTCACAGGGAGAACACCGCTAATGCACCTATGTTCACGCTTGCGAACATTAGGAATAGCTTGTAACCTAGCTCGGTCTTCATTATAGGTGTTTGCTTGGATATCACAAAATCTAGATCACCAGTCGATTAGTAATGAAGCCAAGGGTGGGTAGAACAGCACTAGACGCACTCCAAAGCCATTGAGAGGCACTAGCCAAGGCAAGTCCGTAGTGTCTGGTCCTCGTAGGGAAAATTTCGGAGACGTATATCCAAGGAAGAGGACCTAAGTTTAGATGAAAACCTCATTAGTTAGGGTTCTTGGACGAGATCATAAGCAACGCACCCCACCCGATGACATAGCACACTCCTTCAAGATACAGCATTGCAGCCATGGCCTGGCTCGCTCGTGAAGGTGAAGAAGGAGCATCGTTGGCGCTAGCTGCAGGTGGAGGGTGAGTTTTGAGAAGAGCACCAATTATGAAGAAGAGAATGCCCATTCCCATAGACGAGATGAACAGAAAACGCTTTCGACCGAACCTCTCAACACCGAAGGCAACGAAGGTGGAAACGGTCACGACTTTTACTACGCCTAAAGAAAGATAAGTGAGAAGCATGTCAAGAATTCGAAACGACGAGAATTCCGCGCCTAGAATTCCAGAGGCAAGGAGAGAGTTCTTCGTCCCGGTGTATCCGATCTACGAGAACGCATCAGCTGTTATACCCTTAGTACAAGAGTCGCTCACTGAAGCAAATATCTGTGGTGCATAATAACTAGCCCGAAGATATATATCAGCAGACGAGGTCCGGAGTGCTAGGGTACTCACGTTACGCTATTCTGACCACTCCACTGCTGCAGCAGAAATATCATGAACGCAATAAGGAAACGTATGGCGTTCCCCTTTCCGAAAAATGCTTCCCTCCATCCAAGAGATACTCGGGCTAGGCGTTCTTCCTGAATGGCGGCTTGAATCTCAGCCATCTCAAGTGCAACAGATTCCGAATCCGCTGGAGACCGGCGAAGGTAGGCGAGATTGTCGATAGCTTCTTCGTTGCGGCCAATAGAGGCAAGGTAGCGGGGGGATTCCTACAAAGCGAGATTTTGGGATGTTACGATAGAGAGACTACATGGGATATCTGCCTTGATTGTTAGGAGACCAAGCGCCATCATTCCAGCAGGGACAAGTTGCAGGCCAAAAGGGATCCGCCAGATTTTGGGATTGTTTTTCACATGTAAGCCAACACCAACTAGAGGTAGATAGAAATTGTAAGTAACAAATCCGAAGTGTCTAGGATGGGACCGCACGGTTGATAAAATATGAAATCATAACTGGAATGGTCAGACGGATGTCAGAAGAATCATGGAGGGATAGATGAATTCAGAGCAACACACTCCCAGATGCAACCATTACTTGAAACAATCCAGTAATTCGACCACGAACCTCCTTCGGAGAGCATTCAGATACGAAAGCAGGAGACACTGATAGAATTCGCAATCAGTATCGGAGTTATTGAGGTAGGAGATCAACCGAATATACCTGCCGTGATTGCGCCAATTCCAAAACCGGAGATGACCCGACCCGCATAGATCTCACCCAAACCGCGCTCAGGATTGCTACCGGAAGGAACAATGGTGAGGATCTATGGTGCACAAAAGACGGCATGTCAAGAATGACATTTGACCGTGAGGAGGAAGCCAAAACTCACAGCGCCGATGGCAAAGATCAGGGTGTAGATGAACAAAGGCCATTTCCGCCCAAACCTGGCTGAGCGTGAATGTGTATAAGATTAAACTCGTCTTGAATCAACCACAAAACACGTACCGGAAACCGGAGCGCTAACCAGAGCTCCGAAGAATGCGCCAGCTTGAAGGACTGAAACGACATTGGAAGACACATCATCACTCTTCTTGGTATTGATGGTTCCAGTTGAATTGGCTATCCCAAAGGTTTCTTCAAAGTAGAGGTTCCCTACGACTCCACCACTGAATCCCTAGGTTGGTCTCTGTGAAACAACGTGTACGAGGTGCACATACGCGATCCCTCTACAAAAGTTTGTTCAGAAAAACTTGGCAGCGAATGTTATTAGGTGGACCCACGTATCATATCCGAACAGGAGGATGCCCCAATATGCAATAAATGCCAGCCCTGCATATATCGACAGCATGAGTTGACGCAATTAAATCGACGCCGTGTCTACCCACTCACAGTACACTCGTATGTTTTGAAAGAGACCTACGCGCTCCGATCTGACAACGCTACCCATTTCCAAAGAGTCACTGAAAGACGTTCGGTTACCTGCTGTCTTCAGACATTTAAGTACGCTTCTCCCGGCCCCCGAGTCCTCATGATATGCAATAAAATTCCTTGTGAATAGGCTGTGAGAAGAACCAACGCAATCGTTTCGTACAATTGCATGTTTTCGGGAACAAATTATCCCATCAAACGCATGCGCAGGTTCTCAATAATTGTTGTGACAAGAGATGACTTTCATTCCAGTTACTCGCGATACAAAGGTTGTGGAAAGAAAAAAGAATCGTGCGAAACACGTCAAGCGCCGAAGTTACTTGCGCCACCATCCCGACCCCGACATCCGCCCTCCCGACTCGCGTCAGCTGATTTAATCTTGTTCAGAATTTTTCTCCCGCATATGATACGGCTTCAACTTACATATAATATGTATCGCCAGAGAGAAAGAACCAAAGCTCACAAGTGAATGGAAGCGCGGTAATGCCCAAAACTTACGAAAGACACCAGTCGGTGTAGGCATGCAGTGAACAAGGGAAAAACTCAGCACGAGTGAAGGTCTCCAACAGTCTCCAACGACACCTGTTCAACTCATCGAACGGTCGTCAATCCCACACTAAGACTCTTTCTCGCCATAATCGCGCATCAATTCCACATTTTAACTTTATACATACAGTATTTGTACACCGAAGAAAGGATTCTTCAAATCTTACGCTGTTTCCTGAGGAAATGCAACCAATTTTACACCGCTGACTTTGTTAGCTTTCAGCTTCTGCAAACCCTCATCGATTCCTGCAAGGCCATTGGGTACCTTCTCGACTCGATTGGGCTACAAGCAATGCAAGTCAGCATGACAAAATTTGCGATGATTGCTTACGCACCACAATCTTTCCTTCTGCAACCAGATTTGGAAGAGTTTTCCATTGGATGCGAGCAAAGTCTCTGTGAGGGGGATGGTGCGAACTCCCAAAGATGGCGAACACTCTCTTCCCATTTCCTGAGTCTTCATTTTTAGCCTGAGGGTTCACATCGGCTACTTGACCACCTTCGACGATAGCAGCGATGCAAGCCGCGAGAGAATCGTTATCGCCGACTGCATTGTAGGCTATCTTAATCGGTGCATTTGCGATCTTCTTCGCGGCCTCAGCCAAACGACCAATAGGTATCTCTCCACGGTCAATGACATGCGTTGCACCGATCGATTTCAGGTACTCGGTGTGACGAGCAGAGGCATATGCGATGATGGTGCTGTAGCCCAGCAGATTCAGCAACTGAATAGCTGTGAACGGGGTTACAGATAAGGAAACGCGTTATTTTGAGGGAGTATGAGACGAAATCACGTACCATATTGACCAACTGACGTGCTTCCACCAACGACAATCGCAGGTTCTCCAGAAAAGTTGACTTTAGGATCAAAGGTGGGGTTCAGACCTCCTCCTTCAGGTTGTGCACGCAAGAGACCAATTGCGGCAGTGGAGAATCCTAGAGGAATGGTGGCAGCTTGTGCATAGTCGATGTTGGAAGGAATCTAGGCAAAGAATTTATTGAGCCTTCCAAAGACCGGGAGCCACAGCAAGAGTTGAATGACCTTTCCAACGATGTCTGCAGGAATTGAAGTATATTGCTGAAATCCGGCCATCTCATTCACAAAAAAGCCCTGGCAGAATCTAGGATATATTTCAGTTCCTAAAGGTTCGAAGGCGAGGAATAAGAACATACACTTTGTCGCCTTTAGAGAAGCCTTCGACACCTTCACCGATTTCTTCTACATCACCTGCAATGTCTGTACCAAGAATGGCTGGATATTTTTTCATGAAAAAGTCCCATGCCTGAATCTTCCAATCGACTGGGTTTAAAGCAGCAGCGATGACTTTGATAGAGATCTGGCCAGGACCAGGCTTCGAGATAGGCACAGTGGACACCACAAATGCACCTTTGGCTTTCTCCAGTAGCAGAGCCTTCTGTTGAGACATATCAAATCGAGATGAGAAAGTTGAAGTAGCGATTGTCCCAAATTTTGGTTATATACTATTTTCGATTGAAAATCCCACCATCTCACTGTTTGCTAAGTAATCATGTCAGTCGGGTTTCCGTTCCTGGAGAGCTTGGTATTATTTATTAGTAAGTTGGCTGCTTTGCGAAGTTCGTTGAACGGTTGCGATTTTGCGAGATGAGCGTCACGGCGAGACCTTATCCGGACCGCTTACACCGCGTAAGAAAAGCAATATTTGCAAGTATGTACACATTTCGAACTCTTCCCGGAAATAATGTGTGCACTGAGAACAAGATACCTTCGTAGATAAGCGTACCAACACCGATCGAACACACCCCAGAAGCAAGCTCGATTACTAACGTCGCTCGCGAAAATCACACATAACAGACAACCCAAACCCGGCGTAGGTCATTTGATTGAGCGCGGTTTCGAGATAAGATGACGACGTCGCTATCTCGGAATGGAGTTCTAGGAAGGGATTACATGGAGTTGCAAGTTTCGATTAGATGGCATAGCATTCATGTATGCAGCTTAAGTATATGAGAATTGCGCAACGTCGGGTTCAAGGCCTGCCATCCAGTACGTTTCAGAAATTTGTGCCAGTGGTGATTCGGTCGAAACTTTCAAACTCGTATTGCGACGTTGGCAAGTGGATTACACCCTTTGGCGTTATGCTTCTCCTCTATATTGAGTTGCTTCTTCTTTCTCTTTCTTTCCCAAAGGGAGAATCAATTCCTGCGATCGTGGATCGAGAACTCAGAGTGCCTAACATTTTTGAATATCCAATGATGAGCTCGTCGATAATAAGTGGCGGTATCACTATCGGTATATTGACCTCAATTTCAGTTAGGCGATACCGGTCAACGTAAAGATGTCGTTTGCGACCATTCGTCTACTTCCCTATGTATGAACCAAGCTTTCGTTGGCGGAGGATTGACAGCTCCGAATCCAATCAATAAAGAAAGTTTCAATGAAGTGCAGATAGGCATCTCTCCACTGGCTGTATACAAGGGTAAGGAGAGCTCGCTGTCATACGCAAGGTATCAGAGTGTATATTGCTTACCCATGAAGCGCGTCGCGGCATGTTTCCGGTCGTTCTTGATAGACCGGAAGCTTTGTCAGAGTGTTTTCTTCAGTCTGGAGAATACCAAAGGGAGGAACAGTCTCTTTGGTAATGGCTTCGTTGATAGGATCGTAGCGATAGAATTAGAGTTGTACTGGATGATGGATCACTGCGAGCTCAGTTTAGGGTTAGGTCTTCCCTTACCTAATGCGACTTGGGGCGCTTACCTTTATTGTCAGTCAGTCAGCGGTTGTCCAGCTCAGCTTTCGCAGTACTTGATCTTTCTCTTCTTTATATCCCTTCAACGGTACATCTGACACTCTCGATATCGAATGTCCCATTGGCTACGATAACCTCGAGCCGAATTACCATCCTCAGCCTCAAAAGATAAAACCGGTGAAGAAGTACCAACTTTCGGGCTCCTGCTGAACCTAGGCTTGCACTGCTTTATTTCGATAGTCCGTGTAGCTCGTGCAGTGTGCATAACTTCGTTAATTGCCAGCATCAGCACTAATACCGCCATCTAGGACCGAACAAGCAAATTCAGGATAATATTTTTATTCCAACAGACTCTTTCGTTAGACGAGGATACCAAGAACTAGAGGTAGAAGAAGAAGAAGAAGATCATAATGCCCATATCGGTTCTTCCTACGCCCCCTGACTTTCCACCTTCCAAACCACCCTCTAAGCCGACCAGAGGACCTGTGAAGACCAATTATGAGCCACCAAATGGTTCCTCCGCGGTAGACCCAACTTCTTCGTCATCAGCAACGGAATCGATAGCCTTACTCAAACAAGAAGCTCAGCTATCTGTTCAAGCGTCTGCGAAAGGTGCTTCAGCGATGGCGCTACTGCGTAATACAAGAAACCAGTATTTGTTAGCAACTAACTGCGAAACGCAGGTGTGTTCAAATCAACTTGTGTACGTCCATCCATACTCAAGTGTCATCTCGGTCATAGGGTGACTTGAAAGGTGCTTTCATTGCTTTCATGAAAGCCGCTAGCCTGGCCCAGATGATATTCGGGACGGCCGAGTGGAGTCAGAATGGTCAGAATGCCCTTAAGAGGGAGTTGAAAGATTTTATGGAGAAGGATAGCAATGTATGGTCGAGGCTGAAGGCAGTAGAGGCGAAATTGAGGATGTCAGAGGAGAGCATGGCTACATCGTCATTGTAAGTTCTTATCCGCTCTTCCTTCGGTGCAGCGCATGAATTTCTCCGTATACAGAACCAGCCCAAGCGAAGGAAATTCCGTGTCTCAGAAATCTGGAGGGAGTATCGCAGATCGGAAGAAAGCCTTGCAAAACTCGGGCTTGTCTATCTCGACCTCAAACAAGCGGTCCTCCAAAGATCTGCATGTTAACGGAACATCGATCTCCGCCGCCTTTTCCAATGGGGTCAGTCCTCCAAGCCCGAATACTAGTGCAAGCTCTACCATTTCATCGTCTTCGGGTTCGACTGCAGCAGCGCTGTCTACTTTAACAGGCTTGACTGCCCCTTCGACTGTTCCAGGATCATCGATTATTAATCCTATTCATTCCTCTTCGTCGACATCTTCCTCATCATCATCAACGTCAACCTCGAACACTGCGTCCAGTTTCACTAGTACTTCTACATCATTTGGATCATCCCCTGCATCTGCATCCACCTCATCCATCTCCGCATCAAATTCATCAATCTACTCGCATGCTTTCGTTTCACCATCTTCATTCGGTCCACCGTCCCCAGGGTCTTCTCCATCTTCCTCACCTACTCTTCCCACTCGTTCATTTTCCACCTCATCGGAATACAATGCGTTCAATGCCCAATTTCCGAGCATTGATGAGCTAGACGAATCCGATGGGCGATTAGACGGTTCAACACCGTTCAACCTTCCTAGCGTCCCTACTGGAAGGAGCACTAATTCCAACCGATCTGTTGGTTCTGCCAGGTCAGGCAGGTCGTTGAGGCGTATGGGCTCAACATCGAGTCTGAGATCGAATCGGTCGATCAAGGACTTGAAAGAGATCAACACCAATGGAACTGGTGAGGCTTCTCCTTCATCCTCCCCAGCTTCAGGAATCCCGTCTACTGATACGGGAGGCTCCATTCGCGGTCAAGCCCCTCTTGCTTCACCCGTTCCGGCAACGCCAGGCACCCCTCATGCCGCTTTACGAAACTTTATGGTCCCCGTCGTAGAACGGCCGTCGAGTACACCTAGCACACCATTTCGTGGTTCAGGTAGCATATGGGATAGTCGACCTGGGTCGCCGACGCCTACTTCGACCTCGAAAGCTCCTCCGGTAGTACCAAACAAGCCTTCGGCGTTGTCGAATTCAAGGAGTTTCTATGGTAATTTCGATGACCCTATTCCAATTACCGGACCTATTTCACCTACCAGTCTGGATCCATCACCGTCCATCAATGGGACATCTCCTTTACCATCGTTCACCACTCCTCCTTCGTCTTCCTCCCTCCTGACATCGCCCACTGTCTCTAATTCCTCTACCACTATTCCCCAAAAGAATACATGTACACCAACAGAGCTATACAACTATTTACGGGAGCATAAGATAATTCTGTTGGATGTTCGGGAACGGGCAGAGTTTGAGAAGGGGCATATCGAGCTAGGGAAGGAGTCAAAGGGTGTTGCATGGGTGTGTATTGAGCCAGACGTCTTGAGGAGAACAGAGTAAGTCTTCATCTTTTCTCTTCATAATCGATTACAGTAATGGCACCTGATGAATCATTGTCATCCAGTGTAACATCGTATTCAATTGAAGACTCCCTCTCCCTCGCCCCCACATCCGAGGCATCTGCCTTCAACAATCGTCATAAGTTCGACCTTGTTGTACTATATGACAGGAGATCAACCTCTTTCAGTTCTACCCCGCCGTCTAAACCTTCGTCATCGCTTGTATCAACTCCAAGCGCCTTTCCAGTTCCAGGCAGCCATGTAACGAGTGAAGCAAGCAACCCTGATATGTCGACGCTGCTTCGTGCTATCTGGGAACGCGAGTTCCGTAAAACATTGAGAAGGATGCCGATGATGCTTGTCGGAGGGTACGAGGCCTGGGTGAAGGAGTTTGGCATATCAGAGTCGGGTATGTCGTCTAATGGTCCTGCTGCCAGAACAACTACGGTAGTTAACGGCACACCCAATGGCGTTGCAACGAACGGAGCTCACTCATCCTCCGTGCCACCACCACCGATGCCGCCTTCTATATCACCTCAAGGGTCACAAGGGAGAAATCCCTTTGCACCTGGAGGTCCTTTGGCTTCCCCTGCAATTTCTACACCTTCTGCTACTTTCTCTTTGCAACATCCTGGATCCAATGGATCGAGAAGTCGCGCTTCTACTAGTCCGTCTCGTCCTGGTGCTGCAGGGATGGGTCATAAGGTGAATCACTCTGTTGATAAAAGTGCTACTTCGGGTAGCAGCCACTCGAGGGCTCCAGCAGAGTCGGCACATTCAAACGTCTCATTGTCTAGATCGGGGAGGGCAACACCCACTTTTGGACCATCCACACCACTGTCACCAAATTTATCGGGGAATGGTACGAAAAGGCCTCCTACTACAGGCAGAACGTCCTTCTCGTCGTCCTCCTCCATGGTGACCGGGGCAACACCATTAGGCGCATCTGGACCGATGTCTACTTTACCTGAAGGCGCCCTGGCGCCGACGATTTTGAATGGTGCTACGCCCATCACTTACCCGTCGATCTCCACGTACTCTCTTCCTTCGGCATCCTTATCTTCTGTTACGACAAGAAGTCCAGCTCCGTTTGATGGTATGAATGGTATGAATGGAATTGCCTCACCACCACTTCCACCACAAGCGTCTATCAACCCGTCTGTGTCGAGGAGAAGGACGAGCGATTACATTGATCAAAGTCAGGAAGCATTGGCGTTGAGTGGGATGAACAGCCCGGGGTATTCGACTCCTGGATTAGGATCGCCAGGGTATGCGAATGGCATAGGAGGAACAAGTGGAATGAATGCATACAATGGTCCCAGCAGCTCCGGGCTAAATGGGATGAATACATACGGTGGCTACAATGGATACAATGCTAATGGAGCGGTGAATGGCATATCTACAATCCCTCGGACAACGATTGACTATCCTGAACTATCTTCTACTCATCCCATTCTACGACCGCCACCAGCCGTTGCTGCTGGCACGCTGGAAAGGCAAGATAGCATCAAGAGATTTCCGACTCCCCCTTCATCATCTACGACCGGTGCTGGTTCCACAACCCCCTCCTACCCTGTCCCTTCCTCGCTCTCATCCCCATCCTTCAAATCCTCGACAAGTATCGCTCCTTCAGGCATTTCCTCCACTGTGTTAAAGAAGTTGGGATTAAGCCCCCTGCATCCTGTCCCTCGTCTGAAGAGCGCAGAATGGCCCCCAAGGTATTGGGCAGACTCGCCTATTGGAACGTCTGGGTTAAAGAATATGGGGAATACATGTTATATGAATGCGCCGATACAGTGTCTGAGTGCAACAGTACCATTTGCGAGGTTTTTTACTGGTGAGTGCCGTTGCTTGTCATTTTCTTTCTCTAAAACTAACTGGCTCATTTCACCTTGGCAGAGGTTGATCTCAAAACTGCGATTAACTACATGAACAAGATGAACTCGCAAGGGCAGCTGACGAGGGCGTTTTCGAGGCTCGTACATGACATCTGGCATGGGGATATGCCGTATATCACTCCGAACGATTTCCGGGTAAGTAATGCTACTTACGACCTAATCTGTCCTTTATTTATCGACATCTCATAGCGCACACTTTGTTCCCTCAATGCACAATACATTGGCACTTCTCAACATGACTCCCAGGAATTCCTCTCCTTCCTCCTCGACGGTATCCATGAAGACACCAACAGAATCATGGCGCGCAAACCCATTACCCGGACGCCCGAGGAAGAGGAACGATTAGAAAACCTACCCCAGCAGATTGCAGGAGAGTACGAATGGCAGGTTTGGCGGCAGAGCAATGATAGTATCATTGTGGATTTCTTTCAAGGAATGTTCAGGAATCAGCTGAGGTGTATGAAATGCGAGAAGGTGAGTTGTACGTGACTCGTGTGTTAGACCGTTGCATTTATCGTGTTCGATAGACATCCACGACCTATAATGCATTCTCGATACTATCTTTACCGGTGCCCGCCCGTAGTGGTAAAATCCCTCTACAGAATTGTTTAAAGGCGTTCTTCAACGTCGAAGTCATGGAAGGGGATGATGCGTGGTAAGCTGACAATATCTCTCGGTCCATCTACTACGTCGCTCACCAGTCAATCAAAACCAGGGACTGCCCGCGCTGCAAGACCAAGCGCCCAGCAACCAAGACCCTGTCCCTTGCTCGTCTCCCCCCTGTCCTTGTCATCCATCTCAAGCGATTCGAAGTCAATGGCCGGTTCAGTGACAAAATTGATACCTTCGTCGATTTTCCTGTCAAGGGATTGGATTTGACTGAACTCATGCCTCCGCCGTTACCAGTGGGCGCAGATCAATCGTTATTGAACGGAGGGATGGTGAATGGTGTCATGTCGAGGGATGACCCAAGGATACAGGTGGGACCGTACAAGTATGAGCTCTATGGGGTGACGAACCATTATGGCAACCTGAGTAGTGGACATTGTGGGCATATTCTTCTCTATATCCATCAATCCGCTGACGACCACCTGTTATAGATACTGCATTTGTTGCATCGCGGGGTGGATGGCTTTACTGCGATGACAGTTCGGTAAAGAACGTCGATGCGAAGCAGGTCGTGGTCAGTATCCGAACCTCACCCGTCCACATAACCCTTTTCTAATGTTCTCTCCTTTGCAGAACCAAAAAGCTTATGTTTTGTTTTATAAGCGAGTCAAAGCCTAGAGAGATCGAAGTTACAGAGCGAAACCCCACATTTTGACATTCTTTGTCATCTTTCATTTTTTGCATTCATGATTGCTTTCCTCTTCCTCGTGCATCTACAATTACTTTTACTCAATCTATCCATTATTGTATTCATACTTTCCGTCAACGAGCAGTTCTCCCTACTTCCGCTTTCTGTTATTTAGTATCCATTATCCTCCACCTCATACCATTCTCAATCCGCTCTCAATTATTTGTACTTAGCTGGATGACGGGACCATTTCTCTACACTTTCTCGGATTCTAGATACACTTGGGTGCACATTTGATAAATAGCTTGACAATGGAAGCCAACACATACTTACTTCGTATAATCATTTGACCTTTCTTTGTATTTTTCCATGTCCATTTACGGTCCCCTCTACGCGAGTAATATGTAGATCATTGTGTCCTCTGGCCTCCTGGTCCGGTCAGAAGAACACGTGTATGAAGCGCATGTGCCCCATTTACGCTGAAAGTTAATTTCCGCCTCAAATGGCTGAGCCTGTCCATCACACACCCAGCGATAGAGATGTTCAGATCGTCCGGTATCTTTTCCAAACTTTACTTCCATTAGAGCTCGTCGATGTCATTATTGAGGACGCTGAATACTGGCCTTGTATCCATGTTGAACGATCCGAGCCAATATTGGTCGACGCCAAAAGATCTATTAGTCGGGGGCTCAAAATGGCTTGGTGTTACCTTGTTTCATCACCTGTACCCGAAGCTTTGGATTCCGCAGGACAGAGTTTGGGACAAAGTAGAGTACGAAGAGTGGATCTAAAGGTGCAAGGCCATGATCAAGGCTGGGGTAAGCTTTCGTTTCCCGTCATCTTGTATATGCTCCGTTGTTCAACCCCTCTTCCAGCAACCCATCCAGGGCCATGGTCCTGGTTTGAAGCCACCATTATCAAGGCGTTCCGCGAGTCCAATTTAGTTTGGCTGCCCGCAGCGTTGAACGGTCCTGTTGATCCAGCGAGTGTCTTGGCTGGATCAAGCTTCGATCAGACATTTGAAGGCTTCACTCGCTGGCACATCGCTGCCAATGCGATTGCTACTCAAGTTAAACAGGATCATTCAGTCGTATGGACTGAACAGGAGGCCCAAACTCCTGGGAATGTCAAAGGTTTGAGAGGGCGTGAAAGTCTTGGACATGAGCTGGTCAGAGCCCTACAGCCAGGTGATAGGATTGCAATTTTGGCATTAGCAGAGGTAAGAGCAAGACGATCTCTCGCGGATGTTGCTGGAGCTTACATGTCTTGAGTAGCAATGGGGATGGGAGAATCACGTCTATAACGCCTCTATCGATATTTATTATTCTGTATAGTCATGAACGTTCAGTGTCAGCGCTGTGTATGAATGGTCTCTACACTACTTACGAATGCATGATTATCCATTCGGAATTGATTCGGAATCTTACAGTAACTGTTGTACTTAAGATCTGCCAGTGTCATCTACTCATAGCTACTCATATACCCCACACAGCTACCTGTTTCCCCTACTCACCCTCACCACACATTCAAATGCCTCGGTCTGTTCGCCACACACCCAGCGAAGGAGATGTCCGAATCGTCCGGCATCTCCTCCGAACTTTTCTTCCGCTAGAGCTCGTAGATGTTATTATTGCGGATGCTGAATACTGGCTTTGTATTCACGTTGAACGTTCTAAACAAATACGGGTGGACGCAAGGATAGCTCTTGGTCAGGGATTCAAATTGGCTTGGTGTTATCTTGTTTCGCCACCGATACCGGAAACTTTAAGTTCTGTAGGACAGGGCTTGGGACAGAGGAGAGTGCGGAAAGTGCAGTTGAAGGTGCAAGGTCACGATCTAGTCTGGGGCAAGTCCTTCTAGTACTAAGCACGCCTCATATATTCCTTTGTTCACTTTCTTATGCTTAGCAACTAATCTAAGCCCATCGTCCTGGTACGAAGCCACCATCATCAAGGCATCCCGCCAACCCGGCCTGCTTTGGCTCCCCGCTGCGTTGCGGGGACCTGTCGATCCAGCGAGTCACCTAGCCAGACCACACTTTAATCAAGTCTTCGCAGGCTTCACTCGTTGGCACATTGCCTCAAACAAACTTGGTAATCGAACAAAGCAAGATCATTCAGTCGTTTGGACTGAAGAGGAGGTGCAAGGGCCTCGAGACGCTGGAAGTATCAAAGGACGTGAGGGCTTCGGCCATGAGCTGGTCAGAGCGTTGCAACCTGGTGATAGGATTGCTATTTTGGCGTTAGCGCAGGTAGACAATCTTTTCTAAATGTTGAATTGGACACTCAAACATGTTGTGGACAGCAATGGGGATGGGAGAATCATGTATATAGCGCCTCCATCACCATTCATTATTCTGTATAAAGTTCTGGAATATGTAGCACTACTGAGACGTCCAAGAAATTTCTGACAGACGAAAAATTTTTGACCATTTATCTTTGTTGGGTAGGTTTTCTCCGAGTTTGTATACCCCGAAATTAGGAGACAGGCGAGTTCTGAGAGAATGGTTAAGGCAGGAGCAAAGGAGGGGGATAGATACTTTTTCGCGTTTGGTAAATCTTCAAGTTCGTAGTTTTGCAAAGAAGGAAAATGCTGGGTAACATCGAAACGTCCATGGAACAGAACGTCCATCATGCGTTGGCGATGCATCGGGTCTGGCGAACAGTTGTTCTCATCGTCATTGAAGAAACATAAACAATAATCCACTACACAGACTCCAGATCATGCAGAGGATTGTAGGCGAAAGGAAAGGTGGGCTTAATGACTGCAACAGAGGTTGTGATAACATTCTGATTTCTGATAAGATTAAAATCAGGTTCTTCGAACGGCTCCGAATCGCTTGCGGCGGTCCTGAAGAGGTACGTGTTACTGATAATATCCGCGGCAATCGGCGTTCCCTGGCCAAGCAATACTGAGTTGTGAAGACTGGGAGGAACACACCGTGCGGACATTATGCGTGTGCGATCCGTACGCCGAGTGGCATACTCAAGCTATGAGTCCTATATTCCCTTCGCTATACCAATTAAACATTTCCACCGCTGATATCACGATGCACCCATCCAGCCCAATGAAGGACATACAGAGCTAGGACAGACATGGTTAGATCCCCGTAGAAGATAATGTTCGTCAAAACGTTCTGCAGACCTTTGATAACATCGACTACTGCACGGAAGCCTGGGGTGTTATCCAAACTTCGTTCGTCGTAGATCGTTGTCGCGCATTGCTTAAACAAGTGGTAGCGGTGATGGATTGCCTGGTGATTTTTGCTTGAACCTATGTTGAGGATCGTTCGGCGTGGACGAGGGTGTTTAGTTGTAGAGTGCTGATCCGAACCAACAGCGGAGCCTGATTGTGAAGTAAAAGGTTGATCAAGCGTCCTCTGGGCTCTACAGAAGACGGCTGTTGGAACGTAACAGGTTCGACCATGATCATAGTGTTGTCCAAATGGTAGCCACCTCCCATGACAGCATCAGTGGAATCTTCTTCGTTGCCTATTCGAACTCTTCTATACGCCATGGGTCGGAGCACGCGCTGGCTGAGTTGTTCGTCAAAATCATCATTCTCCTCTACGTTGAGGGCCTTCGTATCTGCCAGAATGGTTTGGTAAATCTTGTGCTCCTCCTGGCAATCCAACTTCAATCCTTCAGGATACGTATTCTTCCACTCGAGTCCTTCACCTTCCATACTCTAGTACCACAACCTAGAGGGCTGAGGAAGAGCGCCTAAGCACATCACATGATTCTCCATCTCCGGAGCAATGTTTACCGACTGCCGCCTTCTATATCTAGGCAACATCTTTTTATCTACCACCACGACAGACTCGTGTATTAATTATATAGAAACAACTCAGGGCGTCCCCTTGTTCCACACATTATCTGATACATAAATATTCAACTCTGGTATGCAACAAGGACGATCCCTGCTATTCTCACCATTCCTCATACACAACCCCTCTCCTCTTCGCCCAACTTCCTCCGTCAAAATGCTTTATCCTGTTCCGTACACACCCCGTATCAAAGACGTCACAACCGTTCGTGATCTCCTACAGTCCTTCCTCTCATCAGAATGCTTCAAAATTCCTATTGAAGAAGCGGAACACTGGCTTCGTGTCTATAGTGAACAGTATGAACGAATCGTAGTACAAACCCAATGCAAAATTTCGCTTGGTTTTGCCTCATTTCGCCACCTGTCCCCGAAGCTGCAGATGCAAGGTCATGTTGGATGGTCTGGATCATTGTCAAGTGAGTTTTTCACTTTAAAACCCAAGGTACTTTTTGTCCAACTTCAAGCTCTGCGCATAGCGACCCGTGTTGATCTGATACATTCTTGATTCGAAAGTTTCATCATCCAACCACCTATTCATGCTCCGTGTTACCTCTCTAAGGCGTGGTAACCATTTTAGCTTCAGGCGCCAAAAGAAGAGGTTATCGGTGTTATCGGTTATCGGTTACATACACTATTTCGGCGTTCAAGTTGGTTCGGATCCGAACATGATTGGGCTAATACGGGTAATACTGTGTGCTGCAAATGAGGAAACCGTCAGCGCCCTATCAACGCTATAACGGCTCTGTCCATCACCATTTGTATCATTCAATTCCATTCGTCTTATCATCATTTGGGGTGATCGTACGAACCAATACTCAGCAAAACGAAAAAGCAACTGGATTCCATGACTCTCCCGTCTTTTTACACCATGTCAGCGCTGATTGTATCTCTAGATACAGTGATGCTATGGTCATGTCGGGGCGGGTTTCGGTCTTCGCTCACTTCGCTCACTTCTCTCACTTCTTTCTCATAACCGTGGATTAATTCAATATCATGAAAACGGGTATAGTATATTTAAGCTCGACGACTTTCCCCCCTCGAATTCTCCAACTGTGTGCTGGTCACCGTTCAATACCTCCTACTTATCATCAACATCAACCCCGAATCATCTCAACCTATGCCAACGAACATGCGCACTATCGCCTTAGCTGCCTTTCTCGCATCGGCCACTATCATGGCTTCTGCCCTGCCCACCGATGGGCAGATGCATCAGGCTCGAGCAGCGGTTGTCAAGATGCGTCAGCAGCCCGCTCCTAATTCAACAGAGACGACTACGACGGCTTCAACTACACCTACGTCTACGAGTGATAGTGCTTCATGTGGTGTCAGTGATATCTTTGGTTAATGTCCTCTCCTCTGTTGATACCCCACCTCTCTAAATTTCAATTTCGATCGAATGTAGATTGTGTCAAAGGACTGGAGAAAACAGGTAATTCATAGTTTAGCGTTTATTACTGAAGCTCAACTTCGGGTTGTACTTAGTCACATCATGCGCGACTGCAGCCTCTGATTGGGGAGCGGGTGAGTGATTTGATCTATATCTCCGTGACAAGCAATGAAGCTCCCTATAACCGCTTCACTTCTAGATATTTCCAAGGATAAGCAATGTCTCGAGGATGCAGAAAGTGACATCAAGTCTTTGGTAAGTTTGTTACATATACATTTAAAGCATTCCATAATTTACTGATTGTTCTATCTTTCAGCCTTCTCAATGCCTCGGATGCGTGAAAAAGTACCTGTAGTCTTCCTACTACCCCGTACATTTCTTCAACCTTTGTTGTCCTCGAGTTCTTTGCAGCTTCCAAATTAAGCACTTGTTGATCAAGCTGGGGCACCAATCTGAATCTGTCAGACTGTCCCTGATTCGTTCAGAGTCGTCTGATACCCTACAACTTGACATCTTCCATTCTTCTCCCTCCTCATAAGACGTTACATTCAATTCAACAAATTAACGTTTGTAGGTTTGATACGCAAGTATGCCTGCTGTCTGTCTTTCTGTCGTTGGTCCAAGGGCTGGAGTAAATTCATTCATGTTCATGATACAGTTCTCAGGAGGCATCGCTTCCGAAAGGCTCCGTTCTGTCTGTCTAGTAAGTTTTCCCGGTTAGGGTGGACAAATCAATGATTTGTTTCCAAAATTCACCTTGTCAGCAGGGAATCTCTGGCATTCACCCGTTTTTCTAGGTAAGTCGAGTCTGGACAATTTGATTTCTGCACTAGATTTCAATGATAGATAGTTCACAACAGCACGAGAATTTCTTTAAGTGAGTCCATTGTCAATGCGCGACAAAATTTCAATTGACAAAATTACAATGTTTTTATACAAGGTCGCTTCGTTATTTCCTCCAATACATCGTAAAAATTCTCCGTCGTTATACTGCGCACCTCGATGCTCCTTTTGAGAACAAGATCTGCAAGGAAGTTACTGAACAGCAACAGCTCGTGGACAAGATTGGTTTGAAGAAGGTCAAGTCGAGGACAAATCGTTTCGTACTGCAGTACCCAAACTGGCTTTCCTGTGAGCATACATGAGGGCTAAAGTCATCGTTTCTCAGGTGTACACGTACTGCTCTTCAAACTAATTTCCCATTCCCAGCGATGAATGTCGTCCTCATTCACAAAGCGATCCCAATCTCCAGGTGCGGCAAGAATGATCACATATTGCACACGCTGAAATGCTTTGTGTATACCAGCGATAACCTGTTCTCGAGTCGCTTGTCTGCTCATTTGCTGCTGGTCAAGCCATACTGTGACTCCCATGGCCTCCAAGGTCTTAGCAACCGTTCGAGCCATAACGCGACCACGATTTTTTCCGTCCTGCGTGTACCATCTGTAGAAGATTATGCAAGTATACGATGTTCGATGTTCTTGCAGGCTTCGCTTTTAGCACCTCTTGTTACCTTACGCGAGTTCCTCAATACTTACCTGGTTGATTGTTCAACGTATCCTGCAGGACAGTCATTTTGGGTGTGTATACTGTGCAGTTTCGATGACTGCCCGAAAAAAATGGGAGCCGAGATGTGGAAGATGAGGTGAAGTCAAGGCTAAGTACTGGGTTGAATGGTGCAAGATGAAAGTTGCCGATTGTCATTACAATCACCGAAGCGATTGGCGAAAGGCATCTTGAATGAAACTTCCTGGCACACGACCAAACCGTAGAAATTTCGATTACTTCTTATGCGCACAAAGTCAATAAATATAAGAAGTCATACAGATCATACCCTCGTCATATCCGACTTATAGCCTTTCATAGTTTTCCAATTCCACTAGAAATATAAGCGGCGGATCCCCCTTCCGTGTTCACTGTCCTGTCTGAGCGGAACATTGGTACGTCACTTGATAGTACTTGCTCTATATCGTGGTTCATATCGTCTGTCATCTATTGTCCGACAATTTCTATATTCAAAAGAGGTGAACAAAGGAGCCCGAAGTCCAAACAGCTTCCCTTCCACTTCCAAACACTATGTCCTGCACGCCTACCGCGAACACCCTGTTCACTTCAACCAAGCTTGGCCTATTCCGGCTTCAACATCAAATCGTCATTAGTCCTCCATCACATACATCGATGGTATCAGTGGAAGAATTCTGTGAGTCTCAACTGAAAGCACTTCCACAGTAGCGGGACTGAGCCTCTCGTCTCATGAGATCGAACTTGTACGACTGAAGGAGGACTGGTCATCGTACCATATGACACTAATGCTTCCATCCAAAGAAATATTGCAGAAATCATTCATACCGCGAAAGGCATAGCATTCTGTCTAGGTGCGTTTACATGTTTCTGCCTTGTTCTGTACATCTATCGACGCCCTTTCTAGTGGACGTGCCCAGCTCTCCAGCTGAGAGCTTTGTTGAAAGAATACAAAGCTGCATTACTGACGCAATTTCTTGTGGTTACGATGGAATTGAATTAGATGTCTGTAAGTCTGATGCGTATTAGTCTTACGGTATTTATTCATGTATATTGGTTAGCTCAAGGATCTGCTTTGCAAGGCATTTTGTTCAACAGCACTAAAGTCGTCAGTGAAGTGTCGAACATCCTTCAAGCTCTCACAACACTCATTACGGATGAACGACTCGGCCTTCGCTTTTCTCCGTTTTCCTTCATGGACGGCGCCCACACGACCAACTTCCTCCAGCTGTACATTGGTATCATCGAATACCTTAAACACATTCATCCCTCACTCGCATTTGTGCATTTCCTTGGAAGCACCTCATTCGAAGACTTTGAATATTCACAGAACAAATCTTTGGATGTCTTTCGGGCTGCGATAGCATTTCCTATGTCAATGGACTCTATGGATAGTGACGGCACAAGATTCATATCCTCTGCTAGCTACTCTCCCGACGCATTCAAGTTGGAGTCCACTCGTACCGGCGAATTGATTTCATTCAGTCTCCCGTCAATTGCCAACCCTGACATAGTCTCCCTACTCCGTCAAGGTCTTCCGCTTCAGAATCTCCCTCGGGTAACCCAACGTCTCTCCGATATTCTTACATCGTTTAAGGAGGGGAAAGAGTACGTGTTCTACTGGGACTCGCTTCAGCGAGAACAGGTCTTGCAAGCGATGCAGTGTCTTGGTCAGTACTTGGGTCAGTTTGAGCCCGCACTGTCATACGAAGGCACCGATAAACGGGTCGTTTGGCGAAAATCGTGCTGGTTCGCATCCGAAGGCATCGCTGATCCGCTTCTGGATACAGAGCATGAGATTTCAAAGTTCGACGGTGATCTGAAAGATGGTCTTTCGGGTTTGGTGGCGCTGCGGAACTCTGATGTCAGAGCTTCGTTGGAATACCTCAAGCGTGTTCTCGATAGCACTCTCGTTTCGTGCTGCCATGCTATCGGATTAAGCAAGGACCTGATTCAACGCTGCACTGTACGATACCGAATCATCAAGTACGTTGCTCATGCAGGAAACCCTGGGGGTATCGGCCTTCACCCTGATGGAAATCTACTCTCAGCGCTCATTACCGATGGACCTGGGCTTGGTGTATACGATTTCGATGGGACGTATCGTGAGCCTGGAGTCGGAGGAACGATCCTTATGGGTGGTTCTACGTTGTATAGGTGGTCCAAAGGAACATATTTGCCTACATTCCATGATGTAAGTATTGGGCAGGAGCAGAAGAAGACTTCCATCGTTGCCTTCTTCAATCTACCGGATATGGAGGACATTCCACAAAGCGCCGGGCCAGATACAGAGAAGAACAGTTTTTTCCATGATATCAGAGTCATAAAGGAGGATGACAAGTCCCCCGCCGGAGAGTTGGCACCGCTTTGGAAAACAATTATTCAGAGACACAATCTCATTTTACCTTCGTAGGAACTAGCATTTCTGTATGTCTCCGATCCGTAAATTTAGTTGTATTTGCAAATTTGTCAGGAAATTTCGAGGAATGTTGCGATCTGTTGTGATACGTGTTTAGTCCTGCCCTTCACGTCCCGGGGACTGTAGGTTCTACACCAAGATACTTCCCGGACTGTGCGGTGTTCAGATCTTGGACCATGCCGTTTAATATACCTTCCTTCCTTCCTGTTACAGATGTCCTTGAGCTAACAAATAGTTGAAGCACCTATATCCTACTACATATCCAAACAGCGCCAGCCAGCGGCTGGGCCCGCTACCTTGTTAGTTGCAAGGGTCCAGGATGTTGCTTGTAAGTAAAATTCTCCTGTGAGAGCCGCTCAGAACTCCGTTCTTCGCTCTTCTCGCAGGAGATGGTCAATATATAGAAGGATTTGTCAGCTACAGAGACTTGGAAAGGTTACAGGATCGAACATTGATTATAAAGGTCAAAGGAACCCAATCAATGTCGACGCGTCGACGAAGAAAAGTTAAATGACTAAAATTCGGTGACTAAAATCACGTGGCAGGATATTTGATGGTAAAATCGAAATGTTGAGGTAGCGGCCCTTCCTTCCCTTTCCTTCCTTCCCCCTCATCATTTCCAAAAGCTCCTTGACTTCCTTCTTCACAACATCCACAGTATACTTATACAAAACGAATCCCGCCAGGCCGGGTGGTTCCATCAGAATTCTTCCTCGAACAATCACCATCTCGTTGTTGTCAGCCTTGTCAGCTTCGTATGAAGCTCAAAGTGAACCCATCAGCAACTTCGCGCTCTATCGTTTGCTCAAGGGACTTTATATTCTCACACCTAAACACTTGGATAACAGGCAACGACTAAAAATGCCCAAAAAATGCCTATGTAACTTGTATTCAGCGGATGTCCACTTCGCTACAACCCTACCATTTGTAATCGCACATGGCGCTTTCTGAATACCTTCAGGGTTCTTCTACTTGACTCTATTGTTTGATCTTGAAGGAGACTCGGGACATATTGAATCTGGAGGCACAATGTCTCCGGAATATCCATCCAATGATCTGTCAGGACGTCTCGACATACTCCATCAATCTGAGCCTTATAACACCTGGACAAAGTTGTAAAAAGAGACGCAGCCTGGACGATCTTTAATCAGTATGTTTGTTGTTCTCGTTCTACACAGTTTGGTCTTATCCTTGTACCAGATTATTTGAATGATCATTTGAAGTTGCTCGAGCCGAAACCTATCTCAAATATGTATCTACGATGATTTGACATTGATTCAATATACATACCCAGCACCAGTACAGGAACCTAGACTTGAATCAACCTCGTTGCTGAAGCGCTATTTTATTGGACAGCTCCCATGTAGATGCCCTTGGGTTGAAAGCTGGATTGATTAATACATACGCGGAATTGGAGGAATTGCTTGACACTCTTTTTCATCCAGGGTGTGATCGATGACCTTGCGATATTTGAGTTCAATAGACAGCATATTAATATCTTTTTGGAAGGACAAGGTATGCTTCATCCATTCATCGTCATTACGCTGTCCAGGTTCAGTTAGCACTCCTTGAATATTTCTGAATACATATTCACATTGGGATAATCTTCACGGGAGTGTGCTCCACGAGATTCTTGCCGAGCTGCAGCGGAAGTGATGGTCTGGATAGCACATTGCAAGAGATTGTTGAGCTCGAGAGTTTCAATGAGGTTTCTGTATCGTCGTCATTAAAAAACAGGTATATGAAGCACATTGAACCGAGCGTACGAGTTCCATATCATACTGCGATCCTTTATGCCAATATGTTCAAACTGACGGTAGATCTGTTGCATCTTCAGGACACCCTCTTCTAAGAAGTTTTGTGTCCTGTTCCACAGATTTAGGAATGATGCGGAATTCAATTTCAGGAGAAAGAACCTAAAAACAGCGGCATCCGATTGCATGACTTTTTGCATATCTAAACGGATGTTGGCAGATGACTCAGTTCCAGAAGAGGTCCTGAAAAAATACGATCAGAGAGTCGTAGAACAGAAGGACATAAGTATATGTTGCCTGATCTTGTCCAGAAAATTGATACTTTCTAAACCTGCTTCCTGAGGAATGTCCTTGTGGGGTTTACCAGGGCTCAATGTTTCCGTAATATGTCGAGCACATGCTCGACCAAATACAACAATGTCAAGAAGAGAATTGGCTCCCAGGCGATTAGCTCCATGTACAGAGACACATGCAGCCTCACCAGCAGCATACAGTCCTGGTACCACCTCGTCTTTGCCTTCCTTGTCGATAGTGATAACTTCCCCTGTGAATTTTGTAGGAATACCACCCACTATAAGTTGAATTTGAAGGTAAGAGGAATATACTAGATTGAAAGTCAGAGCAAGCACTGACTATTATAGTGGACCGTAGGTAACACAGGGATGGGTTCTTTTGTGACATCAATCCCAGAAAAGATTGCTGCAGTCTCAGAGATACCGGGAAGGCGTTCATTAAGGATTTCAGGAGGGAGGTGACTGAGCTGGAGGTATATATGATCCTTATCGGGCCCGGCACCCCGGCCTTCTCGGATTTCGATAGTCATACTACACAACCAGACCTTCGGATAAGCGTGGGCTGATTGATGTCAAACAACCCGGGGATGAAATTTCATTTCGTCCCCAGGCTCACATATTATAACCCAGGTTTGAATTTATGTAATTGGTACTAGGCTGTATGTTTTTTACAAACCTCGCTTCATACAATATCTGTTAGCCCTTGGGATGAATGGCAGTCAAAAATCAATGACACATTGTGAGGACATATCTGACCTGTGTATGACCCAAAGGCTTTGAGGATAATTTTGAGGATAAGCAGGGCAAGGTATTTATCTTTAATACGGCACCATTTTGACCAGATGAGCTTCAAATTTATAGTGCTTCACATTCCAAGTCAAGCCATGCAATTGGCAGGAGGCTAGTTTGCTGAAGATAGACTATGAATATTTAGTAGAGATGATTCATTACAGTAGCAGCAAGATAGTATGATAAATGATTACTTCGACTGATTGCGCACGAAAAAATCCACCACAAGAATCCGCCCGCTCCAAATCATTTCATGTTCCATGAGTCATTTTTAGGTCACGCGAGAAATGTTGATCATTGTTTGGTCTTTTTTTTGCCACGTTGTCAACTTTGTTCAAACGTTCAACATTCAACGCTCAACACTCAATGCTCAACGCTGGCCCTTTTCAATGGTCAACATTTAACACTACGAGGATCATTTAAATTAGGACGCAACCTGCAACTAACTCAATGTTCAACTTGTCTATTGAAGATACAAAATATTCAAGGCTCGGACTGCATCATCCCCCCTCAACCTCAACCTTTAAGTTACGAGATTCACTCCAACCTCAAGAATGACATCAAGCTGAACAAGCCCTCTATGCCGCCATCAACTCTGCAAAACTGCCTCAACTGCCTACTTCAACACCACATGCTTCGGGTACATCAAAACATCCCCTTCCCAAGATTCACCAAGCGATTTTTTGTTTTTTTTTCACCCGTCCAATTAATTGGTTCCCAGGTCAGTGTGTCTTAAATTTTAAGTTTCATTCTCAGATACATGCTTTATTGTGTTGCACCTTTGTATGTAGATACTAAGTAATGATTCAGTCCAATAAAAGATTTGAAAAATTTGGAAAAGAGCAGGAAAATGAACATTCCGAGTACTGCAGTGGGCCTTGATTATGTAAATGAGTTGATGCCCAGCCTCAATATTTTGAACCCAGGTTTCAAGTGATGCCGGGGTTAGGATTACGGAAACTGTACTGAGCACTAATTTAATCAGGCTCAGCATCAATTATCGCTGGGTTAAACCTGGTTGAATAGAACTGCACGCCTGTGTACGGGATACAACATCGCGAGAGGCGAGATCTTTAGCTGTCGGGGCATAGCGTTCCATGAATCGCTCGCCTTCGCCATTGAGTAAATAGCCTCCCTCTCCTCTACATCCTGAAAAAAACCCATATGGAACAATCGCGACACACTGAAGCATGTATAGACGTACCTTCACTAATCAGACAACCAGCTCCGTAGATACCAGTAGGGTGGAATTGTACAAATTCAAGATCTTGTAACGGCAATCCAGCACGGGACACCATAGCATTCCCGTCCCCTGAGCAGGTATGAGCACTAGTACAGCTAAAATAAGCACGCCCGTAGCCTCCAGTCGCTAGGACAGTTTTATGAGCTCTAAATCTATGGAAAGTACCATCCTCCATGTTGAACGCTATGACTCCAACACATTCTCCATCCAGCATGATGAGGTCCAATGCGAAATATTCAATAAAGAAGTTTGTATTCTGACGAAGAGCTTGACCATAAAGCGTGTGTAGAATGGCATGCCCAGTGCGGTCAGCAGCAGCAGCACATCGAAAGGCCTGTCCCCCCTTGCCGTACTTCAAGGACTGTCCACCGAGTGCTCGTTGATAGATTTTACCTTCTTTTGTACGAGAAAAGGGTACGCCGTAATGTTCCAGCTACGAGCGTGAAATGAGTGTTAATAACAAATCTAAAAACAAACCTACCTCAAGAACTGTCTGTGGTGCCTCGCGACACATATAATGAACAGCGTCCTGATCTCCTAGCCAGTCGGATCCTTTGACCTAGGAGCAAATAAATCATGATGAGACCGTGAATATGTGCGGCATAAATCCGATTTACCGTATCATACATATGCCATCTCCAATCATCCTCAGTCATATTCTTCGCAAACCGTGAGTACTTGGTAATTCAATACCACCTTACTCACCCCAAGTGCAGCATTGATTCCTCCCTAATGTGACACCGTAGTAAGCTTCCAATTTGTATTCGCAGAACAACTCCGAGCAATGGCCCACCTGGGCAGCAACAGTGTGACTTCTGGTAGGGAAGAGTTTGGTGATACAGGCGGTGTTAAATCCAGCTTTTGCCAAACCGAATGCTGCTCGCAAACCTGCGCCTCCTGCGCCGCTGTATCAAAGGAACTGATATGGGAAATTTCTTTTCGTCGAGTAACGATGCCCACCCCGATACATACATGACAATAGCATCGAATTCGTGTTCAATTAGAGGGTATTTCGTGGAACATGACTACAAGCCAATTGAATACACATTCCCTGCGCAGTTGCAGTACACACCTGAACTTCACCCTTGACAGAATTTGTAGAGAACACTCTCTGTAATGGTGCTGAACGATAGGACGGACGCCGCGAGAAAGAGGTCGAAGGAAAAACAATGTATGGGAGAGCCTTGCGGAATATCCTCATCGCTGCAAAGAAAGAAACACCAACAATTCACTAGCACTGGTCAGGAGACTCGTTTGATACTTACACACTTACACATTTATCAGATTATTGAGCAATGAGTTCGAATTTAGCTGCCCTTCAGTCGGAAATCTACCGGATGAGTGCATAATACGGTGACCATTCCATACTTGCAGAGACAAAAACTAGACTGCTCACTGTTTCCCGAACCTGTTTCCTCCAATCCTCCTTTCGTGACTGGTTTCCGGAGTGAGCCGGAGTGAATCGAGCCGAGGTGCCACCACTTTTCTCACGATTGCGTGCACTATTCGTTTTTTTTCCACCGACACAAGCCGAATCGGAATAATTGCAACACCTTGGACTCTTTCCACTGTCCCGATTAATTCGAATTCTGTCCTATGTACACTCGCGCTCATTACATCACTGCAGCGCCCACTGTACAATCAGGAAGTCACAAATCCAAAGCATAGCCAATATTCTTCCGAATGCTCGTTTTGATCAACGATATTCATCTGCACGAGTCTTCACCTGCTCCAGTGGGATAACCTGGGATGTTTTAGCTTCAAAGGCATAGGAATAGTAAATGGTTGCATTCTCACTGGAAGTCGCTTTAAATCACTAATTCCCTTTCGTTGAAAATTGTCAGATGATTAGTTTTCAATACAATTCTGTTTTCTCAGGTGGAATCACTGCGTGCACAGATAGGATTCTTCTCCGTAAATTACTCTGTGCAAATTCTCTGCGAAACGGGTCCGAAATCCTGCCAAGCCTTCGCCAAGGCACAGAGAAACATATGTACGTAGATAATGGCGAAGGGGTTGATTGGATTTTTCAATTGAATGACTTGGGGATTCAGTCGCTCTTGTTCTTGTTCTTGCTCTGACTCTTGGCTGTGATGCTGCACTGACGTGAAAGCAAAAAGTCTTGGCCTGCAGGAGCGGTCGTCGGCTTGTAATTTGTTCATCCAATCTAAAAGTTTTGCTTTGGATTTTTGGGAACGTGCAGGAGCCAAAGGGATCCAAACGATAATCTGTCAATATTCGACAATGCGGCTCTTACTCTCAATATCTCATAGGAGCGAAAAATGCCTCACGTATCCATACAATCAAGAAAAATCCATAGAACATACACTCTACGATTGGTTGTTCAAGTCCTGAGGATTAGACATTTGCTTTCCTATAATCATTCATCCTCGTACGAGTTTTTTCACATTCGAAACAGCATAAAAGCTGGGCAGGTTCAGTCCCAAGAAAAAACCAAGCCAACAAGCTCTATCGCAGTCACACGAGATGAAGCTCCTCGCGTCTACAGTCCTTGCTGTTCTCCTTGCTCTCCCAGCGTTTTCAGACACTATACCGATCACACTCGACATTGTGAATGCTGATGGCGCACCTGATGGCTTTAACAGAAGTACAGTTTTGGTGTTTGTAGATGCAAAGGATGACTGAATTGATCAACTTAATAGGCATGGTGACCGCGAACGGGACATATCCTGGTCCCCTCATCACCGCGACAAAAGGTGACACTCTCGTCGTCACGGTTAACAACCTGCTAGTACGTTGGTCCGCTTGTTTATCTTACTTTGAACTCATCATGACACTTAAATTCAGGATGACCCGACTATGCGTCGTAGTACTTCCCTTGTGAGTCAACTTACTACTTTTTCTCACTTCGATTGGTCATATCGTGATGTAGGACTTTGATGGTCTCTTTGTGAATACACCAGACTCCTTTAACGAGGGTAGCTCCTTTGTGACGACTTGCCCCGTCGCACCTAATGCGAGCTACACTTACACAATTCCTCTTGTGGACGGCCAGGCCGGTACATTCTGGTACCACAGGTTAGCTTGAATCTAAAAGTTTCAAGTCAACACGGCTGACCTTTGTTTCCAAAACTTCATAGTCAGTTGAGCGTGCAATACGTCGACGTACGTATAGGTATTAAGTAATCCTGATATGAACATAATTTGACCTTACTTCTAGGGACTTCGTGGAGCTCTTGTTGTATACGGTACGGTGTATATCACCGCTTCCTTGCTCAATAAATATAACTCTGCTTGTCACAGATCCTGAAGACCCCCTCAAAGATCTCTACGACGTCGACGACGAAACTACCGTTAGTCCGATTTAAACTTACCCGCCTTGACCTTATACGAACGTCGCACTTCTCCTACAGATCTGGCAAGTCGGAGATTGGTGGCACAACACCACTCTTCCCTTGCTCGCAGGTTATGTAGCAACTGGAATTGTCCCAGTTTCTGACAGTGGTACCTTCAACGGTGTGGGCAGGTTCAACGGTGGACCCGAAGTACCGTTCTTCGTCGTCAACGTTGTTCAGGGCACTCGATACCGATTCCGAATCATTAACACCTCCGCGAGAAACGTATTTACAATGTCGATCGATAGCCATAACATGACTGTAAGCAATCATCTCTTTAGCGATCTGCGAGTTATTTTCTAGTACTAATTGCTCAAATTGTTCATTTTTATGTGTAGATCATCGAAACCGACGGCACGCCCACATCCCCAATGACTGTTAACTCGATAGATATGCTTGCTGGTCAACGTCATTCTGTTGTCGTCGAGGCTAACCAGCCCGTTGCCAATTACTGGATCAACGCCCCCTATGTTGGTGGAGACCCAACTAGGAATCTGAATCGTACGCACAACTTTCTCTCATCTTATCATCGGAGTTGATATTCTCTCCGAATACAGAAAATGCCACTCTTTCGCGGGCTATCCTTCGCTACCAAGGTGCTCCAGAAGAGGATCCAAGTTCCCCGATGTCCCTTGGACCGGCTGGCGCTGAGTTGAACGCTCTCGTTGAAGCAAATCTCCGTGTACGTGGGATTTGCCCTGTAACTATATGCATGATTGTGTTAAATGACCAAATTCAGCCGTTGGTAGCTTCACCCGCTCCCGAGGCCGACATCAACATTACTCTCAACCTTGTTGTGGTAAGTGCCTTCAAAATTTCGACATTGAAGCTCAAGCTCACGACGACGTAAAGACTGCGGGAAAAGCTCAATGGAACGTCAACAACGTCAGCTACCTTCCCCCCGACGTTCCGACCCTCGTCAAAATCCTCGACGGTGCCAACAGCACAGAAGATTTCAATGTCACTGAAAACACCTTTGTCCTTCCCGCTAACAAAATTGTGCAAGTCATCTTCCCTCCTAGTGTCGACGATGAGGCACATCGTGAGCCTTTTTTTCAAGACTTCTGTGTTTGTACCATAGTTGATCTGACTGGTGATTCGATTAGCTTTCCACTTGCATGGCAACAACTTCTGGTTGATCAAGTCAAATAGTTCTGATGAAATCAACACTGAGAATCCCATAAAGCGTGACGTACGTCTTCTGTCTTGCAATTTCATTGCTCCGCGCCAATACCAATGCATCTCCCTAAAGGTCGCCGGGGTCGGTTCGACAGGAACTATCATGCGATTCTCTACTGCCAACCCAGGTCAGTATTCAATTCAAACTCTTTCCTACTTATCATCCATTACTCACTATTATTGCTTGAATAGGTCCCTGGTTTTTCCATTGCCACATCTTCTGGCACTTCCAAGCTGGTCTCGCTACTGTGATGGCTTCAGGTTTGGATGAAACTCGGGAAACGGTCAAGCCGACACAGGCTTGGACTGACCTATGCCCTGCATACGATGCTCTTCCAGCTGATCTACAGTGACAGCCTGCATAAAGTAGAGAGTCTGAAGAGTTTTTTACAATTTTTAACTTATATTAGCACTGTATATCTGTCAGTGTACTCTCCCTCCTTCTGTTTCTATTTACCTGCACGAATCAAACATACGTACGAGAACGGGTTTTCTTCCTGCGCGCGATCTCGAAACTTCTCGAGCCATCCATTAACCAACTCCAGGTACGTTCATGAATTGGTGTATGATTTCTTAGATATAACCTATTTTGATTGCTTGTTCTTCCAGAAAGGGCTTGAGGTCCCGCATACTAAATGTTGCGCTATATCAAGACCACTGAACTTGAGGTATTTCGGTCATTTCGATTTTTCGGTGGTCATGAGAAAACCTTGAATCTCCTGTGAGGATCAATGATTGAAGGGCTTGCAGCATTTTTGTCATTCACGATGTGACTCGGAGGGATGTAGCTTTCTGTTTGATCCATGAGCTTCAATGTCAATAGGGACCCGGGGGAGAGGTAGCCATCTTGATGGAGCTATGGCTGCTCGATAAAGCGGAGGATCAACAGCATTCGAAAGAAATATTTCATGGCTGCACAACGAACGAAGAGAAATCAAGATAAGTTCATGGTCCCGCTCTATCCCGAACCCGATGTATCCGTGGGTCCGAGGCCATGTGACTAAGGGCGCAAGCGGCAAGGCAGCATGGCATTTCCGGCACGGCAATACGACTTCTCATCGATTCAATCCCGAATTCAATCCAAAACCGGCGCCCACACGGTTTTAACGAGTTAACGACAACGACGACGACGACCTGCGATAGCTTCCTTTTGCTTTTTCTTCTGCTCGTCGTGGGCGTTCTAACTTTCCATTACCTTACGCACTCTCCGCTATAACAAGAGAGAAGAACTCGCAAGTGAGGCACCGCCGCTGCCTGTCAATCCAAAATCCAAAATCCAAAAACCCTTGAATACAGAGGATTTACATTTCAAGGATTCAACGCATTCGCAGAGAGAAGCGAAAAGATCGAGAATTAGGCGTTGAATCACAACGGTTAGTCCATTCCAACTGTCTAGTCAAATATTTCCTTATAAATAGTGCTATCTATTCAAAAGACAGGATGTCGAACAACCACGTATACGCAGACTACTCTGACTATGCAGCTTATGCGTCTTATACCGACGAAATCCCGGAATACAGTCCAAACCCAACCCCTACATCTGCATTGAATTCCAATGCATCTATCTCCAATACGCCTACACCTCCATACACAAGTCCACCGCCCCCTCCGCCTCCGCCCTCGGCATCACTAATTTCAACATTGCCGGAATTCTCAGAAGGAAGGACAGATGATGAGCTGGAGACTTTATATGATAAGGTCTGGACAGGATATGGCGCTGGAGACTTGAGAAACTTCGAGAATGGAGCAGGCATTGAGGGATCTGGATACGGCGATGGCTATGGAGCCGGTCCGAGCTCCCCAACAAGCAGGAACAGCTCGTACCTTGCTTCTCCGACTTCAACAACATCCTATTCATCAGCAAACTCGATTTCTATGGCTACAAATGGATCCGCAACTCCGTCATCCGTACCCCGACCTCCCTCGCTTCCAGGTTCATCTATAGCGTATCCACCTACTCCGAGGAGCTCACGTCCTCTGCCTTTGCCTCCCGGTGCTCATGGTCCACCTTCAGCAACGATTCCTCCCTCCCTATCATCTGCCTCAGTCCCAGCTCATTCCGCAGCAGCCTCTATATTTCGAAATTCGGTGGCCTCAGGTTCCGACGGACGGAGCACTCCCACTCTGGATTCGCCATTATCAGCACGAGGACGTCAGCTCCCTACTGCTCCAGGAGCTTCCAGTGCAACAAGCCCAGCATCCTCGAATATTTCTCCGGCGGGTTATTTCGAATCGGTTCCTGGGGTACCGCTTAATTCCGGTGGATTAGTTCCTCCTCCTCCTCCGTTGGGTCTTGGAAACGGATTGGGACTGACTTCGGGCTCGCCGTTGAGTGCTGGGTTAAATTCTGCTGGAATCGAATTCAGTTCCGCCGGTTTAGACTCGGGATCAGCAGCAATCTATTCATCGGGATACGCAAGCAGTGAAGATCCATATGGTACTGGGGGTAATCATACACCTGTCGCTGGTGGGAGCTCTTCTGCGACGCTTCGCCATAATAACATCGACGAACACTCTTGGGAAGATGAAATTCATGCTGGGCCGTCACATCTGGGCTTCGCTTCGCCTCAATCGTACGAACAATACGAACAGTTCACCTCACCGCATACTTATGATGAGTATGAAGGGTACATTGACGATGATGCTTCCTCATCATCATCATCCTTTGCCTCGCGTTACGTGAACTTCAGCTTGTTATCGCATATTGCGGTACAGCTGAAGGATAAAGTACCAAGAGGAACACATGTGAAGGGAAGTATACCGTATCCCGGTGGGTTTACTGGGAAAGATATAGTGGTGAGTATCACTGATAATGTATATTCTTGATGTATTCTAATAAATTGCGTGCTTTCAAGTCTACCATCCAGTCCCTGATACAACGAGAACTTCTCATCAACCATGGTGTATCCACTTCTGACAGACGGGCTGCGTTACAGGTGCTCTATCTTCTTTACGTAGCATTATGTGTACTCACTCTATTTTGTCTTCGTTTCTTACGCGGTTCGTTTGTGTTGGTAAACCAGGTAGCAAGATCCCTACATAGTCAACTATTCTTTTACGAAGTCGAATGGGGTGGAAGGGTCTTGCAAGATGGTGTTGAGGATGTTTACATGTTTCTAGATGATTTGGACGGAGGTGCTGGTGAGTTGCTTGTCGTCGTACACTTTTGTTCATTTCACTCACTACCTCTATCCTGTCTCAGGTTCATCCTCCGCTCAACCTTCATCACCATCCGAACTCACAGAACTACCTACTGGGATCATTACTGCACTGACGAAATGTTACTCGCCGGATTGCATGGAGGGAATGACCTGTTACAGCCCAAGATGCCCTAGGAAGGTGAATTTTTTTTCGTCGTTCCATCATAAACTCGACTATACCCTGATCATTTCATTCGGGATAACCCTTCATTCTCATTCCTCCTTATCCAAACATATACTTATACTCTAACGCAGGGAGACTCCATCCTTGGACCTTCAACTAACTCTCTCTCCCGCGGAGGAGGCTCACTCGTGGCTTCCGATCCCCGTTTATCTTCCTCCACGATATCAAAAGTGCGCGACAGAGGCGAAGAATGGATCAACAGCGTCCCAAGCGAGGTCTTAGTGAATCTCCCGGAGAGTGAGGTCAATCGACAGACGTGAGTAGTCGTTCTCAGTGCATTCGAGCCATTTGATATCGCTCATCATTCACCTTCTACTGTTTTCTCTCCCAACAATCATCGATTGATCAATTACTTTCTCTTCAGCATCATCCACAAGCTAATCTCTAAAGAAGAACAATTCCTCGCCGATCTCGATACCATCGAGGCTGTTTTCATCCGGCCATTACGGGAATCCAATCCTCCTGTAATAAAATCTCGTCCAGGAGGACCGGCTTCCTCATCTCCTACTTCGATTTCGAATCCACAGCTCACCCAGTTGAATGCTTTGAACTCGACCTATGGGTCGAATGGGTCGAACGGTATTCATCCGTATGCGATTGGTAATGGGGTCAATGGGGGAGGATATCCGAACGGAAACGTGCAAAATGGGAGTGGGAGTGAAGATCGTGAAGCATTGTTTTCTTTCATCGATGTGGTGTTCAACAATATTTTGGATCTTCGAGAAACGAATAGGCGTTTACTCGAAATCTTGTATGTTCGACAACGAGAACAGGCAAGTCACTCTGCTCCGTTTCTTTTATTTCATTCATCGAACTTTTCTTTGACGTGTCTGTCTTTGTGTAGTCCCCGATCATCCAACGTATTGGCGATATATTTCTCGAAGCTGCTACTGAGCTCTTCCGCGTCGCATATCCCACCTATATCGGTGGTTGGCCACAGGCTGAGCGGAGGCTGAGGGAAGAATATGAGTCAAACGGCGAATGGAGAACATGGGTGGAACAAGCTGCTCGACAAGCTCAGCAGCTTACATCCAACTCAAACTCAAGCTCTGCTAATTCACAGCCGGTTGTATCTACTTCCGTTTATCCCTCTTCATCCTTACCATACGGTTCTTCTTCTGACTCTTCTTCGTCCGTATACGGAGATTCGTCGTCATCGTCATCTTCGCCCGAAACTTCAGGGGTAATGCCAACAGTAGCTGTGAACCCTTCCGGTCCTTCTGTCACATCCCCGACAGGCAACTTGAACTCAAGCAGTTCTAATGCTGCTCCTCGCCTCGATCTCAAGCATTATCTTACTAGACCATCAGAGCATTTGCAAAAGTACCCGGTGCTCTTAACGGCGATCCTAAACGAGACGGCGGAAGGGAACCCCGATGCGGAGTTTTTGCAAGAAGCTATTGAGGCGTTGGGTGGACTACAAACCGTGAGTTGTTTAACCCAATTGTCCTTGCTCTGCATCACTGACGGCGTTTGTGTAATGAATTCAACGAACTCATAATGATGATTCTTGTCTTTCGCTCCCTCTTTCCCTAGGTCGCGCAACTCCGAACATTCCAACAAGCTATGGGTCGAGGCATTCCTGGAAAATGGGAGTGGCATGATTTGGTTAGTAAAGAGAGTAGAGAGTCATTAGAGAGGCGGGAGTGCAAGAGGCAAAGCATTATATTCGAGTTGATCAAAGGAGAGATGGCGTATGCCAAAGATCTGGAGAACATCGCTATTGTGAGTCGAGGTTTCTTCGGTCAACTGATTCGATGATGAAATTCTAAGTCCTCTCCATGTAGATGTATATCCGGCCACTACGAGAAGCGGATCCACCTATTATTCCTCGAGATCGTCTCGAGTCATTCATTACGGACGTCTTTCATAATTTCGCTGAACTGCATGCGCATCATCAGAGGCTAGTAGAGAAGTTTCATGAAGTGCAGACGGAAGAGTTTCCTGTCATCAGGTAAGTTGGTATCCACTGACTGATGTTGTCTGAACGCCTGTCTTTTTCCCTTCCCCTTCCGTTGCAGATCTGTCACAGCAGCTGTGTTTGATGCAGCGCTCAACTTCCGTGAAGCTTATATGGAATATATCCCGAATTACCCGATTGCAGCGTACAGGATTGATGACGAGATGGCGAATAATCCAGCGTTTAAGGCGTTCGTCGATGTCAGTCATGCTCTTGGTGGTTGAAATTGTCCTGATATAATTTGATCCTGTGTATCTTTTTCAACAGCAATGTGTTCGTCATCCCGACGCCCATCGTCTTGACATGAAGAACTTTATCAACCGACCGATTCCCCGTCTACTCCGATACGAGCTGTTGCTCAAGGGCATTTTGGATGAGACTCCAGAAGGGCACGAAGACCGGATAGAAATACCCCAGGTACTGGACGTGATAAAGGCGATAGGAAAAGATACAGAACCTGGCGTTGTCAGTGCAAAGCAGAAAGTAGAGTTGTGGAGCTACAATAGTAATATCGTGTTCAAGCCAGGGGAATGGATCGTGAGTCTGATTTTCTGAGGATCTTCCAATTTATCAATAGTTTTTTTTTCGTTCGCAGGATATGGATCTTCTGGACAAGAATCGCTCCCTCATTCATACAGGGCGTTTGCTTCGTCAGCCGGATGGTGGATTGGAATGGAGTGGTTGGAGTGAACTTTTCGTGTTACTGTTTGACAATTATCGTGAGTCCCGTTTTCCAAGCTTTCTTCGAAACTTAATTTTTTCTGTAGTTGTCATGACCAAAGCCCGCGCAAAAGATGACATTACTAAATATTTCGTGAACCGCCGTCCAATTCCTCTCGATCTCCTTACACTTGTCAACTTCACTGATCCACCAACTCAACGAGGTGCCGGTCTTCTTCGTAACCTCCGCGGTGGCGAACGACACAACACAAGTGACACCTCGCCCTCACCTCTAACTACTTCCTCTTCTACTGGCGCCTCTGGTCTCTCCTCCTCAACGTCCACCGCCGGACCTGGAACCTCTGCACCTCCCCCAGGCGATACGTCACGCACAGATTCTCGCTCTGTCTATCCTTGCACCATCCACCACAATGGCCGAATGGGTGGGAATTACATCTTGTACGCCGAATCTGCTTCCGCTCGATCAGAGTGGAAGGAAAAACTTGAAGAAGCTGTTGGGTTGAGAAAGGTCGTGCAGGAAAGCAACAAAGTGTTTGAGATTGAAACTTTGAGCTCTGACACGTTTTTGGTCCCGAGCATGGGTTTGGGTGCTGACCGCGGAGAGCGTGGCGCGGCTGGAGGAGGTTTAGGGCCTAGCTATGAAAATGCATTCACAGGCAAAGTTACTTGCTCGGTGCCGTTCAATACCCCAGACGGAAGAGGGCTAGTGGCGATTGGGTGTGCGGAGGGCGTGTGGATTGGATTTAGGCATGATTCAAGATGTAAGACGCTTAGCACCTTACATCCTGCGACAACGTTCCTGATTGATCATACAGCAATGCGTCGGGTCCTACATCTCAAGATGGTCACACAATGTGCAATGCTAGAGGACTTCGGTATTTTCTTGGTATTAGCTGACAAGGTATGTTTCTTCCAACTCTTTTAGTTCAACTATAAAACGACTCCACTACCCTATAGTCCCTCTTTGCATACCACATCGAAGCTCTCGTGCCATCGTCGCCATCAAGCTCGCATTCTTCCCAGACTCCCCAAAAGCTCAGCGGAAACAAGGACGTGTATTTTTTCAGTGTTGGGACGTTGCATGGCCGGACGCTGGTCATCTACATGAAGAAGAAAGGGGTGAATCATTATTCCCTATCTCATTTCGTTCACATCTCTGATCATCGTATATCTTTTCTAGCTTGACAGTATTTTTCACGTTGTCGAACCTGTTGTTGAAAGAATCAACGAACGGTCTAAAGCTCCACAAGGTCTCATGGGGTCAAGATTCGGCTTCAGACAAGCCAAGTCGGATTGGTTTAGAGCTTACCGAGAGTTTTTCCTCCCCTCAGAATCGTACGATCTGATTTTCCTGAAAGTGAAGATTGCGATTCTGTGTGCTAAAGGTTTTGAAATCATGGATTTGATGGAGTGAGTGACTGCCAACTTATTCTCAAAAGCTAGATGAGCTCATATCTTCGTGTAGCCTTCAAAGTGTGACCATTCCTCAAAGAGAAGATCCTCGGCATGCACCGCTTGCAAAGAGATGGGAGAGTTGCAAGCCCTTGGGGATGTTCAGATCGACGGATGAGGAATTCCTGTTGTGCTACACCGGTGTGTATCTGTTGATTACCTGAGACTACGTTTACTCACCTTGTGGCCTAGAATTTGGTCTATACGTCAATAAACATGGTGATCCCAGCCGTCACACCGGTTCCATCGAGTGGGAAGGTACTGCCGAACGGGTCGCTCTTCACCCACCGTACATTCTCCTCTTCGACACCCGCTTTATTGAAGTCCGGCACGTTCAAACCGGTCGTTTAGCTCAAATCATACCCGGACACGATGTTCGTTGTCTCTGGGACGGACGCGGCGTCAACATCCCTGCTCCCCAAACTCCATCTGGTCCCAATGACTCCGATGAGCACATTGTGCAAGAGGCTCGGGTACACGCAGTGATGAATGCTGCTGATGCGTCGGTCAGGAACGGGTATGGTGGAGGAATGAAGTCAAGAGCGGTGGCGCAGCATGTGTTTGAGCTGATTCCGACGATTCCATTGTATTTACCTGGATCATTGGCATCGCCGTCGACGATGACTTATTTCCCCCAGTCGTTTTCTCCTCCGCATTCGCCGACCTTGAGACCGAATACGATTTATCGTTCTTGATTCGCCTTTTGTTAGAGTGAAGACGGATGATTTTGGACTGCTATACGATATTTACTGGTTTGAGTTCTTGCTTCTCTTTTTTTGCTCTTGATTTCTCCCTTCACTCCCCAGTACTTCATATGCGTTACTCATGTCATTTAATTTCCGGAATAGTCTTAGATATGCTCAATCCTCTAAGCTCTGGTAAATGGTATATAGGAATCTGACACCGATAAGTGCGTTTTGTGACCTCCAAAATGAGTACATTATCCAGAGATTTTTCTCAAAAATTTACTGATTTTGGGATGCCGAAAAGTTCATATAATACTCAAATAATTTGCTATAGTTTATGGTTATGCAGTTATTCCAAATTTTCTACAAATAATATTGACTAATTGTCCCCCGGGGACACGACATCCTTCACGACGCACAACCTTTAGTGCCGGGTGTGCCTCCCGTTTTGCATAGCGGCAGCGAGTGATTGAGGATTGAAAACGGTGGTGTGTGCTACTGTCGCAGTGACCTCTGGAATGTTCGTCTATGTATTTGTTACACTAGCAGGAACACATTCAGCGTGTGATTCTACTGGACCTTCCTCAAATTGTACTGATGACACTCCCCAGCCAAGATTGAGAAGTGCGAGCATTAGAAAATAGAAGCTTGTGATAGCAGTACATCTCTTGTAGTGAGTTTGTGTGTTATCACTTGCTGTACATAATGCCCACTCAATAAAAATATCATCCGACACTCATCCGACTCAGGGGAAACATTCTCTAAGAGGACCTGGAAAGAGGTCTGCTGCGAGAATGTCCTATCGCCGTCGTCTTGAGCTGGTGACAGGTGTGATCAGAAGGAGGAAAGGAAAGGAATCAGAGTGGCTCCAGGTGGCTATTGGAGAATTAGGTGGAGCAAAGAAAGGCGGTGCAGAAGGGCGAGAGTTGATGCATACACACCTTACCTTTTCCTGCTTGAATGTGAATGATATTGAACAATGGATGAAAGTATTCATATAGGAGCTGCCAGAGGAAAAGGCACCCCTGCGATGAAGTTGCTCTGCTCTCAGTCTAGTGTTTTGGACTGGAGGTTGCTCTGTTGGATCAATGTCTATTCACCGGTTCGCGCGCGTTCTTCCAAAATCATCTGTAAGACTCAACTTCCCTGAACGAGAAGAATGACAAACATACCAGCCTCCGTCTTTTCGCGACTTCCGTTTCTTTATATAGAAAGCTAGGGCCCTTGTTTATTTAGTCTAACGAGGCTGAGCTCAGATGGATAGCTATATAGAGTATGTATGTAGAGTGATCCTAGCGAATCTGTGAGCCGATATCAACGTATGTATACCACTTCTCTATGGTTGCTCCATCGGACCTGTGAACAACATTGGACCAGTCCGGATCCCTGTTGATCTCGCCCCCCCGTTTTCCATCAGAACATAGGCTCAGATAGGAGCAGAGAGGCCAGTACCTATAAGTAAAAAAGGGAATGACCCTGCAAGACTCTAAAATCCCTCATTAGCCCTCATAATTACTGCTGGTCAGGTTTGCCCCAATTTCTCTTTGTTCTTTTGCTGGTCAGAAGAACCGTTCTCTTGGGCTCTGTTCATTGTCGGAATAAACTGGTTATAACGCGAATGCGCTTCATCTTTTCCTGCGTCTCCCTTGTTTGTTTTCTTCTCTCCGCCGTATACCCCATACCCACCCCATATGTAAGTCTTCATTTATAGACATCCATCTCATTAAAAATATCAGCAGTCCTCCACGAATGACTTTCCCCTCATCTTACACGCAAATGGATTAGACGAGAGTGGCCAAAACGCTATAGCGATACTAATACAAGCAATGCTGAAAGAAAGAGAGCAATGGCCGTCAACCCGCCTCGCTGCTCTCCAACTAACATTTATTCCGAGCAAGATGGAAGACGAAGGCTCGTTGGCGGACGGTGTAACGGCTTTCTACGTCAGCGGCAATTTTGCAAATTGTCTCGCAGGGTGCAAGGGCCTGGTTGACCAAGAAGGAAAGGGTCAGGTTGCTCTCGTCAAAAGTGGAGAACCTGTCTATACCTCTGAAGGCAGTGTATGTGCGCTCTGTTACTCCAAGGTTTCATTGTAATTTTTTTTTGTTCAGACTCTAAGAGTATATCCCGTTCCGGAGGCAAGGCGAGGGTTTTTAGACCGCCTACGTACCCAGATCCGTAACGCGCGCCAGAAGAGTATTTCACGGCCTTGAATCTAAGAGTTTGCGTCCGCACTATTCGACTAGGACTCCTCCGCCCGTTCGCCATGACTTTTCCAAAATTTTCCATAAACAACTTGTTGCCGCGGCACTGCCCACTATGCATGCATAATGTAGTACCAAGGTGGTTCATTTTGTAGTCTAACGTAAAGTGGATTTTTGGGGAGCTGGGGAAAGGGAAGCGTCGACTGAGGGACGAAAAATATTTATTCAATTACAATGAAATCACACCATCGTGATTGAACACCAACTCACCTGGGGGACGAACGTTGTACTGTGGTCAAGCCCCGTGCAACATTTTGTGTTCCAGTCAGTACACATCACGAAAACAAAAAGTAAGAGTTATAAGATCTAATAAATCATACACAAGTCCAAGACATCAACACAAGATATAATGTAAACACAATCCAAAGTCATGAAAGTCTGATGCAGAGTTCTCAGTCCAATTCAAGATGAAATAACACACTATACAGATTTGGTATATCAAGGTCGTGCTGTCAGCGCAATCAGTATTAGAGCTAAAGCTGGATTGGAGGACACGTACCAAGCTCTTCCCGACGATAAAACCAAAAGTAGCCAGCAACAATGATGAGTTGACATCCCAGCGCAACCCAGAACAAAGGTTCTACTATAGGTGATCCCTTCAAGCCGTCCGTAGCAGGATTCCATGTTCCAAGGTTTGGAAAGACAGGTCCAGGTCCCACTCCGTCCGGTGAAGTGGCACGAGCTATCATGACCACCGCAGATCCAATAATCTGAGAGAACGCGAGTGTTGCGGTGACGTGTAGTCGGGAAAGGGTTTGAAGTAGGATCATTCCGAGACCAACACCTTGAACGGCATCAAGGACACCAAGCCACAACCATAAACCAACGCCAAGATACGGGCCAGCATTTCCACCCCATGGGACGTAAGTCGCCAGCGACGATGTTCCCCAAAGCATCTATGCCAAAAACAGGGTTGAGCTGATATAGTCCAGATGGTTGATAACCGTACCTGACACCATCTCGGAGCACCTAGACCAACTGCAAACACTGGGAGCAGCCACGTATGTGTCTTGCTAAAATGACTCAGCACTGCAAGCATAACTGCCCATACGCCAACAAAGAATGCCAAGATAAGTAAGAAAATATGCAGTTTTGGCATGTTCACATTCCAGAGATACGTCCAATTCAAACCATACGGCTGCGTGCAACGAAGTCAGTAAACATTTTTTGAAACAAAAACTATTGTACGCACTCCACTCAACCAATAATCGCGCAGCACTTCCGAAACAAGGAACCAGATTACAAGCTTTCGACGAAATAATGTTGTAAGGAAGTGTGATACTTTAGGAGGAGTTTGACGATAGTATTCTGACAAAGTTTACAAGTAATCAGTTACCCATTACTAGTACTTCTGAATTGTTTACCTGGAAGACCATGGAACAGAATGAAACCGAAAGAAAAACTCATGAATGACAACGGCCAAACGATGACAGTCAGCCACCACGGCGGGGTGTATGATGCAGACTCATTATTCAATGTGTATCCCCAGTACCAGAGGGCAGCTACCCAGATTTGTTGCGAACCTTGGACTATACAAGCCCGGAGTACCCAAATCTCCGTCGCAGCACCCTTTCGACAGTCAAGAATAAACGAGAGTAAATATATTGAAGATAGAATCACATACTGCTTCCTCTCCAAAATTTAGTGCAAAGAACAAGAACCCTGCCGCTGACGCCACAGCATAGCACCACGTCGCGATGTTTGATAGCATTGCATGAGCACTGTGCAAAGAACCACTGACGGAAGGTAATCCTATCAGGAAAAACGCGATTCCGAAGAAAATCCAGGGTAGAGAGAGAGCGTAACGTGTAGGTTTAAGACGACAGAGCGGATACCAGACTGTTGAAGCAACGAGGAAAATACTCCCAATGATGTAAAGTTGAGTGTTGCTTTGCCAATTTCGTCCGGTAAGAAGGGTCATCTGGAAGCTTGTAGCACTCAGCATCTAAATTGAAATATTCCTCAAAATAATTCGAAAATAATTGTCAAGACTTTACGGACCTGGCCAAGAGCAATGACTAGAGTATAGAGGGGCCATCCTTTGATCTCGCGAGAAAGGGCAATTTGGAGACGATTCATCGGGATTTCAGGAGGAGTCTTCTGAAGCGCCATAGATTCATTGAACGGGATGGCCTCGGCAGGAGCTATATTGTAGTTTCAGCAATTCGCAAACTATGGTCATTCGTTGAACTTACTGCTTGGTAAAGAAGATGCACTCAATGAGTCACTGCTTCCCCAGAACGAGGAGCGTTTGGACTTGATACTCGCACTGGCGCTAGACAATCTCTTGCGCCGCACTTTGTCGAAAAATGCTTCTTCGCTTTTGATCAAGTATTTCTCGATTGAAAGTCCATGCTCGGAATTCTTGGCATTGAGATTTCCTAAACGGGTGACAAACTCTGCAGTAACCCCACCGTCGGCATCAGTGAACTGTTGACAATGGTAAGTGTCATTCCAGTTGTTACAGAAGTTGAACCCACCGAAGCGATAGCCTTATTCAAGGGAGAATCCGATTTGGTCTCGACGATGGATGCTATCGACTCCGAAGATTCTGTGCGGGAGTGTCCTCCAAGCCGTATCCTCGTACTACTTCCGTCAAGGAAAGGATCAGGTACTCTTCGACGGTCCCGTGCAACCATTCGATTGACTCGTTCCAGAAAGTTTTCATAGTCTGTAGATTGTTGAGCCTCAGAAACCCCGTCTAGAGCGGCATGAAGCTCATCTCCGGGATCAGATATGTAAGAGTTACGGTTGCTTTCACTGTCCTGGTGGGATTCAGAGGGAGGATGAAGATGTAGAGGTTCGTTGGTGTTTGTGATGGGGACCAAGGCCTCCACCGAGACCCTGGCGCTTGAATTGCGACTACTGATTCCTGATCTAGGGCCTGTGTGATAAACCTCCAGTTCTGGATCCCATTCGTTCGGGTCATTTGCGGCTTCGTAAAATGCGTAACCATCGCTTGGTCTCCATGCGTTCGCTCTAGCAAGTTCCCGACTTATTATGATACTCCTACGGTGAAAGTCTTCGATACGTTGGCGCCATTCTACTACGGGAAACCGTTGAATTGCAGACCGGGCACGAAGGAAAGCACGCTCTTCTTCGGTTGACTTCAAAGCCATCTTGATAGTTTTCGTGAGTTGTGACAACATATGCGAAGTTGAGCTCGATTCAACAGGGAACCACTAAGGTGGAAGCTGTGAGCATACAATATCACATGCTACCTCGGTCTCACTCACCCATCCAGGCATCAATCCCAATCCACCAAGCCTACTACCCACACCTAGTGCACCCTTTCGTCCAAATTCAACTGCGACCAATCCAAAAGGCTCATCTCTGGAAGGAATCAGTGCAAAATCGGCTCCGCTAAACAGATATGGCGGGAGCGCTGTAAATTCAGGCTTCGAGTACACACGGCCAGGATACATTTCCATTAACCGTGATAACTTTTCCGCAGCGAGTCGTCCATAAAGGTCAATGACGGGACCGACTGTAATGAGTTGGATAGATTCATCTTTTTCTAGTCTAAAAAGCTCCAGTCAGACCTTTGCTTAAAAAAGAAATAAAGCAACCTCACAATCCAGGCATAACATCTGCAATCAAATCAACACCCTTTTGCTTCGACCATCGTCCAACAAACACAAAAAGATTCGAGTTGGGATTTTGCTCAATCCCTGCCCACTCTTGTGCCTGTCTCTTCGACTCCGGGCGGGCCTTCTCCGCTATCCTATCGACTTTCACCCCTTTTGATTTGATTGGTTTCTCATCCAACGCAGCAATATCGGTAGGGTCAGGATTGGGTAAAGAGTCGACATGTTTAAGAGTCCACAGTGCGGGATATCTAGCCCAGCTCCTCTTTCCATATTTATCTGACACTCCTGCAACACCCACGCTTTTTTGATGCAAGCTTACAAACTCTGCAGCGGCGTGTAGCAGATTAAAAGTGTTTCCGAATTGAACATATTTGACACAATGTTTTTTGGAGATATTGAAAGCTGAGCAAACCTCCCTCATCTCCTCCTTCGTCCTTAACGGCCATAAGCCTTGAAACTCTGCATTATGCAGAGACAGACAAACAGGAAAAACTTTGGGTAGGAGGTAGATGGGTGCCAAAGCACCATGATAGTCGTTGATATGGTAGATGTCAATATGAGGGTACCGACGGATAGTCGCTGCGATGGCTTGGTTCCATGTGGAATAAAAAATCGCAGAGCTAAGATCATCCATCCGTGATGGATACGGATCCGCCTTTGTCTGAGCCCGAAATACAGGGGAGTCGATGATCACGTAGGTGATATGGTCAAAGACGTGGACCTCGACGTCGACGAGATAGGTTTCATTGAAGATGACGACCTCGATAGGATCGTCAGGGTCGCCTGCGGGATATTCCAAGTCTTTGACCTTGGGAACGACCCAGATCAGGTCAACGTCGGTCATGGCTTTTCCCATCAAACTAGACATCACGCCTAGCCCGCCGATCTTGACTTTGAGCTTCCAGTCGATGATTTCGTATTCGAGCGTCGCAATTAGAACCGTCCTGCGTGTCTTGTTTGTGTCCTCCGGCCAGCCTATAGCAAGATGTTTACCTTTCTTGTCATGAGCGGCATTCACCAGCTTCTCATCAACTAAACCCAATTCGCTATTGAGATCGGTGACCGTCTGGGCCTTGCGATCCCAGAAGACAGGAAGATACTTGGATTTTAATGCAACGCCATACTTATTGTGCTCCACGCCATAGAAGGCGATCATGAAGATCAGCACCGCAAGAGTTGCAGTGATCAAAGGGACAGACACCAAGAGGCTGTAGACGACCATACTGATTGCTGAACGACCTCTTGGCTGAAGGGTCCATCGCATAGTGGTGTCATCTACGAGAATAGACCAAGAGAGGTACGGATACGGCGGGGCGGACATGTTGACATAATTTGGTGCCTCGGTATTGGGAGGAAGACGGTCTAGGACTCCATCGCCATCTGTATCGCCGTAGTAATAGTCTGCTACGTCGAATCCCCAGACATTCAACTGGACAAATGTAGGCCAAGCAGCCATTATCTTTAGCTCCCATAAGTTGCCACTGCTACCCGTACTCAGGGACGAAGAGGAAGCCGTATTTAGGGTGAATTGGCTATCGACCCCTTGATTATTTCCCCATTCATTGAAATCTCCTCGAGCGAGGAACTGAGGAACTCGTCGAGGCGGACCGGTATATCCTCCCGCGTCAGCTTGAACAACGTTTTCAGTAGTCATCGTAGCTTGGCTCCAATCTTAACAGTCGAAGAAAAACAATGAAGTCATCCTTGGTGTTATGCCGACATAAAAGCAAGAAATACGTACATTGAATCATAACATGAACCCCATCCCAGAACATGTTCGAGCCCGCGAAGAATGAGGTATTCAGACTCGTCAAATCCTCCCATTCAGTCCAATTCGTCCACGTCTGCCCAAAATCCATCGAATACCGAAATTGGTCAGCGCCAAATGCAGAGTGGGTGTACTTGTATTCATTGTCAGCAAATGTTAAGGCAGAGTTGTTGTAATCACTGTCTGGGAAGACCATGACGTTTCCTGATTGGCCTTTTCTAAGGATGAGATGGTCTGTTGCCTATGTAAGCGAAAAGAAACTGAATGAAATTTCTTGCTTGTGGGCTGGGAACGCAGTGAGCTTACCCCAGTTTCAATTCCTACAGCTGATGTCGGATTGGCTACCGTAATCGTCAACAGCCCGTCCGGGAAATTCGTCAAAGTAGCATTCCAGACCCAGGCTGTTTGAGGCACACCCGACAGGCCTGTTGAATTAAAAGGACTAACCGACAAGCAGCTGACATTTCCAATCAAAGGAGCTGACCCATGTCCTGAGGTGGACATATTCAAGGTTATAGAGTTCGTCACACTGTCGCAGTCCATATCCAAGTTGAACCCGAGCGATATATCCACATTATCCAACCCGTTCGAACTAGATGACGCTGAAAGAAGTCTCGCATCATGCCCAGGAGTGAACAATGTCAACACCGGCGGTGCCCCTACCCAATCACTATCCACCACCAGAACCTTGAATCCATACGGGTCCATCGTGATGCTTTCTAAACATCCGAAATATGGAGCGTTGCCATCGTTAAAGTACGGCGAGAGCGAGGCCTGAAGAGTGTAGTTCTCGAACGGGTAGAGCAAATTCCGTACTACAGCACCTGTGGAGTTCCCAGGTTCAACAGGGTACGGAGCTTTGATCCAATCCGGATTCGTCGAGCAATTGAAGTCATAACTCTTCGTGACGTTCTCATTCGTCATGAACATCCAGACAGTTCCATTGTGTGTCCCATTGAGTACTTGCACGTTCTGCATTCCTTCCCTTGAAATACTCCATAACCCCATCTCCGTACTCACACCTCCTGATCCAGGCCTTTGAATCTCATATGTCCAATTACCCAACTGTGTTAAAGTAAACCCGTCTTGAAGCGCGGTGTAGGTACTACGAAGGAAATTAAATTGAGTGAAGAGATGACGAGTGGGAGCGGTAGGATCGAAGTGGTCGAGGGAGACGGAAGGATCGGAGCAGCCGAGGAGAGAGCGGGAGAGAGGCATGTTGAAATATTGTTGAGAACCGAGGTGATAGCAGCCGTGGTTGAGCCAGGCACGGGAGGAGACCATTGCTTGACGGCTGAGAGGAAAATGGGTCAGTTATTGTACCAAATCGTCAAACTTTGTCGGATGAGTATAACACTTACCCATAGAGATAATTGTTCGCCGTGGAGTCGTATGTATAGAAATCTTGTTCTTCTCCGTAGTAATACTAGAAATACAAGAAATCAGGTCAAAACCGGAGTGATACTGAAGGTCGGATTCATGGCACAACGTACCATAACAACTCCCGGCATGAGCATCCCTGTAACAAACGCGCCTAACATCCCTCTCCTCGCACCATCGCTCAGACTAGGCCATCTAAACACGTCGAAGTTACTTGTGCCAAACATATGCCGTGGGTCAATCACACCAGTGTTGGAGTTGATGAAATCGTCGTTAACGAACATCTCGTTCCAGGCTGTGATAAAAGAGTCCGAAGAAAGGTCGTACGCGTCTTGGAGGTTACCATCCATGCCGAGAAACGACGTCAAGGAACGATAGATGGAGTAGTGGAAAGCACATCCATCGAGAGCGTTGTAACCCTCTGGACGAAGGAAATACTGGGCGTCAGATGAAGTGACGTTGGCTGCTGTAGCGATAGAGTCGGGACGCATGCTCGGCGTACGGCCGCGACCGAGGTACAATGCGCCAAAGGTATCGCCTCCTGTGACTTCACCTAAATCACCAAATCAACATCGATGGTTAGCAGAAGTTCTGAACAAAACTAAGGATGCAAAGACTACCCACCCGCGATATAGAAATTTTCCTTCCCGACACCAATCGCACACTCCCTTGTCGCATTACTCCACTCTGCCAGTGCCTCCAATGTCACCTGCAACGATTTATCCACTCTAATTGCATCTATATCCAATGCCTGTATAACCATACAGCTAAACATTTTCAACTTGTCTATCATTCCCGGCTTCCATTCCCTCAATCGGTCCTGGACTCCAGCGAATTTCGACAGCTGGCGCTGCCAGTCAGGGAACACACCGAAAGCTTCAATGGAGCCGTAATGGTCAAAGTCAGATTCGAGGCACCCATTAGAGGTTATGTTGACGATGAGGGTGCCATCGTCGTTCCAGAATTGGGGGAGGACGCAGGATGTGTTACGATCGTTCGAGATCTAAGTGTGAAGGAAATGAGGACGAGGGTGAGGAGAAAAGAAAGAGAAAACGGACTTGAAAATCTTTATAATCCGTGAAATTCCAAGGTATGTAGCCAGGTTTCAAATATTCGGCGTCGTACTCGGATAATGAAAAGGGCGCAGTTGTATTGAGGAATCTGGGGAGTCAAATGAAGAGTCAGTAGCGGATCACGGACAAATAATTGAAAACGAGTTGGACGGGTGTGGCGAACGAACGAACGTGTACGGGGAGTGGAATTGAACTATACACACCCTTTGAACCCAATCAAATCACTCATAGTTCCGACCGTGAAATCTGCCATGAAATACATTCCTCTAGCGTGGATCTTATCGATTGTTTCTACCCACTCATCCCATGTACCCCAATGCGGGTCGAGCACGGAAAAATCCAACGGAGAATAACCTGTGAGATAGAATGAATCGTTCGAATCACGGCAACAAAAGATCCCAACCAACCATCTGCCTCCCAAATCTCGTTCAAGAAAATTGTCCCAGCAACGTAGATCACCCGAACACCCATTCCCTGCAGATAATCCAACATTCGATCATCACCCATTCCCTTCAGATCACCGCCAAACCGCAACTGCGTCTCTCTCCAATCGGATTCATACGGCGTCTTGAAAAAGTCATCGTTGGACGGTTCTCCGTTGGCAAATTTATCGAGGAGAACGGTGTATATTGGGAGAGAACGCCAGTTAGATGGAGATGGAGTGTATGTAGTATTTGTGCGGTTGGTGTAGTAGTCGAGTGGTGAGGTAGCGGTTTTATTAAGGTTGAGGTTGTATTGGATAAGTTGTTCGTTGTATGGCGAGGCGTGAACGACGCTAGGAAGAGAGAAAAGTGAAGAGAGGACAAGGAGCCCTATAACCAGAGCCATCGTGAATTGAGACACCGTGGACAGTGGCGAAAAGTATCGTTGACCTGACTACTCGCCTCCGAGTGGTATGGCACTTGCAAGAAGGAAAGGAAGGAAGGAATGACAAGGCTGCGCTGCATGGACATCACCCAAAGCCACGATTCGCCGATTTACACACGCGAGGTTTTTTTAAAGTTCTTCTGGGTTATCTTGGGAAGATTCTAGAGCGAAAAGGCAGAGTTTGGCCGTGTCCGTAGTGGTCCGTTTGTCCTTTGTGATTGGTCCATCGATTCGGCCTGCTTCTAAAAAACGTGTTGCTGTCAGGCCTCGGATGGCCGAGGGAGAATCCGTTCCAAAAAAAGAGCTCTATGACGATATGATACACAGAAAGATGGAACGCACCTACATCTTGATTCCAACTGGCAGCCTGCACCAACCTGTTTTTCCAGACAAGTTGGATGAGAGTCATTCGAGCCTATGAGCTCCAAAACTGGGTGAACAAGAAGTACATAATTGCCGAAGAGTGGATTGGCTATCAGTCGCATTGGCAGATAGGGAGTTCATAGGTAGGAATCGGTGGATTAGTGTCCTCCGATGTGAAGGCCAAGTGGAGACAAAGAGGTCAGGAACGAAAAACACACTATGCCAACTGTCGCAGGAATCTTCAGAAGGAGCGAAACAGCAGTCTTCGATAGTGAGGCTTATTCCGATTCCGAGGTAAATAGCGGCGCTCTGCCAATTGAGGGGCATCAGGAGCCAGGACAGGAGCTTTGGCACGCGGAACGCGCTAAATCATTCGAAAGACCGTATTCTGAAGCACGTAACTCTTCTACAAATTGACTATATAGCGCAATCATTGTCCTTCACGAAGCACCTGGTTATGATCAATCAGTAAACAACGCATTTCGAGCTCAAAGCACGCACTGATTCCCCTTCAATTGAATCGTGTCCAAAAATATCAAAGTCTGACTTTTCCTAATGCACACAAGTCAGACTAATTACTTGTGCTTGGTCCTCCATTCTTGATTAGTTTGTGCGTGGTGTGCAGGTATCCACTGAAGACAATGCTTGTACTTGGTGGTCTATTTTGATTAGTTTGTGCGTAGTGACCGGGTACCCACCGAAGATAATACTTGTGTTCTATTTCGGTCAGTATGTGTGTGGTGAGTGGGTTTCCACTGCAGTCAATTATTGTGATTGGTGTGCAAGGTGGGCTGCTACCAATGCTTGGTTGAATTGGCAAGAGATCTTGGAGACATTGAACTGATCCACTGCAAAGATTGCTTTGGAATGATGTACTTGGGTAATATATCAGTGCACTGGAATGTGCTGGAGTTGTTGTGCATGCCATCTTGTGTATGCTGCTTGCACACAGCCTTTCAGGAGCTATTTTCAGTCAGCATGCATATCTGAACTGGGAAAGGGTGTACTGTCAAGGCTAGGGAGAGCTTAGAGACATCAAGTGTACATTGCGACCCCCTTAGTAGGAATGTGTGTTCCATAGCTGTACATGAGACATAGACGTATATGTAATTGTACAGTAGTATGGTAAACTGGCCGTTCGGGAATCGGACCTCGCCAGTATAATTTATATCCTATCCTATCCTATCCAATATGAGCAGTGTAAAGAGCTCGAGGCTCAGCGCTCAGCGCTCGGTCTGGACTTGATGTAGAAGAGCAAATGACTACTTCAAGTTCAAGGACATGACCATGGACAGATTATTGAGATAGGTATCACTCTGTCGGCTGTGTACAAGGGTACAGTCGGCTGCAACAGTGAGTACCCCAGATTATTGGATGAAAGACATGAGAGCGTGGGAAACAATCATAGTGGACGTGCTTTGATCATGACTACTTGCATTGTCTTGCAACGGCAAAGAAGGCTCAAGTAAGAAAGTCATGGAAAAGGACTGGGACCAGTATGGGATACACCTGAAGAGAGTGGAGATTTTATATTAGGGAAGAGTTACACGCAGTGGCAGTGGCAGTTGAAGATTTACTTGAGCTTTAGGTAAGAATCGAACCTCTTCATTCGCCCACCATGTTACAAGATACAGATCACCTGTCCACTTTCTTCTATGATAACGATGAGGAGACTTCGCCCGATACATTCTCCCTCACTCAACTTACCAAGGCAGTTGGAGCGGCTATGTGTATTCAAGAATGCAATCTGGTTAAGCTCGCAGAAGGAGGATATCACAAGGTGCCCTGCTCATCGATTATTTATCATTGGCTTTTCTTAAATTGATACTGTCTACAGGTATATAAAGTCTCCGGCGATCTGCGCATTGTAGTCCGTGTAGCGGCCCCTGCATTTCCAAAAGACAAGCTTGAGTCAGAGGTAAGTGGTAAGTTCATTCAAAGGTGATAGGCGTGCGCTGGAGTTTGGGCCATGGTTTGTTAGGTTGCGACCTTGCAGTATATTGCTTCCCATAGTAGTATCCACACTCCTCACGTTTACGCATGGAACACCGAAAATGACAACCCCGTTGGATTGGAGTACATGATCCTTGAAAAGGTATTGTGTGTGATAATGTATCACATTTCGATTCTGAGATGTGTGTTCAGATTCTTGGTGTTCCAGCCAGTGCGGTTTGGGACACATTGCCATTCGAGAAGAAACAGGTTGTAGTAGCTGAAGTCGCAAAATGCATACTTCAGTTATTTCACCTCCGTTTTGACACTGGAGGGTCTCTTTATCATGAGCCTGGATCTTCAGCAAACTCTTTCATCGTTGGGCCTGTTGTCAGCACGCCATTCTACCGAGCTCTTGATGGAGTTGTCCGTTTCCCCAACGAATTGACCGCACCTGATTTAAGAAGATATCGAGGGCCTTTCCTCAGTCCAACAAGTTATGTTCGCAGTCCTCTCGAAACCGAGTTGCACATTCTACGTGTTCAAAATCTACGACGCCATGTATTAGAACACGAGCTTGATGGCGATGAAGAATGCCTTGAGCAAGGTATTCGTGTTCTGGAAAAGGCAGTAAAATTAGCATCGATCTATCCTGGGGATATTTGCATATCAAGTCCTCTTACGACTCCAGGGAATCCGTTCTCGCTCCGTATGGATGATTTCAGACTTTCAAATGTCATGGTCAGTGCAGGAGTAGTCATTTCATGAATCCTCTGAATTCCACCCTGTTAGATTGATGAGAATACTGGCCACATCACTGGCCTGATAGATTTTGAAGGTGCAACCATTGCCCCTTTATGGGAATGTGCGTACATGCCCCGATGGTTACAGGATCGTGAAGAATGGGACGGGAGTTTTGAAGGTGGTTCCTCGTCAGAAAAGGCTTCACTGCGAAAGGTATTTAATGACAAAATGACTGAAATTGACCCAACAGGGGAGTGGAAGCGGGCCCATGATCAGGGTCGTCCTTTTCGAGAGTTTACGAACATGTTGAACTATAATGTGGGCGTATGGGCTAATGATGACATTGAGAATACAATTGATGAGTGGTTGGAGTGGGCAAAGGTGCACCCAGGTGAAGGGTTGAGCAAAGCTGATCCTGAATCACATATACTACTGTAGTCGCTACTGGGAGAATCCTGAAATGAGAAATCGTTGAATGACCACCAGAGCATGACTATCCCAAGTCACATAGATTGGATAAAGGAAATGCCTTGAATGACACTTATCTTCGAGTCTCAACTCTCTGCACGTCAGTCAATGACCCATCTTGTCAGGTGTGGTCAACTCTGTATATTGAATGAACCTTTTTCTGCGCAACATGTTTTTTTCAGAACCATTCCCCCTCGGATGGCCGAAAGCCAGGACAGGAGCTTGAGCCACACGGAACACGCTAGATCATTCGAAAGACCGTATTCCGAAGAGCAAGCGGAGATTGAGTATCAGGGAACGAGGAGGTACATACAGTGGCAGGGAGCATCGGGGATACTTGTTTCGTATATCACTGGGCCAAACTATGAGTATTTAAAACATCTCCAAACTATTCAGGCCATCTGAAGGGGAAAGTAGTGTTTAAAGCCTGCAGTGCCTCAGGATCCATTGTCAACGACCTCCCAATGACATATTTGTCTGCCCATATATCGGTAATGCCTACTTCATAGACCCCTGGTTTCTTCAGCGCAGGTCTCACAAAGCATGTGCAGCCACCGCGACAACACCCTGTACCGTCTTCATTGGTGATTTCAAACTCGAATGTTTTTGAAGGTGTGTACCCCTTCAGAGAGCTACTACATGCATTGTCGATGACAATCTCTGGTAATTGAGCAGAGCCTGTTCCTGTACCTTTCGACGACATCGGAAGATGCAGTTCTCCCGCGACCTGTTGCATGATCATATCAACCACAGCTTTTGCAGCGAGAGATTCCTTTCCATGTTCATCAAAAGGCACGAGAGTCTTCGCAAATGGTAATGGAAACCTGTACACCATCGACACCCTCTTCTTAAAACTAGGGCCCGGTGCCTAGAGATACATGTTTTCATAAGCAATAAGCAAGAAATAAAGCACCACATAGAATAAGAATGACTGTAAGTTGATGGGAAGCCAGCAGGGCCAATGTGAGGAATACTACAAACATTCTACGCACATTGCGAATTGCAGTTGTCCCTAGCGGTCCAGGAACTGGAACAGCCCATACAGCATAAATCAGACCGAGGACGAGGTATGTGGTCCATAGATAGAGTCGAATGTGCATGGTAGGAGTAATGATGTATAAGGAGCGCAGGAGAAGATCCAAATATCTGGTAGAATAGGGATGATAGTAGGGGACAACGAAGCAGTGGTTGGTTGTAATAAGGCGAAAGTTTTTTTTGGTCTTTGATCAGGAAATGTTGTGTGTGCACCAGTGGTCGTATCACTACCCGACTTGGCCAGCAAGTTTGATACGGTGTTGGGGGGAGAAGAAAGAAGAAACTATCGGGCAGACCAGGGACGATCCTGGATATATACCGTTATGTGCCCACTTACCGTCGGATCTCTTTCTCGATAGATTCTGGACTCTGGTACCGTCGATGACTAATGTTATGATGACAGTATGAAGACGACAATTGGTACGAAAGCAGAGTGAAGAGAGAGCTGTAAAGGTAATGATGAGTGAATCAGATAAGTGAAAGTGCACAAGTAAGTAATTGAAGTGCACATACACCAAGTTTACTTTCGGCAAAGTCCTATTTGCCTTTGTACCTCTGTCCAACTTCCATCACGTTCATTGGAGGTTTGTCTCTTACAAGAGTCACGACATCAATTTTATCAGAAGAGAAGAGCGCATGAGCGCCTATGAGCGCCGAGTAATGTTGAGGCGTGTCTCGTGATAGGGTCCGTAGGAATCGAGTTATGTATGAACACCAACAACGTCACGGCCTCGTGTAACGAAGTTCAACCTATTTGATCCTTTTCTACAGTGTATAACTTTTGCACAATTTTACTACAATGCAATACGTTCAAGCCGAATCTTTTCCCGCTGGCAGCGATCCGGGCCCTCGGGAGATCCCTAAATCTTGAATCCTTCCAGTTTCAAGATCATAAACCCATCCATGAACAGTGATGTTAGGCAAAATCTTTCTTCTCCAAGCATTCTGAATGACCTCTGTTTCACATACACTGTTCACCTGCGCTATGATGTTCTCTCGGACTGCAACAGGAAGAGCCTCTTCGTGTGGAGTCGAAGAAAGCCCCAAACTCCCGATAAAAATTGTGAGGGGAGCCAACCAAAGGTTTAACGGAGAGTCGGCTGGGAAACCCTCGATAGTGATGATGGGATCTTGACCTGGTACAGTTTCTCGTCGGCTTGCCGCCAAACTGGCAGCAACGGCCCCGCATCCACTATGCCCACAAATGATGACTAGAAGGTACAAATTAGGCAAGATGCTTAGTGAAACACCTTAGAATTAAACCCGCTTGCCGTGCTCTACACCCAACACTTCGACTGCAAATGTGAGAGTTGCCATCAGACTTTCATCATCATGGCGGGCTTGGCTATGGATGAAGCGCAAACAACGTTGGCATCTACTCGCAAGATTTATTGGTAACTCACTTTCCAATATTACGTTTGACGAAAATATCTCCAGGCTTTGCGCCAGTAATGACAGTTTCAGGTACTCTCGAGTCTCCGCATCCGATCCAAAGCGTCTGAAATAATAAACAGTGAGTCAAGAGTGGTGTGTACGATTGAACATTTGTATATTAACATGGGGATATTGAGCTCTCGCAGTTGTAGGAAAGAAGTCGGGATCTGATTCGGTGACGGCCTTCGCCCATTGAGCGTTGCCCGAAAGCATTTCAGCGATAGGGTCTGTGGGCTCGTCTGGGGACGATTTAGTCCGAATGTCACCCTCGAAGAACTGAGCTCGAAGAGATGCATATTGAGACATTCTGTGTACAGTGTAGGTTTGTCAGTCTTCCGATGAGGAGTTGGTAGAATGATTAAAAGGTAACACTCTTTTATAACCTTTCTGACCCCCTCTACCAGATTACCTATACCAGTGAATTCCCAATCTGAGCCAGTCAAATTAGAACCAAGTTCAAGGTACTGTCCTAGGCCATCGTGATACAACGATGCCCAACTGTATCCAGTTATGTACATCCATGCCACTTGTCAAAAGAAAACTGTGCTCATTTTCAATTGACCGGACACGGCTATTGACTTTGAACCAGTCAATGGGACTGCGAACACCACATGCATTTATCCAACGTGTACAGTCGACTCCCTCTTAACCCATACCCCTCCGTGGACATCCAGACCTATGGGTTATGGGAGAGTATGGGTTTATGGGGTGGTCACACTAAGTGACATACGTGACAATTTGCCTAATCGGGAGCTGTAACATGGGTTATCATGGGTTATGTTAGCTCAAAATTAGTGTAAATCGACCATTTTATTGGTTTTGTATTGATTTTATGCCAATTGTTTACTTACATCCCATTTTGGGAGTATCAAATGCAATGATAGCAATCAAGGTATGGGTTATGGGTAAAAATATAGCGGAGAATACCCCAAAAAGGTATGGATTATGGGGTATGGGAGAGTTATGGGTTATGCATGGCATTTCCCTGCAAACGAGGTCGGTAACCCAGAAAATGTATGGAGTATAAGGGAGTATGGGTTTATAGGGGTATGGGTTAAGAGGGAGTCGACTGTATCTTCGAGTCTCGGATCTCTGCGCATCTGTCGATATACACATCTTGTCAGGTCAGGTAAGGTAAGGTTAAGTAAGGTTTTGAACATCGTATCTTAAATGAACGTTTGGAATGGATCTTTTCTATGTAACATGTTCTGTTTCCTCGAATTCTCTGGGACACGAAATTTGCTTCGATGTAATCTCCGGTCAAAACAGAGCCTTACGGATGCTTGCATCTTGCTACTTAAATTCCACATAAACGACGCTAGTGTCAATCACAAAATCGTAAGGTATGCGGCGAATCAAGAGGTGAGGGAGATTCAGATCGGGGGTACTTATGTTGCCACGCGAAAGGCCCTGACCAAGCCCAAGCCGAGCTGCACGGCATCCTATGACGGTTCGAGAGGCCATAAAACTTGTTCGAAATCTTCGAATACCTGTGTTTGTGTCACTTATTGATGATATCCAACTACTTAGGTACAGTCTGGAAGGTATATGTGAGCTTGAAGGGCGTTTGAGACAGTTCTCCAAATAGACCCTGCCTGGACTCTCTATTCATTGGGGGGGGGGGGGGGGGGGTCGTGAGAATCGTGTACCCGATCTGAATCTCCCTCACCTCTTGCGGCGAATGGTTCAAGCCCTACAGAGCATCCATAGGGGGTCTTTTAGATACTATTAAAATCTTGTATGTTCCGGATTCATAAACCGATACCCAAACCCTTCCACTCCGGCTCGCTTGACGTGGGGTATTGAGATACAATCAATGTAAGTAGCACATACATGCATATATCAATGCCCAAGTCCCTGTGATCATTCCGTGCAAGGCGGCAAGCATTAATGAACATTCATTTCAAGGTTCCTACATTATCATACATTTCTCAAGACTTCTCTTCAACATCCAGAAATTACTCCCTCGACGTGATTCGCTGAGATACTACTCGTTCCACTGCTGAGCTAATGGGCTCTGACCCACCTATGAGATCAACCCATAGCCCACCTCCAGTCTCCTTCTCCAACAGCTCCACAGCGACCGCAGCAACATCCTCCCTCGGAACACTTCCAACTAGCTTAGCCTTACCAAGATCAACTTTCCCTGTTCCGTGACTATCCGAAAGCGATCCCGGACGTAAACATATATCGACCCAAATGGGTTTCGAACTCTTCCTACTTTCATCGTAGAGATATTCATCCGCGACGGTTTTCGCTTCCGAGTAGACTCCGATGGAATCCCAGGTTTTCTTGAAAGCGACTCTGTCAGAGTCTGTCCAGTACGAGGCAGGAGAACGACGACTAGAACTGGCAGAGACCATGAGGAATTTCGTAACAGAAGGAGCGAGTAGAGCGGCTTTGATGAAGCGCTTGGCCGCAATCTCGTCTACGGCTTTTGTACGCTCGGGACCTCCTTTACCTCCAGCACCTACAATAGTCGGTAGCAAATATAAGCATTCAAATTAGATGCATCCGGATTTTGGGGCTTACCTGCAGACCAAATAACCCATTCAACACCTTTCATCAACTCTTTTGCTCCTTCCTCGTCGGTTTCCTCGATAGAAGCTACAACTGGCTCAATAAGGGAAGGATTTTCAGGATATTGATCAGAGATTTCTATGGCATGGTCTGGATTGCGAATGACAGAACTGATTTTGTGATTGTGAGCCGCAAGGAGTTTGGTCATATGGAGGGCGACTTTTCCATGACCACCAAGGAGGAGAACTCGGACCATGCTTATATTCTGTTAGTAAGTGGTTAAAGTGAGAGAAGGTACAGTATCCTTGCTGAATAATTGATTGAGCGAACTTGATTTGAGTGATCGTCTACGGCGCTTAATTAGACGCTTACAGTATGCAGCTAACTAGTACTACAACATAATCTTTTCAGTTGAAAAAACGCGGGGTTTAGGCAACGATTCTGGTCCTCGAGAGATTTCCATATCCTGGATTCTTCCCGTTCCAACATCATATAGCCATCCATAAACCGTAAGCTCCTCTCCCACAGGCCTTGTACGCCATGCATTCTGAATAACCTCCGTCTCGCAAAGATTATCTACCTGCACCTTCACATTCTCACGAATAAGGACTGGAATTGCCTCCGCTTCCACCACAGAAGATATCTGCAGGTTTGGGACCAAATTCGCAATCGACGTGGTTAGAGGAGCAAGGAAACGGTTCAAGGGAGAGTCAGCGGAATATACGTCGAGTGTGATCGGCGTTCGACCAGGGATCACTGTTTTACTGGCTCTGAAACTGGCAGTTATGGCGCCGCATCCAGTGTGCCCACATACAATGACTAGAAATGTTTTAAGATACAATGTAAGTGTGGCAAGTAGTTTGGATACACACCGTTTCTTACGCCCAGTTGATCGACGGCAAATGTTAGAGTCGCCATCAAGTTTTCGTCGTTGAACTGGACTTGGCTGTGATACAAAAACGGCGTGAATAAATCTCAGAACAACATCCATAGCAGGGAACATTATTGCAATCAGACTTACTTTCCAACATTCCGGTTGACGAAGATATCACCAGGCCTCGTACCAGTGATGACCGTTTCTGGTACTCTCGAATCGCCGCATCCTATCCAGAGCGTCTGCGAATATTAACATGTTGAGCGCGCGCAGTTGTTTTTACACCAAGTTTAAGAATTAGGATTCACTGACATGGGGTGATTGAGCTCTCCCCGCTGACTCGGGGAAGAAATTCGGATTTGTTTGTTGGACGTTATCCGCCCATTGTACGTTGCCCGAAAGCATTTGAGAGATAGAGCGGTGCCGACAGTTGGACATCTCCTTTGTATGTCTTGATGAGGTTGGGTGAAAACACTAGTACCGAGAAACGACTTTTATACCCTCATAAAAGTATACTGATATCGATAGCTACATAGAGTTCCTGATCTGAATCCATCATTCACCAGGAAAGTTCGAAAATGTTTAGGCTGCCTATTGCAACGTTGAAGGATTCATATCTGAAAATCTACGAACTACTCCAAGCCAATGCACGGTGTTTTTTGTCATTGATCTGGCATATATACATTCAGCCTGTACAGTGCTTGACAGAGAAGCGTTGGTCTATCGATGAGACTACGGACTTTTTTAGCTTTGTCTATCACTTCACTGATGAATAGAACACCGTGTAAGTAGCGTGTATCTGTCATTATAGTCTCCCAGCTGTGACTCTAGCTGATGAGCATCTGGATTAATGTTTATCTGGTAGTATCTGGAAACTTTATAGGGCATTCATTAACATAGCGTTTACCTTTAAATTTCGTTCAGCCACGTCTGTCTGAATCCGTGAACGAATAGACCGCATTTGATTTGGAATACAAGAATAGGTATTGATCGAAGTAAAAATACACCGTTACGTTTGAGTAGTAGATAGAATCAATACAAGTGATAGATATATGTACATCGTCGTGTACGGTTGAACGCGGAAATCGAAGGGTATCGAAAGGATATATTACAACAACATCAGAAGAAGAGAGTCAATAAGTGGATCAATGACCACCAAAAAGCGCTCTAGCACGTCCCCGGAGCGTCTTCTTCTTTATTACTGGATCAGCATGCGCATGGGGAATGTACCCTGAAGGGACTACAGGTGGGACGAACGAATCTTCGAAACCAGACGTCGCTGGAGACACCACGGACCCACGACGACGAAGCGGAGCTGATGAACCATACGGTATCATTCCCGGATCGGCATATGAAGGATATCCAGCGTTCGAATAAGGGGGTTGAACATGGTGGGTGTGGGTGTGATGAGGATGATGAGGAGGGATATTGGACACCGAGAACGTGGTCGAGGTGGGTGAAGCAGCAGCAGTAGTACCGAAAGGATCGTAATTAACCCAGCCCTGGCTTTGCGTGTCGTGCTGCGTCGGCGTCAAAAGGCCTCTAAACTCTGCAGCTTCGTGTTCGTCCCACCACATATTCCCTCGTTCGTCACGATAAACCTCACCGAGAGGCAGACGCGTGTCTGTCGATGGTTTCGACTTTCTCCGTCGCTGGTCGTGGTGGTGACGATCAGGGTGGTGATGCTGTTCAGAGGAATGGTGGTGGTGGTGATTATGGTGAGTTCGCCCGGCAGGAGCGATATCCCGAGCCTGCTGTTCCATGATCCGTTTTGCATTCCGCTCGATAGAGCCTCCGCCCATGAATTGCATCATGAGGAGTTCAGAGGCGAGACTCGGAGGTAGTTGTTGGGGTGCAGGTTTGGGTTTCGATTGAGATTTCGAGGATCGCCGGGCGAAAGACATTATAGAAAGGCAGGCGGAACTCAAGTGGCAGTGGGCGTTTTGGAGTCGGGAATCGCAAGATATAGATCTAGTGAATCAGGATACTCCCTTATATACATCCCTAACTCGAATCGCAGAAAGAGGAAAGCTCAAAGGAACGTACAAAGGGGAACAGCCAGAAAAAAAGACAATAAAGCAAGGCCGGTACGGAAGATCATTCCTTTCATTAAAAACAAAAAGAAAGGAAGGAACGAGGCTGAGAGGAAAGAATGTTCGCGTCAACGTCCTCGAGATTTAAGAACCACGCGAGACAAAGGAATAAAAGACAATAAGATTGCGCAGAAATCACAATAAAGCAAAAGACAAAAGGACCAGCGCTACTTGAGAATCAATGGGCGCCTAACTTTATATCTGCGCCATTTCTGTTTTATGGCACTCAGCTAGCGTCCATTTACGCCAGAGGCCTTGCTGATACATGTCGCCAAGGATTCCATTCCTAAAGTTTCACAGCTCCACGGCACATCAAACACTGATCAACGCAACTAGACATTCCCATATCCGCCACTCTCCAAAAAGTCCTTCATCCTCTTCACGATAACCTCTAGGGCCTGCAACCATTTCCCCAACTCTGGATCGAACTTTTCCGGAGCTTCCCCACAAGATATGACTTGGTAAAAGTCACGCCGATGTGGAACAGCGCGAATGGCAACCTGTACCAGGAGTTAGTGGTTGATAGGGAGGAAGCGGAAAGAAGGCTTCGGGTTACTCACAGTAACAACGCCACGAACAACCCATGCATGATGGTGTCGAAGCACAACGTCGTAGGCACTCTTGAAACACACATGAAGCTCATCATCCGGATGGTCTTGCATGCGTTGAAGAGCGTGCTGTATCAAAGCGAGACCGCTGTACTTCAAGAGTTAGCTGAGGTAATAATACAGGAAAAGAAGGAATGAAAGGAAAAGCAGGAATGAAAGGAAAAACAACATTTGTGAATAACTCTGAACTTTGAGCCAAGGTATTTCAGACCAAACCAAGGAATATCGAAACAAAATTCATGACAGGTTCAAAATGCAAATTTAGCAGAGTACATACCGTATTAGACGAACTACGCATGCTGTCCCATGTTTGTGATGATCTCCATTGACGACTTCAAATTTCACAAGCTCTTCCAGAGTCTGGGAGGAGTCTTTATGTGTTTGATAACGCGTTCGGACACCCTACAAGATTGGACAGCTTAGCTGAAGAACGAGCGAGTGTAGCGGGGAGACATAGAACATAATTCGAAATCGGACAAAGTGATTGCAGCATAAACTCACACCAATGTTACTTCTGATGTCAGATTGAACAAAGCCAAAGATTTTTGACCCAAAAAGATCTATGGAGACGTATTGAACGAAACAGAACTGGTGCTGGAGGAATTATAAGTACTCACCAAACATTGCCACTAGTCCTTCTGTTGCCTCCAAAAATCCAACAGTTTCTATACCTTCTGAAGAAATTTGAACATCGTGGAACGACTAAAGGAACATTGTTGAATATACAGTAGGCTAATAGTCATTCTGTGCGACGCTAAGGGATACTCATACCTTGATTGTTTCAAACAATGGCGCCATTTAAGGGTGTAGACTGAAAGATCTCAGTATTTCCCGGATCTTCAGACGACGGTTCTGAGAAACATCGGCGTGTCGACAACGAGGAGATGGTCACTGTCAGTGTCACTGATGGTGATGGTGATTGTTTGGAGGAAACTTGTTCGGCCCGATCCCGATAAGCCCGAGGACTTTTCAGACCAACCTCCGCTCACCGCCAAACCACTTACCGCAAGTAGAACATCCTGATCTTGGAGGTGCAGCTCCATTACCCACTACGATTCTCGCTCCAGTCCTCGTATCGTCGTGTCAATTGTCGCAAATACGTACGCTGTATCAACCCTAATACTCGTTCCCTCAAATGGGAGCTGGAATGGAATAGAATGGAATGCATGAAAAGAGTATCCAGAGCCACTAAATTATATGTAAAGGTAAGTTATTCACCCATCGGGAGCCCTTCCTTGGTGAACTGACTACCTAGAGGATTCTACCAAGCATTGAACGGTCGGCGTTCGGACTTCCCATGGAGTACCGTTGATTGAAAAGTATGCCGCGTACCCAGTTCGCACCGTTGATGATGAGGGCATCCAGATTATCTCAGGCATTATTCTTCCTTCGGTCATTTTATCCACAATCTAGCCTTTCTCGATGCCATCGGGTGTAATAGTCATTCGAATGCACTGATCCGATGCTGGACCTTGCGGAACGTAGTCTGGAGGGGAGAGTGGAAGCAGTGTCGGAGTTCCGTCCTTTGGGTTCGTTGCATGGACTCTATTCAGAAGTGAACAGTTTTCGTCTTTTCTTCGACGTCATATAATGGATTTTCATTGGCGACGATGAATATCTTGCCATCAGGAACGGCAAATTGGGGAAGATTTTGTTTGACCGCTGTCTTTCGCAGGGAAGTGTTTTCTGAGTCGGTATCATAAAGCGGGGTTTGCTGGTGAGTCCCTCCGACGATTATCTTCAGAAACACCAAGAATTCCTGCATAATTAGAAGAGAGATCCGATGAGCCAGTGAGCCATCGAAGATCCGGAGCGAAGAAGGATACTACCGCAGTGCCGCCATATGTAACGTCGCAGGGTTCAAAGAGTGTACAACCCGGTCACGCGGTGTCATCGCAAGGCTCAAACATCTTGATATCCATTCGACCGTCCGCATCTGCTGTACAGTCACGTTCGAAGGTAACTCCACAGCTTTCATTCAACGCCAACCTACAAGATTGGAGCTCACTTCGGGCAATGGAACTCCTGGAGGAGAATCGTTGACAACGCATCATTGTGCCGTTACTCAGGAGCGCTCCAGATGCGCAGAAGGTAATAGTGGTCGCATTTAACGCAGAGCCAGTGTTTGTTTCGAGATTCCCAAACTCAGACCAAGCCTTATGTCCGTCAATCTGAACTCCGTCAAGCAGCCAAATCTCAAAGTAGGAGAGACGAGTATCACCTGGGAGGCAGTAGTACCTGTTGTACCATTACAGATTAACTCCTCGAGATGATAATATGACACCCGACGCAAGGAGAGATGATTTTACGCACAAAGTTGGGGTTAATACTTAACCTCTTGATAGGTGTTAGAAATCGTTCGACCTGATGCTCTCCGAAGGGTGGCTATGACCGGTCGATATCTGGCCAGTAATATCTCAAACAGTTCAGGCAAAAATAGCGACACTGATATGAACGCCACGACCATACATACATTCAAGTACTTGATATTTAGCATATTCGAATTTCTTACACATTTCCCCAATATGCCAACCATCTCTCTACATCTTCCTCTTGGATTTCACGGCTCTGTTCCCTCAATGTTTCTGATGCTGCGAGGGCCGACTTCAACTGTACTTTAGGCATTTCGAATGCTTCTCTGTTCTCTGCAACTTCTCCCTGGCCTAATCTCTGGAAGAAAGGTACCAAATGCATTTCTCTTGTATCTCCTTTATCCATGAGCTTATCCAACCAGTCCCGGTATTCAACAATGTCGAGGCCAAGTTTTTTGGCAAATACTGAAGCAAGTGAAGACCAAGGAACTGGGCAAGGATGGATTAGGTGTACATGCTGGTTGTCATGAATTGATCCATTGTTGACAAAATCTACAATCGTGGCTGCTGCATGATATACAGGGATCCAGGAAATATTCTGAAATTATAATGTGGCAGTTAACATCTTGTGTATTAAGAATAAAATGGTGGCGTACTCGGTGATCAGATGGAATATATCCGAGGATCTTTGAAGCTTGTATCATGGAGGGAAACCACTCTTTGACATTCCATGCGCCATTGATTGCTCCGGTGAGCTGCCCAACGCGGATGCTGAGGTATTTCAAGCCACTGTTTCTATGTGCAGCATCAAGAATTTGCTCTGAAACCCATTTTGATTGCGTATATCCATTGGATAGAGCAAATTCAGGAGGAATAGATGCTTCCGGTGGAGGTGCTACCTCAGGGGGCATTGCTAATTCCAGCGAGTTAGTATCTGAGACACAATAAGTGTGGAAGATCACAATACATGTGAGAACACCGATAGAACTTGTGAAAAACAAACTTGCTTGAGATGTAATGCAAAAATCCACAACCCTTCGGAGACCCTTGATGTGAGACTCAAATGAAGACAGTCCCGGATTGAAATCCACCCGCCACGCTGTAATGGAAATATTCATATATTGATAGCTGGACTAAAACATTGATATAACGTACCATTGTGAATGATGTGAGTCACAGAACTTGCTATCTGAAAAGTATACCAGATGAGAAAAAAGCACTTGCTTAAATGACTGCTCATACCTCATTGAAAATTATAGTTTCAAGTCCGAAGTTACTGACGGAAGTATTGCCTTCTAAAAGAACAACACGCTGGCACTCTATGTCCTCAACAGGTTCATTGAGTCCTCTTTCCTTGAATGCCATCCTTTGTCTATCAGCAAGTCCGTCAATCCCTTTCCGGTTCAGAGCATATATTTTCTTGACTCCTTTATACTTCACCAGTTCATCAAGAATATGACTTCCCAATGCCCCGGTGCTTCCAGTAAGCAGCACTACTTTCTGGTTAAGATGTGATACCTGCTTGACTTCGGAAGGAGCCGCAGGAAGGTCTGCAATATACTTCTTCACCATCTGCTCCATTGTCTTGACCTTATTTTCCTGAAAAGTATCCCCAGTACCTTCCTCACCCAACGCTACTGACAAAACATGCTGGGCAAGCTGATTGATTGTTGGATGATCATAGACAAAGTTGCTGGTTGACTGTCTAATGTCGATCTCTGCAGATTCTCGGAGAGCACGATGAATAGTATTCCGGATCCAAGTGGCCTGAAGGCTGTATGGCACAAGCAGTATTAGAAATGAGCAGGCTTCGAATTATTTTGAAGGGGAGCTACCTGTCACATCCATATTGGAAGATATCATCCCCATCCTTGACTGTGTGAGATAATACTTGGGTCACTATATTGCGGACAAAGCTCTTAGTAGATAGTGGGTTCCATTCAACTGGAGCAGGAATATCCGATTGGGTAGTTTCTTCAACAGCTTTGTATACAGCTTCAATTTCCTCTTCATATTGATTTAAAATAGCTTGACGGCTAGTATGTCATGTAGCAGGTTCAGAGAAGCTATTGATCACATAAATAAGAACACACCGAGTTGTATTTTTTGCAGTATACATGAATGGCTTGGAAGGACTTGCGACCAGAATCATCTGAGAGCTGATAAATTTTAGTTATAACAATACTATTCCTAGAGGAACTCACCTCCTTGAAAACACGGGAATGCTGGGGTGCGAAATTATTCATTTGCTCTATAGTCGGCCTATATTTTTTGCAGACTATGAATGATAAAATGCAGTCACAAAGGTGACATGTGAATTACCACAGCTTGTTTCGGAATTCACTGAGTTTTGTCTCATTAGAAGGTTCGAATTTGTATGGTGGCTTTGGTTCAACAAGGATTCCAGCTTGGAAGTGACCACGTCCAAACATCACTGCAGCTGCAACATGTGGATCCTGATTCAAGGTGTTTTCTGTTAAGCAAACAAAGATGCTTCTTGAGCTGATTTCCATTGATTCTAGTATTGATCTAAGTATACCAAGAGGGACAGGGTTTGTCTAGGAACCAAGGGTGTTAGAAGAGTAATATGTACCATTTTTGAGGACTAAATGTGTACCTTTTCTCCAGTGTTATGAATGATCTGATCATCCACTCTTCCAAATACACGCCAATAACCTGACATGGTAGGATGAGGCAACAGAAGATCGGATGTGGCATACGCATCTATTCCATCAATCTTAGTGTTTAAAGCACTGGGTTTGCAAAAATCATTGGACTTCAATTGAACTAAAGTGAGCACCAGAGATTGTAGCAATATATTTTACTTACCACCACAATGAGTTCAAACCTATTCTCTCCATGAGGCATCATGTGTGCAGTGATAACACCCGAAAGGGGGAAATACTCCCAGTCACTTATAGGGCTAGCTGTAATTTGAAATCTCAACACAAAACAGAAACGTATATTGATTCCATTCCGTACCAGGAATCAGTGAGCTCACAATACCCGTTTCGGTTCTGGAAAATAATGATGTGTGAAGATATTCTCAATATGGTAGAAATTGACTTACGACCCATATAGAACAAAAATGGAAACACCTTTTGAACTGAGAAGATCTCCAGCTTTCTTGTTTAATGGACCACCCCCGAACAGCTTATTGTTGAGTGTACTTAGTTTCGAAGGTCCATAGTTATTGAAGAAGCTGAAACTACTCACCACTCCAGTCCGTGTAGCAAGCCAGTCAACATATCGAGGGACTCTAGACCAAGCCTAGCAACCGTTATCTTGATTCTTTGGAAAGCTCGGAACTTGGCATGGCATACCTCAATGAAGGCGGGGACGCAGAAAAGAATATCACTTCTAGTTGCTGTTGCTGCTTCAAACAAATTCTCCGGGGTGGGTAGAATTGCTGGAGAATGAGGTTTGAAGGTTGCAACAACAACCCCAGTAGATGCCTTACAGATAGAAGGACAACAATGAAGGAATAAATAAGCAGTATAAGTATATGACTTACAGTCCAGCAAAGTTGCAGAATGCCCATACCATGATACATAGGCATTACATGCAATGAAAGAATCTTGCCACATAGATCTTGTTCGCCAAACCACGGAATCAAAGAAAGCTCTAAAAATCTGTGATTGGTCCAGGGAATTGGCTTGGGATGTGCAGTAGACCCTGTTCAACCAAGAAATCAACATAGCATGAATATGTCAAATATGTACACACCTGAAGAGTGAATGTAAAACAAAATGTCATGTGGATTCCGACGTTTGAAAGGAAGATCATCTGCATTGGTAACAGGATTCTCCAGAAACAGGTCTTCAAAAAATGGTGCTAGTGAGACTTGAGGGACATGGTTCATAGCGGAGGTTTTGACTATTTCGAGGGCCTCTCTCACTAGATCCTGCATAGAACTTTCATGACCCATCAGGATGTGATCAACACTGACTTTAGATATCAAGTGAGCAACTGCTTGAGGTGAGTTGCGGGGAGAGATTGGGAAAACAATGAAGTTGGCACGTATAATACTCATCATTGTGATGAAATAGGATATGGTCTCTTTTGTATTTAAAAAATGGTTTTTAGCCTCTTCGTCAGTTTGACGTGGACTGAGGAGACATTACCTGACATTGAAACAATTGCCACAATCGGTGTCTTTTCGAGGGATTCCGAAGACACGCGATCCCGTATCAACCTCGCACCAGTCCAAACTGCTTTGACCGCCTCGGGCCAAAAGATGGTTCTCGTGGTCCCATCCTCTTGTGCAAACACGAAAAGACGGTGGTTTGATGTGTTCTGTGCATGCCAGTCATACATTTCACAGAGAGTGATAGATCCATTTAGAGGAGGACGACGAAAGGTTTCACTTGACAAAGCTTGAGTTACTGGGGGAGGTGGGATGTGCATTCTGATAGGAACTTGAAGTCGTGAAACCGCAGATTATCCCCTGTTATAAATAGGATACTCTGTATAAATGTGGATGTTTTCACATGAATAAATAGAAGCCATTGCCCAAGGTCAGCTCGGTCATAAATGAGGGTGGACCCATGATATGTCATTGATCTTTGAATAGCAGTATAATCCATGAATAAGATCTGTGATATGGGACCCACTTTATGATCTATCTCATCAGAATGCCAGAGTGAGCTGTGGTTGTCAAATGACCAGTGAATCACTGCATCCACCAACCTTTTCTCATCGCGGGACTTGCATGTGAAGGTGTCAATGGTCAGATGAGTCCTCCTACTCTAGTCTGTAGAACATTCAAACTGGTCTGGTTTCTTGGCGATGGACATCCTGTGAGAAGGAGGATATGGGCGCCTAGAGGCGCCTCAGCTTAAGCGCCATATTCTGTGACCGCAAAACTCCTTGCCCGCTCCTTACACAAGCTTAGGATATTTACATATGTGGGATCTCAAGCTTCAAGACCCGTCGGTATCTATAGCACTATACTGGCTCAAACCTCCAATCCTTTCGACAGGCCGCGCTACTCCTCGCTATGTGTCGTGCAAGACATTCTCCTGTCTGCTTTAAGCTGCTTTACGTTCAAATCCTTGAGTGTCCGCCATTTTTACTTGATTATGATAAAATTATTTGACCCGAACCATCAACCGCAACAGGTAGTACAAATGATATCATAGCGCCTTGAAGTCTCAAAAAGTTGATACAATTCCATTGCCTAATAAGTTCCTTTTCAATCGTGCAAAGATCCTCATCTCTTCTCCGTCCATAGCCTACATCCCTGAACTTGTTTCCAATAACACTCATTCCAAAGCACGAAGGAGGTTGAGAGAGGTGTGAGATGTAATGACAACTTATGGCCAGTCATTGGAACATGATAAGCAGCGGTGAAAAATGCTCCGCTAAATCTTAGCCATGAATTTCTATACACAAGGAATCAAAATGAGAAGCACCAAGATAGTCAAGACACCACATACATTGTGTGGAGAAGAATAAAAAATCTCCTCATTGTTACCAAAAAAAATATGTCCCTCTCCAGCATCATCAACCATGCCCCTGCAACCCCGATTGTAACAGTTCCCAAAATTGCCAATAATACTGAAGGTGATCATTCCAGACCGAATCTTTAACCTGCCAGCACCTCCGTATGACGGAACAGCGTTGCTGAATTCAATTTTGAGAGCTGCGATGCGGGACTCTGTCCAACCCGGCTCAATCTTCTTCTTCAATCTTTCTTCAAACATTTTGCGCAGCAGCTTTGTGATAAGATCTTTACCCGACTGGCCTACCCCACCGTTGTAGAAGACTATCACAAGATTCTTCGAGGCATCGGGGTACCCTATATTATGGACAAATGTATCACCAATCCAGAAACCATCGCGACCATCGGGGGTAGTCTGTCCATATTTGCAGAAGAAAAAATCCAATGAGAATCGAAGACATTGTTAGATGGCAAATACTGGCATGAAAACTCACGGGTGCAGCGTCAACGATTGTGCCAAAGATGGTGAAAATGGCAAGAGAGATCCATACGATGGCGTTGAAGCGCATGACAAATCGAGAGCATCAAGTTTAGTGAACAGGGAAAAAGAGGGACCAAGGGACTGTTCTCTTCTGGCCAGCAGAAGAAAGAAGAAAATGGGGATGAAATTTTTGAAGCGGCAAGTGAGAGTTTAAATATGAGAAGGGAACATTGATTCCTTGGTGATTCCCGTCGGGGACTAGCCTACTTGTAGACGAGTGAAGGGATGCGAAACGATCAGAAGCTGCAAGACCTTTCCGTCGTAAGCATTAATCGCTCTTGTAGCGGAATACTTTTACTTTGTTCATCTTTTGTTTCTACTCACAACTCTTGTAAAATAGGATTAGGAGAACGGTGAAGTCTGAAGGAAGAATTCTGCATGCGGCCATTGTCGCTCTTTGTTTTGCATTTGATACGCGCGATTTCCCCGTCGGTGTTCGTATCTAGGGACTAACCGTGTGGAAGTAAAGTTCCGCCACAATTAGCGGCAGACCACTTGTCTGGACGAAGAGTAGGATGGAAAGCGCAAAAATGGCTATCATTCACGCCGGAAGCTGGGGGAAGAAAAGTCTGAATCCTGTAGGACGAACGGAATCTAGAAAGAAAACTCCTTAATCCGAATAAATGCAGGGAGCCGGATAAGTTCACCCGAACTATGTATTGGTTTGTCCACGCAACGAATCCGGGCGATAGAAATCGACGTGTTCGAGCGTGCGAAATGCTATCCTCGACGAATCCGTCTCTCGTTCCATGGAGTTGCTCTGACTATCACTGCCGCTACTTTCTTCACTGATTCTGCAATGATAATAATCACCTTCATCAGGTGAGTTCCATCCCTCTATTCTGATCACGGAAAAAGTATTCAAACCGTATGATCTAACTGAAGTATAAGATTCAAAGGAGTATCAACGGATAGAGGGCATGCGCTTTGGAGTCATGTACTGTGAGTTGTTTTCCTTTTGTTCAACTTGGTAGCTTATCTCAAACACAGGACGAGAGAGATACTATGTACCTGTCTTCTATCGTGTTCCCTCTCTCTCGAATAACACGCCGCTCTCTACTGGTAAAATGACCAAGATCCAGGCTTGGGCGAGTTGTTCGTAACCCATGAAGAGTCAGACCTGATGCGACTCAAGAAAGACCACGTTATCTTTGTTGCTGGAATGTATCCATTTACATCCCTGAATCTTATGGCGGAAGTCTTGCATGTACGTTCTATTGGTCTTTACCCCAAATCATCGATATTCATCTGGTCGCTCAATAAACATATGAAACGGCTGCCGCTACATGCTCAAAAAAAATTACAACTTCCTCGTATCTTTTAACATATCACCTCCCGCTAAATCGATGGCCTCAGGTATTGCGACACAGATAACACTTATCCTTGCAGTAAAACTGGTTTCAGTACGCATCAAGCAGAATTTTCTCAAATACACATTGTCTAATCCATCCAGCAGTCCTTCTCACTGGAACTCCTTTCATCCGTCGTACAAGACCTTTCTTCAGACAACACCTACTAGTTCTAGTGAGATGACGATATCCTCCACAGTAGGCTTCTTCAATTGATATCATCACTCATAACCGTTGGTGGGTTCAACGGCAAATGCGTTGGTTGATAAATGTCGACCTCCGGATGACCAAACCCTTCCGGCGTACGGTACGTGGGAACTGTCTCGAAAGTTTTCAACTCCCAAAGATTTGTTGAATGGTTCGGTCGGTCATGGATGCTCGTCTTGCGCGAAGGATCCCCAAGATAAGACGGTTGGTTGGATTGAGTTTCTACATATAGGATTCCCCATAAATGGCGGATCTAACGGCAAGCGGGTTGGATCAGGCATGTCGATTTCCGGGTGATTAAACCCTTCGAGGGTATAATACGCGGGAGGGGTCGTTCCGAGATCCTTCAACGTCAAAGGAGACAATTGATAAGATGGCGGGGCATGCATGCTTTCCTGGCGTGAAGGTTCCCAACCATGAGTGTCGCTTTTCAAACTGTGATGAGCATACAGTGAGCCTGTTCTACTGGAATTATCATTAACATCTTGTGGCAAAACCTTCTTCCTGTATGGTACACAAGAATCGCAAAGATTGTGCCAAGCACTTGTTTCAAAGCCAGCTTTGCATTTTCCACACCAGATCTTGACCTTTATCGAGTGGTGCTCACTCGTTCCATATTGCTGGCTTTGAGATAAGAACTTCTTCTCCTTCTTGAGTATACAATTATTGCAGAGCTGATGCCAAGCGAGGGTTCTTTCTCCGCACATCAAGCATGTATCTGTGTTTCTCGAGTGGTGCTCACTCATTCCATATTGCTGGCTTTGAGATAAGAACTTCTTCTCCTTCCTGGTTATACAATTATTGCAGAGCTGATGCCAAGCGAGTGTTCTTTCTCCACACGTCAAGCATGTATCTGTGTCTCTCGAGTAAAGCGTGTAATTCTGAGATTCGGAGTCTTCTGACCCCAACTCGGCAAGAGAATGTTTGTCCATGTACGTAGATTCTATAAATGAATACAGGGATGTGAGCCTGAGGAAGGTCGACAAAATAGAATGAGATTATGGCTGATTACAGACGGCGGGCAGAAAAATGCAGCATATAAAAGGGTAAGAGTCCGGAGGACCTGAAAATGCGGAAAGAACAACTCACGTCAGTATGATTGATCAAGAAGGGAAAACTTGAACTATGGACAGCTGAGAGATGGTGGATAGAAAATGAGATGCTTTTTATCACAGTCAAAGTGTGGCTGAATCTTGAGATTGTAACACAAGACCTTCTTGTATGTGTACAACAAGCCGGTACAAGGAGCTGATTTTTGGGTGTGTCAAGGCGTCGAGTCACTCTGAATCAGTCGTAGCTCCCCACGTTACTAGCTCCTCTCCTTGTGAGGTACAAGAAATAATTCGATATCGATAGGCACCGGCCCTTGTTACTTACAACTTGCGCATCAATGACCAACACATGCGATTGAGGGCCACTGCACAGCTGTGCATGGTATTCACTCGGCCAATACATTGAAGTATTTGGATGAATTGTAAGTCAAAGATTTAGGGCGCGCGGTCAGCACCGCGCGCAACCACCTCAATTCTCCATGTATAGCATATGGTGAGAAAATAAAATGAAAATGGACTTGAACGCTGCTAAACCGAACAGCGGTAATATTTCGGGAGTAGTCACTACATAGTCACATTATGTCATGTGCATGTCACATTTAACTGAATAGTTTCAAGACTCTGTGACTCCATACCATATATAGGCAAAAAAGGTGGTCTAAAAAGGAAGTACAGCGCTTAAATCGCGAATTGAATGACGTACATAAGGACGAGTCTTCATATATTCAGCCTCGTAACTTCAATCATAGCGCGGGCAAAGACTCAAACAGCGAAAGCAATTGTTTATTTCATTCATGCTCCTTCCTGATGCACGTGATGGGCTGGTGCTCCACCACCTCGTATACAATCACGGAACGGAATACCTTGTGAAAATTGGCTAGTGGTGGTGGTGAGGTCCCCGGAAGCTCCACCAGAACCCTGTCCGGGCAAACGTTGTAAACTACGCAATGTTTTCGGTCTAAAATACGCTATAACGGACAAGGCTGATCACGTGGAATACAAAGAAATTTCCAGAATTGGCAGTGCAAAGTACCCAAAATTTTAAAATATCCAATTTTACTTTGGTGCTCCTGTTACAGCTCTAAACTACGCTATAGCGAACAAGGACTGCCCAATCAAGCTTCAATCTACGCTATAATTGGACAAGGAAATGACTGGTTTTTGGCTCTAAAATACGCAATTTCGGACAGGGTTCTGGGGGAGCTTCCGGGGGCCTGGTGGTGGTGAATGTAGGTACCTGGATTGTCAGTTGGTACATGCTAAGTTTCAGTGGATGACTTCCCGTAAGATTATTTACCGAAATGACAATTTCTTCCAAACTTCGCTTAAAGAGATCATCGGATGAAGTGCTGGATTAATTTCCTTATCATTCCCGTAAGAGATTATTTGACCAAAATCAGTACACGTGTACTGCATCGATGTCGTTCAACGCCGTCTATCACTTGCAGCAGCAGCAAGAGGATGATGATGACCATGATGACCATGATATAAAACTCCTTCTTCTTGCTGCACTTGTTGGTGGAGTAATAGACCATGAAAACATTAAGAAGCGAAGAAGAAACCCCTCCCGCCTCTACCTCACTCATCCCCAGCTCATGCCAAAGCCCCGGCTCGAGTCACCATGGATGCAACTTTGGGAAGGACAGGAAGACAGGGCTTTCGTCACAACCATGGGCTTCGATGTCAACACCTTTCAGTTTCTGTTAGAAGGGCCCGGCCGTTTTGCAGAGCATTGGGATAACATTCCCATACCTCGATCAGATGTTTTCAGTACTGGCGAAACTCGATTGGGACGCTGCAGTCTTGATGCTGCAGGGGCGCTTGGGCTTGCACTACATTATCTAGGCTTGGCAATCCTTGAAATTCAGCTCCAGCAAATCTTTGCCATCGTACCTTCTGTTCTGGCTCGTTACCTTGACTTTTTGCTTGATTGGGTGAGCGTAGCGAACCCAATATTGAAGGTTGACCCAAAATGCATAGCACTGCCACATGAGCTTGCTTTTTCTGTACAGCCACTGCCTGCTTTGGCCTGCTTTGACCAGGCGTGACCGGGTAGTGCGGGCCCGGCTCCGGATGCTGGAGACAAACACGTACACATTAAATAATTTTCTTCTTCTTTCCGAACGATGTTTCTACTTCTTGGGAAAATCACTACTCTATCTACTGTGTATTTATAACATAGTCAGTACTCTAAAGCCTCTGCTCTACATGCTTATTATTAGCACTTGACTAAATCTTGTATCTAGGTTGCCACTGTTTTTTTTCCCTTTCTTCCTGCCTGTTGACATCTTTTCACTTTCTGTGGGTTGAACAAGGCTACTGTTTGTGAAGTCACCTCCCTGTCCTTAGTTTGGCAGTTGACTAGTGACCCCTCTCAAATAGCAGGTTTTGCAGGAGATTGGGCTGGTGGGACCTATAGGGTATTTGATTGACATTTGTAAACCAAATATAGTTACCTCCCCCTCTTAGACATTTCTATGTTCTAAGTTGTAGCTCCGTTACTGAAACCTGTCTTGCGCCGATTTCCCCACTTGGAATTGAAATTGCTGTCCTCAGTGCTTCATATCTAGCTAGCTTTTCATCAGGAGTTGGATTGTACCAGGTGCTCCACTTGCAAGAGAGTACCCTGTATAATTCCTGTTGTTACCCTTAGGTGCTCTACTTGCAAGAGAGTACCTGTGTGTAACTATTTCACTATGGCCTTTGACTGGAGTACAGTTGCAGGCCCTTCTCGTATTCCCCTTACACCTCCATCACAGGAGCGGACACTTTCTCAAATTATTGGCCATGTGCCTTTTCCCTCAACTTCCCATGGTGGTCGTAAGTGTTTCTGACTTCAAATGTTATTATATAGTTGACTAACATTATATAGCACCCTCTTTTCCTCCATTAACTAGACCATCTAGCTCCTCAACTATTCCTTCTACTCCATTCCGCAATCATGTTTCACGTCGCCTTGATCGAAGCCCTCGGACACCTGCTACTCGAGAAAGTATTACAAAGCGTGCCCGTATTAGTGTTTCTGCATCTCCGCCATCTCAACACATTCAAAATCTCCCTCCTGGGTCTGTGTTTGATGATACCAATGGTATGTATTTTTTTAATGAGTATACATTGATAATGATTTTGACATTCTATATGCAGAACGTACTACATATCAGCATAGGCGGCGTCATATATCCAATTCACCTACTAGACCTTCTCCACATTTAACCCCTGGCCTCTCAACAATATTCCATAACTTGAACATGGAAAGTGATAATGATGATGATCCAATCCCTCTACAAACAACCCCTCTATTTCCATCTCATCACCCACCTTCTCGTCAGATAAATGGTATGCGTGTACCTGTCCCACGTCCACTACCCATTGAAAATCATGTCGATCGATACCTTGATCCAGTGGAGCATCCTGGATATAGATGGTGCACATATGAGCGACATTGGGTGTTGGAGAATCACTATGGTACCAAGAAAATCTGCAAAGATTGTAACAGAGAGATTTCCCATCTACGTGGTGGTCAAACACATCCGAACTGGCCTGGAAAAAAGTGGTGCGCCAAAAATCGACACTGGATACCAGAACAACAGTTCCGTGGAAATAACAAAAGTTGTAATCACTGTCTTGCAGCTCAAAATCGCCGACGAGCTGAAGAAAGAGAGGCTCGACGTATAAATGAACAAGATGCAAATCAGATGACACCTCCAGTGCCCCCTCCAGTGCCCCCTTTGCCTACTCAAAATGCTCCATTGGATCCTCTAGATGCTTCTGCAGTATCACATGAGGACAAAATGCTTTTGAATACAGTTCGGAGAAAAGTTGACGATATCCGCATGGAATTGTGTACTCATTGCCATGAGAGATGGTTTGACTTAAATGTTGATCAGAGTGGAAGATGTTCCAAATGTCAACTGAATGGAAAATATAAACCATCCAATAACATGTACCCAGGGGTACCTCCGGAGCTGCCACAACTTACACAAATGGAAGAAATGTTGATTTCACCTGTTCATGCTTTGGTTCAAGTCTGGCAGGTCCGTGGAGGGCAATATAAATATACTGGACACACTTGCAATTTTCCTCGAGAGGTTTCATCATTTCATGCCAAAGTTCCATTGCTTCCTCAGGACATAGATGTCCTAATTTTGCGCCGCAAAAGTCCTGGCTCTGATGTGAATTTGGCACAAACTGAGGATTTCCGTGTTCGACGAGAGCCTATAAAACTATGGCTGGAGTATTTGCAGAGGGAGCATCCCTCTTTCCAGAGTCATCGAGTAACTATTGATTGGGAGGCTGTTCAGCAAATGCCAGATTCACAATCAGTCTATAACCTCCTGCGCAATATTGATACTGAGGATATTGATTCTCAAACAGAGGAAGGTCCACCACAAGATGATGAGAATTTGGGCTCTGCAGAACCATTATATACCCGGGGTTTTGTCCCTAATAGGGTTACTCGTGAGACTGAAATGGATCAGCTTAGGGCAGCTGCTAGTGATGGAAATGAGCCAGTTGTTTTAACTATGCCTATCATACGTGGAACTCCAATCAATGAATATTCAGGACTTCAAATTGCAATTGAAGCATTCCCAACTCTTTTTCCAACTGGAAAGGCTGATTTCGCAGTTTCCCGAGATATAAATGTCACTATGTCTGAGTGGGCAGCACATTTACTTCGACTTGATGGTGGTCACTTTGCAAGACATCCACGTTTTCGATACTGGGCTCTTAATACCATCATGAGGGACAAAGCAAGAAAGGAAGCAAACTGGTACACAAACTCTCATCCAGATGATCGCGCATTGAGTGTTGCAGATATCCGAGAAATGCTGGAAAATGGAGAGGCTGATCAGCTAGCTCAACGAGTTTCACGGGCAGCTAGCAAATTGCCCGGTTCTAGACCCTACTGGAGTAATGAGCGTACCAAACTGATGGCACAAATCCGTTCTCCAGAATGTGGCTCTCCACATGCATTTATTACTGCATCATCAGCAGATGTTCAATGGCCAGACTTGCATCGATTCATGCCAAACAATCAAACAGGGCAACCAGAGAATGCTCATTCATACCGTGTACGTCTAAAAGATCTGAATGAAAATCCTGCCATTGCTGGGTACTACTTTCAAAAGCGGTGGAATATATATTTTGAACACTTTTTGAAGCCCAAGTTCAAAGTAAAAGATTGGTGGTGGCGATATGAGTGGCAACACCGAGGGAGCAGTCATGTTCATGGGTTTCTGTGGTTGAAAGATGCACCTTCAATTGATACACTGGATACTAGTGACCCAGATCAAGTCAAAGTTTTTATTGACTACTGGGATGCTCGGGTTTCGACTTGGAATCCAGATAAATCATGTCCCCCTGCAGCTATTCATCCTTCAGCTATGTTGTTTACCAGTCTTGAAGATACAAAACGTGAACTTGCTCAGTGTTTGAACCGCTTTCAACGTCATACAAGATGCACAGCTGGTTACTGTCTCCGTCGCAATAAGGAAACTGGACAGCTGTTTTGCCGCTTTGGATTTCCATGGAAGGAGCGAGTTACATCTGAATATGTCCGTGACCCAGGCCGTGACTTTGCTGAATTTCACACTCGTAGAAATGATCCCCTTCTAAATTCATATAATGCAGCATTCACACTTGGTTGGAGAGCAAATGTTGATATTCGACCAGTTATCAACAAAGAGGCTGTTATTGCATATGTAGCTAAATATGCAAGCAAGGCAGAGTCAACATTTAGCTCTTTCAAAGATATTCTTCACAATGTTACAACCCGACTCAAAGATGATGACCGTGCAGGAATTGCATATCAAAAAATGTTGTCTACCTTTGTGGGAGAGCGTGATATCTCTGCACAAGAAACTTGTCACATCCTCTTCCAATGTCCGCTCACTCAATCTTCTCGAGTCACACGAAGCTTATGTGTAAAGCCAGGGAATACTACTGCTTTTCTGGATTTTGAAAACTCTAATAGGGAGAGAAAGTCAATTTTTGAGCGTTATGTGGAAAGGGATCCAGATGTGGAGGGTATTGAGCAAGTTTCACTTCTTGAGTTTGCTACTCATTGGGACTGGAGAGGTCGGAACCTGCACAAACGTACACGGAAATCCCCTTTTGCTGTAGGCGTGTGGCCTCTCTATACTCCAGATCTTCATGCACCAGACTTATATGAAAATTATTGTTATGCTCGCTTAATACTCCACCATCCTTTCAGAAAGGTTGAAGATGTACTAGAGGGCTGGGGTTCCTTTACTGATGCTTATACACTGGAATGCAAAGATCTTGAACATGTGCATGATGATCCACTTCCTATAATCACTCATCAACCTGAGGACCCTGACTCTGACTCTGAGTCTATTCGTGTTGATAATGATGATGATGGTCCAATGCGTTTCCAGTGGATGCAGGAGGCTGCTCGTGGTCCCAATAGTACTACTGCTGTTTCTACAGCAGATAACCTTGGCCGCCGAGATATGGACTTACATTATGATTGGCATGGAAATTCTCCTCGATCTACACAAATTATTCAGGATGCTGCCCATTGGTTGGCAGCCTGTGTAAAAGAATCACCTAATGATGATGTTCAACTACTACCACTAGCACCATATGCATCACTCAAGGGACCACAGCGTATTGTATTTCTTCAAGTTATGGCCTATTTCAAAAAACTTGCACAAAATCCTGATTTGAAACCACCAACTCTTCGTGTGAATGTCGATGGTACTGCTGGAACTGGAAAAACTTATCTTATCTGGGCTATAACTTATGCACTACGTCAGCATTTCTCCTATACAATTGGTCCCAATCATGATCCAGTTGTACGTCTTGCTCCTACTGGTGTTGCAGCATTTGGGATCCGTGGCTGGACTTTGAACTATGGCCTCACAATACCTGTAAAGGATGGCCAGAGTGGATTTGAGCCATTGGGCCCTAATGCATTAAAACGTATTCAAACACGATGGAAATTTGCCAGACTCCTTATAATTGATGAGAAGTCTATGATTGGACAACAACAGTTGGGCAAAGTTGATCGCCGACTACGTCAAGCTATACCTGAATTCAGTGATGAAATTCTTGGTAATATTCCCACCATTCTGTTTGGAGACTTTGGTCAGTTACCTCCTGTTGGGGAGTCTCCACTCTACTCTACAAGCCATCTTCAGCCAAATCGGACATCACCACTATTAAAGGTTGAAGGTGTCAATTCCTATCATGCATTCACAAAATCTATCAATCTTACCCATGTATTCCGACAAGCTGGCAATGATCCAACTCAAGAATTATTCAGGAACATCCTCTTAAGGCTACGGGACTATGAATCTACTACAGATGACTATCAACAGCTCCGTACTCGATTCTGGGACCAGCTCTCTGCAGATGAAAAGGCAGAGTTTGACCAGGCACTTCATCTTCTGCCAACAAAAGAATTGGTTCAGAAATTCAACCATATCCGATTATCTCAGTGTGGCAATCCTGTGGTACGCTGCAAAGCAAAGCATAACCTTCCTGAGGCAAAAAAAGCTTCTGAAGAAGATGCTGAGGGCCTGCAAAAGGAAATTGTTCTTGCAGAAGGTGCTCAGGTTATGATTACCAGAAATTTATGGACTTCAAAAGGTATTTTGTATAGAGCATCCTTATACTCTATTTCTTATTTATTTCTAAATAGGTCTTGTTAATGGTGCTCGAGGTACTATAAAAAAGATCTGGTATGCCCCCATGTCAGATCCTCAACATGGTGACCTGCCTGCTGTTATCTTTGTGAAGTGTGATGGTTTTTCAGGTATGAATATCTTTCATTAGGTACTATGGTCATTTCATTTCTGTTCTGTTTAGGGCCTGAAACTGACCAATGGGAGGGGTTGGATCCTTCATGGATTCCAATTGTACCAGTACAAGCAACTTGGCATACCCGAGATGATAAAACTCTTTCACGGACACAATTTCCACTTGCTTTGGCATGGGCTATCACCATTCATAAAAGCCAAGGCCTAACCCTTGATAAAGCCACTATATGCCTTGGAGAGAAGGATTTTGCATCTGGTCTGTCATTTGTTGCTATTTCTAGAGTTAAAGCTTTGAAGGGTGTGGCTTTTTGTGAGTCATTTGGTGAGGCACGTATATGTCATCACAATGAGACTGCCACCCGAAAAATGCTCAAAGAGGATGTAATAAGGCGAAGGAATTTGGACTTTGTGCTGGACAGTTACGGTGTCAATCTTGATGAGTTTGAATTTGATGAGGAATGAATGATTCATAATCTCACTTTTTTTCTGTACATAGTAGTGCGTAATTCTACCTACTCTTGCAACTAGAATTTTTTACGCTCACCCACTACGCATTACACTGGAGCCGCAGGCTCGTAATGCAAAACATACTTATTCTTCTTTCCACCCTACGGAGCTTGGAGGAGGCATGGATAGCTCTCCCTCGAAGACTCTCAGAGTTCAAGGAGTACGAGGCGCTCATCCTTGCGCGCCATTCTATGCTTGAGGGTGCATTTGCCAGCATTGATGGGCTGTCACTTCTTTCACAAGTTTCGGACGACCCAGAGATCGAGAATGCAACATATAATGGCTGGAAGACAGATCATCGCATGAGTAATGTTCTAGTGTTCTCCCCAAAAGGTGTGTATGTACAATCTCTATCATTGGATCGTTCTGATGTTTCTTATGTAGGGACAATCATCGACGCTGTTCTGAATGCTCCTGGGAGTTGGCATGATGCTCACACTGCACGGCCAATCTTTGAGCATCTTCACTCCAGTGTACCAGATGGTTTTTACCTCGTCTGCGATACCGCTTTTCCTCGTGGTCCTCAGTCAATTAAAGGCAGGATTAGGGCACCTCTCAAGGGAGGAGAGCAAATTCCTGCTAACGTTGCTGAACAGGAATACCTTTTGTCCTTCAACCGCCAACTCTTATCATTTCAACAGACTGCTGAATGGGGTATGCGGATTATGCAAGGCTCTTTTGGCCGTCTGCGTGTGCCATTAGATATCAACAGACTGTGCCTCCATAGCTTCTCGGGTTGCTGTATCAAGGCACTGCTGGAGATTGTTGAGCTGTGTCTGCATGTGCTGCATCTGCATCATCTGTAAGTTCATGGATGCATGGTTCACGTCACGCTGCTGAAGATTTTGAGGGTTGAGCGAGGCAGAGATGCCTCCCAGAAGATCATTGGCCTGGCTTTGATGTGACATGTGGGTACGAGGTGCATCATTCAGTGGAGCTTCAACTTTGTAGGCCTTTGTCAACACAGTTCCTTCACTGCCCCGTACCTTTCCCTTCCCCTTGTTTATTACCAAGTCTTCATTGTCGTCATCGTCATCTTCCTCCAAAGATATGCTGATAACATTTTCATTGTCTTGCAGACTTCCAAGACTTACGTGCTGAGCAATTTCAGCCTCTGCCTCAAGAACTTGTTCATACATCTCGAGTCTGTCGGCATCTCCAGTTGGCTTCGTTGATGCTATCAGGACACACTCAAGCAGAAGTAAGTAAATAAATATGGTGATAAAAAGAGAGAAACTTACTCTGTTCCATTGTGTTTGAAATGGCTTATACTGTTGTGGGGGGTATCTATTGGTTGATGCCCATTTATTATACTCATTCACGACACGCTCCCAACCTTTCTTTCCCATGGGAAGATACTTCAAGACAAGCCTCACCATTCCAGATAGCTCGGTAGTACTGTACTCAGTAGATCCCACTGTGCGTCCTCCTGTCTTCTTTTTCTCCCGGGAACCATGCTCATCTTCTGCCTCACCATCACCATCATCATTAACTATCTTTGGCTTCTTGACAGTTTTCGGTAAAGGTCTCGGTATCACCTTCTTTGGTTTTATGGCATCAGAAGGTTTTTTCGCGGCCATAGGCTTCTTTGCAGGTTGTTTGTCACCGGCATCATCATCTTCATGAGTCCGTTTGACAGGAAGAAGCTGATTAACTGACATCAGTTCATCATTATCCTCAGGAGTGAGTGGACGAGGAAGCGGAGGGGGTTGGTAATTGCTGTTGATGTGATGTCAGATGTTCCCAAAACTCTGAGGTAAATCAAAGGATGGAGGTGGTCCCATTCGAGTAGATGGGCGACACAGATTCCGAGATGGTGAGTATCCAGGAATGTTCAAAGAATAATTGTTCTGTAATATTCAGTTTTTGTTAAGATCATGTACACCGTGTAACCGTGCCAGGGTCACAAGGTGTCTAAGGGCGGAAGGTCGAGTGGGACAGTAGTGAAGTTATTAACAACACCGCCGTTACGCCGTTAGTCCCTGGAGATTGAGAGTACAGAAGAGAGAAGCTAAGTAGCAGCCAAGTCGGAGTGGCAGTATCGCCGACGACGAGGAGCGAACCAAAGAACGTCGAAGTCCTAAGGTGGAGTAGAACGTACTTCAAGACGATGAGCCTGAAGACTTAGAGAAGAGCTAAGTTGGAAGGGAGATCTAAGTTGATAATTAAACTGAGGAACTACAGTAGTGTACAGGCAGTATTTATATCTACGGAGCGCCAGACTAACTACTAGGAGCTATACGTGTAGTACCTGCAGGGTAAGGTAAAAGACAATAAGGAGGGACTAGAACGAAAGGGTATGTGTAGCGAGAAAGAACAATAAGGAGAGATTACAATAAAAGTGGATCTTCGGAATACCGAGCGGCGGAATGGGGACCCAAGGCATGGACTTGACAGTTTTGATCAGAATCGCTCTGTGATTTTGAATGCAAACACGTACATGTTCCAATTGAGGAGTGGGAGCAGGAAAGTACCCATCAGGAACTTGGTTGCCAGATCGTCCTTGAACGACATCTGCATAGGTGGGGCCAGGAAGATGTCCTCGGTGATAAACAGCCTGAGGGTTGTAAACATGGTCAGGAGTCCGTCGAGCCATCGGAGGTGCAGGAGTGCAGGTATGATTCTCATGCTGGCCAGTGTATGAGGGTATATAATGATGGTCTTGGTTCGGTGAGCTAGTCCCATTGATATTCCCAGTGGGTGAGGACATTTTTGAGGTTAAGTAGGAGGATCGAAAGCAGTCAAAGTTCGATGATTTTCACGATTTTTTCATCCTCCAAATACCTCTTTATACCTTTTCTGTGGCCAGATCGGACGATTTCTGGCTCACAAACCCTGCAGGTTACCGCAGAGCACTCCTAATCTACCTGCATTCAGGAGTTAATACTTATAAGCATTGTTGTTACAAGAGCATAACTACATGAATAATGCTAATCCTTTAACTAAAGTGCCTACATCTTGTTGGTATATACCTTGACTAAGAATTGTCAAAAATTCGGAAAATAAAAGCAAGTTTTTGAGCCTGTATATGCTTTACATCCTCGACTGCATAAGGGACCAGACGGAGCAAAGTCCATATTTGGATCATGTACGGTCGCGTATCACAAGTGGCGTTTATGTGCTCAAAATTCTGTCTAGGGAAGGGGTCGAACCCCTCCTCAGATGGGATGTTTAGAACCCGCGTTGAATTTGCAATACCTGAGGAACCAGGTACCAAACGCCTCTTTTGAGCTCGGCTAAGTGCCATCAAACAAATATTGGACAGATTTTTGGTAAATAAAGCTTACGGGAAGTCATCCAGTGTCTTAAATATCAGAATTCAAATATTCATCAACAACAATTTTGGCCCAGCCACCCAATTGTAGAATTGAACATTGAGGTGTCTTATTCAGGAATGTGTACAGTGGAACTGAAGAATCATAACTATTACAAAAATAGAAGGAAACACATTGACCAAGGGAAATATCACAGAGACTAAGGTGGATAATCTGGGGGCATAGTAGAAAGCATTTCTATCATCTATAATTACTTCAAGATCACTGCAAATCAGGTGAAAGAGCATCATATGCCGGGCACAACTCAGTCCAGGCCTGTGTGGGGTGGACTTCTGCCCGAGTCTCATTTAGACCCGAGGCCATCACTGTAGCAAGACCAGCTTGAAGATGCCAGAAGATGTGGCAATGGAAGAACCATGGACCTAATGGAAAACATGAAATGACATGAAGATAATGGAGTGGCCAGGGACAGACCTGGATTGGCAGTAGAAAATCGCATGATAGTTCCAGTCGAACCGACACCAGCGACCTGGAAAAGAGCAATGTTCAAGGGATTTGAGACTGAAGGGATTTGAACACGCACATCACGTTTTATCGGGTTCTCGGTGTTGATTTCATCGGAGCTATTAGACTTGATGAGCCAGAAGTTGTTCTGTAATACGTTCAGCCTGGAAATTCAAACATGTAGTAGAAAGGGCACTTACTCCATGGAGATGGAAGGCTGGTGCGTTATTACATATCAAACTGTCCATTCATTGACAAGGTAAAAATCAACTCACGATGCTCCTCATCATCTTCACTCGGGGGGAAAATGACCTGAACAATCTTGTTAGCAGGAAGAATGAAGGTGTTCTCAGTGACATTGAAGTCATCAGTGCTGTTGGCACCATCGAGAATTTTGACGAGGGTCGGAACCTCGGGTGCAAGATAGCTAACATTGTTGACATTCCACTGGGCCTTACCAGCAGTCTACGGCATCTTCAGCTTCATGTATGGATACATCGCATACAGAAAGACAAACCACAACAAGGTTGAGTGTGATGTTGATGTCAGCTTCTGGTGCAGGTGAAGCAACCAAGGGCTAAAGCTCCAATGAATGATACATCCTGAATAATATATTGCGCTGCTTACACGAAGATTAGCCTCGACAAGAGCGTTTAACTCCTCATCTGCGGGACCAAGGGACATTGGGGACGTTGGGTCTTCTTCTGGTGCACCTTGATAACGCAGGATAGCCCGGGAAAGTGTGGCATTCTCTGTATAGGACTATCAATCTTTGGTCAAGTATGAACTAGGACAAGAGATCGTACGGTTCAAGTTCCTGGCTGGAGAACCGCCAACGTAAGGAGCATTGATCCAGTAGTTTGCGATAGGCTGGTTGGCCTCGACCACAACAGAGTAACGTTGGCCAGCAAGCAGATCGAGTGAGTTGACAGTCATTGGTGATGTGGGCATACCATCGGTTTCGATGATCTACCAAATGTTAAACAAGAACGAACGACATCACTTAGTATAGACAACTTACAGTCATGTTGTGGCTATCGACCGACATGGTGAATACATTTCTGGCAGAGGTGTTGATGATTCGGAAACGGTATCGAGTTCCTTGAACTACATCGACCACGAAGAATGGTACTTCGGGTCCACCATTGAATCTGCCCACGCCATTGAATGTACCACTGTCAGATACTGGGACGATTCCAGTAGCGACGTAGCCTGCGAGCATGGGTAGTGTGCTGTTATGCCACCAATCGCCAACTTGCCAAATCTAGAGAAAAGTACAATAATGGTAAGAGATGAAAGGAAGGAGATTTAAATCAAGCCGACCGTGTTTTCGTCGTCAACATCATAGAGGTCCTTGAGAGGGTCATCGGGGTCTGACGAAAATGAAAGATTGGAGCAAGTAAGTAACAAAGTAATATATCATCGTAGAAAGATCGAGAGAAGACGAGGCGCACCATATACGATTAGAGCCCCACGAAGGCCCTAAGAAATCAAGGTCAAATCCTGGGGATCGGAGCTCAAGATAGAAGTACTTACATCGACGTACTGCACACTCAATTGACTGAAGTTGAAATATAGAGTTAGTCCCCAGAATCACAAAATCAGACGTCACGCTGACCTGTGATACCAGAATGTTCCAGTCTGATTGTTGACCAAAGGTACTACGTAGGTATAGCTTGCGTTGGGTGCAATAGGACAAGTCGTCACAAAGGAACTGCCCTCGTCGAACGAGTTACCAGTGTCAACTAAGATGCCGTCGAAGTCCTGCATGGTACAGGACAACTTAGACTGTCGTTATGATTAAAAAAGTTTGTTAGCTTACGAGGGAGGTACTAAGACGCATCGTCGGGTCATCCTGTGATCCAAGATTATTGGGCTGAAAATATAGAAAATCATTCGAACAGATCAACGTACTAGCAGGTTGTTGACTGTGACGACGAGCGTGTCGCCCTTGCTCGCAGTGATGAGCGGACCAGGATACGTTCCGTTAGCAGTCACCATACCTATTGATTTTATCAACACATGTTTTCCTCGAAGAAGGCGAAGCTTACTTCTACTGAACCCATCAGGAGCGCCATCGGCATTAACAATATCGAGCGTAATCGGTATCGTGTCCGAGAAGGCTGGAAGAGCGAGAAGAGCAGCCAGAACGGTAGAAGCGAGGAGTTTCATCCTAAGTTGCTGTGGTAGAGCTCGTTGTATTGATTGTTCTTCAGCATTAACTGTCCAGTTTTTATAACGTTCCAAATATGATGAGAGAATGGCAGGGGGGTGAACCATTATAGGAAAGCAAAAGGTAAAGCCCAGGTATTCGAAGGACCAATCGCAGACTCTGTGTTCTGTTGATCTCAGAGTACGTGAGGCATTATTTCACTGTGATGAAAGCAAGAAGAAACCGAGAGGTATCGTTCGGCGAGGAAATCATTACTCCTGGTATGTACACGCTCCCAAGACGTTCACAAAGACAAGACTCTTGGATTGCGACCACCGCTCTATTCAGGCCAAGACTGTGCCTTTTTCTCAACACAAGGCTAGAGACAAAGGTCACAGCAAGAGTATTAGATCATTGAATACAAGATTGCTTTCATCGCCACCAAATTCTGTTTCTCAGTACCTTGGCGAAGCTTGGCAGGCTTCGGACCCGGTTGAACGCAGAAAACTCACAAGGAACGTCGACATGATTCAACGCATGCAACAGTCCCTTGACTTTGCCTGAGAATAAAGATGTCGATGAATTTGATTCCTTCGCAATTTGAAACGATATCATTTGCTATTTCTGTGTCTTCAAAGGTCGAAAAACATGCTCCAAGTAAACCGGGACGATGAGTATATGTTGCGGGTCAGCAGATGTACACTGTAAGAGCGCGGCATCGGAGTACAAGGCGGCAAGTCCTGGCTCAGATAATGAAGTCGAGGTGACTTTGTGTGTATCACTGAGGTAGCGAGAGCTTGAGGACAACGTGGCGGACCACAGAGATAAATCGCGTGGGAGAATCGAATCACCTTAATGAGAATGCCCAGCCGTGAAACTATATGTGGGATGCTTTTTGAATTCCTGTTGAGGAACTAACAACAACGGTGATGGAAGTCAAGAAGGATAAATAATAGAGTTTAGTACATACTTGAAACGGACTACATAATACGGTACACTTGAAAGTCACCCGTGTATCTCCAATTTCACTCTGATGAACTATGTAGCTTCGCATTGTCTCCTACTGTCTCCTACGATCACTCAACGCAGAGAAAGGACTCTGCCGACTTGTGTAAACTCCAAAAAACCTTCTACACAACGTCTGAAACGATGAAGAAATCGGAGGCGCCACGGGCATTGATTATGATAGTGATAAAATAAGATAAAATATTGTCAAACTAAAATAGCGGGCCTGATTCACTGAGTCACAATATAACGGGGTTCATCGAAGTTATTGGTACACAGTCTTAGTCCCCAGAGGACTAAACTTTGTATCCGCAGGCGAAAAAATGGACAAGTCCGGATTTGAACCGGAGACCTTTCGCAAGCAATCGAGAATGCAAAGCGAACGCGATAACCCCTACGCTACATGCCCATACCAAACCATCTTTAACATGTCATTATTTTCGAGCGGTAGCCAAACGTATCATATATACATAATCCCATCCCAGCTCTAGATCACTCTTAAACAGACTCTATGCTTGTCTTGAATCTCACTGGAACGACGATCCCTTCACGGTTTTGATCCACTGTGCGTCAGCCTCGGGATACTCCCAGCTCATTACACCGCCATCTACAACACATATGCATATATCAGCATTCTATCCACTGATCAAATTTCATGTTGAGAAACTTACTCCAGTTTTTCCCCTTAGCAGTCACCACACATTTTGCCAGATCGGCCGGGGCCATGTATCCAGTTGTAGCGTCAGCCTGTCCACCAGGCTTTCCAATGACGACCTTGTCTGCTGAGACGCCGCCTGTCATGATCTCGAACACAGCCGAGCCGGGGTACGTAGGAGAGGAAGTGAGGAGACCATCGCAAGTTGTATATTCGGTCCCTTCTAGAAGATGTGAAGAAATAATGAAAGGTAGTGAGATTCGAGAGAAGGGCACGGGAAGATTGGACGCACGGTTGTAGAACTGTAGACAATAGTGTCGGACAACGTTGAATAATTCTCCATGGTGCAGGAGCACTGGGCTTACCTGGATGTTATACTATGATACGACACTGTAGTCAGCTACCAGCCTGGTTCGCACCAGAAACAGAAACACTCACCCAATCAATCTTACTTCCAACCTCCTTGTGGACTTTGGTGTATCCACCGGACTTGTAGTGGGAAGCGCTGAACCAAGGTGCAAGAGCTGAAAAGAATACAAGGCAGAATCACTTAATCATTCAATAAGTCAATCAGATACTGTTGCAAACGACTTACGAGCATGTGTCAAGATATATTTGCCTTGAGGAAGCTGAGTTCGAAGTGCATTAGTGAAATCGATCAACCACTGCTCAGCCTTTCCATCTTGCGCATTCATAGCATTGAGGTCTTCATAGTCAACATCTATAAAAGCCAATGTGAATGTATTCCTCCACTGTGAGTAGTCATTTCATAGTAAGAGCTTGATTCCAACTACCCACCGATCCCATCCACGTTATTATTCTGAACCCACTTGGCCATTGTCGCGGCAGTGCTTTTTGCGTCACTCGATGTGGGTAAATCAGTCGAACCAAACGCTGAGACAATAAGCTTGATCCCGGCTTTCTCATACGCGCTCTTGATACTAGATTTCTGGGCTTGCGCTAAGGTTTCCCATGCCTTAGCTTGGTCGGCGGCACCCGAGGTCAGAAGGAAGGACATTGCGCTGTATGGGATGCAAATGGTGAATTCATACAGTAAATTCAAAGTTTATTGGCTAGAAGAAATACTGACACCGTGTTGAAACCCTATTTGGAGACCGGAATAAATGACTCGTGGAGAAGGATTTCAGGAAAAGTGAGCGGCTTACAGAAATCTTCGAAACATCAGGTGCAGGTTCTGAGCCTTTATCCGTATAGACAACAAAGTGTGGCGCAGCGGGGGCTCCTCCTCCTCCAGATGTGGCGGGGGCTTGAACTGGAGCAGCCCGGACGCTGCTTAGGCGGGAGGATATAGTCATAAGTAGCACACTAGCGGTCATGAGCAGATTGGATACGCGGAATCCGTGCATGATGATCAAAAAAGAGAGATGGAGCTTGTAGAATCGTGAAGTTGAGAAGAAAATGGATATTGGTCCAGCCAATAATTCAGTGTAGTCGAGGAATGAAGGGGATCAGTGGAACCGGTCACACTGAGGAATATTGAGGTTAGCATCTGCAGTTTTTATACGACTTGCTTCGGCGTTAGAGTGTCACATTAGGAAGGTACAGGTATGGATATATGTCGAATGAATTGCTGTGGAGGTCCGTTGTGCATGGCGTATCGAGACCAGAAACGACGGGCCGCTGGACGTAAGTTCCGAGGATGGCACTAAGGAAGCTCCAAATAGTGAAAGTATTCTCTGTGCTTGTAACAATCAGTACAGCCGGAGAGTTTCGTAGTGTGAGTATCAGGATTCAAGAACTTTGCCACATACCTAGTTAAGATTTTTGCGTTCGAGTGCAAATTTTGGTAATGCATTATTGAAGTGTGCTTTCATCATCATAGGCATAAATCAGCTCAAAGGGGCCCGTTCGCTCTGTACTTGGAGAAAAGTAGCTGTATCACAACTTCTCTGGTGGACTGGGAAACGTTCCAAATCTTGGACTCCTGGTGGATGATTCACACATCTCGGGAAGAACGTAAGTCCATGTATTCAGAATCAAACTGGCATCAAACCTCTATGTCTTAAAAGGTTACCGTGACCACATACTGGCAGTGAGCATTGTTTTGAGCGACGGGATCAAAAGCGCTGAAAGTCCGTGGAGGTCGCCTTATGGGAAACGAAATAATCAATAGCCAACAGTCCATGTTCTAAGGTACCGTTTGGGGAGCATCTTACGGCTGAACAGGGAACCCCACCGGGAAGCCTCTGACAATAAAGTCCAGTTCCCCAAACACGCATAGCTGTAACGGGATGATGAGATGAAAAGCCATGCACAAATATCCTGAATATCTGTTCAAGATCCTGCATCAGCGCAGCAGTATTCGATACGCAGGTCAATGCGGGTAGCCCTAGCCTTGAAAAATGCGTTGCACTTGAAGTTGACGATAATAGCCGTAGGAACAGGGAACCTCGAATTACTAGTAGAACAGTTACTTTGTGGCCCTACTACTAGTGACGAGTAAGTTTATCAGTCAACTTTTCACTTGTGTGTACATGTAAGACTTGAGCTTGAGCTTGAATCTGTTCAATTGTTGCGTTTGAAGTTTACAAAAAAGCGTCGAGGCGAGCACGTGTGATGGTGATGAGCATCGTGAGGGCATCACGCCATAATATCTCCCCCCCGACCTTGAGCGCTTCAAGCTTCAAGGATAGACTCAACCTTGACTGCACCATACTGTCTCGTCTCTTCCGAGGAACAAGTGCATTCGCTCAATGACCAGCCGCCTCAAGCGAAAGCTAGGAGACATCGGTGTCGATACATCCAGTGCAAGAGCTAATGAGAACTTCTGTTTAGTGAGCACCATTCTATATATCTGTATCTTACTACACTGACATTTTCCATATATAGATAGGAACACCTCTTCCACCACTGGAAAAATCCCGCGACACAGGGGAATTTGTCCCGCTATGGAAACAAGAAGTTCGGGATGAGAAAGGTCGACGAAGGCTTCACGGAGCGTTTACAGGTGGATTTAGTGCTGGCTATTTCAACACTGTTGGCTCAAAAGAAGGTAAATAATGAACCATCATTTATCACCTTCACCTAAGCATTGACCCAACGTACTGTAGGATGGACTCCTCAGACGTTCGTTTCATCGCGCTCCGACCGTGCAAAGAAGAAAGCGGCAAAACCAGAAGATTTTATGGATGAAGAAGATATACAGGATATTAGAGATAGTCGGAAGATTGTGGATACCACGGACGAGATGGATCTTACTTCCGGAAAGCAAATGGAGAGCCAGGACGACGCCGATGTCGAGTGCGTACACATCCTCTCGAAGTATCCTTGTTCTCAATCACTGATTTGCCACCGAATAGTCCACTAACTGTTGCTCTACAATCCGCTATGCTACCTCCTTCAAAAGATTCAGTTGGTGCTCGTATACTCAAAAAGATGGGTTGGCGCGTCGGGCAAGGAATCGGCCCACGGATTTCCCTTAAACAAAGACGACTACAGGATCTGCAAGCCTCTACTGGCTCAGCCTTTTCAGTAGACACATCAAAAACTATGCCAGATGAAGACGCAGAGGAAGCAAGCAAACATACCTACGCTCCTCGAGATACACCAGTGCTCGTTGTCGAACGCAAAGACAACAGTCATGGATTAGGTTATCGACCCGGCATGAGCTTGAATGACAGTCTGGGTGTGAAAGGCAGTGGTGGCTCAAGTACTGGACCCAACATATCATGTAAGTGTTTATTCAACATGCAATTCGACAGACAGGGCCTGATGCGTGTATTTTGTTCCAAAGCCGGATTCGGACTTGGTGCACTGAATGACGCTGATGAAGACGATCTGGATGTCTACGACGGTAGCTCTGCGAATGTTCGAAATCGCCTCGCTTACGACGCCTTTGACGACCCCGAAAGAGATCGGACTTTCTCAAGTGGCTCGAAATCAAAGCTAGTAGGTAATTCACACTTTTGAGCATGCAGATTTGATCTTTAGTCTTATCCTGTTTTCAAGAGATCTGCTCCAGGTCCAATTCCTCCCACTGGAACGTTCCGAGATGGGACACCTGTGTTACCTGGTTTTGTCCTATCGGGTAAAGCCGTGATGGAGGATCGATGGTCAGTGGACTACATTACAGGGATAGGCACCAACTGATATCTTGGGTCCACAGGTATCCTCTGCCCGATATTCCCCCAGGATGGAAACCTGACCCAAAACGCGTCTGGTCGCAAGGCCAAAATCAAGGGCAATATCCAGCTTCAAACAAGGAGAATGTTAAGCAGGAGAACACTGCGGCAATTCCGCATGGCAAGTGGAAGACGAGTGGTCTGTCTGCGGACGATGTAGGTTATCTGTTACCTGACGTACGTCCGAGAGATTAATTCAACCGTTCGACAGCGAGGATCAATATTGGGCGAGATACCACTCCCCTCTGCCCCTCGATCCGTATTCGATTATATGTCTCAGAAAGACCGCGATAGGTTAAAGAATATCGCTGCCAACCTTCATTCAACAACAGGACCTCCAGCAACCGCAAGTGCCTCTGACCAGACCTCTCCTCCTGCTCCTGCTCCTGCTGCCACAACCCCTCGTATTCCCCGCACCGATCCTCAAATCGCCCGTGCTGCTCTGACCGGATTCAAACCATTTCCCAGCGATCCAGTCAAGCAAGCACGTTATACGGCATACCTTCAATCACAGGCTGACACTTCTTCCACGATCATGTTAGAACCCCTCCCGCACCAATCCATTCCAGAATTCAACTCCGAGATGGAAGAATACGCACAGAGTGCTGTCGTGTTCAAACCTGTCAGCGGAGCTATGGCAGGACGGTTTACGAGCGCAGCTGTAGTTGAGCATGGGCCGAAGGTGATAGAGGGTTTACACACTCCAGCTTTTGAGGAACAATCTTCTAACGAGGAAAAGAAAGCAACGGAGGAGAAGGAACTTTCTCCTAAAGAAAACGCTGCGCGGATGGGCATGTATGGACACTTGACCAGGGAAACCGTTCCCTGGCAGCCAGCGAGGCTGCTATGTAAGAGATTCGGTGTGAAGGATCCGAATCCAGAACCCAAAACTGAGGATCCTACTCAGTCGTCCGTCCCAGACTTCCAAGACCCATCTGCTTTCGACCCTTCTGTGCCCTCTGGGACTGCCGCCGCGGATTACGGGATCGTCTCGATAAATAATAACAACATTGGTGCTAGTACGAGTGGTCCTCGAGATTTGGCCAACGTCGGTCTCGGTGATGAAGACGATACTCAAGGTCGAGATACTTTGACCTATGAACGCCCTTCTGTTGACGTGTTCAAGGCAATTTTTGCTAGTGATGACGAAGATTCGAGTGATGAGGAGGGTGGTGACGAGGGGGACGAGAGGGACAAGGGGCCGAATGATATTGAAACAAGCGGACCCATTTCAGAGACTACTATGTCTACGAAAATATCTCCGCTCGCCTCTATCCCCGTAGTGGTAGACGATCGACCAGTAGATCCCAATACCTTTAAACCTACTTTCGTTCGACGAGAAGCTCGGACGACCAATACCGACTCAGATAAACAGGAAAAGAAAGAAAGAAAAGAAAAGAAGAAGAAGGAGAAACGGAAAGCTATTGTCTCGTTTATGGACGATGAGGCTGGCGATACCCTGAACGTGGTGGTGGAAAAACCGAAGAAGAAGCGAAAGAAGGATAAAGAGAAAGATAGGGAAAAGGATAAAGAGACAGGAGGGTTGAAGTTGAAGGGGGAAAAGGAGGTCGAGAAGGAAGTTAAATCCAAACGCCGGAACGCTGTGGACGAGAACGAGGATGATATGTGGGTAGAGAAACCTGCGCCTCCAGCTGTCACTGTTGCATCCGACGTGGAGATGGCAGACACCTCTACAGCGCTGAGTGTAGGCTCAGAAGTACCAAGGGGGCGCAAGAGGGCTATCGATTTCTTGTGACAACTCGAGACTTTGAATAGAGTCTCTACATTTGCTTGAAAAATGCCCTTCATTACCTGTAATCCAAGCGCCCATGCAAGCACCAGCGTTTACTTACATTTCTTTGTTCTCTACAACAAGATTTCTAAAAACTATGAACTGAAATTCATGTAAACAAGGTGGATATCCCTGCAGGGGGCAGTTAATACTCAACTGGAAAGTCTTTGAAGTATCTCAAAGGGCATTTCAGATCATAATGGTTATCGACGCTCGAATATCGGTTAGTTCCGTGCGCCGCATCGACCGTCGGAGTGATATTCACCTATAGGCTATAAAGTCTCAACATCCCCAGGCTCTTCTTCCTTCTCTTTCCGCTCACCCTCACTGCTGGTCAGTTACACATATCTTCGCTGGTCGAAAGAAGCAACTCTCTTTGTTCAACTTTTCACATTTCCGTCCATCTATCACTCCTGCCTGTGCTTTTCTCGTACATAATGCGTTTCAACGCTATTTGGGCATACCTCGCCTTGTCTCTTGTCTCTGCTGTATATGCTGCCCCTCTTTCGGAAGTGGGTAATGTTCCTACAATGTCATCACTGTATACACTAAGGATTCCTTCCCCAGGCTGACGCAGGCATTACAACACTTGCTCGTTCCGATTTATCATCTGTTTCACATGCTCGAAGGGATGGTGGAGAGTATGTCGCCACATTAACATTAACGAAATCTGGAGGTGGGCGTGGGCGTGGACCTGTGCGCAGACCCAAAGCCAAAGCCGCTACCCCTAGTGACATAGCCCGTGTCAAGGCACTCATTATAAGAGCGGCTAAGGAAAAATGGGATCAGAATATCGATCCTTCGGAAATCAGGATTGTTGGCAATCAGTATACGAGCAACACCAATGCTGTTCCCTTCACACTGGAAGCGCCTGGTCTCAAAGAGTGCGACCCCATACCGTGCAAAGGGGAGGCACTTTATCACGTTTCAAACTCGAAAAATGAGCCTGAGCTGGGGGCGGGAAAGATTTTTTCACAAGGTTATCCATCCGAGATAATCTATGATTCTGCCAACGAGGTACGTGACTTGCACATATCATGAGACTGCTTAAAATCATGTTGCTGATCTTCAACTTAGTTTTGGAAGAATCCCTAATCCGTTGATTTCTCGAAATCCGTTGCTTAACGTGAACCCTTCCAACATTTGTCCGTTTCCGACGACCGAAAATCATTAGAATCGCAGAAGGCCCATGCATGCATTTGTCGAAGGATTTCAGTATGGACAGGCGACAGCGACACGTATAATTGTACTGTCTTTGTATCGCAAGGAAGACGGTGTTCTTTTTTGAACTATGCTTTTGATACTTGAGCTTGAAAACGGATAATCTAAATCGACTACTTTTAGTTGAAGAGCAAGGATTCCAGGCATCCCTGCTTGAGACAGAGATTAAAAATTTCTCCAAGCCGAGAGCCAAGCTAGCCAAAGCTGTTTCCAAAATAGTACGCTGAAAGAAAAGGAAGGACCCTCGGTTGTTGGCTCCCTTAAGTCCTTGTAGGCGGTCCTAACCCGGCCAGAGATACTTTCACTGCCAACATCGTCTCACGAGCAAGTATAGAAAACACTTCTGCACGTATAGAGGATCGCGCTACGCATTCTTTATGTGCCCCCTGCTGAGGTCGATGGTCCTCAGGTCAAATGCTTGCGTCATAATTGAGGCCTTGAGGGCCCGGGGAAATGTAAAATGTGTGAAGACGAATGAAAGAAACCCGAGCGAGGAGTAGCGCGGCCTGTCGAAAGGATCAGACATCTGAGCTTGTATGGTTTAAACTCTATAGATGCTGACGGGTTTTGAGATCTTGAGATCCCACATAATGATAAGTATCCTAAGGTCGTGTTGAGTTTGCTGTTCGGTCACAGAATATGGCGCTTAACTGAGGCGCCTCTAAGCGCCCATATCCTCCTCACAGGACGTCCATCCCCGATGCCAAGAAACCAGACCAGTTTGAACGTTCTACAGCAGAGAACATACCGTCTGAATTCTCGGAGCGAGTCGACGCAACCGCAGCAGGGTACCTGGGTACAGAATTCAGCAGGTCTGGGAAGATGTCAGCAAAGGCGAGTCGTGCTCAAGCGAGAGCACGTACCTTGTATGCGCATCAAGGGATTACCCGCATGGAAAATCCTCGGAGTGCTGGTCGCTACTGGGGAAAGCAGGCAATGCAGCGGGTTGACGATCCCAGCCGGACCAGGCGAGGTCCGGGTGGATGGTCAAAGGCAGCTAGACGACGAGGCACCAGGCAGTCTGATAGTGAGACGAGGAAGATCCGGTCACTCTGTCAGGCACCCGAATTGGGGAGCCGTGTGTCCGAGAGAGTGAGCGTGGTCATCCCCATCCAACCAGTCGTTGAACAGAGGGCCAGTGGCAGGAGGAGGCCGAGGAGGTGGGAAGGAAGCAACCTGGTCCCATTGTTTGTCCTCCTCAGGCATGTTGTTGAGAGCAGCGGGGTCGAGGTTGGAAGGTTTGTTGGACCTGGACATCGCACGCGTTACGCGAGTCCTCCCACGAAAGGGGACTTAGGGGCCAGCCATATTGGAAGCAAAATCTGGGGTGAACTGGCCATGGGTATATGCACAGAACGAGAGAGAGCTAAAAGGCGATGTACACAAAATTCAGGGAGGGTGTCAGAGAGGTCACACAGAAACTGGGTGCACAAAAATGAAGAACTAAAAGTCTCTGTGTTGACGAAGTGTGCGCTCACTGATATGAGTGAGGTGGACGTACGAGGCGGCCCGATTGCACAGCTTGGGGAGCCATCATGAACATTGAAAACACATATTCGGCTTCTTCCGATCGCCGAATCCTTGACCACCCGAAAGTCGACATTTATCAACCAACACATTTGCCGTTGAACCCGCCAGTGGTCAGGAGTGATAATATCAATCGAGGAAGACTGTGGATCAGGATATCCTCATCTCACTAGAGCTAGTAGGTGTTGTCTGAAGAAAGGTCTTGTACGACCTTGTACGACAGATGAAAGGAGTTCCAATGAGAAGGACTGCTGAATGGATTAGACAATGTGTATTCTGAAAAATTTCGCTTGATACCAGTTTCACTGCAAGGATAAGCGTTTATCTGTGTCGCAAAAGTGTACTGCGAAAAACTAGTACCCATCGATGTAGCGGGAGGAGATACGAGGAAGATGTAGCCTTGAGCCTGGAGCAGCAGCCGTTCATGTGTTTATTGATCATATCTGGCTTCCGGAAGGATCCAGTCCAGCTTCCGGCATGAATGATAGCCATTATTGCGCTTTCCATCTTACTCTTCATCTAGACAAGTGGTCTCCTGCTAATCGTGGCAATCAAGGAAGGAACTTTACCTCATCAACGTTGTTGGGGACATATACCTTGCTTCCCTTCGTTGATATGGTGACACTGCATGCAAATCAACATAAATAACTGCCTGAAATGTTGAATTGATGATAAATCAATAGGAATTTTTTTATGTATGAATTTTAGCAATTTTAATAATTTTGTGTTGAACTTATGGTGAATACAATATTTTTGGAATCCATAAGTCTAGTATGAAATGCAATTTTCTATATAGAAAAAACGGAGACTTCATGATAAAATAACATAAGTATTTTTGTGATTATACTGCACTTTTGATAACATAATCTTGGTGTAACAAAATCGCATTAAAAAAATTCAGCACAAATCATAAAACTTACGTTGATGTAATAGAAACATTAGGCTAAAAGAATGCAATATATATGTAATGTATACCATAACTTTGAATGTGAAAATAGTGAAATTATGGTAAAAAATCAAGATTTCTCTTCAATGACATTATTGGGTTATAGTGAAAAAATGTTATACTTGTGTTAAGGAAGTATGGAATTTCTTTAATATAACTGCAACCTGGTTACTCTAAGGATTGGGTAAACTTATGTTAACATAGTATAAATACACAGGTTCTAATTATGGATCAACAGTTAGGTTTTGTTACTAAAAATAGTGAAATGCAAATAAGATTAGAGTAAAAACATGAATTTATGGAGAAAAGATGTTGATTGTACACAAATTACATGATTGATTTATGGTAAAATACACTGTATAAGTTTAAAGACACATATATGGAGTCACAATAAAATTACAATGAATTATTGAAAGAGTCATGTAAAGTACAACAACACAATGATTCCAAAACATTAGTATAAGCTTACAAGGGTTATATAAAACTCATGTTAATAAATAACACTTCATTCCTTGGGATTCAGGGAGTGGTGGTGAAGCTGGGTAGAAACTGGTACTCAATCCAAATAAACATCTTCTTTTGGTTGAACAAGACTGCAACAATATCTGGGATATGGTCAAAAATAATGAAGGAGAACAATTGGTCATGGAACAAGTATGACCATCTCTAAACAACACTGCAATGATATTCAGTGCACAAGTGGCACACAGCGCAATGCCTGTGACTGTCGGAGATGCAAGTGGCTCATGGAACTCAGAGGAGATCCAAGTCCCCAGTGATTGGGGGAGTGGTGGTGAGGCTGATTGGTAGCCTAACATAGCTGGGGACACAAGTGGTTAGTGGGACTTTGCATCAATCTTGGGTCCTAGTGATTCTGTGGGTGGCGGTGAAGCCAGTAGGGGACTAAACATGGTGGCAGTAGTACTGAAAAACTGCTTAGCACTGTCCAGCTAGTACCCTAGCACCCTTGCTCTCGTGAACATCCACGTTTTGCATCCTGAACTATTTTCAACCATGTTTGGTTACCAATCAGCCTCACCACCACTCACTGAATCACTGGGAACCAAGATGGGCTCTGATTTCCACAAGCCATTTGTAACATGGCAAATCCTACACCAAAATCTGTGCTGTGCCACCTGCATCTCAAGCAGTCGCAGGCATGGCGTAGTGTACCACTTGTGACATGGCATATCCTACACTATTTCTGACCACTGTCGACCACCTACGAGCTTCACCACCATCCACAAAGTCACTCGGAATCACAATCTGTGTTGTGCCACCTGCATCTCAAGCAGTCGCAGACATGGTGCCATGTGCCACTTGTGACATGGCATATCCTACACTATTTCTGACCACTGTCGACCACCTACGAGTTTCACCACCATCCACAAAGTCACTCGGAATCACAATCTGTGTTGTGCCACCTGCATCGCAAGCAGTCGCAGGTTTGGTGCAGTGTGCCACTTGTGACATGGCATATCCTACACTATTTCTGACCACTGTCGACCACCTACGAGCTTCACCACCATCCACAAAGTCACTCGGAATCACAATCTGTGTTGTGCCACCTGCATCTCAAGCAGTCGCAGACATGGTGCCATGTGCCACTTGTGACATGGCATATCCTACACTATTTCTGACCACTGTCGACCACCTACGAGTTTCACCACCATCCACAAAGTCACTCGGAATCACAATCTGTGTTGTGCCACCTGCATCGCAAGCAGTCGCAGGCTTGGTGCAGTGTGCCACTTGTGACATGGCATATCCTACACTATTTCTGACCACTGTCGACCACCTACGAGCTTCACCACCATCCACAAAGTCACTCGGAATCACAATCTGTGTTGTGCCACCTGCATCTCAAGCAGTCGCAGACATGGTGCCATGTGCCACTTGTGACATGGCATATCCTACACTATTTCCGACCACTGTCAACCACCTACGAGCTTCACCACCATCCACAAAGTCACTCGGAATCAAAATCCACTTTGTGCCACCTGCATCTCAAACAGTCGCAGGCTTGGCACAGTGTGCCACTTGTGACATGGCATATCCTACACCATTTCCGACCACTGTCAACCACCTACGAGCTTCACCACCATCCACAAAGTCACTCGGAATCAAAATCTGCTTTGTGCCACCTGCATCGCAAGCAGTTGCAGGCTTGGCACAGTGTGCCACTTGTGACATGGCATATCCTACACCATTTCCGACCACTGTCAACCACCATCCACAAAGTCACTCGGAATCAAAATCTGCTTTGTGCCACCTGCATCGCAAGCAGTCGCAGGCTTGGCACAGTGTGCCACTTGTGACATGACATATCCTACACTATTTCTGACCACTGTCGACCACCTACGAGCTTCACCTGGCATATCCTGCACTATTTTCTACCAGTCTCGATCCCCTACCACCTTCCCCACCACTCACAGAATCGCTAGAAGCCAATTGGTTTAGACTTCCATCAGCCACTTGCATCCCACGCTGTCGCAAGCATTGCACTCTGTGCCACTTGTGCACTGAACAAGCTTCACTACCACTCCCAGAATCCACTGAAGTGTTATTTATTAACATAAGCTTTATATTACCCTTGTAAGCTTATACTAATGTTTTGTGATCATTGTGTTGTTATACTTTACATGACTCTTTCAGTGATTCATTGTAATTTTTCTGTAACTCCATACATGTGTTATTAAATTTATACAGTATATTTTACCATAAATCAATCATGTAATTTGTGTATAATCAACATATTTCCTCCATAAATTCCTGTTTTTACTCTAAATTTATTTGGATTTCACTATTTTTAATAACAAAACCTAACTATTGATCCATAATATGAACCTGTTTATTTATCCTATGTTAACATAAGTTTATCCAATCCTTACAGTAACCAGGTTGCAGTTGTATTAAAGAAATCCTATACTTCATTAACACAAGTGTAACATTTTTTCACTATAACCCAATAATGTGTTAAGATCATGTACACCGTATAACCGTGCCAAAGCCACAAGGTGTCTAAGTGCGGAAGACGAGTGGGACAGTAGTGAAGTTATTAACAACACTGCCGTTACGCAGTTAGTCCCCGGAGATCGAGAGTATAGAGAGAGGAGCTGAGGAGCAGCCAAGTCGGAGCGGCGGTATTGCCGGTGATTGACAAGACCGTGCCTACAGGTCAATAACTATAGCGGGTCTGAGGTCCGATATGGGCCGGAAATGGCCCGGGATAACTCCGAGGTCCGGAGCTCGAGTACTGGCCTGTAGTACACACTGGGAGTGGGACGTCGGTGAAGCTATTAGCAACACCCTTCACACACTGTTGGTGTCCCCGGGAATATAATGGCAAGAGTGCAAGATTGGTATGAGCAGCCTAAATGGGGTTCCTGATGATCCGGGAGTCCGGAAGCAAAGGGTAAAGAAGATATTAAAGACTGGGATAGGATGGTACACTTGATTTCAAGCTTGACTACAACGTACAAAGTATTCTAGCTTATATACATCCCAGATACAGTCAGAAGACCTCGATGAAAGCTCGGAACAATAAATAAATACAATGATGGTCACAAGGTTATTATTCCGAAGTCCGGCCGCTCCGGGCCGGGCCGGGAAGTGTATGGGGTGAATTGCATGCATATGACAGTATCCCCCCGTTAGGCCTGAGCCCACGAAGGCCTCTGTGAATATGTGTGCAGTGAAATAGTAAAGTATAGTAAAGCAAAGGGATTGGATTAGATCCAGTAGTGAAGAATAAATTAAAAGTGGAAGTCTTGGAGAAATTGGAAAGGATCGGCCTGCCGATGTAGGGGGTCAAAGGAACATAATAAAGCAAACAAAAACCAGATTGAAACAAAGTAAACTCGTAACAAAATAATCAACAAAAGAATGGATGACCACGTAACTTCCGAAGTCCGGGCCGGCCGGAAAGTGTTCTGAAGTCTCAAAAGACTAAAACAAGTTCCGAAATTCGGAAAAATCGGGAGCAGCCGGTCCGAAAATTGGAATACAGGACTGGAATACATCAGTATCCCCCAAGTACGCTTGAGCCCTCGAAAGCCATGAATCAAGAGCCGAAGTTGGAGTAAATGGTGATGTAGGAGGATAGGGTAATGGAGTAGGGAAAATTTCGGAATAAAATCCGAGCCGAGGGGCGGGATTGGGCCGGAAAAATCGTCGGAAACTGCGGAAAAGTCCGGCATACCAATCAACACAAAGTGCTGCCAAAAATGATAACCTGAGCTGATATCCACACAAGAGCGATGCCTAAAAAGGCCGAAATTGACACAAAGTGTCCAGAATGATGGTAGAACCATCCCAAGACCGGAAGTTCCAAGGGAAGCAAAGCCGGAAAGCGCTATAAGGATAATCATAAAAAATGAGTTGGAAAAGAGTGTTTCAGTCTACCCGGGAGATCAACGGATCTAAGTGGGAGTAGAAACTGTATCCTAACAAATAATCAATGAAATCCTACTAAAACAGAGGAGCAGCTTGTGGGTGAAGCAAAGGAATCAACATAAATAGAAATGATAACATGTAAGTGAATGGAAGTGCTAATGAGCAAGCTTGAGATAATGCCAATAAAATGACGGAAAAATCGGAACAAAGTCGGAAATATGGAATGAAATATTTTAGTAATCAATAATAAGCCAAAACATCGGCATATCCGGGCCGGAATGAAGGAATAAAAGTCGTTACAATGAAACATTACTTGAATATTCAAAACTGGAAACAGAAGTGGAACGTATGGACAAAAAGCGGTCCGAAGCTTACAAACAAAGTAAATTATAGTGTCAACAAAAACTGATCATGGAAAGGTGCGAAATCTCGGGCCGAAATTTCGGAAAAAGCGGAAATGTGTTCTAGCATAAAGAAAATGAATATTTGGAATAGTAATGGCAAAAAATCGGGCCGAAATTCGGAAATGAAGTAAATCATAATGTCAAACAATCAATAATCATGAAAGGCATAAAAATCGGGCCGAAGTTCAGAAAGAAAGGAATTTGTAAGGTCAAATAAGTGAAAATCATGAAAGGAAAGGAAAACTCGGTCTAAGACTTGGGAATAGTTGGAAAATTCAGAATTAAAATGTAGAAAAATTAGGAATTACTCGGAACCATCATCGGAGCCCGGAACATCTGATTCAGAGTTATCTGCATCATAGTTCTGTCCTGTACGGGCCTGCAGTTTGAGACAATCTACCTTCATATGTTCTCCTCCACAATAAAAGCACAACCCGAGCACCCTGCGCCTTTCCCTCTCAGAGTCCACAAGCCTGCCATCGGGTCCGAGGTGAGGATGACCAGATCTGTCATCACCGGGCCGGAGTTCCGGCGCTTTGGAGTTATCAGAGGCAAATGAGTGGAATGACTCCACTGAGTCTGAGGCTGAGGATGAAGGATAGGAATGTAGATAACGGAGATCGTAAGGGCCGGGGTGATCTGAGTCGAAGTCAGAGGATTCATGAAGATAATCATAATCAAATGGGCCAGGAAATTCCGAGTCATAACTTGACTGGTCAGGATCGGAATTAGTACCGGACTGAACTGATTCTTGTTCAGAATTGTGGTCAGATGGGCTAGATTGGTCCGACGGATCCGAAGGTTCCGGGTCCGGGCCAACCGGATCAGGTAACGATAAGGCATACTCGAGGAAGGATTCAGGATCAGAGCCAAAAGACATAATGGAGGGGTATTTAGGTGAAGTAACAGTGTAATGAAGTGTAAGCTTGAAATACTGACAAGACCGTGCCTACAGGTCAATAACTATAGCGGGTCTGAGGTCCGATATGGGCCGGAAATGGCCCGGGATAACTCCGAGGTCCGGAGCTGAGTATTGGCCTGTAGTACACACTGGGAGTGGGACGTCGGTGAAGCTATTAGCAACACCCTTCACACACTGTTGGTGTCCCCGGGAATATAATGGCAAGAGTGCAAGATTGGTATGAGCAGCCTAAATGGGGTTCCTGATGATCCGGGAGTCCGGAAGCAAAGGGTAAAGAAGATATTAAAGACTGGGATAGGATGGTACACTTGATTTCAAGCTTGACTACAACGTACAAAGTATTTTAGCTTATATACATCCCAGATACAGTCAGAAGACCTCGATGAAAGCTCGGAACAATAAATAAATACAATGATGGTCACAAGGTTATTATTCCGAAGTCCGGCCGCTCCGGGCCGGGCCGGGAAGTGTATGGGGTGAATTGCATGCATATGACAGTGATGAGGAGCGAACCAGAGGACGTCTAAGTCCTAAGGTTATAGTAGAGAGTACTTCAAGGCGATGAGCCTGAAGACTTAGAGAGCACAGAGTTAAGGAGGGAATCTAAGTCAATCTAAGTCGATAATTAAACTGAGGAACTACAGTAGCGTACAGGCAGTATTTATATCTATGGAACGGTGCAGCGGTGCGGAGCACCAGACTAACTACTAGGAGCTATACGAGTAGTACCTGCAGGGTAGAGTAAAAGACAATAAGGAGAGACTAGAACGAAAGGGTATGTGTAGCAAGAAAGAACAATAAGAAGAGATTACAATAAGGAGTAGATCTTCGGAGTACCGAGCGGCGGAGTGGAGGCCCGAGGCATGGACTTAACATAATGTCATTGAAAAGAAATCTTGATTTTTTACCATAATTTCACTATTTTCACATTCAAAGTTATGGTATACACTACATATATATTGCATTTTTTTAGCCTAATGTTTCTATTACATCAACATAAGTTTTATGATTTGTGCTGAATTTGTTTTATGCGATATTGTTACACCAAGATTATGTTATCAAAAGTGCAGTATAATCACAGAAATACTTATCTTATTTTATCATGAAGTCTCCATTTTTTCTATATAGAAAATTGCATTTCATACTAGACTTATGGATTCCAAAAATATTGTCTTCACCATAAGTTCAACACAAAATTAATAAAATTTCTAAAATTCATACATAAAAAAATTCCTATTGATTTATCATCAATTCAACATTTCAGGCAGTTATTTATGTTGATTTGCATGCAGTGTGAGGGGGTTTGTTAGGGTTTGTTGTGGGGCAGGTAGAGTGCAGGGCTGGAGTCGGAGTCACCGTTAGATGAAGGGCCAGTGAAGGGCCCTTTTGTGCTACAAGGCAATCATGTGACCCGGCTCCGCCGTCGGAACGGAAAGAGACAACTTTAAAGGGAAATTTTGCATGGGCGCTTGAGGGATGGTTCAACGTTTAATGATCGGAATATTAGTCCAACTCAATTACAAGTTTTTTTTTCGAGTGAAATTTTTTGAGCAATATACTTGACGTCGCTTAAGATATTGGCTGATAAAGTGGCAAACGATGCTCCCCCTTCTCATATTTAAACTTGGCCGGTGGCCCTTCATAATTTTCACCTCCATATTCTTCTTTCTTCTGCTGGCCAGAAGAATACAGTCCCTTGGTCCCTTTCTCCTTGTTCACCAATTCATCCCAAACTTGACACTCTCGATTCGTCATGCGCTTCAACGCTATCGTATGGATCTCTCTTGCCATTTTCACCATCTTTGGCACAATCGTTCACGCTGCACCCGTGAGTCTTCAAGTCTATATTTATCATCTAACAATGTCTTCAACTCTCATTGGTTTTTTTCTTCCGCAAACCTGGACAAGACCAACCCCGATGGTTTCTATGTTGGTGATACATTTGTCCATAATGCGAAATACCCCGATGTCTCGAAGAACTATGTGTTCGTCTACTACAACGCTGGAGTAGGCCAGTCGGGTAGAAATCTTATCGAAGGGCTGCTCCGAAAAATGTTTGACAAGAGATTGAAGGGGGTTGAGACGGGTTGGACAGAGTCCCGCATCGCAGCTCTCAAAATTGAATTCAACAACGCTGTTCCGATAAACGGAGGCTTTTGCAGGTACACGATTCAGCCTGGAAAAATCAGTTTCAGCGTCGACGGCGATTTTGGGAACTGTTACAATCGGGGTTGCAGGGGCATGGTCGATGATAAGGGAGAGGGACATATTTTATTTTCTAACAATCAGGAGGTTTTTTATTCTTCTCCAAACAATGTACGTGGTGTCTCGACTATCTTGGTGCTTCTCATTTTGATTCCTTGTGTACAGATTCTCAAGGCTGCTGATCTATTCCAATGACTGGCCATTGTCATTGCATCTCACACTTCTCTCTCTCTCCTTCATGCTTCGGAATGATTAGTGTGCGAAATAAGTTCAGGGATGTAGGCTATAGGCTATGTTGCATGGAGAAGAGACGAAGATTATAACATGGTTGAAAAGGAACTTATTCGGTTTTAGATACTTTACAGGCAATGGAATTGCTCCTTGACGAGGCGCTATGATGTAATTTGTACACAGTGCCTATAATATCTCCCTTCTGAACCATTTTTCATCCTCTCCCTAAGACTCCACGTGTTGGAAAACATCAACCGAGTAGTCACAGTCGACCTTCGTCCTTTTTGTGGTCTTATTTCCGTCCACATTGATTCCATTAGCGATACTCCCTCGGCCAAAATCCCCTGCAAAGAAAATAACCCTCTTTACTCTCCTGCCTACTAGCCCTAGGTTTGGTATAAATCACGTCCTTGAAGTATTCCTCAAGCACCTCTTTCCTGAATACATCCATCTTCGGATGAGCGAAATGCTTCATGACCAACACTCCACCTCTTGTTCGTCCAATTTCGTCAGCCGTTCGGAGATATTTATACGCAAACTGGAACACGGCCTGAGCGACTTGAAAATTAGCTTCAGAGTCGACGGCAGGGACACCGACGGTGTTGGGTGCGATGTCGGACAGGACAACGTCCACTTTTGGTGTGTCGGGAGTGGACAAAGTGAGTTTATATGGGGTAATAGATGGACCGTCGATGAGAGAACGAATCATACCCTCCGTCCGTGGATGTAGAAAATCTGCTTTCAGCGTTTGAACTCCAGTGATTGGATCCATCGAAAGCCGGTCAACGGCGATGATTTTTACTTTAGACTGTAAATCCAACGAAGAAGATGAGAGATGTTCGATTTCGGCATCGAAATTGAGAGGATCGTAGAACTCGAGTGGTTTTGGCGGAAGAGGTTTAGGTCTGTTTTTGGCTTTGATTTTGGATTTTCTTTTCCGGTGCCAGGTATCTTTAGTATCCGAATCCTCCTCCGTGCCTTCCTCGTCCTGGTCAACAGGATATTCTACCACTTCATCTACGTCCTCTCTAGCGTCCAGCTGCGTCGGGTCTTTTCCGTGAACAACTTGACTAACAACCTGACTCCATCCTCCTGGGGCTGCACCCAAGTCGACAACGACTTGTACGTCCGGTTTAAGCAGAAACTGGTCATATTTCTCGTGTATTTCGATGAGCTTAAATGCTGAGCGTGAACGAAAGGCCAGCGGAGACGATATACTTGAACTTATACCGTCGTTATTGGATCCTAAATTACCCAAGATACTGCTAGTTTTAGTGGATGCAATGACAGCTCCTAGAGCGCGCTGTTTGACGTATGGATCTCGGGATTGCCGTCTCAGCCATTCCGCAGAGGACTTCTTGGTTTTTGCGCCAAAAGACGGGAAGGTTGGAGTAAAAGGGAGTCTCAAGGACATAAACTGGTCGTAACTGACTTACCTGGTGTGTATGTAATCAAGTTTACCACATCATTTTACATATTTCTTCTCCTCTTCCACTTGATACAGACAGATTATTGAGACTTCCAGAAGCGATCTATTTTCGACATTGCTATGTACCTTTCACCGAAATTTGGACATAATTGTCCACCTTACAATCAAATCTGACCAAAATGAGTCGGTTGACGGAACGCGCTCGGAAGCTGCTCGGAAGGTCGTAAGACGTATTGGCGAATGGGCGCGCACAGTTTTTGCGGTGCTACGAGTATTTAAAGGAGGCGATTCTAGCAACATCCTCAAAATCGTATTATATCTCTCAAATATCAACCACCATCTATCAATATTGCCGCAGTGACAATGTCAACTCCAAATGTACTAATTGTATGTTCATCGATTGAAATTCACTCCTCTGTGTCCTCATCAATTCTGACTATCTTTATCAGGTTGGTGCTGGGCCTACAGGTTAGCTTACCCACTCTGTCCAATATCACCACATCCTTATATCTGCTTTGTTTTGCCAGGTCTCATCAATGCACTCACGCTCCTGCGTAACGGAATCTCTGTCCGAATAATTGAAAAACAAGATTCTTTCCAGCTTGGAACGCGTGGATGCGGTATGCAGGTACGCGTGTAGCTGTTATTTCTCTACACAAACCTCATCTATTGGCACATATAGCCCAGGACCATCGAGATGTACAAGCTTCTTGGTATCCTACCTGACCTTTTGGAAGTGAAGACTGATCCTTTCCCTGTTGTCAAGTTCTCTTCTCCTCAAGGCGACGACGAGGAGGGAAAGGTAATTCCTATGGTGGAGAGAATTGAAAATACACCTTCTCGCCCATACGTGAGTCTACTATCATAGTTCAGTCCTTTAATCACGAATCGAACCTAATGCGTTGAACCCGACTTCCAGAATACCGGATACATGTTGATGCAAGAACGCCAAGAGCACCTACTCCGCACTCGGATCGAGAAAGATTATGGCGTTACGGTCGAATTAAGTACAGAACTAAGCTCGTTCGAGGAGCACGAAGATCATGTCATCGCTCATATCGTCAAACATGTCCCTAATGCTGGCGAAAACACGGAAGAAACGGTCAAAGTCGACTTTCTTGTCGGTGCAGACGGCGGAAGAAGTACTGTTCGGAAGCAGCTTGGATTGCCGTTCATGGGGGATGATTCGGAAAGTCTGAAGGAAATAGGGATGGTAGCAGGCGATATTGAAGCTTTAGAAGGGACATTGGATCAGAAGGTTGGTCCCTCTGTCAATTCCTCGTAACAGATGTGCCCATCATCATCCAGGTCTGGCGCATGTGGGGTGACACTACCAGCAACCTGTGAGTGTATTGTCCTGTCTTCGTTCCAATTGTCGTTGAATGTCCTATCTCTAGGCTCTCCCTCCGCCCATGTGCTATCCCCCACAAAACACACCTCAACTTCTTCATCGGCGGGGCGGATGTCAACCTGGAAAAAGTCGCGTCTAACAGAGAAGAATTAGTTAACGCAATCCATGCCATAACCGGGAGGGACGATATCAAATTTGGAAAGGTTATCAACTTGGGCGTATGGAGGTGAGCATGTATCCATCATCGCAATGGATTACATTCCTAACTTGTTTCGCATTCCCAGACCCAATATCCGCATGACTAGCAGTTTTGGGAAAGGAAGAGTCTTTATCGCTGGAGGTAGGTTCACAGGATCTTTATTCGTCAAACAAATTTTCACCTAATGAATTTGTTTTCTAGACGCTGCTCATGTGCACAGCCCAACTGGAGGCCAAGTAGGTACCCTTTTCACTTTCATGAATTTATGATCTCACAGGATCTACTCATAGGGTATGAACTCAGGTGTTCAAGATGCTGTCAGTACTTTCCGCCTCCTCCATCCAGAATTCTACTAACTTTCTTCCCTACAGATCAATCTCGGTTGGAAACTTGCCCTGGTTTCCAAAAACCTCTCTCCTCCTTCCATTCTCACCTCCTACACCGCCGAACGCGTTCCCGTCATCGCCACGATGCTATCAAAGACCACTGAACTGTTTCACAAAACATTCCAGCCGGCGTCTCCAGAAAAGATGGCGGAAGGATGGCGAAGAGGGTACGAATTGAGGATGTTTGGCGTCAACTATCGCAAGAGTGGGATCATCCTAGATGAGAAATACTCTTACGGAGCAGACGAGGCTGTGGATCCGTATCGATCTGGAGACGACGGTACTGTGAGGGCGGGAGACAGAGCTCCAGATGCCCCAAAATTATCTCCTGTGGGCCAGACCAACGCTACGACGTATACGACATTCCTCGATCTCTACAATCCTGCCTACCACACTATTCTCGTATTCGCCGATCCCGGCCGAAACAGAGAAGCAATCGAAACCATCCTTGAGACTATCCGGGGACTTCCGAGCTCCAAAGACATCATTAAAACAGTTGTTGTCCTGCCTCAAACATCTTCCTCTAACGACGCTTCTACTTCCTCCGCGGATATGGTCCTCCTCGATACTGAGGGATACGCTTACAAACACTACGATGTTGCTGGGGATTCTCAGCAGCCCACTGTTTTCATCGTGAGGCCAGATGGCTTCATCGGTGGGCTGGTTTTCGGAGTAGAGGGTATCAAGAAATACTTTGGGTTGATACTCAAACTATAAATTGCGGCGTGATATAAGCGCATAATCACTCCGAGTCTGAAACTCTCCCGAAGCTTGGACTTTTTCATATATGTAGGATCAATTAAATCGTTGTCATTTTTTAGTAGTAGGAGATGATTGTATAGGTTAGTAATCACAAGCTTATAGCTCATAGCTGTGGGGAACCTTCCAAAATGCGACCGCCATAAATTCGTAATCGGCTTGTAAGGTCAAAAAGCTCGCGTTTTGGCATATCTCGCGTTTTGCAATGGACACGTCTAAAGCAACCACCTCTTATCTCAATCGAAGAGCACTTTGATTTCCATTATACATGTATTACTTGCCTCCACAATAGCACCGAAAATTCCAAGTCTTTCGTCAAAGGCATTCTGCGCTGGGCTTGGTCAATCATACTCTTCTCTGACGTTTGTGAGACTCAGTAAGCAAAACCTTGCTTCGGCAGTCCATCAGGGAAAAATTGTTTGAATAGCGCTGGGTAATGTCGCTGTGCTACATCTGGATGACTCCTAGAGTGGATAGGTTGAGTTTGGACCTGGACCGAAAGAAAGTAGTAGCAATTCTACTCACTTCACCCGACCCATCAGCTGCACCATGCCCGAAGGCTGACTCTCGAATTCGGAATAGTTGATAGCTGCAAGTAGATAATATGAATAAGAGACTGTCACGAAAAGGCAGTAGTTGGACACACAGTCGGTTTGAGAAAGATTCCCTCGTTCGTCCCGAAGCTTCAAGATTTCTGGTGGGACTGAAACCGGTACGTGACGAGTCAACAAATGGTTCTTACAGTATACAAGGAATCTGCTTACATTCCAATTCATACTTTGAATCTCTCACCCTGACGTCCACTGCGATATTGTGGAATAACGGTACGCTATACCTCGGACTCAAGGAACCAACAGGTGGCGAAAGTACACGATGAGACGTTGCACGCGCAATTCCCTTGGTGGCGAATTCTAGGGCTGTACTCTCCGTGAATCAAATGCGAGAGAAGAAGGTCTGAAGTACCTGCCTCTTCCAAAGTTGATCTGCAGAACGGTGTTTTGAGCGTTCGGAAATAGGACGATTCGGTAAATAAACTTACAACAAAGGTTCCAAGAATTGGAGGGGCATCGATCCAGTCGCCACTGAGATTTTGAACTTGAAGACCAGGATGCGGAGACGCTTGAAGAAGCTGGGGTCATTTCTTCGTCAGCGATGTCTAACATCCGCGCAAGTTCTGGAACATGAATGATTACAATTGTCAAAAATCCTGCATCGTAATGTGGACCAACACCCTGGTCTGATTGAGAGCGTTCACTTGGACTAGGATATTGGACGACCTTGCCACGGTGCTGCATGCGATCTGGCGTGTCGTAAAAACGCGATAAACCTTCCGGCGGGAGACCTAGCGCTTCCGCGATGAGAGTGATGAAGTGGGTGCCTAATGCTGCCACCTGGGACAAATAAGTCTTCATGGTTTGCTGAAAACCAGGAATAAGTGCTTCATCAGGATACTAGAATGTTTTTCAAGTCAGCTTTCTATATGCACCTGAATTATTTATTACGCACCTGAGAAGGACCCCAAACATTCCAGTAATCAGGATCTCCTGACTTCCATCTTGATACATGCTCGGTGGCGATGTCAAATTGTTCTCTGTTATCTGTCTTTCCCTTTGTCAGTTCAGCCCCTAGCCTCGAATACCCAAGGAAATGGGGCGAATTTGCCATCCGAATTTTGTCCTTTTCTTCTTGTGGCAGCGCGAACAATTTCGGAATATAGTCTTTCAAGGTGTCGATGAGTTGTGGATCTACCATGGAATCGGTATTTGAGAGATAGAGAAAGCCGACGTCTATGAGAGCATGTCGGAGATCAGTGATAAATTGTGACTTGGTAGAGCTTGAGAGGGCGAGAGAATAGTCAAGGAGAGGGATCGATGAGAAATTTCTGTCTGTCATGATTGACTATAGTCTATAGTCTGGGCTAATTCTGGTTGGGGATGAAGATATTACAGTATGTATGATATTGACTTGCGTCTAGTCTAGAGTTTCGAAAATACTGACTGGTGAGATGAAATGACGCGATTTTTGTACATGGTGAATGGCTGGGTACGATAGACCAAGAATGGCGTTCCCAGTGACCGGCTTATGTATACGGGCGAATAAATTCAAATTCAAATTGTGCACATAACCCTAACCCCGATCTTATATTCTGGGGGGGGGGGCGCTGCAATTGCGTTCAGTTCATTCGAAGACCTTCCTAAACTTTGGTTATCTTTATCTACAATACATATGTGCTATCTGCGATCTGTTTTAATCCCGAAGCTTGCAATCACACTACCCAAGAAGTTTCCGTCCAAAGGGGTCCAAAGTTCTGTCCAAAGCTCGCTCAAGCCCTTTAGTTCAAATCTTCTTGAGTTGGCTCTTCACCGTTTCCCGCAAAAGCCCTTCGGTTCAAATCTCCTTGTGTTGGCTCTTCACCATTTCCCGCAAATGCCCTTCGATTCAAATCTTCCTGAGAGGGCTCTTTACCATTGCCAGCAAAAGCCCTTCGGTTCAAATCTTCCGGAGATGGCTCTTCACCATTGCCAGCAAAAGCCCTTCGGTTCAAATCTTCCGGAGATGGCTCTTTACCATTGCCAGCAAAAGCCCTTCGGTTTAAATCTTCCTGAGAGGGCTCTTTACCATTGCCCGCAAAAGCCCTTCCGGTCAAAACCTCCTTTAACGGCTCTACGACAAAGATATGTTACTTGAATACTATAATGCGCTACTTTGTTGATTTTACCTACCAGAGTCCAAGCGTGCTATCTCGTTCGACTTTCTGTCAACTGTTCACAATCAATAAGGGGGGTAACATGACGATATGGATGCGCAGAATATTTACCAATGGGGCTCGCATATGCACAAGCCACGAGACATGCAGCGATAATAGTCGATGCAATTCGAACCATGATGGGATTATGGGTGATCCACGCAAGTTATCATCTTCCTATATAGTCTAACTCAGCCTCTGCTTGTACAGAAACCTATTTTGGGCTGTTGATTGCGGTACTCGTGGACCGTGGGGCAAATATGCAGTTCGGATCTTTTGGTCATAAAAAGATGTCCCTTGTCCCTGGAGCGCTTCTACGTACGCTGTGATAGAACCATTATGCCGTGTAAGAAATTTCTTTCCTTTCCAAGAACAGCGGATAGCCTCACAGAACGAACTTTGGTCTACCGTCTACCACGGGCGCCGGAAGACGAATAGAAGAACTCATTGAATGACTCTAATTGGATCAGATAACCTCACAAGCTGTATCCTTTGCTTTTTGTTCTTCCAAAGCTCGTCAAATTTCTCCCATGGCTGCCCCACCTTATCGCAACCTGTTGGCTCTCGTCTCAGTTTCCCTTCTTTTCAGTATTGTCCTCAATGTATACAACTTGAAGAAGCTGCACAATCCAATCGCAGGTGAGTTGGGTCTGAAATACTTGCTCATTTTCGAGTCTTTCCCAACGACTACTAGTGGGGCCTTCACCCGTCCCACCCGTAGCATCGGAGCTGCCGATGACCGTGAACCCTGCGGTTTTGAACTTCATGTTGGCTCAGCACTATGAAATTACCAACGCCAGTGAATGGGCTACTCTCGTACCTCATAAAGGTAGTCGCGTACGCTTGCCATCGAAATCTTCCCCCGGAGATGAGTTCGAGGTTGCCTTGTTCCACGATTTACATTGCCTCGATGTAATTCGAGCTGTCTTTGTTTCGATGCGCGACGGCTCCAGCGCTCACTCCACAGAGGCCGAAGAATGTTTAGGGACCATTCGACAGGCCATTCTTTGCGCTGCGGATATCACATTGGAGCCTACAGAAATTGTCTGCTATGATGGGGAATCATGCAATAATTTTGGTCCCGAGGCATCAGGCGACAATGTGGAGCATAGCTGTAGGGACTGGGTTCAAGTTCGGGAATTTGTAGAGAGTAATCAGGAAGGATGGGATTTCTGACAAGCCCTCCATTCATTGAGACTCATACGGTGCTGTCAAAGTATTGTTCAACCATATTATGATAATGAAATCATGTGCTGAAAGTGGATTATGGTCAGTGGAATATTTGAATTATAATTTTACAAGGTATCTCGGACCATGCGGGAGGTAATGGAGCACACCCGTATCGGTTTATGAGTGGAAAAAACAGCTCGAAAACAGCGCGGCGCACATAGCAGTGTAGTGGGATAGATACGCCCATGCCCTCTTCATGTCAGATCTAGAAGGACGTTTTCGCTTCTATCATGCAGAAGACTGCACTGGCAATTGTTATCTATCCCATATCTATCTAATGAAGTTTGTGTAGAGCGATCAGATAGCATTGCGATATCTACTGCGAACCTGTGCGACGATTCCAACTTCGCAATATATTAGTGGTACCAAATCCATTCTCGACTAATTCTCGACTGAAGCGTAGAAGAGCGTAGACTGATTTAGAAAGACACATGCCCTAAGATTGGATAGAAAGCCAGGTCGCACTCATGGCAGATGATCAAGGAGAAGTTCTTAATCCGAGGTACTATTGTATGAAGCGGACTTTGTTGTTGTACACAGTTTTGATACATGAGCTCTAGTACTAGCCCACAGTCTCTGGCGCCAGCGCATTATCTGCGACGCTGCTCACAACCCACTTCCCATCCAACTTCGCGAAACTCCAGATATCTGTCCCAATATGGTCCACCTTGTCGTTAATCAAAAAGTCGTATGGTGTCCAGAGCATTGCGATATTAGTATCAATTTTAACAATTGGTTGTCCCGAGATCCTTTCCTCGATCTTATTCGGCGAGTCAAAAGGAATGCGGTCGATTACACCAGTGAGAGTGGTGATTATTGGTGCCCCGTTTCGCATGAGGACGGCACCTCCGGATGGTAGTACCTGTTCCGTCATTAGAGTTTTGTTACGGGCCCCGATTCCGTCCAAAAAGTTTTCCGCCACCTGAAGGACTGCACGTTCTTCGTCTGAAAACACCGAGCGATCGTAAAGATGGATTGTTTGTGTGGCAGACATCTATGAAAGATGATTGACTGTTAGTTCTCGGTGTCATGAATGGACTGCGACAGGCTTACATCTTCGCCAATTGGTAGTGCTAGTGAGAAAGGCGATGAGAAGGTATCAGTACTTAAATGCAATTTTTTGATGCTGCTGAGCTAAGATCCCAACTTAAGGCTTCTTGAGGAACATTAATACTGATTCAACGTCAATGAAATCTTTGATTCTTTAGGCTTTACAAACACTGTCAATCTTTTTTTTTAGAGAAAAATCAAGTTGGACAATTTCCATCAGCACTATGCCCTGCCATCCCATCACGTAGAAGCTGTAATATTTTTAAAACGAAGTTAGGCAAAATCTGACGGAACACGCACCCAATGGTAGCCCGATATACGGGTCGGGTCGGGGAAGAGAGGAAAGATCGCCTCTAGTGATCTCTGGTAAGATCCCACTGAAGAGATTCGAGACTTTCAACGTCGTTGTGAAAACGAGTAGTATGTTCAATACAGCTAGGAAGAGCACGATCATAAACAAAAGACGCTCATTTCCAGGCTGTTTAGATGTCGTAATCTTTTCGGAATCCTCGACATCTTGTGGGAGAGGTTCATAGGACGAGGTCAAGCCCATAGTGGTAGGTTAAAGGAAGGAATACTATGATGACTGATGTGCCTTAAGTACAAGTTACAGCGTAGATGATCAAATCGAAGGAAATAGAGATGGCTCTATAATGGGAAAAGGGGCCGGAATAATCACGGAATTCGAATTCTTTCATGCTTCATATCCTGGTGGGAGGTATTAGTGAATAGTTTCTGAAGTAACTGTGATAGATAAGTACGAACCTTTGCTAGACCTATTAGCTGGCAACTGCAGGGGAGTATCTGCCCAAAAGCGGTGATTATCATCCACGAAAGCACGGACTTGAGTCCAATCACGGCAACGGCGTGTATGTTGCTTATCCGGACCAAGGGGAATAAGCGTCGTATCCGCTTTACATAGCAAACTCTGCCGAATGATATCGAAGCAGTGATTCACATGCTGGAATGCGTCTTCCCGGTCTTTCACATGTTTGAACAGCTCGTCGCGCGCCGCAACGTAGGCGAAGCGAATCCCGTTAACACAATGCAATTGATGATACATTGCTATGGCGAATGGTGTTCCCATTGAGCCCAGCCTCACGAAACCGTGCTTAGGCGGAACGATAGAGGCCCACTTCTTATCGTCTGTTAATGGATATGTCTTATCATCATTCTGGACAGTCAATGTGGCTGGACTGTAGCTCCCCGGGACTTGCACAGGCATCACATCGTAATCTGAAAGTCCATGAGCTGAGCACCTCGTAAGAGAAGAATTACATACCGTAATCGTGCTCCGGATACCTAAATATTTGTTGTGAGACCTCTCTGGTTTTGAGCCACACGGCGGCATTGAAGATGGTCGATAACGAAGTCAGGATGAGTAAAAGTATGAGAATACCCGGATTGGCTCTGAAGAACGACATTACTTTGGCCGCGCTGACTAGAGGCTATAAAGACGAGGGGATAGGACGATATAGTCCGTAAGCAGTTCCGAAGCATATTTGACCCAGATTCGACCCAAGTACATGTTCGAAAGGGCAAAAGACCTTTCGGGGAGAGCCGACATTTTTTTGGAATCACATGGCGAATTGAACTTCCCACATCGGATCGGAAGCACAGATTCAAATGGTAATACTACGGCTGTTATTTGTTCAACAATGTGCCTATACAAGACGTGAGAGAGAATGATAATGACTGATATCTGCTGTCAGCACCGAGCTGCATGGATAGCGAGGGATTTTGAAGTACCTGACTTTCATTCGCTCCTTTTATCTCATAAGGATTTTGTGCTGTCCTAGGCTGTCCTTCCCCCGGATCCCGCAGAAACAACAAGAGCCCCAGGGGACCTTCGAATAGTCACTCAAGTCACTGAAAATGTCAACGGTGCACACTGTGAACAGCGATCAAGCGACTTTCCTGGGTATGGGTTTCGAGGCATTGGCTTATGGTTTGTCTTTCATGTTTTATTCGGAACTTTTTACTTAAATAAACTGACCGTAATTTGAGCAGGAATCTACACGTTGCTCTTTTTCACTTCACTGGCTGTGCTGACATGGCGGACGCCAGCTCTGAACGCATCCAAAAAGCCCATGTTTGCAGCTACAATCTTCATGTTCAGTCTTGCGACAGTTCATTTCTCATTGAATTTCAATAATGTTTATCAAGGCCTGGTATGTGATCCATGCTTCTCTAACTATAAGCCTATTCATTCCTTCATCATAGATGGTCAAACCAACGGCGCATATCTCTGATGAAACACATCTGCTTGCTGGTGCAGATATGATCTTTAGCATCTCCGACTTCTGCAGTCAACTCATTCTTGTTCGTCTATTCCTCTTTGGTATTACAGGAACTCTTGTGATTTATATTTTATAGATATATCGTTGTTATCTAGTCTGGTCACGCAATCCATGGGTGATTGTACTCCCAATCCTCATCTCGTGTGCATCAGTAGGCAAGCTCCTCCGTTACCTATTCCCTATTCCAAACCATTTATGTCTTGGTTTAGCTTGCGGAATCGGGCTTATTGGTCTCGTCCTGACAATTAGTCCTAACGCCCCTCAAGCACCAGCAGCAATTGTTCCGATTGGAACCGCCGCCTTTTCCATGTCGCTTTGTCTCAACTTCATCGTCTCCGCTTTAATTGTCGGGCGAATTTGGTACATAACTGGCCTCAACCGAGAGATCAAGACAGACAGCGCTATCAGACGGGCTTCAGCTATTATTATCGAGTCCGGCCTTTTGTTCCTCGCTGCACAGCTCGTATTCGTGGTACTATTCGCGATCAAGCATCCAGCGCAAGCGATAGTCGAGCCCATTGCAACGCAAATTTATGTGAGCGACATATTCTGCTTTTTCGAAATAGACGTGTTAATCATCTTGTTAGGGCATCTCCCCAACGCTCATCATCGTCCGAGTTGGCATGGGTTCAACGTTCGAGCCTACTGCGCTTCCTGAGTCGTCGTTACGATTCAGGGTGACTTTGGGAAGGAAAACCAAATCAACAACAACTGGTACGAGTCGGATGACTGCAACTACGGGGTCCGCAACGGATGTGGAAATGGGTAGACTGCCGTCGGAGTCCTCTTTTGTGAAAAGTAGGAACGACGAGTAAAATTTGTGTTGGATTTTGGATCTGGGATGTTGTACGCTGTTGTAGGTTTGTGTAATGTTATTGTAATTGCTATGTATGTCTAAGGAGAGTTGTGTTTTCAATTTATCAATTGTAGGAAAGTTTGCTCCATGCCGAATTCATGTGCCGATGTTAGTCATCGCCAGCTCTCCTAGTTGAGCTCCGAGTCCTATATCGACTCTGTCGTGTTTCTGTGGCTGCATTTCCGACTCACAAAATTTTGTCCTTAATATGCCTCGACGTCAATAGACATCTGGAGATGGTGTACGAGGAGGATGTCAGTTTGGATTTCTGGTCTTCCTTCAAAGGTTCTCCTCAAACTTTTCACAGAAATCAAGTTGGACACTGTACCGGTAGGACGGACCACTAGATAGAGCAGGTCATATTCTGAAGTATGTCCTAGAGGCCCGACGTCAAATTGGAGTTCTGAGTCTGCCCCGCGCGTTCAAATCGTATCTCACCTTTCTCAAAGAGCCTTTGGCTATTTATTAGGACTAACTGGCATCCAGAGAATTTACCCGTTTATTCCCTGGAAAGATTCAGGCATTCGTAGGAGCACCGAACATGCATTATCTCAAGTTTGTTAATCCAGAACCTTGACAGTACTATGCGATCTTGACGCTACATCATATTACTGGATTCATGAGATAGGTAAAGGACAACCAGATCGACCCACTCTCTCATCTTCTGAAAAACCTGGCTGCGTACCCTTTACAGAGTTTCTGCACGATCCTCCATACCAACTCAAATTTTGACGGGAGGGATAATCATGAGCTCCGCGTAGCATGCCAAATAGGTCCCTATACACAGGTTCTCGGTGCGTCGAACATTCACATTCTTACGGCCACATATATGTATCGCTATTAAAGACTATCTTCAGTGTTCACCTCCACTCTATTCCACTGTACCACGTTGCTAATTCGTCGAGAAATTCTAGTCGCTTGAGATTGCATCAGTTAACCTTACTTTTCTTGGAAGCTCCATACAGAGACACGTTACAACTGTTGATCAAGCCTTCCTGACTTGAATGATCTAAACTTCGTTGTACTAGATAGAAAAGCTTACAGATAGTTGTAATTGTCCCAATCTGGTGCTTGACTTGGAGGAAAGTTGCGGGTCCACGGCGCTCCTAGCTCAGCGAACGCTGTCATAAGTTGTCGTCGTACAACTTCGTACAAGCAATTGGAATCCCAAGCGGCAGGGTGATTTGAATTCTGGCATTGATTTCAGATGATGGGCTGGAGAAGGCTGGATTGAACCAGACGGGAGTCTTTGGGCGTTCCAGATACACATTCAGCAAAGCACAGATGTTTACTCGTGAGGCAGATAAGTACGCGGCGGTTGCAGAAACCTTGGCCTTCAGGGTTTGTTGTACTTATAGAAATCCACCAAGTATATACGCGATCTAAATATGTCTCGAAGACGTCCAGAACCACTGACAATTGAGTAGAAGGAGAATAGGAAAGGATAACCACTGCTGAGCGGTCGTCTCGCTACAATAAGTAGTACAGAAATGAGCCTGCCGTAGAATTCTAAATTGAGCAGAAAGAAATGGCGTTGACTCGCATATTTCGAAGCGGCGAAAAGAGCGGAGGAAAGTAAAACCGCATAAATATATTGACGTGTAACGCTGCGTGACGGCGTCTAAATGATCTATTTTGAAATCCAGAACTAAGAGGCACATGTTTTGAGCGACCTGTTTTGACAAGACATTCCTCTTTACCACCATCATCCATCTTGTCCTTTTTTCCCTCTCGTTCACCGACCTCTAGATTCATTCTTTACAGCTCTGTCATAACCCTTTAGGACTCGGGACTTGCTTCTATCTCAATAATAAAGCATAATATGCTTCCTCTATCAACATTGGTCGTTACGGCCGCATGGCTGGCAAACTCACTCTCTCCCGCTCAAGCAGTCACAGCAGGCTCTTTTGCAGATGGAGGGAATACTACTGTTAGCGCAATGATGGTGAGCTTCCTTCTATCTCGGTCTTGTTCCTTCGCATATTTTTTTTCAGTTATTTGTCGGAAATGCACAAAAAGTTTATGTACTCGACAAGGCAGAGGGCAATGCTGCACAAATCGACAATCATCCAGCATGGGGTGCGGTTTGGTGAGTGCTGCGCTTATTTGGCTGGCTGACAGACAATTCATCAAAAAATGATAGGGATATAGAGACACATACGTCGTTTGCGATGGACGTCAAGACCAATGTCTTCTGTGCATCTGGAATGCACTTGCCTAACGGCTCGTACGCGACTTTCGGTGGTAACGGTGCTATTACTGTTGGTGGGAATATTGGATCAAACACCACAGACGGTGGAAGTGCCGCTTCGTATGACATGACATATCAGGACTACGACGGCCGAAAGGCTATCCGTATTCTCAATCCCTGCACGAACGACGATGATTTCACTTCCGAAGAATGCCAGTGGTTCGACAACCCTGATGTACTGTCTATGCAGAAAGAACGATGGTACTCAGCCGCTGAACCTTTAGGTGACGGCACGATTGTTCTCATTGGAGGATTTGTCAATGGAGGATATATCAACAGGAACTACCCTAACACTGATCCCACGTACGAGGGAGGTGCCGCTGAACCTACATACGAGTTCTACCCTGCCAATGGCACCACCGCTACCATCATGCAGTTCATGGTCAAAACATCCGGTCTAAATTCGTATGCTCACACTTACCTGATGCCTTCGGGGAAAATGCTTGTTCAGGCCAACTATTCAACCAGTATGTTTTCGCCGAACGATGCTATTTTTGGGGTGTGCTGATCCATTCTCGTAGTGCTGTGGGATCCTGCTACCAATACAGAAACCGACTTGCCTGACATGCCCGGCGAAGTTGTCCGTGTTTACCCTGCTTCCGGAGGTGTTGCCATGCTTCCTTTGACACCCGCCAACAACTACACGCCTACTGTCCTTTTCTGTGGTGGTTCCAACATGACCGACGAAATGTGGGGCAACTACTCGTGGCCTGTTATTGATACCTTCTACTATCCCGCATCAAATGACTGCCAGCGTCTTACACCTGAGCCGGCTGATGGCTCTACTCCTGCTTACGAACAGGACGATGACATGCTCGAAGGTCGTACGATGGGTCAATTCATCATTTTACCTACAGGTGAATTGCTTATGGTCAACGGCGGAGAGAACGGTACGGCCGGTTACTCTGAGAACACCGATACGACTCTTGAATATGGACAAATGCCATATGGAATGTCCTTGGCTGCCGCTCCTGTGGGAAAGCCTGCTCTTTACAATCCTAATGCTCCTGCCGGTAGCCGTTGGTCAAACGATGGCTTTGCTACTTCAACTATTCCTCGTCTTTATCACTCTTCCGCCATCCTGCTTCCCGATGCTTCCGTCATGATCGCAGGTTCTAACCCTAACGTCGACGTGAATCTTACCACCTACTTCCCCACGACCTACAAGGCCGAAATTTTCTATCCTCCCTATTTCTCGTCTAGTAATCGTCCAGTTCCTACCGGCATCCCGACCACTCTTTCATATGGTGGTGCTTACTTCGACATATCTCTTCCCGCATCTTCCTACACAGGTTCCGCGAACGATGCTGCAGCCAATACTACTGTTGTGGTTGTTCGTCCTGGATGGACCACGCACGCTCTAAACATGGGTCAACGTTTCCTTCAGCTCAACACTACATACACCGTCAACAGTAATGGTACCATAGTCATGCATACCTCGCAGATGCCACCTAACGCAAATATCTTCCAACCTGGACCCGCAATGGTATTCGTCGTCGTTAACGGCATCCCGTCCAACGGCACCTTCGTCATAGTTGGCACTGGAAACATCGAAACACAGCCCACTTCCTCTGCTGCATTGCTCCCCACTAACCAACTCGCATCTACGGACACATCTGGTACCGGGTCCGGCTCTAACTCTTCAAGTTCAACAGACAATAGTGCCAGTTCATCGCACACAGGTGCAATTGTAGGAGGGGTTGTCGGTGCTCTTGTCATCGTTGGAATTCTCGGCGCGCTTATTGGCATTTGTTTATCTCGGCGCCGGCGCGCAGCGAACCGTGCTCCCAATGCCTACGCGATGAGCGATCCAAAAACGCCTGCAAACGCTTTCAATGTGAATTATGGCGGTGCGGGGGCAGGCGCGGCAGCCGGTGCCAAAGAAGGCTTGACTGCTGACCCGTATTATCGTCAGGATTATAATGCGAGCTCTGATTGGGCCCAGAGTAATGTGGCGTTGAACGCACCAACATCACCATACCAGGACTTACCAAGGAGAGAAAACGGAATGAGTATGGACATTGACCCGTACGCTGCAGAGTCGCGGATGAGTACAAGTACACCTGATGGTGGACGGAGACAAAGATTCTGATAATTTCATGGACTACTACCACACTGACTTTCTTTATTGCCTACTTTCAATATCATAGCCTTTTGATGATTTTTTTCTCTTTTTTATCGGACTCCAGCACTTTGTAGTCAACCGTCTCTGCATATCGCGCACTGGATTGAAATGCTTGCGTTCACGAGGTTCAACGATGTCGTACGTTTAACGTACTCTTCCAAAAAATCAAAATCGCGAAAAATAAAAACAAAGCTAGTTGCAATGATTTCTATGAAGTACATACATACATACATCTTGACTTATCTCGGTTCAGAATTTCCGTTTGATTTGTTCATCATCACCGCCAGATCACTGCTATGCTTTGGTCTATAGCATTATCTTGAACGACGAAACTATCGGTCCCCTACGTGGCCGAGTTGTATCGGGTGCCATTCAGACGCAACTCCATTGCTACAGGCGGCAGTACATGAAAGAGCAGAGAGGCTTACGACGGAACCTGTCTGCTGCAAACGCCCTATTCCTTAATTTTCGGTCTCCGTCTAGCCTAGAGAGGAGCCTATTATATATTCCCTCCTGCTCCAAGAGTAAATTTTAGTCATCACTCCGGTTATCCTGGGTCATCCTCCTTCCTAGATTCAACCGGAACAAACTAAATTCTATGTAAAGCATATCACGGGATTTTCCATTGAAGAAATTGGAAGCCAAAGCATACAGGGCTTTGGTACATACGTTCCCTGAATGTTACCTCTCCCCTACAGTCATTTATCTATGTATCTGTTTTGAGCTAGCATTATAATCGCACAAATAGACCCTTCGGAAAGTTGCTCATTTCCCACGAAAGAGGCATTCAGCACTGGTCCGAATATACTCGGACATGTTTACTGAACATTCCCGCACGAATCCCCTACATACCCGTTTTACATGCAATTATTGCGTTTCTACATGGTATCAGTCTCTGGTATACAAAATTTCACAGCATATTAACAAGTATCAATAGTTGTTCTTTTACAGACACTACGACCTCCACGACGGCGAATTTCTAAGCTGTTGAGGAGAGTAAGGTAGCGGTGGGGTAATATTTGAGGACTGTCCCACAGACAATCGCAAGCCAGGCGCTCCAGAACCAGAACCGGAACCGGAGCCAGAACCAGAATTTGAATAACTCCCGACGACAGAGCTACCATCTGGTGCTGAGTCAGGAAGGAAGAGGGGAACTGTCGGAAGAAGCTCGAACACTTGTTGAACAACAAATCGTCCTCTGGATCCTCCGCCTACTACGTCGGGCGCGTTCATCACAGCATGAACTAGTGCATCTTGGTTGAGCGGCTCATCTGGCCGATCGAGAACTGGGAAGGATAGATTGTGTGCAGACGGCGACATAGGGGCAAGCGGGCTCACACCCCGACCATCCCAGATACAGCGAATATCATTGCCGGGGATAATCTGAGTTAGACGTCCAGTTTCAAGGTGTCGTATTTCGATGAAGCGGGAGTCGAAGAGAAGAACGTAGGGTGCATGCACAGCAACTCTTTCTGCGGTCCCTTCCCACTCAATGGTTCCCGAAGGGCGATTTGGGTCTCCGTGCTTATCAACGTATACACCAAATTCTAGGAGGATGATGATTCAAGCATTTATTTTAAATGCTGTTCGGAGAAAAGACATACCATTGTAGCACAATAGAAATTCATCTTCTGCAGACTTGAACATTCCTATAGGACGACATGATTCGCAACGTTTGGCAAGGTAAGCCAATCGAGGATCATCATGTTGTGGAATGGTCACACTTTTGAAACTGTAGTAAAACGGTGCTCATTAGTATATCGAGGAGAGGATGGGGTCGATACGTGCTCATTCAGATCCATAATCTCGAAACCTCTAGAGCATAATATTGCAATTCTGGCCTTAAGGAAGATGACGTCGTACGACTCTGACGGCAAGAAGAAGTCCTGCTTGAAACGATAAGTTATCAATCTTGTATGGCCACGCCTAGAAAAGTTGTTTACCCTGTAGATCTTAAACCATTCAGACTTAGCAGACCGAACAAACAGTCTCGAGCCAAACCCAGAGGGAGGTTTTGCTCGCTCCTTGATTTTTTCACTGACAGGCTCGAGTACACGGAAGATGCTGTCAAGCTGGATTGAAAGTAAGCCTGAGGCCAAGGTAGCAATACATGCTGCTTACTCCTTTCTTCTTCATATATACGACTAGTGTTCTTCCGTGCAACGTTCCTACAGTGAAGAAATGCACGTCCTTGCTCCCGTTAAGCTTTTGCGGCACTTGGGAGGTGCTGGCAGACTGGAATGATGAAGGAACAAGCGCTTCTATGTGGTATGCAAACAGGGACTGAGAAACAAGAATCGTAAGATCGTGCTTCGTGTTCGTCGAAGCAAAAAAAAACCTTGTCTGCAAGTACCAAAAAAATACCGTAGTCTTCCAACATGGCACATTGGGCAACAAGTTTAAGATGTAGAACTCGGCGCATAGCTATTTCGACTGTCAGTCAAGTCCAAATCGACGAAGATCCCAAACTTACACTTGGGGTCATGCCTGAATCCGATCCAAACACCCTCAGCACATCCTACGGCCACAAGACCTCTTCCGTCCGCAGTGTCTATGTAAAGTTTAGCCAAAGGAGCTCCTTCCAAAGCAAAACGTTACCTACTAAATGGAACTGAACATGTAACCTTTCCTGTGACGGTGTCTGGACTGTAGCCTATTCCGAGAACTCCGGCACTCCCCACACCAGGTGCGTCTAATCCTGCGGGAGTCACAAACGTCTCGCTGCTCAGCGTCTCTATCTCAAATACCTTGTTGCTTTCCTGCACAACCCTCCGAATACCTAACGCTTCCTGTAACTTTGCGCCCCACTCTGCTCGTGCTGTGGCGGATTCAGTGTATAGTATAACATTCGGCGGAGGTTTAGCTTGTTGGGCGGTCCTGGATGAACTAGGGCCAGCAGGGAGAGGTGGGATAAGCGAAGAAGTGGTCGGAGATACGGATTGGCGACCGAGATGGTGTAAGGTGATCGGATACAGAAGGCGAGATGAAGGTGAGGGAGACATTTCAGAAGAAGAGGTTTCGATAGGTGTGCTGCCTTCGGGCGAGGCGAGCAGTTCGTTTGGAGAAGAGGCTTCCAGTCCCTGTCCGATAGTGCCTTGTGATCGTAAGCCTCGTAGAAGGCCCGGCCCCGTCCCTCTCTGAACAGGAGGTTCGGTAAGACTATCAATAGTTAAGAGATCCAAAGGGATGGGCTAGTTAGATGCCAGTGTGAGCAGATATTCAACCCCGTGAAGCAAGCTATACTCACTCTGCGGTTGACGTGATATTTCGTCACATCTTCGCGCTCCTTGAGCTTCGTCAAAACCACTATTTTTGGAGAAAAACATCGTTGAAAGATCGTGACAAGAAGGAGATTGTTGAAACTGACTGTAATTGTCGAAGAGCAAAACATACAACTCCGTCCATCCACTCCATTCTAATCCGTCCGTTTGCCTCAAAAGCTTCCCCGAATGAATCAAACTCCGACTTTCAGCTAACAAATCCATATCAATCCATTCGCCTTGCTTGAACACCAAACCCTCATTATACTTCCACAGCTCAACTTTACTCTTCGCATTCACCACTCCAGGTTCCGTATCCTTCCCTAATCGGCGAATTACATCAAGGACCTGCGGAATTGAAGAATGATCTTCATGCTCGGCATTTGCACCACGAGAGGAGGTCGAGCTACCTCCTTGACGATTAGATGCAGCAATCGGACCCACGGGCGTCTCTTCTAAAATGCCCTTGAGCAAAAGCTCGTACCTCAACAATCTTGGAATCGGTCTGTTGATGAAGTTCTTCATATCCAGTCGATGGGCATCTGGATGCCTTGTACATCGCTGGACAAAGTCCTTGAACGCCGGGTTCGTGCGCATCTCGGAGTCTATAGTATATGCAGCGATGGGGTAGTTCGGAATGTATTCCATGTAGGCTTCGCGCCAATTGAGGGCTGCATCGAGGATGGGAGCAGATACGGAACGGATAGTGGGGTGTTCGTCATACTGAATACGGAAGAGGGCTTGGAGAAGGGTAAGGTGGTGAACGTGGAGAGACTGGATGTTATTGAAGACGGAGGATAGGAATTGTGACAGCCGGGCTGCAGGAATGATAGGCGTGTTTGAAGTTGAAGAGTTTACAAGAGGGGTGATATACATCTGTTTGAGACAGATGGATAGTAGGCTTAGCTTCATGGGAAAGACAAAAAACAATAAACGTACATGCTCCACATTCTCCAAATCCTTCACATATCCCATCTCTCCCTTGATCAATTCGAATATAATCCTGATCACAAAGGATTTTCTGAGCACCTTCTATTGATCTGAAAGAAGAGCACTCACGCTTGTCTCTTCACTTCCGTTTTCCCAATTTCCTTCCTCTCTTCCTCCGATACCAGATTGAACCATTCCCACTTGATCGCAGCCTCACCCATGACCCCCATACTTCCTTTATTATCGTCTCCGCCACTCGCACCGACGTTCATGCTCAGCTGGAATGTTTTCACCTTCCCATACCCCCATAACGCTCTCATGGCCCGAATGGCTTCCCTCAGATACGACGCATCCGAATTTTCTTCCTTCTCCTTTCCTGCTTTCTTCTTATTCGTTTTCAATGCAGCTGGGCTAGTCGAATTCGCCGCAGTGTCAATTAACGATGATGGAGAAGATACGGGATCGGCCGATCTCGAGGATTCTGCAAGGATCGTAGAAAGAAGAGAAGGATATGATTTTAGATGTGCTGCTGGGAGCGCAAGGAGCTCGGTGAACTTCTTCAAATCAATATCAGGGAGTGGGTACCCCCTAGGTTCCCGAGGTTCCTTAATTCCTCCTGTTTCTGTTCCAACTTCGCCTGTCGATTCGTCCTCAGCAGCAGTCAGATTTGACTCCCGCTGTTTTTGCTGCCTTTGCATCTCCTGTTCAACAATAATCTTTTTCCAATCTTCATTTCCATATTCATCCGTTGTCGTGGAAATAGCGGGACTGAATATTCCTAACCCACCCAATCCGCACGTAGCCCACACGCCGACCCATTCATCATATCCTCTGCCACCAGTCCAACCTTCCTTTGCCCTATCAGCGGTACTGACAAATCCTCTACCCTGGACCCACCCACCACCCCATCCCGCACGCCATTCTGAAGAGGCTGCCCGCTCAAGATACAGGTCTCCGATACCTTCAATAATACCGTACTGTGACTCTCGAGCTCGGACGCGAAGATTGTCAAGAAGACGTGTTTGGGCTGTGATGAGTGCTTGGAGAAGAGGAAACAGGGTTTGCAGGGCAGGAGAGAAAGCAAGTAAAGGGGATGACTTTGACGACGACGAAGAGAACGATGACGATGAGTTTCGCATCGGAAGGGGAGAGACAAAGGCAGCAGTAGAACCAGAGGGTGTGGGTGGAGGTGAGTGGGAGGAAGTAGTGGTTGCAACAAGCCCATTCTCCGAATTTTGCGAGCCAGAAATACTGACCACCCATTCCGACAACGGAAGCATAAACTGTGTCTCGAGCACGATCAAATCCGCTAAATAATCTGTTTCCTTCGTTATAAGATCATGAATGGCCACTTGTCTCTTGACTTCCCCTTCTGGAATCCTACTGAACACTTCCTCTGGGACAGTTTCTTTCCAAGGTTTTCTCTCTTCTTCAAGATATGGGTAAGAAGATATAATAGGAATGTTCACGACGACGGGTACGATGTTGGAAGAGGACGAGGAGAGCATCCTCTGTATCGACAATCCCCTTTTCGGACAATCCCAAGCATAACAGGGTTTATCATCCACACACGTCGGGACATAACATCTCGTCAGCATTGTCACAACTGCGGTAGGCAATGGCAAAACTGTGCTGTGACCACTCGTCATTCTTGGGGGCATCGTTCCAAATCCAAATCCAGATCCAGACGGAGAAGAGGATATGTTATCCTCTGAAAAGAATATATACACCTCTTCCACACCATCGCACAATTCTCTCCCTCCTCCGTCGACTTCATAGAACAATAGCTGGCATTGGAGGGATCGAGCAACATGTAACGCTGCTCTCCTATCTACAGACAGACTGGACGAAGACGAGGCAGGATACAACGTCGAGTTGGTGAGGCTCAGTGAGTGATTCAACAAAAGATGCTTCCGAATGAGCGACTGCACTGTATCCACGATATCCTTTCCTGTAAACGCTCCCTCGTACGGTATGCTCGCTTTCACATGAACGCCTCTCGGGACTTTATCCCTCAACTGGACAGCCAAGTGAGACAATAGACTGTAGTTGATGAACTCGTCTGAAGAATATTCATTGTCATTCCCTTCAGAATATTCGTACGTCCAGTCTCGGCGATTTTTCGGCTTGCGATTACGCCGAGATGAAGAGCCTTGGGGTTGTGATTGAGAGGAGGAATAGGATTGATATGACCGAGGCGCATCTGCGGCGAAACGCTGTTGCTGAAGCTCATAGTCCTCATCCCAGTCATAGCTTGCCTCATCCGCATCAACGCCTAACTGATCATGTCTTTCTTCAGGATGGTAGCGGTCGTACTTGGCGCCGTCTTTGAGTTCTCTCAGCATATCTGTCGGTCTACGAACAATATTCGAAGGACCTGCATTGGGGTCTGCGTATAGATCGGGCTCTGGCATTGAGTATTGAGGTTGTGTTAGCTGGGAAGGTCGCTGGAAGGAAAGTAATGGAGGCGGAGGAGGAATCCGTAGACCTTGGGCATTGACACCATTGACGATGGACGACGTAGTAGAGTTCCATCTGTTCATGCTCAAACCGGGGTCTTTGCGGCTCTTTTCGTCGAAATAAGACCTGGGTGATTGGGAGGGAGGGAGTGGAGCAGCGACGAGCGCAGGCGATGTATTCGCGCTACTACCGCTAACAACCTGCATACTGCGATTGGTTTGATAAGGGGATCTTGAGCGGTTCCTTCGAGGTTGCAGGTTTGCTAAAAAGATTATCCAGTTATAAGAATTGGTAATGAGTAACATATATTGACTCACCCTCGGGCTGCAAATAATCCGCAGCCAAAGATAGACCTGAATCTACTCCCCCTCTTCCTCGAGTGGGTGAAGGACTCTTACTCGGCCGAGGACTAGTGGGAAGTCCGACACCCAGACGGTACAAATCCTTCCCGCCTAGCGTCACTACAGGAGCAGATGTAGGGGTAGCTGGGAGTTTCCGAGAAGAAGCAACAGAGCTGATGGAGCTGGTGCTCATTGAGCTCACATGTCCTTGACGTTGATACTCTTTCGCAGTTGTCATTTGGGTGGGTGCATTCCAACCATTCGCCGGAGTTGGAGGTAGAGGTAATCTCCGCGCGCTCCCGCTCCCGCTACGTTCCCGGCCATTACTTCGGATACTAGCACTCCTGGCGCTCCTGGCGTAAGTTGCTGCCGCAGTTGAGACTGGTGATATTGGGGAAGAGATGTAACCAGAATAGTTATCGGTATCCTGTTGATGTTGGTAGATGTTGGAACCGCCAGTTGTTGATGGAGATCCATAATTGTAGACGACGTCGGGTAGATTATCTGTAGCGTAAACGCTGTAAATTCGCCCGATATCCTCTCTGTCCTGCTCTGAAGTGTCCTGCCGCCTTACACCGTCTCTGGGACTGAGTACAGAGGCAGTTGAAGGGGTGTAAGAGCTGGCACTTTCTATGCTCTGCGTATCCTCCGACCCAAATCCTGCCCAAACCTGATCATAAAGCTGTTGTAAATCCTCGTCCGGGACTTCGGGCGATAAAGGTCGTTTATTTTCCATTCTGGCTAGTAGAATTTACTGGAACTTTCGGGCGGTAGTGTGAGGAGTTGAGGGTGGTATTGTGTTCCCTTACTTGGGGAGGTGAAAGTTAGGAAAGCTAACGACGCTCAGCGTCCCAGAAAAAGAAAGTTGCGTTGCAAGACCAGTGCAGAGATCAAGTCGCAGTTAATTCCGACAGCCCCGATATCACGGATCCAATTTCTGATTTGTCAGCTTAAAAGGATAAGATAAGATCTTACGGCTCTGAAGCTAAGCCTGGTGGAGTACTCCCTTTACATAATTTACTTTCCTTCTATGTATAGACTCTTATACTGTACTGATCACTTTCACGGCAAAGTGAGGGCATGATTAGTCTCCAGCAGGGGGCTGTAAGACCTGGGTCAGAATAGGTCTTAAGGTAGGGTTTGGTATATGAAGGTTTATGTTGTAGCGTGCTAGGAGCAGGCTGGAGCTTGAAGGGAGCTACGGGAACCGCGACCGAGGACAGGAATGACCTAGTAGTGGCTGGGGCGAAGAGATGGTGACACTTTAGGGGGTTCCTAGGAGGTCCAGGGAGGTCCCTAAGGTGTAGGGAGGTTAGGTAGAAGTATGGAACCTTGTAATATCGCGTAGTAGGAGTTGTACTTGCTAGAATGTCAATATAGGGTTTGAATAGGTCGTAGATGGAAATGGGTCTCAAGGTGGTAAGCTCCCGAGAAGGTATACACCCGGGGACTGGGCTTGAGGATGGACGTCCTTGAGTGTTGGAGGTGGTAACGGAGAAGCGATACATGGTTCGACGTGAGGGGTAGCTTCGACGTTACTTAGATTGAGGTCCCGAAGCTTACGAGGTAGCTAGGGAGCTCTGGGAGGTTTGGGGAAGGGTAGCTCACCAAAGCGTTTAGGCATTGGGGAGCTTTAGTAATGTTCGAGGGAGCTCGGAGACTCACTCGGATGGCTTAGACTTGAAGTAAAAGCATATATTTGATCGTATAGACGACCAGAGAGACAATAGACGAGAGTAAAGAGAAACAGAGGAAGAGAAACAGAGAGTAAAGAGAAATCCGTATGGTTAGCAGGTACAAAGGGACAGGGACTGGACCTATGCAAAAGGGTGTGTGTTCAAAATATACCAAGCTGGGAACGTTTATGTTACCGAGGATACTTATATAGGTGGGATGATTGGATAAAGAGACATTGTAATAAACGAGCATCCAATGGGGATGGCGTGAGTTGCGGAACCCATGAGGCTAAATTGATAGGAGATTGTCCGGCGGCATGCACGAGTCTCGGGACTGTTGCTTCAGATGGAGGTTAGTATTGGTCGGGAGGTTGGTTAGGGTTCTGTGGTTCATGGGGGCTTCCTGGGAGGTTATTTAGGAGGTGGAGAGGAGCTGGTAAGCAGTTCTGGAATGTCTAGGAGTAGCAAAGGGGAGCTTTTAGGGTAGGAATAGGGAGCTTTTAGGGGCAGGGCATGACAGGGGCTGGCACTGGAGTTTTCCATGAAATCAACTGGTGCAGACCTCCTGTGCGAACTTTGACTTGCCAGCTACAGCAACATGGCATCAGAACTTTGGCGCATTGGGGCAATCAGGGTGCAATGAACCCAGCATGAACCTCTAAAGACTGTAAGCAATAAGGACTAAGGTGTCATACCATGACCATGTTCCTAGGTCACACTAATAGTCTGACAGATCTCCTCGACGGTCCCCACTACCCAGAATCTACCTGAAGAACCCCCAGGGACCTTCTTTTCCTCCTCCCCTACACCAGGAAGCTCATCCGACACTCGAGAATCTCCTGTAGAGCTCCCAAGTCCTTCTAGAATCCAATGCCACTGATTACCCCTTTTTACCACAAATCAGATCGAGGTACCATACATACAAACCACCAGACATCTGATGTTCCCTTGTTAACTTTCCTATACCTATTTAAGTAGCTCTGTAATGCCCGGAAGCCCAGCTTGGTATATTTTGAACCATTTATATAGGTCCAGTCCCTGTCCCTTTGTACCTGCTAACCATACAGAATTTCCTTTACTCTCTGTTTCACTATCTCGGTAACGAGCTTGCCTCGTTTTTGTGTGAAAGAGAATGGAAGGAATCTAATGTGCACTCCAACCAACCAATCTAATACACAATATGTGAGTTCACTGCTATCAAATTTATTTAATAGCAAGGGGTAGCGTTGGCAAAGGTTCCGCAAAGCTTTGAGAGCTAAGTAAGAAGCTTTGATCAATCAATTTGAATCGTTCTAAGGGTTCGATATATTCCTTTGATCAAGGTAGATTCAGCACAATTTGTGCTTTGGTTTGTATTGATCTGGGTATATCAAGAATTGGGGGTTTGAATCAAAGTAAATTAAAACCGAAACACACAGACCCCTACAGAGGGCTAGAACTATGTGCTGGCACAACCACACAGCGTGATTTGCCCTTAAGACCAACGACTGATCCTAAGTTCGAAGAATACCCAACAACTGGATAGACTTCTCGCAGTCACAAGGAGCAGAACACGACGTTCCTATACTCACAAGTGCCGGGCCCGAATGGCTGCTAGCGAAGAGGTTTCAGTCTGGCGGGAGTGTGTCTTTCCTTTTTATGGATTAGCACTGCAACGTCGTCCCAAAATCACTTGTATTCCAGATACATCGGATCGCTATTTATACATACAGAATATAGAGTCGCATAGTACAATTAATTTAATACAATCAACGTTCGGAACCGCAAGGAAACTTCTACACTCAGTCAGATACCATTTAATTTGAATCTACATGTCCTTATTTGGTCCATATTGGTTCCAAGATTCTAGTATACCTCCAAACATAGGTAGGTACTTCAATATTCATTTAATTTAATTGTTTTTAGAGAATGACTCGAGTAGTATTCAACTGTCATTGCTGTTCAACACTTACTTCGATCGTTTGTCATCTCGTCCGGAGGCAAATCAACTCTCCTCGATTCTAATCCCATCAATCTGATTCATCTGGATTAAACTAATTGCTTCTCTCTTTCAACAGACACCCATTGTGCCTATACTCTATCAAGGGAGTTACGCATAGTATTCATTTAATTGCATTCTTCAATGTTTTCTACGTCAGGACTCTTTGACATTCATTTGATATGTCTTCGGAGCCTCGCAGTACTTCGATCGTTCTTCTAGTCATTTTCCTCAACCATGCAACTTGATTGGTCTATTAGACTAAATCGCAGTCTTTTAGATTAATGCATGATCTCGTTCTAGAAGGAGTATTTGATAATTCCTGAGTTCTAGAAAGTCATTTCGAGTCAATCCTCGGTTCATGGTCACTTGAGTAAGTTCTTCCAAACTCCTGCCAGTGTAAGGTCCAATAAGAATACCCTTGGTATGTCATACGTGAATGGTCATCCTTCGGATGTAGTCCGAGTCTGGTATAATCCTGCTTGACAAACAGGTAGACTGCTATCCGTAGGTAGTATCAGGGATGGGTAAACTAACCAACTTGTGGTAGTATGGGTATATGGTCCCTTCAACTTATTAGACTGATTCAGTATTGACTTTGACTGTCAATCTGGGTCTCAATTGCAGTCCTCTTGATATGAATCTACACGTGAAAATGTCACAATTCACAACATAGACGTCTAGCCAAAATTTAGGCATGTCATCCCCCCCCAAACTAAAGAATTTGACCGTCCTCGGTCATTCGTAGTTTTGTATAGGGAAAGGATACCCAATCTGTTATTAGATTGATTCGACAAGACTATATCTCCTTTTAATGTAATTCACTGGGTTTGGATCTCTACTTCTCCATGCTCTCCAATCAATTTGGATGCCCTCAAATGGGTTTCTAGCGCTCATCTTATCAATTTATTCACACGCCTGCTACGAATCGTAACAGTTTAGCGCTCAATTTGAATTGAATACTTTTTCGGTATTCCTATCACATTTCGAATTTTTAATTCACAATCTTTTATCATCTAGTCACAGAACGAGCTTCCATTTCACGGAGAACTGCTCTGATGTACACACTGATTCAGTGTGTACCTTTATTTGGTTCAGGGCACGGGGTTCAATAAAATTTTTCGTTGAAGTCCGTTTTCCCTCTTTATTCCTTTCTTTCATCTCGTTCGTGTCAATTCAAAATGGCTTCATCCTCGAGTCAAACTCGATCTTCAGCCGCAGTCACTCTTCTCCCAAGCTCTCTAATGGAGGCCCAGGTGATACTTGCGGGTATTCAATCTAAATCGACACTTCCTTTGTTTTTCGAAAGCGCAGTTTTCCAACGCCTTCAGGCAGGAGATTATTCTCCTCCTTTACTTGATTCTCAACATTCCCCGGATTATGATGGATCTGGTTCCTTTCCGGCATTCTCATATCCTCGCCCTTTACTTCCATACTGCTTTCCTCCCGAGACTTTGCGTCCTTTGTCAGTAGCATCAGGCTTGGACCTGTTTTGTTCTGCTCAAATGGCAGTTAGAACATTACAAGCCTTGACGGACGATTGTCCTTCTCCAGAGTCACCGGAAGTTTATGATGTTTTCGAGGAGGCTGCACCATTTTTGGTGCGTAACTGTAAACCCTTCCTACATCGTTTATATTAATAGTTTTCACTAGGTTTATATTCGGGACTTCTGGATCGGTCGGGCTAATTGCCCTTTATTCGCGGAACAAGTTCTATCGTCGGCAGAATCCCTTTCTCTCATCCTACCCGCTTTTCTTCGCGACGATTTGACGCAGCAATGGGGCATTCCCCTTGAACATCGCTCTTCAACTGCAGTAAGTGTTCATTTCTATTAACTCCTCTTTTAATCTTATTTAATTTAATTTACAGGGTGTTCACAAATTCGAACGATTCCCTGCCATTCCGATTCCATTTTGTCTACGCTTTCGTGAGGGAAGCGCAATGATGCGTTCAGTTCCTTCTAAAGATCTAGATGCCTTTGCCTCGTTACGCGGTAAAGGGTCTTTGGCGGGCGCTTCTAAGCGTAATCCTCTTGCACCTCCTTTGGAGATCAAGTCTTCGACCTCCATTCCTAAGGCACCTGTAGCTCCCCCTCGCTTAATCAGAAGGAATCGGGAGTTAGAGAACCTCAAGGCCGATGCTTCTTCGTTCTGTGAGTTATAATCTTAATTCGTAGATTTTTGTTTTTATTTATCCATTCTTTTGTTTTTGATTCAGTTGCCTCTCC